CCGGCCAAGAAGAAGGAACCTAGCGAGGAAGGAGAAGATCTTTCTTCGCCTGTCCAGGAGAAGCGCGGACAGCGCCATGGGTCTAAGTCTGAACAGCAACTACAGCGCGCCTTTAACTGGGTGAAAACCTTTGAAGACAAGTTGCTGCAGATCCTGGAGCCAGAGAACGTCGATCTTAGCAAGCTCGGCGGAAAACCCGTTGACCAGGCTCTTGAGGATGAGCTTCTGAAGTACATGAAGCAGGAAGACGACTCCAAATACCGATGCAAGGTACCTGAATGTACCAAGCTTTTCAAGGCTGAAACTTTCTGGCGCAAGCATGTGGAGAAGCGCCACACAGAGTGGTTTGAAGGCATCAAGAACGACGTAAGTTTGCAGCCATTCAATGGTGATATTCCTAGTATTAACAATTATCACAGCTCGCATTAGTGAATGCCTATGTCTTAGACCCAGCACGCATTGCCCCATCCCGATCCGATGCCAATAGCAACGGCCACTTCCCTCTTGGTGGACAGGGCCACACCGGCACTCCTCGTGGATTCAGCCTCTCCAGCCTGCCCTACGGCGCCAACGGAAACATGCCCACCTTCTCCCCAGGGGCAATGCCCGGCATGATGGGCGCACACGGCTGGAATGCGAACGCAATGGGACATGACGGTGGTCTACACCAGCCCGGACCCATGCGCCGCGGCCAGAACCGCAACAGCCGACCTGGCCCGTATGACCGTCGCCGATTCAATGGCAACGGCCGACTGAGCCCTCCCCGCGGCATGCCCGGCATGTACGGCGGTCGTCTCCCGCCCAGCGTTCCAGCTGGCCACCCTGCAGCCATGGCCGCCGGCAACCCGTTCCCAGACGCTATGGGTTCCAGCGGAGGTCCGATGGCCCCACGCGAAGCCGTCCAGGGCCGCAGCCTGAAGAGCTACGAGGATCTGGATGCAGTCGACGCATCTGGCAGTGGTGAACTGCAGTACTAGTTATCTGATTTGATCAAACTTCTATTTCCTTTTTGTTCTTTCCCCTCCAATTGGCGACATGGCGCATCGGACGGACGGAGAATTGCTCCAATTTGCTCATTCATTGAATTCACCCATTTCCATTGATCTGCGAAAACTTGCCTTTTATTTCATCTCATTGTTTATTGTTATCATCCCCAACGGAATCTTTTTCTTGTGTCTTTTCCAGCATGTACAATAACGTTTCTATCAAAATAAGGAATTGAAGATTCAAAATATCAAATGACATTGCAATGCGTATGGGGTATAGATGTTATACATAAGTTTAAAATTTCCAAATATTCAAGCCGTCCTCTCTTAATCCACAACATATTCCCAACGAGAATATCCTACGGCATCTGAATAACAACCTCTTCACTCGCATCTCGCCACTGAACACCCATCCCCCGAATCCGCCGCTCACTCGCCAAGAAGAGCAAAAGGTAGACGTGCATAGCGACCTCACCCCACGCATAGACTTTAAGCGAGAGATTCGTATTCGAGATCGAGGCTGGCGTGGCATCTTCAAGAATACACCAGACGCCCCAACCCGCACGACCATCCCTACCTATGAAATCCGAGAGGAAGGACCAGAAGGCGTGAAAGAGCGGGGAGGGCCATATCCGCGGATCTTCTCTGGGGGTGGGACTAGTGGTTCCAAGCTTTGAGTGTTGATGGACTGGATCTGTGTGTGGCGCGATAGCTAGCTGCACGAGCCAGTAACCCCGTTCTAGGGGGTCTAGGGGGCGGGATTGAGTGGCTGGTTTGTAAGTTCGAGTTGGATTTAGACGGTCTGCGAGCATGGACAGGGTTTGTGTGATGTGGGTAGTGAAAGGGGCAGTGGAGATTGGGGGTCTTGGGGGGTGAATTTCGATAGGGAGGGATAGATTAGGGGGTGCATGAGGTGTATGCGAGGGCGTAGCGTGGCTGGAGGGGCGTCTCTCATCTGAGCTGGATATTTCGGTATTGGGGAAGCCAAGGATGTGGTTCTGGAAGGGGATGTGAGCTGCGGACTGGACTGCAGTTTGAGATTTGATTGAGACCGGTTGAACCGGATCAGGCGAGGCCGGTGCTGTGCGACGTCGTTTAGGAGGTGGAGCAAGCTGCGATGGAGGCGATAGTGCTGCATGAGATGAAGAGGCGTGAACTAGTTGGGCGATCTCTTGGGAATCTGGGATGACGCTGATGAGACTCCCGAGGGAGTCATGATTTGAGATATTTTGTGGAGGATCCCTTTCCGGGACATGATCTGAGGATAAGGTGGTGTATGCGGGCCGGAGCGCCTCCCGCAATATTGGCGAAACCTCGTGTTGAGTCGTCGAAGGCACCGAGGAATGTTCGGCATCGGAGAGATGCGGGTCTCGATCGGCGGGGCCCTCGATCAGCTGGCGTGAGGCGCACTGGAATTCCAGAATGGCGGCAACTTGGGCCCTATAGCGTGCTTCATCTTGTGCGGTACTTCCGGCGGTGATGTGCACTAGAATCTGAGAGGGAATCATTTGCGCCCATTATGATATTTGATGCACGCTAGTGGGATCAGGGCGCTTCGACGATCGAAATATTTGTCAAATTGATATCGATCTCACTTGCAGCTCTGGAGACTATTGGATGCAACGTGAAGTTCTTCCAAGGTCGAATGATTGGTCAGCTTCGGACTCATCACACTAAATTTCGCACGTACCTGGTACTTCCATGGTACTTCTTCTATAGTGTTGGAATTGCCGTGGAACATAGTACCAATCATGTATCGGGAGCTGCTCGGCCCCAGAACACGTAAAAGTTGTTAAAGTGTTGATTATTCCCTATTTTTGTTAATTTGTGTCTTTTTTTGTGTCTATTTGGGTCGATTTCAATCTATTTCTACCAGGATATACCTAGTTTCTATTCTAGACCTCCATACGCTGACCGTTTGACTGTGGAGCCCTAAGACAGATCGAACGCCATTTTATAAAATGAGAAAAGAAATATAAAAAAGAAGTTAAAAAAAAGGAGTTGTACAAAAATCGGTTTCATCACATTTCCTTTTCCTCCTTATACACCTACCTTCCACAAATATATTCCACTTCTCTTCCTTTTTTAAAAAAAAACTCTCATGGCTGTTAGTGGGGTGTACCCCATGGAAGCGATGGATTATTCTGGTGAGTCTCTTAATATTCGGCATATCTGGGGAAACCCCTCACTTTTATGGCATTTCCCCAGCTATTCAGACCGTCTATATCCTCGACTTTCCAACATAAAATATCTCTAGCATTTACTAACATTATAGCACCATCCCTCCGGTTCGGCCCACGGCCCCGGAGTGCACGGTGCGGGACATAGAAGAACCCCAGACCCCATCCAAAGGCTTCGGATCGGATTTTTTTAGGCTGTTCGGCAGTGGTCTCGGTAATGGACCAAGAAAGACTACACGAGGTTAGTAGTCCTAGTTGTTCGATCGAATCGATCAGACCTCCGACTAAGCTTTTCCAGATGGTCAGCAGCCCAAACGGCGCGGCCCAAAGCCAGATAGCAAGCCTGCGCTTACCAGGCGACAGGAGCTAAACCGCCAGGCTCAAAGGTACATATCCTGATTTAATAAATATCGGGTTAGACTAAGCCATATAGGACACATCGCGAGCGAAAAGAGAAGTACATGAGAAATCTAGAGATCGAGGTATCGCGGTTGCGGGAAGCCTACACTACCGAGATCATAGACGCCACCACATCAGTTCACCAACACAAAGAGATGCTGCATTGGATGCAAGTGGAGAACGACATTCTGAAGGATATTCTTATAGCGAGCGGAATTCAATACGAAGCGGAATTACAACGCCGCCGGGCGGAACATCCATTCCAACCAAGCCCTATTCATGTCGCTCCTATTAATATCGCACCCAGCAGCACTGCGTCGCAGACTGCCCCTCTCGCTAACTCCGCCAGCAATCACAACACAACCCCTGCAACCACCATCTCATCTGGAATGAGTCCCCGTGCCAATGGCATGGATCACTCCGAGATCCCGCCCATGATTGGATATGCCTCGCAGCCACAAGTGTATCACAATGCAGAGCATTCCATGAACATGGATCATTCATGTGGACCAATTGATATCATGCAGCCCATGCCAGCTACCATGGGAGGTATCTTCGAATCGGACCCGCAGCTGCAGGTTGACTTTATCCTAACGTGAGACTCATTCTACTCTCACACCAAAAGCACAAACTAATATACCCCACAGACTCGAAAGCCCCTGCCGCGAACATACAGACTATCTCTGCCGACGGTCAATCACAGAAGCCGACGATGAAGACATGCCATTTTCCGGCCACGCCTTGATGGCCTCATGCCCACCACCAAGCTACATCGCAAAAACCACACACGAACAACCATACCCGCACAAGGCGCCCGATCTCCCACACGCAAACCTCAGCACGCTCCTCAATCTCAGTCGACAGCTCGTGACAGATGGACAAATCACGCCTATCATGGCGCTGCAATGTCTCAAGAACCACGAGCTGTATACGACGTTGCGTCGCGACGACATCAAGATCATCATGGACACGCTCAACACCAAGGTCCGGTGCTACGGCTTCGGTGCTGTGGTCGAGGACTTTGAGTTGATAGATTGTTTGAGTAGCGTGCTCGGCACCAAGGTCGAACTCGGTATGTCCGGTACAGCCGATGAGTCGATGTATGGGTGACCGAAATGAAAATGATTATGATCTGATGTTGGAACCTATTTGTGTGCCGTGGAGTGACTGGCGCCTTGCTGCCTTTCGGTTTTGATTGTGCTGACCTACTGTTCGTTTCTATTTCTTTTGTTTTTCTCTTTCTTTTCTTTCTATCTTACTTTCTTACTTTCTTACTTTCTTACTTTCCTATTCTCTTACTGTGCTTTTCTCTTTCATCTTACTCCCGTCGAGAGGGTTGTATATAAGTGAACATCACGGGTGCAGATGATATGTACCTGGACAATATCTTCCCTTTCTTTTCTATCGTTCACAGCTCTAGGAGCAATTATATTGTCTTTTAATTCGAATCTGAATATATCATTCTAAACAGAACTTGGGTTTATATGATAAATATCAGCAAACAGCTCTCTAGTCCAGATATATCCAAAAGGGGGATTATACAAAGTAAACTCAACGGTAATACTCCATGTATAACCATGAAAGCCTAGAAAGTCACCGAGAAAACACACAAGACGTTTTTTGTGTTCCTCCGAGGAAGTTGTACAAAAGTTGGTGTTACTTGACGCTAGACATTCCCTTTCCCGGGCAATCCATAATGGAAGCTCATTACTAAAATGAATTACTGCGTAAGAGGCTTAATCTAGTGATATATAAAAAGCAAAGTCGTTTTCTCAAACGTAGAATCTACCGTTATTGTAGAGTGAAGTTGATGGAACAAGTTGAATAGATTATTGGTCAGACTCTATAAAGAGTATAAAAGCATCAAATTTTAGGTCGAGTACGTATGCACATAGGAACATAAGTCATCAGAAATCTACTCATCAGCCTCGGACTTATCATCCGACTTCTCCTCCTCAAGCTCCTCCTCATCCTCCTCGAAAGTAGTAGCAGGGACGCTGTACAGACGCAGGACAGACTTGTTGGGGTCCTTGATGAGGACGTACTTCTTAAGCTTATCAGCGGGCTCGTCAGAGTCAAGAGCGCGGATACGGTCGACGATAGTACGGACGATACCCCAACCGTTACCGAGGTTAAGGTTCATCTGGCTAGCGAACTCGCGGGGCTTGTAGCCAGCAACGCCGAGAACGACGTGGGCAGCAGGGGAGCGGGGGTTGACACGGGACACGAAGCCGAGCTTCATGCCGTCGGCCTTGGCCAGGATGGCCTGGGTGGTCCAGCGGGCGAGCTTGGCACTGTTGTTCTTCATCTCGGTAGCGAGGACGGCACCACGCTGGGAGTTGAGCTTGCTGCGCCAGTCGAGGGCACCGCCGGAGCCCTGGGCCTTGGGGTCGAACTCGTTCAGGGCCTTGATGATGAGCTGCTGGTCCTCGGAGCCAGTGGGGCCGCCCTTCATGACGGCGTCGACCTCGGTACGGACGATCATGGAGACGGGCTCCTCGTCGCGCTCGAGGGAGATGTCGAAGCGGCGGTACTTGTAACCCTTGGAGGCGAGGGGCTCTGTCTCCTCGGTCTCGTCGTAGAAGGGGTTGGGCTTGGCGAAGGAAACCTTGGACTTGTCGGACTCGATCAGAGTCTGCAGGGCGAAGTTGTGGTTGATGATGGTGGCCTCCATGGCGAGGGCGTTGGGGGTGTTAATCTGCTCCTGCTTGCCGGCGGCCTCGGCGGCCTCGAGGGGCGCATCGATGGCGTTCTCGTTGACGCTAACCATGTCGAAGGAGGCACCGTCGCGCTTGTCGAAGTAGATCTTGTCGCCCTGGTGGACGATGACGATATCCCATGAGTAGACACTGCGGGTGGCGCACATCAGCATGGACAGGATATCGGAGGTAGCGAAAACGGTAGCGGCGTTCTTCTCGGAGAGCTCGTTGATGACGGGATCCTGGGAGGTGGTAACGTTGTAGGCAGCACGGTCGAGGGCCTGGATTCTGCGCTCGGCGTTCTTGACAGGGGGCTTGTCGTAGGATTTGTCGTAGTAGTGGAGGAAACCGTAGGTCTCGAGGTCCTCGCCCTCGGGGGCATCGAGGTTCAGCTTAGAAAGACGAGTGAAGTCAACCTCCTCGAGCATAGTCCAGTCAGGACGGATGTTGACAGAGGCCTCACGGATGCGCTGCGGCTTGTCGTAATCCCTCCAGCCGAAACGGCGACCACCACGGCCACCACGAGCACCGCCACGGTCGCTGAATTGGTAACCACTCTGCTGGGCGCGGCTAACATTAGGACCAGCACGCTGGAAGCCACCACGTCCACCACGCTGGTTGACAGCACCGCGCTGACCACCACGGCCACGGAAAACGGTGCCACCGCCACGGCCGAAACCGCGCTTCTGGACACGAGTGTTATCAACGACGGAGAAGGAGGACTCGTCCTCGGCGGCTGCGACAGTGAACAGGTTGGAGGTACCGGCGCCGTACACCTGCTGGTCTATTTAGACTGTTAGCCATTCAATTCGACTGAAAGAGTAGTTGTTCAGGAAAGGCAAAAGGTGAAAAGGGACATACCTCTGAAACCACGGTTGTACTGGGGACGCTGGTTCTGACGCTCCTTGCTCTCAGCAGTCCAGTCGGCCATGCGGCCAAGCTTGTCGCCCTTGGAGAAAGGAGCGTATGGCACACCAGAGAGCATGTTATTATCGGCAGAGGTGGCGGGGCCCCAGGTGTCCTCCGAGGGGAGGCTGGCCACCAGGTCGGCGAGAGAAGTGGTAGGCATTTTTATTATGATCTATGGGCAATTTGCGCTGGGCAACTGCTCAAGAATCAAAAAGGTAGAGGGGTGGTCGATTGATAACCCCGGGGAATGTGGTGTGGATTAATTGAGGCGGGAAGTTTTTTGTGTCGCGAGGGTGTGGCGGTGTGGACAAAGCGCACCGCCACAGATACACCGCCACAGGCCATATCCCCTTGGTCATGTTGTTTTCCATCTTCGTTATGATGGATTTTACGTGAATCTGATGAACTTTTGAGAGATCTTGTAGGTCCATGAAAATATGGAGAACGGTGAACAATGATCCATTATGTCCTGCCCCCAGAGTTCACCATGGAATTGCCTTATCTTTCTGGTTATTCGGCACAGCACAGCACAGCATCGAATTGATAATTACAATATAGGGACAATTATCGAAGCCCGTGAGAGTCATGAGCAGATGACCTCAGATATTGACATCGAGTTCCAGGTCACAAATTAGACCAAGGCACAGCATTGGTATCTGCTGCTAATATTTGATCCAAAACGTTCACGTAACTCATTTAGACACACTTATCAAGATCGTCATGGACCATGATGACAATCAGGGGAAGCTGACATGTACAAACTCCAAGTGATCCAATGAAGAGCAATGGTCATCAGATTGAATGCACCAGATCGAAACTTACCAAGACCTTGGGGCATCATAATGTCCCCTCTCTATGGTGCTGGCGGACAAGTTCGACATCGTGCAATCAACGCTGCGATTCTTATCTCGAATGTCTTGCTTTGGTCGCAAAATTGGATCCAGCTCTACCGCAGTATGCGCTCAGACGGAGAAAAACGACAAATCACAAGCCAAACACATAATATTCCAATCTGTGGAGACTATGGAGTACATATTTGCTTTTTGTTTATGTATCAATTGAGTTATGCTGGTAGCGATCGGAAGAAATGAGCTCTGCCAGTTCCTTACAGTGGATCGACATCTTGGCAATTCTGATTCGATGCCACAGGGCAGATCATCTCGGAAATTGGGTCCACTGATAAGGAAATCCGCCATCCGGAGACATGGAGAGGAAATAACCGGGGTCTGCCCCAGTGGCTATTTGCTTTGCGCATTGACTTGGCATGGATTGGAGCCAGTGACTGCAAGCCTTTCGATGATATTGTGGACCATGACCGATCGGCGGCCAAGACAGCTCGCTTGCAACTAATTTGCATCAGGATGTACACATCGATGTCAGATTCAAACTCAGGAACCGGTTCGCTCTTCTAGTCATAGGAACTGCTGTTCCAGTATCTCTGTACCTCGGCTCTTGGTCGAAGCCTCTCAATTGGTCTCTTATATTCGGGTTAAATGCTATCTAGAGTTTTGCAGATCTTCTTGTCCACCAAGAGGGAACTACTAGGACAGTCATGTCTACGACTCACAAATGGATGTTTCCACAATCCGACACCGGTGATAAGAGTCCTCAATTATTAGACATAGGGGTCTCGGATACAATTGATGCCTTGGGTTGTCACGAGCTATATAAGGATCAGGATATTCCACGGATTCGAGATATCATCCACAATCGCAATCCTTTCTTCATCACAACAACAAGTACATCTTTCTTCTTCAAACGACCGACCTGAAAACTCCTTTCAAAATGAGACTCTCTATCCTCTCCGTCCTCTCTCTCGCTGGCGCCGGCATGGTGTCCGCCCTCCCCCAGGAGTCCAACCTCTCTTTGAAGCGCTCGGATTCTGCCGAGACTAGCAAGCCTGATACCTCGGAATGTGTCGGTCCTCTCCTCTGCTGTGGAACTCTCACCACTCCTCTCGATCCCGTCGTCGACCCCCTCTTGTTGGTTCTTGGCATTGATGCTGCTAACATCGTTGGATCTATTGGTCTTCTCTGTATGTTTGGACTATTGTGGTACTTATAACGTGGGAATTCTTCTAACATTCTCACAGGCCGCCCATATGATAAATCTAGCTGTAAAACGGAGCCCCAGTGCTGCACTGAGGTCAACCTCTTGGTAAGTGAAAATCTTCAAGACTCTTCCGTGGAGAGTACATGACTGACTTATCTCTAGGGTGGCACCCTTGCCCTCGGATGTGCGGATCTGAAGAAATAGGTCCAGTTTGTTGGACTGTTGGCAGATGCTCCGATACATGAGTTGTCTTTGAAGCAGACTTGATACGTCTACTTAATTACTAAGGATGTACATTCTTTTCTAGGGAAGTCCCTTTTTACTTTATATAATAGCAACTAATTCCATTGGATTGATACTTGTCAAATTCGTAGACGTTTCTATGTTTAAGGCTTAGTACCACATATTCACTTATGAATTTAACAATTAGGAGGTGCTAAGTTTGTCATTGATATCGTGTACAAATATTATACTTCTACATGATTTACATTCAACCTTGCTTTTGTATCGGGTTCTATGTTGTAAGAGTACATCGTATATTTGGGCAGTATATTTGGGCAGTCGGAAGAGTATTGGTGCCCACCTGTGATCCGGCCCTACACTCACAACCGCAAATTTGATAGATTTAGAACAGTATATTAAATGTCGGCATCAATTTTCTTCAAGTTGGGTGTGTTAAATGCATGATGGAAGAGCGACATGTTATTATGGGCTGCTCGATTTCCCAGGGGCCTTCCAACTTGAGCATCAGAATAGTAGAAAATGTTGATCTTCGGAAATGGGCGATTTCTTGACAATTCGAGGTGCATTGCATGTACTTCTGACTCATGTTCAGCCCTATTTCTTGTTAAAATAGATCATTGGTGTCTGATTTGTCAGGCCTCAAATACTTTTCGTTTGTAGGATCCAACCTTTTCTCTTCGCTCCACATTTATCTCCCCTTGGAATTATCCAATCTCCTTGACAGGACTGGATTCAAACACATCATGAATGTGCAATATTTTCTCTTACAGAATCTTCCTTCCGAACTGCTGGGGATGATATTTGATAACCTGCGACGATCACCGTATTCCCTTCGCAGTCTTGCGTTGACCTGTCGCAAATTCGATGATCTCGCAACTCCAGCACTGTACTCTTCGATTTGTTTGAAGAATTCGGCCAGATGTAAGCAGCTTGCAAGGACTATGCAGGAAAGCGCTTGGTTATCCTCTCTTGTTCTAGAGCTGCAGATACACTTCCACGATACCCAATTGGATCCAATCCACGGGACTCTCCTTGATGCCATTTGTCCAATGTATAATTCGGAAACACTGAGCGTGCGGAGCGTACCGCTCAGATACCTCATGGAATCAAGAAGCCATAGCTTGCTCAGGTTCCTCATGAAACAGCCTCACCTTATTGAGTTTGAGTCCCCCGATGATTCATGGGCGGGCCAAAGGCTACGGTCGCGAAGTCCTAGAATTCAACTTGAGGAGTAAGTGAGTCTAACATTCTTCAGTGACCATCGGGAAACGTTGCGTTGCGATGCTCAACATCAGTGGTCACTTGGTCCCAACCAGGTTGTTTTCTACTGGAAGAGCTTGAGAAGCTCCACATCAAAGGCGCTACTATCGAATTATTTGACCCAGAGGTCTTTGAGGCATTATCGCTGATTAGGGAGACAGCTCTAAAAGAGCTCATCTTGCTCAACTGTGATATCGCACCAGAGACACTCGCGGAGATTCTTACCTTCCCCGAGGGTCTTACCCACCTCACAATGGAAGGCCAATGGTGGGACAAGATGAGGCCACATGAATGCTATTTCGATCCAAGGGAGTACGTTGAAGAAATCGTACAGAGCAGCTCAGCGGGTTTGGAGTATCTTGATCTCGACATATGGGAGGCGGCTATAGATGAACCCCTGGATTTCAGCTGCTTGGAGTGTTTGAAACACCTTACTATGCCAAGCGAGTCATACCATTACTATATTCAGGAGCCGGGTGCGCTACTTCTTTATCGGTCTCTTCCTGTTCTTCCCATCAGCCTGGAGACTCTCACTTTGAATGATTTCAATCCCAGGGATGTGCAATTCAATACCTTGATTGACAGGGTGAAAGAAGGGAAGCTTCCGAATTTACGTGCGATTACATATAGGCAGTTATATAAAGAAGATGCAAGAAGGAGGAGGAGGACTTCAAGTTCGAGTTTGAAGAGTTTCGAAAATTGGGGGTGGAGTTTTCTACGGTTTCTGAGAAGATTTCGTCCATCATGCCCGAGAACGATAATTGGCCATGCGAATGCTGGACCTTTCATCGTGAAATTAAGTGGGAGACATAAAATGAGTGGTGAATATAAAACGCTCATACTTATACCCCTCTTCTACGGAGAGGTTGATCTTTTTATTAGGCAACAGCTTTCCCCAGCCACACCCAGAATCCTGGATTCTCCCAAAACAATTCAACATAGTCTAATTTCGCCACATACAAATCGAGCAAATTCTATCTTTATTCGAGGTTTCATTTCTGAGTTACTACCATGGACATCGACAATGTCCAAACCAACAGTTTCAACGGGGACGGTAACACAATAACTCGATCCTCTCTCAGCAACTGCACCATCAATAATTCCTGCGTGAAACGGTCCACACTAAACGACTGTGTATTATCGAAAGTGGAAGATATGAGCCGAGCCACAGCTCAAAAATCCCAATTCAACGACGTGACCCTTGTCGAACGCAGCGATGTCACAGAGAGCACTATACAAACACAAACTTCGGTATGCCGATCTACGATTAAACAGTCGGTCATACAGGACAAAAGTACAGTGAAGCGGAGTACCGTGACCGAAACGACGGTCTCAAACAGTCAACTTGAGAGAGCTACCTTGACAAACTGCATTATCACGGAGTGCACCATTGAGCGGTGTGACTTTAAAGGACTGGTTTTTAAATATGGCATTTGGAAGCGAAATGAGTTGATTGGGAGGACGGGGACTAAAGATCCTATTTATATTAGGAATCATGGTCCACGGGCCGGGGTGAGTTGACTCGAATGAGCATGAAGCTGTATCAACTGACGATGTTCGATAGCAATCCACATCTGTGGCTGTTGGATCTACCATTCCGGGGTTAGATCCTAAGAATCAAGCTGGACAGGCTGATTCTCCTCCTAGCTACGATGATGACTCGCATGCTAGTGGGGATAGCGGGGTTGATTGTGGTGATCTTCCCCCGCCCTATAAGCCCTAGCACGATGTGGAGGAGTGGCTTGTTTTGATGGGTGGCGTTTCTTTCGGTTATTTTAATACCCATGAGTCATGACCTGGTGTGGCGTGTCCTGTAGTAAAGTTTTATGAATCATGGATAATATTATGTGGATTATGAAGATGGGAATAGTTTGCGAGGCCATCTAAAAGGTAAAGCCAGCTCTGGGGACAATGCGACAAACTTAGGGCTTAGGGTCTTAGGCTTAGAGAAATCGGAGAAGGACGGAAGTCGAGGATTCAAAGATTGGAAATTACCCAGCCAAGTAGAGATCTCTGGACCTCTGAGAAGTCTAAAAAAAAAGAAACCCGAGCAAACGGGAACATATTAGAACCTGTGAATCCGACTTCTAGTGTACCCAAGCTCTTCTAGGACTCCCTTCCGAAGTGAAATCCACCCTTGTCTTCCATGAATTGCCGCCTCCATGGCAGGAGGCCCACACAAGAAGATCTTGGTGGTCTTACTATCTTTCGGACCCACCAATTCCTTTTCTAGTAACTCCTTGGTGATCCTTCCCTTTCTGAACGGGGAACCCTCGACCGGGTCCGAGACGGTATATACCACCTTGAAACGATCGGGGAACTGTTGTTCAAACGCATCGAGTTCTTCCTTCATGAGGAGGTCCTTGTCGGTGTTGGCTCCAAAAATCAACTTGATCTTGCTTTTGTCGTCGGGGTTATTCAGTATTCCTTGGATCAGCTGGTACATAGGAGCGATGCCAACACCGCCAGCGATGAGATTGACGTATTCGAATTCATTGGTCTTCCATTTGTAATCCGGAAAGGGTCCTCTGATTTTCAGCGTATCACCAGGTTGGAGAGAGTGCAAATATCCGCTTGCCCTGCCATCAGGATATTTTTTGACTAGAAGCTCAATGTACCCTGGCTCATCTATACATGCATGTTAGAACAAAAGAGGGTTGGGTTCTTCCGGAACTGGATTTCAAAATCTTACCAAAATTGTTGATAGGGGTATAAGGCTTGGCTATGTTGAACAACGCATCCTTTGGCTTATCAAACGTGAAGATATACGCTAAACCTGATATTAGATATTTTTCTTGTTGCTTCATTTCTCGTTCGTGGATGCACAGGAGTGCTTACAGGTCAAGTAGAGCCCCATATTTGAGGCTGGGTCTGGTAGTTGAAAACGTAGGCGCTTGGTGTTATCGTTCACTTGCTGGAAACTTTCCAGGCGCAGGGTGTAAGTGCCCATCCTTGCATTAGTGCCAAAGCCAAAGCCAGGGCCCCCAGAACCCCAACGAGACTTTGAGGACTCAGCAAATGCTTCATTGTGGAACGAGGTATTTCGTGCAGCGCACATTCCAGCGACGCCAATGACAGCAACTGCGGCAATAGTCTTTCGAGGGAATGGGCGTATTCCAGACATGATTGTTTTAGTTGCGAATGAAGAGTGAGTCAGAGGGAATAAATGGATGGAGCTGGGAGAAATGAATATGGGGGCCATTTTTGACCCTACATATAAAACTGCACGGTGGCTTGAGGTGTGGGCTGTTGAGGCTTCTATAATTGCCCCGGTCATTATATTCGGATGCGCTAGTGAGGGATTAGAGGTACCCTGCCACGACAGCTCGGCCGAGGAGATCCACCAAGGCATGCATGCCATCAACTTGCTTTTTCTGTATTATTATTTCAAAACCAATACACTGAAACAAATACAGAAAAAGGTGTGAACTGTATACTAGGAAGTGCTTATGACTAATCACTAGTATTCGAATTACTGCCAAGATTTCAATATTGTGGCGTGCATGCATTAGCGGACAGGCTCGGCCGAGCTCTCATGGCAAGGTAAGACAAGTTAAATTATCGGGACTAGCTCTATTTAGCTCCGAGATTGGCACGGGTTTTGTAAAGAACGATTCTATATATATTGATCTGTATCCTCCAGCATTGTCGGAGTCGATTTGACTGGATTTATACCCCGCGGAAGAGGTTTATATCGTCTTGGTAACTAACCCTCAACGAATCCATCATTTTCTAATCCCCCGATAATATCTCAATGATCAGGTGTAACTGCTTCCTCAATTTTCTCTATCTCTGATCTGAACATATATATCGGAGTTTGATGTTGCAGGGATGATTGGGTTTTGTCGGGTTTCGTGGGATTTTGTCGGAATTTGCACCCCTCTACCCCGTCACTCAATTCATTTTTGAAGTGCCTAAGACTTTAATAAACCAGGTATATTGTATGTAATCTAACTGTGCTTGATTCAATTCATGGATGGGTTCCAAGATTGGGTTGTTGGCTGACATAGTGACTTTGGTATAATATCCCCTGATACCATAGAACATGAAGGTGATCCTTTGCTTTCTAAAGTACCTTCCCTGGATAATATTCAAATAGTTTATGTTATAATAGAGTAGTATATTATAAGGGATTTGATTAATAGTTCAATTGTTTTAGAGGAAATAACTGAGTCGATCTGGCTTAATCTTGTAGGCCTGACTTCTTCAGAAAAATGACTCCACCTAATCTGCTGCCCCTTGAATCGTTCCCTAGTCGAGGAGGACTGTTAACTCATCAAGAATGGATATTCTGACAAATGACCTACATCCCGATGATCCTTGCTGCTTATGCTTATTCTCCGGCCCGCAGTAATGCTGACCTTGCATGGGGGATATTAGTTCCTGACTAGTCATTGGTCAAGAGATCTATAGCCCTCGAATTTTACGTGCTGCCAAACACTTTTTATTAGACCTCAAACAAACATTGAAAACAATGATGACCTTGCTGATACTAGGAAGTCGCGTCATAATCACATTTAAAAGAAACAGATAGGTACATGTTGCAGTTTCTGCCTCTCTCACCTGAGCAACTTCTCTCCTGCCATAACTCCATCTCGTCTCTGGCAATCAAATCAATATTCTTTTCGAGAACAAGTTTTTTGGATCTTACCATGGCCCCTACGATCGTCCTCATCACCGGCGCCAACCGTGGCATCGGCAAAGGTATCCTAGAACTATACCTGAAGAAGCCCAATCATTTCGTGATTGCCGCAAATCGTAACCCAACCCACCCAACTTCCGAAGCCTTGTATGATCTGCCCACGGCTAAAGGCACCACGTTGGAGGTCATCAAGATGGATGCTCTTTCTCCTACCGATCCCGATGCAGCAGTACAGGCTTTAGCTACCAACAGAATTACTCATATCGACATTCTGATCGCCAACGCCGGTATCGCTCTTTCTTGGCCGAGGGTGTCGGATGTCAAAGTGGAGGATATTCAGAAACACATCGATGTCAATGTGTATGGCTTCATTCATCTCTACCAGGCGTTCCGACCCCTCCTCAGGGAAGCCCAGGCTCCCAAATGGGTAACAATCGGGTCTAGTTCCGCTTTCTTGACGGTAAGTCCTGTTAGTCTGTTTTTTGATCTAGACCAGGTGCTAATATCGCCCATAGTAAGTGTTCTGTCGATATCAGTCCACTTGTCCTTAGCAGATCGGACCTCGACCGGGACGTAAACGAGTGTACTGACCGTCCATAGGAACTTTGTCCCCATGCAAAATGCTGCATACGCTCCCACAAAAGCCGTTCAGCACTGGTACACCAAGGCAATCTCTGTTGAAGATCCTTGGCTGAATGCCTTCCCCGTAGACCCAGGGTAAGTGTCACATGTACAAGCCCATGTGTTCCCACGCGATGGACTGACCACAGCACTGAAAATAGGTGGGTTCAGACTGATCTCGGTAACCGAGGCGCCGACGCTTTCGGGTTCGAAAAAGCTGCCGTTACCGTGGAAGACAGCGCTGCCGGCGTAGTCAAGGTCATTGACGCGTCTACGCTGGAAACTCACAGTGGAAAGCTGTTCAAGTTTGATGGTAATGAGGAGCCTTGGTAGATATTCGTCAAGCATTCCGATCACTGTGATTACATTATGGAGTGTCTAAAATGCAATGATGACGTTACGAATTCCCTTTGGTTCTCAATTGGGTTCGACAACTGGTAACGTATCAATAAATTTGTCATTTGTTTTGAACGGAAGCCATTTTAACCCCCCATCTTCAAGCTCTAAAGAAATATCCATACTAATAGCGCCAGACTTTATCGCTGTCCATCCATCATCGGCACAATCATGCCTGTATACGGACATTTCTTTGCTTTAGCTTCAATATTCGCTCCTTCCTGAAGAAGCATCAAGATCCCAGCCTCAAAAGCTCTATCTACACACATATGCAATGGGGTCCAGCCAGCATTGTCATACACATCGAGATCCAAATAGGGTTCAAACTTCGCCCGATGCTCGAGCAATTGCTGGAGTATCTCGAGTCTTCGATGCAAAACAGCCCAGTGCAACGCCGACCGACCATCACAATCATACACGGCTAATCGAGCACCGTGCGAGAGTAGTAATCGGACTACGCAACCGTGATTCTCAATAATCGCGTGTATCAAGGGTGTGCGACCGTCGCTGTCTTGCTTGTTTGCGTCCATGTTACCACGCAGCAAAAGAATCCGAACGATCCGCTCGTGGCCTTTCTGAGCGGCGATATGAAGCGTGCTAATCCATCCCTTGTCACTTCTGGCTGATGTGATGAGTTCCAGCACTGTGTCGTCGCTGGGCGATTTCGGTAGTTGGGGGCCTGGGCTCTCTGGGCGAATGTCGGATTCGGATGTTCTGCGATGTAATGGCAGTCTATTGCTATCCGCAGGTCGAGATAGCGATCTCGAATTATTTGTTATATTGTTCAAAGATGTGTTGGGTGAAGCAGGGTTGGATGGTTTGCTTTGTGTGAGACTCGGCCCTGCCAAGCTTGACTGAACAGGTACAGGATCGGACGAAAAGAAGGAGAAATCATTGTTCATTTGGTACAGGAACTGGTCGATCGCATCCAGATCAAAATTTCCTATCGGTCCTGGTTCTGTGCTATGGATCATAATCTCGTTTGGAGATGAAGCTGCTGTCAGACCGGGGGCGCCGGGAAACGCTGGCGAGTTAAGTGGGATATCTCCATTGTTGGCAGGCGTTGATTGTGATGGTGCTCTGGATGTCCCGTTCTGGTTGTGAGACGTCTGTTGAATAGCACGATCTGCCACCCTCCGCTTCTTCTCTATCGTCGCGATTATAATCAGCAGACGATCGATACGGGCTTTTGCAAATGGCCACTCACCGCGGAATTTGCGCTGGGCTATGCGATTTTGAGCACGTCGCCGTTCGGCTGTATCAGACATTAACTGGACATTGACATCCATCCCTCAAACCAAATCAATAATAAGAACGTTCGAGCCCGGGAATACAATCTAGCGTTGAATGAAAACCAGAGCCCCGTCGGTCACGACAACGGGGGGCCGCAGCAGTAGTCCCATCTCTTAACTCCGGGCCAATCAATCAGCCTTGTCAAAGAGGGTCCTCACTCGTCTCGCTAAGATTGCGTTGCAGCACAGCCTGCGCGCTATCAGGCTTCCACTAAAATCTTACTCATCATGAGCTGACTTCATGGCGTTCAACGGAGTGCGTTGCCAAACCTTCTTGGAAATCTAAGGGGGGCGAATAGGGGCGGGTGTGTGGGCGTGATGGGCTCGGTCAGTGGCTGTAGCTCAGACGCTAACACGATTACGAGATGTCCTAACCCGAAGTAGATGTACTCAAGATACGCCTATCTCTGTCACGGTTATGATATATTTGGTAGTAAAGGTGCGTTTAACTACAAGATTAATGAGGCAAATAAGCTCTTTATCCTTGTTAATGTCGAAACCTATAGATTATAAACATAGTTATGATCCGCTTGCGATGAAATCTAACTGCTTGGACCAGCGACAACAAATTGCTTCTCAGTCTTCATACTTTTAAGCATGTCCTCACTGAGGTTGAGTGTATCTGCAACGATTTGTCTCGGTGTGGATGCGATCCATTGACCAAGAGCCATATCTACAAGCCGTTAGTATTAACAGCTCAAAAATATAGCAAGGAAACATACCGGTAAACTCAGGAGCCTGGAGTACCTCCAAAAAGACCAGGTCTTCATCGCCGGTATTCTCAATATAATGACTATTAGACTTTGGGAAGTAGCCGACATCACCACCGGCATAATCAAATGTAGTCGCAGCATCCGGGGCCGTGAAAAGTGTCGCTCGGCCCTGACCGGAAATAAAGAAAGTCCATTCATCACTAGTTGGATGCCAGTGGATTTCACGCATGCCGCCTGGATGGACGGTAACAACAGCGGCGGAGAAGTTTTTAGCGATAGGGAAAGTGAGCGGATCGACGATCTTGACTGAACCCCCTGCAACTTCGTGAGCCGGCTGCTCGGAGAAATGATACGAATAGCTCTGCGCGCGAGGTACGAGGCCAGCAGTCGTTGTCACATTCTGTTTCTCGATGTCTGCTGGGGCGGGTGTGCCTTTGAAAATGTATAGTTCGTTGTCGGGGATCTTGTCAAATGCTGCTACATCAACTCCGAAGTTCTTTGAGAGGACCTCTTTCTGTAGAAGGTTAGTACATTGGATTTTATTTCCAATTCGAGGGTTGCTTACCGGTGTGTGAAGGAAGACCTCGGTTGCGAGGAATGTATTATCTTCGCTAAAGTCTCCGTCGTCGAACACGAGAAGGAATTCGACTCCATCGTCAAGGGCTTGGATAGAATGGGGAACGCCACTAATGGTTAACTCATCAGCATAAGACATTATTTATACAGAAAGTAATACTCACGGTGGGAAGAACCACACATCGCCGGCAGCAACGTCGTCGACAAATGTCTCCCCATTCTCGTTTACAGCCTAGGAGTCTGATTAATACTTGTTTTAGTCGGTTCAAGAGAACTAAGTACCTGGATTCGACACGATCCATTCAGCACCAGGGACCATTCGGCAGCGACATGCCAGTGAAGCTCACGGTAGCCGGCAGGTTCCAGGCGCATATCGACGCCGGCCATGAGGATCGCATCTGGCATCACATTTGTATTCTCTTGGCGAGCCCAACCAGCTCCATCGAGACCGAGTCTGTTTTGAAATTATGAGTATCGCCAATGTCCATGTTCGAGAATGATGTGTTACCTGTTGTGACTCAATCCTAAGATACAGTAAGCAAAGTGGAAACTCCACAACAACCAGTGAACTTACCCATAGGCCACTGCGCATTGATGGTCGCTCCATGGTCAGTACCAGGAGGTGCAAGCTTATCACTATTGATTCTGTCGTAATTGTAGTTTCCTGTAATAATGTCAGCGTATAATTAAATCGAGAGACAGTATTGACGGCGCTCGTACTCGGACCTGGATCATCAGAACCCGTAGAACCACGGATCGGCTGAGGATTATCAGCTTTCTCAAAATCGAGGTATGACCCAATTTTAGGATCTTCCTTCTGCCCGGGAAGAAGGTCATATTTGATATCAGGTGGCGAGTCGCTACCACCTTTATTCGACGGTGAATATCCAACTAGAGAGTCACTTCCTCGGAGACCGGGGTTGTTAGTATCTCGGCGAGCAGGGGCACCATGCACCAAAGGTAACACGGCAGGAAGTAGAGTAACAAGAAGTTGGAGCTTCATATCGATATTGTTGGATGAAACTGGGAAGTAGGTTGAGAATGAAAAACGTTCTACTATCACACACCAGACGCCTCTTATATATCTATCCAAAGCTTGAGATTGGTAAACGAAAGTTCATTTATAGGTATCAGATAGAGACTTGTAAATCCACTCTCATGTTTCTCATATTACATCATAACTTACCCCAATCCGACGGATTTCTCCGACATTCTCGAAGAATGAGGCTATGGTTCCCCTCACGGCGACGGTAAGCGACGCAAGGTAGCGGAGCCAAGTCACTGGAGTACCTGATTATGCGTCATTATTATGTGTCAGGGGTATAGCCATAGGATGGGAGAAGACGACAGGTACGGAGAATTCGATGTGATTGGGGATAGGGAGGCCTTGCATGTGAGACCACCCCTCACCCTGCAGCGTTTAGTACAAATATTCAATGCAACCCAGCATTTCGCTCGGGGATCGGTTAAAAATAGCGAGGCAAGGCAGAAGTTCCGGGATCACCGCTTGCTACATATCGCAATACCAGCCGAAGCCGGAAGCGGGATGTACTATAGAAGTCATAAGTTCGGGAAGCTGCAGGTGGCTAGAATCTAGGTCTGTTGACTGGTACGAAGTGCTACCGACCCCAAAGATACACTTTCCGTAGGGCCTAGGTTACTGAGAAATGTACATGGTATCTAGGCTGCGTCGCTTTGCCACCAAGATGTGTTGACACGTCATGAAATTCAAGTTTGTTTCACAAACAATCTTGAATATCAACCGGATGATAGGTATCCTGTGTAGGAATAAAATAGACGGATTATTGGAATATGCTAAGCTTCTTAGCCAAGGATGCCGAGAAAAGCTAAATAGAAAATCCCCGTTATGCCCGTTATCCCGTCGGTGATGCGAGTGGACATGCAATTCCTAGCCCCCAATAAGTGGGCCCTGGGCTATCCACTAGCTATCCATTCAAGCCTGGGAAATCAGCACTAGATTATGTCTCCTCGTGAGGGGAAATCGCCACCCGAAGCTTGGATATGTAGAGTTAGAAATGATCGACCCTTTTGTGGAAGGCCCGAGGGCGCTGATGGTTATCTCCGCATATTGTACAGACTTTACTATGTACAATGCATCTTAGAGTAAGGCGGAGTTAAGGAAAGATAATGGAGTTGCCTAGAAGGCAAGGAATGTGCTGATTCAGACAGGGCGCACTTCCATGACCCCGCGCGATAAAAATAGTACGTGGAATAGGCAATACAATGACATCGGATATTCGGCAAGGTAATTGATGATCCAAATTCCAAATGCTCACATCAGACAACTAGCCAGAATAAGTCCTATCGACTACTTTCAAGTCAGTTGCAACCTGACAGCGAGGTTGAAAACACGGTCGAGAAATATCTCCCCCAAGCCTGCGAACAAGTTCATGCCCCTTTCTAGGTACACCCACATTTGTGATTCAGCCCCATGAGTCAAATTCAGCCCTATGGTAATTGGAGTACTCGCGTGCCTATTTATAACTCAGTTCAGACCGATCACGCGAGACATTTATCACTCAAATAAGCCTACAATCTGAGATGTACAGTACAATTACAACTTGCTTCATAAAAATAAATCTCTTTATAGGCTACTCGTGTGTATAATGATGGATTTTAATTGATCAGAATTCAGTATTGAGTGCGTTTGTCTTGAATGCAGGCAAGAGAATTACTTGAACAATGAGCCACAGAAACGACCTCGTGAAATTCATTCCACGCTTATAATCAGATACATTTCTAGTAATGTCTAAACTCGGGTTACTCGAGTCATTAAGGGGCTTGGTGAAGTCATGTGACACTGCATAGACAAGGAAGCCATGGCAATCTTTTGTACTGCCCCTGAACACGACTTTGAAATTATGAATGGCTACCCCGTGGTGATCCGGCCGGAAGGCGGCTCTCGTATGGTTGGACTTGGTACCACGAGTATCGTTTGCCAGAACAAGCAGCATCCAGACCAGGTTATAAAGGCGGCCCTCAGGCACAAGTTGCAAGGCTGCAGTACAGAAGTCATCAAAACAACGTTGTATAACGAGGAGCATTCCATCTCATGCTTTGAGCGCGAAAAGCTCATTTACAGCACCCTACCGAAGGACCCAACTATCCTCGATTGCCTCACAATCACAGACGATGGTATACACCTTCCTTTTCTACGACTCGGAAACCTCCGAGATTATCTCGACCGCAATAAGCAGGAAATCCAAAGACAAACCCGAGACCAATGGGTTATAGCAGCTGCCAGCGCTATCTCCATACTCCATCGCTTTGGAGTTATACATTCCGATATCAGCGCACGGAATTTCCTTGTTGCGGATGACTTGTCGATCAAGCTTTGCGACTTTTCTGGATCGGCAATCGGGGGCCAAGAGAGTCTTGTACAGGAGGAAGATCGATATCGAATGGCCTCGGACGCCCCACGCTCCACTACGACAGATATCTTTGCTCTTGGGTGTCTGATATTCGAGATCATGACAGGTCTTCGCCCATACGATGAGATTGATGATGATAGTTATCAGGAAATCGAAAGTAATTATGCTTCTGGAAAGTTCCCATCCATTGACGCGTTGCCTTACCAAGAGATCATTCATAAGTGCTGGACTTGTCAATACGAAAACATTGACCAAGTTAAGCATGATCTATAGAAGAGAAATGATGAGAGTTCTTCTTCTGTACTTAGAAAAAGGTTCATCATGGTGCCGCGTATATTGTCGCTGGCAACACCCACTGTCTTGATGGTCAGTGGGGTTTTGCTTTGGTGGTATTCGAAGCCCGGTGTCTGGAAGCCAAGGCCTGTACACTAGCTATATTTCCAATGTCTCCAATTTCAAGCTATTCACTTAGAAATCACATTTTTAGTGATGTGCTACTGAAAAATATCCATGCATTGACTGGTTAATAAGATTGATGGTACGAATGAAAAGAAGAAATCGGTTGCTACTTAGGCGAGACATGAACATCTGTATGGAAATCCGGGGTCCTTTAATAAGACCAGACTCTGTAAAGCTAAGGTGTACGCCGAGCTGGATATACGGCAAGTATTCCACTAGAATCGGTATCATCCGCGACAACCCTGGCATCACTGTCGTCACCAGACTCATACCAGTCCCGCTTTCTCAGGGCGTTACGCATCTGTCTAAGGTCAAATTCGACCTGGCGTTGAACCTCACGAACTCGAGCGAATGCATCCCGAACGGTTTCGCGGTCGCGCAAGGTGTAAACGGGTCTCCAATCCAGGGGAGTATCGTACATATGCGCGTCAAAGGCTGGACCAGAGCGCGGAGTCGCAACTACCCGTTTGGGCACGGGCCTACCCTTCTTCTTCTTATGCTCTCGTGGGGTAGGAGTCGTGGCCTCCGCATCTTCAGAGGCTATTATTCGAGAGAGCATGTTATCCTTGGCAAGCTTGTTGCTCTTGGCTTTGTGACGTTTCTTCCCAGAACCTGCCTCAGCAGTAGCTGCTGGGGGGTTTTTGGCCATAGAGTCGTCACGCAAAAAGGTGCTGCTCGGCTGGAACCGAGACACAGAGTCAAACAACCACCTAGGACGTGTATTGGGTGACCGGCTAGATATTAACACTTCTTTACTAAAAGGATATCTTAGCCAATAATGTGTCTTGCAAATGAAAAGACTCACTGAGTCTAAGGATGTTGCGTCGAGCACACAGAGATGATGAATGGAGAGAATCCGCATTGAAGAATGTATGAAGAAAGAGGGTATTTATACCCCTATACAACAGCAATCAAACTAGTGTAGCAAACAGCAGGGTTGATATCACAAAGCGTTATCACATTCTAATCCTTTTGAGACTCATGATATTACCTTCATAACCCATGGGTTGATACTTAGGGATAATTCCCACCCCAAACATAATCAGCCCACATCAAACCCAATAAGGAAATTCCGCACACGAAACACAAACGCGGGGTCGCCAAGCCATAGACATAAACTAACGCATGCACCCATCAAATGAGATCACCGTACGGACCAACCCCAGCGCAGTGACGACGCCCCAAGTAATAGAACCGATATGATAGGGTATCAGGCTGTTACAAAGCGTCTGCCTGAGATATCGTGTGTCGTGTATGGTGGAAGTGAGGGGCCGAGCACACTCCTGATTGTTTTAGGAGATGGCGAAGTGGATCTCATATTCTGGGGATTCTTCAGCCGAGTGGATCTGTCATTTCTTTTCTACTTTGAGTGACTTGTTTACTTGTACTGGTACATTAATCTTAAATACTAAGGTGGAATTATGTTGGGTATACATACAGTGGACTTTTGATGTGTGTGTACCCTGTTAAATAAAACATCATTCGTTCTATTTACATCCCTGATTTAATAGCGCGTATCGCTCCATGGCTAGGTCTAGTATGACCTTCGTCCTGCTTTTCAGGGCTGTTATTCAGTCATTATTACCACGCACTCTTCACACAATCAATGTCGGCATCTTCGGTTGAGCGATGTCATTTTTACTATGATATTCGATAACTCTACATAAAATAAGGGGAAGAAAGTTTAGAAATAGATTCAGATGCATACACTACAGTATACACCAGTGGTTATTTGTGAGTTATTCATTGTGATAGTAACGAGTTAGGGTAAAGTAGCCCTTAAAACAAAAACGCCAGGTCTATCTTGCCATGATATAGCAAAGATGCGAATGACCGACCGAACAAAAGAAAGAAATGTCCCATCTAGGGTATGAAGAGTCCCCCCAGATGCACATAGCTACCTATCAGATACAGCTTGTCGATAGATAGATGGCGATGAGGGATAAAGGGGTATGAGTGTGAAGAGTAGTGGGAGACATGCGTTATGGTGGTACGATGGTGTAGTTGAGTCCAGTAGGGGGGCAGCGACAAGACTCTCCCGTCTACCGAGCAACACGTTTCAGGTATCGCATTGTGAGGTACACAGCCGCCATGCTAGTGTAGAGGCCGCCGCCAGCAGTGATCCAAACAGGACGGTGAACACTGAGGGAAGTACGGAATAGGTTGGCTTCCTTGGGTTGCCTCTCTCCTTTGGGTAGTGTTAGTTATATCTGAAATCAGGAGCAAGGTGAAATAGACGGTCGGAAGACAAGAGGGGAGAACATACCTTGCTGGAAGATACGCTGGCGTAGATTGTTCAGACCCTGCCTTGAGCGGGCAGGGAGGGCTTGCAGTTGCTGTAGGATAGGACCCATGGCTGCAGACATCTTGTATGTAGTGTATTGGATAGGATGTTGATGGAAAAGTCAAGTTGATGCTGCAAGTCTGATGATAGTTGATGGATGAAGTGGTAGAGGGGAGAGTTTCTTGAAAAGCAAAGAAGTACACACGACAAGTAAGGGGATCTGGAAGAATACTTATATACGTTGGCATCATCTGACTGAATGCGGGGTTGGGAGTTAGTTAGGACTTGGGACTGACTGAAAGGTGACATCTTGGACATCCCTGTACGGTGGCAAGCCAATGGTCGCGATGCGTCATATAACCTTGGAGTTATTGACTGAGTTTCAGAATCCATGTGTCCCTGATGGCTCAAGGGGTCTCGATTTGATGTCGTGGCGATGATTCAAGTCAATATCACAATCCATGGAACAGACTAACTCACTTTGAAGTACACACTGTTTTGCTTGCAGGTCTATAAACATCGGAACACTTGACATATTAGGGCTATTAAAAGAATAATAAGTCTTCCAATTGATAGTGGGCAGTGCCAGTCGATCATAATGGGGATGTATTAGCCCTCTCCCCCACTTTGTGGTCATAATGAGCGGTCTTGATTGGCCTTGACTGTATGTTATTGGCCAGGTTTGGCATCACAGACCAAAAGTACATGAATACAAGTATATTAAGACAATGGAAGTACCTGTGTACCCTCAACTACAAGTCACTAGGTACATTGTGACACAGACAAACAGGGGGGCCGAGTGAAGTATTACCCTGCTATAGGCGGGTTCCCCTGAAATATAATACATAGATGACGCTAAGAAAATATTATCTCTGTGTTTTTTATATCTCATTTCGTTAGAAGTGTATAGATCACCTGAAAGTGGAATGTTGTGGAGTCCGGAGGTTTTAGCCCGGTCCCACACAAATCTGGGGATTGCGGGGTTAGTGGGCCTGGATGAGCTTAGATTGACTTGTTGAAGACAGTGGCCCTACAACTTCATCACTGTTAATGTTAGCTATATAGAACCGTTGATAAAATATTTTGGAAGTTTGTAATGTTTGAAGTGTGAACATGTACTACTGTGCTTCATGATCCCATTGTCAGTGATAGGAAAGGATGAGGCGAACATGCATCGTCACCTGACAGGTAACTGTACCCGTACCTGACCAAAATGGATATTAGGGCAAGGGCAAATTCCTAAAAGGGTATATCTGAGAAAGAGACCATGCATAAAATGCTTTGCTATATAACTAAGGTCATATGATAGATCATCTGATACTGACAAAATGGTTCAACTATAGAAGGTGACTGAGACCGGTCGATCTTGTTTCTATAAAATCTTCGTACCCAACATGACAATATAATAGTATTGAAGATACTTCGAGCTAAAGTGGTCCCCATCCATCCCCATCATGCATCAGACACTCTACATCATCATCAGGATTAAACGTATTCTCCTCTAGAGCCTGGCCATCCATCCAATTTGCCTCATATTGCATCACCCAACTCGCCCTATCACGAATCCGAAATGGCAAAATCTGCCCTCGATGATTAATAGCAAGGAAAAGCACCCATCCATCCTCGCAAGCCATCCGATCTGCAACACAGACCATTAGACTCTGCCTCTTATCATCGAAAGGTATCTCAGCTTGAATCTGACTCGGAGAAAAATGGCGCCATTCATCATATCTCGGGTCTGAGTTGCCATCAAATTGACCGGGACAGTGCATCAACGCTGTGATCAAGTAGGATGGGACAGAGCCCGGCGTCCCAAGGGCAATGCCATCGACGACATCGGGGTTCATATCTCCATTCTCATCGGTAGTTGTGTAACTATCATGGCCTAATTCTTCCTTCGCATCGAAGACAAATTCCGGCTCTATTGCATACCGAGGTCCGGTCTCATCGCCGTCCCACATAGCAGCAGTGACTAGCCGTTTATACGCCGCGTCGGCTGCGTCCTGGCTCGCCTTGTTGTCTTTCTTCCCGAACCAGGTTCGGATCCAGAGTGTGCTACTTATCTGACCGTCCACCTTGCGGTCATTTTCTGATAGAAGGTCTTGTGGGATATAAGAGGGGTGTCCGTCGATTGGCCATAATATATCCTCGTCAGTATACTCCTATGACTGTTAGCATGTATAAATAATTAGAAAGGCAGGAGACGTTACATTGCGGCCGTATTTGCCAAGCCTAGTCCAAGATTCAACGAGAGATCGCTTTTGTTGTTCCTTTGTGAGAGGGGAGTCCGGGTCCCATTTTGCCTGGAGATATCAGTGTAAGTCGACCGTAATTCCAGCTATTGGGGTCTCACATACCGCAATATATCCATCGAAATATAGGTAACCAAACTCAGGGAGATCTCTGTCACACTGAGTGTCACTCATTTTCATTGAAATCTACTTGTCATAATCTCCAGAATGAAACAGAGCTAATAAGGAGGAAAGGAGAAAGAATAATCAAAACTTCAAGTTTGTGCCAAGGCTAGGCAGTAGCGCATATTACGGACCCCAGCAGGACTCGGTGAGTTGCAGAGAGGTTGGACTCGCTAAGCATTGCAGACGTAAAGTAGTAATTTTTCTTTTGTTGCCGGTGTCTCCCTTTGAACCGAACGAAAATTAAAAACAGAGCGTTGAGGTGTGTCTTACATCTATATCGGGAGTAGCATGGTCACATGGACAGAATATGAATGGTGTTGGCTGAAAGACTTGTTTATGTACAGGTATAATATATAAGAGTACAGAGTACCTAAGTATAATCTAACGAGTGTCTACCATGTCTAGGTTCACACCACGAGGAGCACGACATATCCGACGTGCATCATCAGGCATACTCGTCCAAATGACCTGGTTGACTTCCTTGCCAACCTGCTCGATGGCATCCATCGCCCAAAGGACATCAAGATGCTCATATTCTTCGATGACCTTTGAATGAACGAGATTCACATGAGGCTCACGGCCGCTCTGGAAGCGATTCAAAAGTCGACGACCATCAACAAGAGCATCACAGCCTCCAATCCAAAATGCAAACGGGGGTGTTCTCGGGCCATACCAGGGTCCCGGGACAGGAGTTCCCAAACATGCGTCCTGGGGATCATCACCATGCTCAGAGACCGGGTCTCGCATATACGGGTTCGCGCTTGCCTCAAGGAGGATTTCGCTGGCTGTGGACAAAATGCATCGATGCTTTGCGAAGCTTTCGCCTCCCAGCCACCAGCGCATCAACTCAGCACTAACATATACAGGGGCGAACTGGAACATTCGGTGGCGCAGATCACGCTCCCAGCGCGTGTCTGACCAGTCAAACAAAAAGGAGAATACCCAATATGCTAGGGTTCCATATATCCTAGACGGGAGGTGACGCTGAGCGGTCATCATGAAAGGAATAAAAGAGTGGATTCCAAAGACTAGTCGGAACATCGCCGGAGGGAGAAGGGTGATGAAACGGAAATATGGCCTGTTCACAAGTGGGCCGGCATATGCAGCTGGCGCAAGCGCGCAGAAAACCGAGATGTATTCACCCAGCTCAGGACGGTGCTCCTTAGCTAGAGCAACGAAAGTCTGCGTGGTTCCTTGGGAGTGACACACGAGACCCAATTTCTCGAACCCAGTCTCGTAGAGCACACGCGAAGTGAGTGCTGCAAGGTCCAGCGTTCCAAGATGTCGAATATCCCAAGACCACATACGCGGGTCATCGGTCGACAAGGTGATGTGCTCTGGATGTGGTCCACAACGGTTATTCCCTAACCAAACATCATACCCAGACTTGCAGAGATAAAACGCCAGACTATCCTCGTCGTTGGTACAGAATGCACCAGCATTTTGCAGCAGTCCATGGACCATAAGAACAGGATATCGACGGTTAGATTGTGGATGTGAGGTATTTGGCGTTCTTGGCTTAGTGAAAACATCAGGTCCACGCTCGCGCCGCTCTTCTGGTGATAATGCCTCGTACTCCTGGGGATTGTACACGTGCCACAGGGTGATAATGAACCCGTCCTCCGTCTGGACCCGAAATGTTTCCACGTCAAGGCCAACTCGGCGGGCATAGTATGCAACGTCAGCAATCAAAGGATCCTTGCCTCCTTCCAACGACGGGCATTCTTGACATTCTTCGGGTCCCCGTTCCTCGTCCATATCCCTCTTCTGTTGGCGCAGTGCCCACCTCCGATCGGCGTCAGCCCTGGCCTTCCTGCGCGCCAATTCCTCTGTGTAGAACGCCCTCCTGGTATCTGGATTCTGGCCACTGCATCGCATACGAGCTTCCGACATTGCGACCCCGACGTTGCGGAACAGAGCCCCGACAAATATAGCCGTCAGAAAGCATAGTGACAGAAAGAACGAGCTGACGATGAACATATAGTGGTGGATCCTCCCAAATACAGACGGCGGACCATACGACGGCATGGGTGGGAAAAGAGGGTGTTCTGTAGCCAGGAAACGAAGGCCGGAGGGTTGTTTTTCTCTACACGATGTCCTAGCGGAGTCCATAGCCGACATAATCTTGCCCTCGCTGACCTCCATCACCACGGCTCCTTTCTTCTCGGGCTGTATTCGGTCGGATTGGACGTCTCGCATGGCTGCGCCGGCGTGACTCGACTCCGCACGTGCGGTCGATATGAGAGGTTCGAGCGGAATGGTTGTGACCGGCATTGTCATGTATTATACTCGTCATCCGGATTCCAAAAAGCACATTTTGATCTCTACTTCGAGACTCTGGGGATGACGAGTAGACCCCGGACTACCAAAGTGTCATCAAGTATCACTGTGGATTGCCAGGGCCATGCATGCCAAGGCTGTGGGCCGAGTCCTGGCACGTGATCATACAGGGGAAGACATGTGATTGTGGATCGCATCAGCCAATCAGAGGCGCGCCCATGTGTGGCAGTAGCGTGGCGAGGCATATCACTATGGATGTTACTACTAGCAGATGACACAGTCCTTTCTGTATCTATTGCAGTTTACACAAATTCAAAGACAAGGAGGATCTTATCCTAAGTTCTATTAACTGTGAATAATATCTCCAAAAATTGCAAACGTAAGGGGTATCAAACACCTCAGACCTCGCCACTTCTCTCATTTCCTTCTGCTGCCATTGCTGCTCTCTCATCAAGCGTAAATTCACTCTTCGCCTCTCTAATTCGCACAAAGAATACGACAATAAGGAATCCCAGTATCGCTAGTCCAGTTTGGTACCAAAAGACAGCCTTGTAGCTATCCTTAGTACCCAAGTCGGATGTCTGGGTGTGAACAATATCCGCGAAACCAAGCATAACGGCAATTCCCATGTGCAGAGTGCAGTTAATCAAAGCACCCGCTAGGCCTTGCCTAGCTTTGGGTAGGTTTGTCGTGATGAAGACATTGGCGAGATTGAAACTAATGTCGATGCCGACTGTGCCGCATATCATCGCCGGGAATACGAAAGCCCAGTAATTTCCGCCAATAGGGATAACGGCGAAAAACAATCCAGAGCCCACGTATCCAAGACATGATATCAGCATCAATATCGTTCCTGGGACTCTGTGGAAGATCATTCCTCCACCGACTGAGAGAATAAGTCCACCAACTCCCATAGGCGCAGTCCATGCCACGATTTGCATTGGCGAAGCACCCATTATTTCAGACATGCTAGTGATGTTGTTAGTATTAATCCGAGCAAGGACACTGGGGCATGACTCACTAAAGAACGGCATATAGTAGAAATATGCCCAATGTACCGTAAAGGAATAGCAAAGCAATGACCAAAGGCAGCATAAACTTGACTCGAAATACGTCACCAGGTAGTAGCGGGTTTGTCACAACCCATCCTTCCACATAAACCATGATTCCCATGAGAATGAGTCCAAGAACTAAGAACAGAGGGATATATGGCGTTCTCCATCCTTGTGTGGCATAGGAACTGTCCGCAATGGCAAACACAAAGAATACAGCGGCCGGTATAGAAAGACACGCACCAGGCCAATCCATCCGGATGCCCAATTTTCTCTTCTCGGCATAATCGCGTGGAATGGAGAAGAGCGCCAGAGCCGATGTGATGGCGGAGAGGATTGCTCCAATGAAGAAGTACCACCTCCAAGTGAGATATTCACCCGCAAGCCCAGAGAAGAAAATGCCCACAAAGAATCCCAACGCCGCACATGCGCCATAGATACTAAAGACCATATTCTTCCTCGGTCCCGGTCTGTAGGTGCTTCCAAGGACCATAATTCCCGATGGAAGAAAAGCAGCCAGAGCAAAGCCCTGCAATGCTCGGCAAATAATCAACATCAGCCATGTTTGGGAGACACCACATAGGATAGATGATATGGTGAGCCAGATAGCTCCAGCGCTGTAAATTATATATCCCCCAAACATGTCGGTTAATCTGCCGAAGATGAGGAGTGTGGAGGTCACGACCAGCGATAATGCGGTAGACGGCCATATCGCCGAGGCTTCGGGGAGGTCAAGTTCTTTAACGAGCGTTGGAAGGAGGACATTTGAGCCTGAGATGTAGTATTCCTAGTAAAAAGTCAGAATTTGCCTCCTGGGGTGAGATCATCATCGACGGCGTACTGCAAGAATTTGGGACATGAAAATCGAGAGACAGAAAGAGATTTCCGACCAAGGGCCTTTGAAGCACTTTGGGCGTTCTCTTCCTAATCTTTCCAAGTCGGCAGCTTCTTGATTGATCCTGGTCTGCTCTGTGTCAGACGAGGCCTCATTGCTCGGGCCAAGAGCGTCTGGTGTGCCCATGATGCTTTATCAGAAGCGTGTATTTTTGTGTGAGATTACAAGCTACTGAGCCATTGTATCCGTGGTGTTGCAAAGACTTTTATAACGATGACTTCGGGAATGGGTGGCCATTTCTAAGCAACGCCTCAACCACAGCTCAACAGACCCATCAAGATATCTGATGGATAATGCCCGTTTCTAGAAAACTACTGGAACTTTGTACACGAGGAAGCACGATGATTTGCGGGTGAGAACGGATTTCCGGTTGTTCAATTTCGCCAAGACTTTTGATTTTTAACTTCCTTTTTGGGAAGTTGTCAGGAGTGGGGCCGACGAATTCGGAGATTCTCATCTCAGGGGATTCCTTGACAACTTCACAGTGCATAGAAACGTATTATATGCACATTTATATATATTCTCCGAACTTGGGCTTCAATATATCGCTGCCCAGCCACGTCAAATATTCAACCCCGCTTTTTAGCTAGATTTGCTGATCTCTGGGTTTTGACACTTCTCCACACCGCTGAATGCATTTGCTCGAGCTATACGGAGTACTATTCTTTACCTATCTTGTAGTATACCAATGTCAATGCATCAGAACCTGGATAATGCAATATGCCTTTTGGCATTGATCTCCGACCGACCACCGGGCCTTGAAGAATCAATAGAGACAGAAGCAAGAGAGATCGATACAGAGTCATCCCAATCCGATGACGAATTAGATGATCCTGAAGATCCAACTGTGTTAGGCACCGATTCAGAACATGAACAATACCGCGTTGAACTGAAGAATCAATTCCTCGACCGACTGGCCGAAACATTAGCTCGCTTCAAAACCGATGCCAAGGCCAAATCATCGAAGGATGCAAAACATGTTTCCGCAGTTATGATGGTCTGCTACGAAGACGAAGAGCGTGCTAAAATCTTTTGCGCAAAGAATGAAGGGCTTGATAAAGAAGATGATGACTTTCTAGCTAGGTGGAAGTTACGTATGGAAAGTATCGCGGGCAAGGGTTCGTTCCAGGTTCCATGATATATTTCAGCATACGCTTGTTACTGAAATCTAGTCAGAGCATGCCTCAGATGACGATAGCTTTGCCATGTTCAACCTCGTTGCAGATCATCAATGGCCACGAATCACAACTTATCTTGAGTCGCTGAGGCGGGGTTTTCGATCTCAAATAAACCCAGGCTTGGTCAAGAGTGTACCCAAAACCCTTCTATTAGAAGAGCGAGTTTCAACTATTCCATCTTTGCGGATCAAGGAGTGGGAGGACGACAATAAGTTTTTGTTTACTATACCGCTAGACTATTCCGTGCGAGCAAAACGTTCTGTGCTTGCGGAAGAGTTGACCAACGTAAACTCAAACACTACTTGCACTGGTGAGACAGTATGCGAGATCCAAGGCAGTGTTTCCGAGCTTTTCGAGAATATTCACCGCCTCTGTCAACTTGATACTACACGAGATGACCAGACAAGTCTTCTAAAGAAAGTTATGAGTCAAATGTTTGTTCTCTGGAGAGAGCCCCGTGCTCGATTCATGCTGAAAGCAGCCCTAAGAAGGCAGAAAGACAAAGACACTTTGCTGTTTCTGGCCAGGGTCTGCTATGCTGCATATATCTACGTCGAGATTGCGAAGGTCTGTAAATCCTTTCGGTCTATCGAGATAGTGTCTGTTCCGCCCAGCGGAAATCAAGGTCAGCACAGAAGCCAACGCCGGCGTAAGAAAAAACAGCGACAAGCAGCAGCAGAAGATCAATGCGCAAATATCCTAGATGTCATCCAAGCTTTAGGTCTCACTTTTCACCCTAGCTGGACATATTATCTTGCTCAAAATGCGGCGCGGTTCACCGAGATGCGCAAATCAAAACGAGATAAAGAATTTCACCACGCAGAAACTCAACTCCTGGCTTATTTTGAGTACTCAATGTCGCCGGACGATAGAGACCAGTCGCACAAATACATTGGATGTAGTAGGCGCTGTTGTTGGCTATGTCATGTACTCGTTCGTGCTCACGAACATTTCGGGGTACGAGGTACACATGAGACATTGCTATATAGATGGAACGTGCCTATGCCCTCCGCAACAAATAAAGGAAGCTTATCGACACAACTCCATCTGGCCATGGAGCGTTTACTCATGGAACTGAAGGTTTCCCTCCAGACTTTGTTCGACGAACCGCGAGGAAAACGCCTTGAGCTCAAGGCACAGTCCTCGCATGCACTTTCCTCCACAGGAGCAATATGGCAGCGGAAGCCGGAATACTATAATTCGTCTTATCGAGGCTTCCAGTATGTCAAACGGTCAGAGACTACATATAACACATTGTTTGCTGATTTTCTCATAGACGTATGATGATGATGCCCACAGCGTTCAATAACGGATTGCTTATTACGCCAGTTCATGATAGGCCAGGATACGCATTGGTCACAGGAGCCCGCGTTGGTCGTCAATTAACAGAGGTGACACTCAGAGAAGCCGAACGGCTTAAGGATCTGGATATTCGTTCCATGTTCAAGCTTGAATCTCCGGACAAAATGCCTCCAAGGCGCGTTTCCCATTCACGCAAATGCAAGTCGTGTGGTCAATCAAGTGAATTTCGTTGTTCGGCTTGTCGGATGAATTATTGCTCGAGGAGATGTCAATCAAAAGACTGGTTCAGACATGTTTTTGTCTGCTGTGTCAAGGATCGACCCAACGATGTGGATTATTTAAAGCTCCTGACCAGGCGATGGCTTACTGTGATGAACGACTTGGTCCCCCGAACTCATTTTCTAACAGCCCTCTTTCGAGACGATCATCTCTGCAAGACTTTCGGTTTCAATGTCTGCATTCAGGAAAGCGACATCGTCAATCTCTTCTGCATATACAACAGTCTGACCAGCAGTTTTTCGTCAAAGAGGCTTCAATATTTTTCCGAGAACCATGCTCTAGGTAGACTCATTGAGCATTGGATCCAGTGTCAAGCGGCACAGAATAACGCCGAAGAATGCGGTTGCTTCCCGTGGTTCCTCGATTTATATCAATCAGGCTCCTTCGATATCCCTAATCATGGTGGAGAGTACCGTTACCAGATGTGGGCCATACAAGAGCTGGGGAAGATGTTCTCCATTAATTATGACGATGTTCTCTCTGGACCAGAATGTGTTGTTATATTTTTGTACAAGATCCTTCTCCGAGACATCAACAACATTCCCAATGTTGGTGATCCAGAGTGGATCAGATTCGGATTCTGCTATTGCACAAAGACGGCGCAGAAGCAACTCCTTGCAAAGGCTTACATCCAGCTCGCCACCCATGCATCTCTCGATGAAATAGCAACAGCATGGATGTCCGACACGTTAATTGATCTCATGACGACTAAAGGTATCTCCATATCATCTCTCGTTTCCGAAGGAATCTTCCCCCATCAACCATCCCCTGAAACAATCGGCATCTACCGCCTCATGTCAGAAGTTTCACACGGTCTCGCCGGGTGTCCAAGCTGTGCATGCAAGAACGCCCGATGCAACTTCCATTCAAAAAATGAGCCTTTGCTCTGCAAGGAATCTGAGGCCGACTACGGTTTTCTATCAGTTAATACATGGGAGCGGTGGCGAATGTTGAACTTCTATTCCGATCTCTTCGCAAATCCCAATTTCAATCCGCAAAAGATGCAAAAAGCAAAGCGAGACCCAGATGCACAGGCACTCGAAACATATATCGAATCCTTGGCCCCGGGGTTTCGTCGCACGATCGGGAATGAGCATCTGACGGATGGAATGTTTCCCAAACTTGGCACTCGGTTGAGATTCAAGGGCCCTCATCCGTCTTGCCAATGTTTTATTCATAGAATTCCTTCCTCTGAAGGCGTGGATTGTAACGTCAATATAGAGATTGATTGGATCCGCGAACAATACGAGAGAAGAAGAGACAAGGTTTCTGAATAAAGCGGAAGTGGCCGCTGTCTTCCTCACCAATTGCAACTTTTTCCACGATTGGTCATTGCTCGACTACATCCACCGATTTCGCGTTGCAGGCGCTCTCAAATCTTCTCGGTGACATTCTGTAGTGTCAATAGAAATATTCTGGTGATCTGAATTCTAAGTAATACTAGTCCACACTGCCTAGATATGAGTGAAATGACTAAATAACTTTCATATTGATGTATATCTTTAGGGGTTACATCGCTATAAATATGTCAGACCGCCCTTGAACGTGCGAGATGGTAGGTGATACCTACATGCACAACATAGGTATTCAATGAGCCCCATTCTATCTACCATTTTGGGGCTAAACGGCTGAACTCCACATGGGGCCGTTTCCCAGGGTGACCATATTGTAGACACGTGACTGTAAATGGCAGTTGCCTGATCTGTTTCAAGACTGACACCTCTAAGGAAGCAGCATAACTTCCTTTTTGATCTGATGCCGAGTATCCATCATCTGTCCGGGACTTGAAGCAGAGCTCCAGCCGCACCACTACACCATTGGGATATGCCAGCCATGTCACGTACAAGTCGACTGTGGTCTAGGAGGGAAATTGAGGGATTGATAGCGGATGGCCGGAAAATAGTCATATTTGGTGATCTGGTACTGAAGGTCGACGCGTGGATACCATATCATCCAGGCGGTGATAAATCAATATTGCACATGGTCGGTCGGGACGCGACGGACGAAATCAAAGCATTGCACTCAGAGGAAGCACAGAGACATATGCAGAAGTATGCGATAGGAAAGGTACATGGAAAATGGGAGAATTTCTTGCCTCCCATACAGGGAGGAATATTCAGAACTATGGTATCGAAGGATAACGACGAAGCTGATGATTTCAGCCCATCTGGACAATTGACACCGCAATCGCTCGTCTCCGATGCTGAAGAGACAGGAGACGAACTTCGTCTGAGGAATGTAGGCAATCATACGCCTATTTCTCAAGCTTCATCGACCGAGTCTGAACTGGAGCAGTTCAAATCTGCGGAAGCATCAAAAGCTCACGCGATATCATCAGACCTTTCAAACTATCCTCGTCTTGATCAAATGTCGCAAGACGAGGTCATCTCAAAATACCGCCAGCTCGATGAGAAACTGCAATCCGAAGGACTCTACCAATGCCCATATAGCTCCTATGCTGTTGAATTTATCCGATACTTGACCCTTTTTGCTCTCTTCTTGACATGTCTTCACTATTCTTATTATTTTCTTTCAAGCCTTTTTCTTGGGTTACTCTGGCACTTGCTTTCATTCCTCGTTCACGATGCCGGGCATCTAAGCATAACACATGGGTTCCACACGGACAGTTGTATTGGGATTTTTGTTGCAGATTTCATTGGTGGTCTTTCCGTGGGTTGGTGGAAACGGAATCACAACGTCCATCATATAACAACCAACTCGCCCGAGCACGATCCAGATATTCAGCATATGCCATTTTTCGCCATATCTTCTCGGTTCTTTGCCTCCCTGCGCTCGACCTACTACGACCGCGACATGCCTTTTGACGCTGCCTCACGGTGGTTTATCAAACACCAACATTACCTCTACTATCCCATACTTCTAATGGGTCGTTTCAACCTATACCGTCTAGCATGGATATATCTACTAGATCCAAAGCAAGCACCTCGTAAAGGCTCAGCATGGTGGCATCGCTACCTCGAAATGACCGGCCAGGTGTTTTTCTGGTACTGGTACGGCTACCGAACGCTATACCTCTCGGTCCCGACGTGGTCCTCTCGCATCGCTTTCCTATTCATCTCGCATATGGTCACTGCCCCGTTGCACGTCCAACTCACGCTGAGCCACTTTGCCATGTCGACCGTCGATGGGGGTCTTCACGAGTCATTTGCTCAGAAGATGGTGCGTACGACTATGGACGTGGATTGCCCGCCTTGGTTAGACTTCATACATGGCGGTCTCAATTTCCAAGTCGTGCACCATTTATTCCCTCGCCTCCCGAGACATAACCTGCGCCGGGCGCAAAAGTATGTCAAGGAGTTTTGCGACGATGTCGGAATCCCTTACGTGATCTTTACTTTTACGCGTGGGAACAAAGAAGTCATTAGCAGACTAGGCGAAGTCGCTGGACAATTGAGAGTGATGGAGGAATGTAGGAAAGTTGCTGCGAAGGATTTGATTGAGGGTCACCACAGCCATTGATTGCTGTTTTGCGCTTTCGAGACATATAGGTTCTAGAACCCTTCCAAGGAAGAAAGGGACTATGCGTAATATAAGGGAAATTTGATGTATGTATCATTAAATAATTGAAAAGAAATTGGCCAATAGTAAATCTGTCTAGCCTCTATATCGGCAAACCGCCGGTGCTCCGGGGCCAGATAAAGTGATTACTCGAATAAGATCTTCCCACCTGGGCACATGTTGAAAGCTTGTAACGTTGCCAGGATTTTTTATTCGACAAAGAAACCGCACTGATTGAAAGAATTAAAATGGAATACCAGATACTCAAATGCTACTCATTCAACCGCTTATGACCTTTTCCCCTTCCTTGTTTTTCTTGCTATATCGGCCGAAAGAGTTACTCCATAATTTATGGCTACCTACAACATACGATTTAGGTGGTCATTCTACACAGAAATCCCCAACAAGCCACATTTCTCTCCTTGATGAAGAAGGTGACATGTAACAATCAATTTAAATGCCACAAATGCCGAGGATATCTCCGATGTCAGATAGTAACCTCATGCCGATAGTTGCCTTTATAGGAATCTTCAGTGACGATCAATTTGATCAATGTAACACCCCTCACGACCTCAACAATTTCCTCACAGATCCAGGAACAATCTGGACAATCTCAAGGTAAAATGTCAGTTCTCAATGTGTTCATAAACTGCGAGGGGAGCTATATAGGCAATGATAGCCGCAAATTAAACAGTTTAAACAGCCTATAATCAAAATGAAGTTCTCCACACAATTTCTACTTCCTTTCTTCCTCGCTCTTGCGCCTTCAGCTTTGGCTGCTTCACCAAGCGATCTTCAAGCGCAAATCGGCCACCATGTCATTTTTTCTTACGCCGGCGTTGAGCCGCCAGCCCATCTCCTCGGGTTGATCAAGGAAGGCAAAGTCGGCGGTATCATCCTTTTTGGCGAAAATGTCGACGACAACCTCGTAGCCACAGTCGACAACCTCCAGGAAATCTACAAACAAAGTCCGTACTATTCAGGCAGTCCATTATTCATCATGACCGACCAAGAAGGCGGAAAAGTACGTCGATTGGCCGGCGGACCAGAAGAGAGCGCAAAGCAAATCGGCCAATCCGCCGATCCAGAGGCCGCAGCAACACAGATGGGCAAAGATGCCGCAACCACCCTCGAAGCATTCAAGAACAACGTCAATCTAGCACCAGTATTGGACGTGTATCGCGAGGCGGGAGACTTCGCAGATAGCGCCGAACGCTCCTTCAGCAACTCCTCCCGCGTCGTCGCAACATGCGGATCTGCATTCATCGCCGCACAGCAATCTACCAATATCATCGCATCTGCCAAGCACTTCCCCGGTCTTGGTGCCGCACACGCAGGCGAGAATACAGATATGAAGCCCGTTACTATTGACCTGACCGTCGAAGAATTGCGCAAGGTCGATATGGCGCCGTATAGGGATGCTATCGCGGCAGGTGTGGACATGGTCATGACTTCGTGGGCTATTTATCCTGCTTTGGATCCGACATATCCCTCCGGATTGAGCAAGACTATCATTCAGAATGAGTTGCGTGGAAGACTTGGTTTCAAGGGTGTTACTATTACTGATGCTATTGAGGCGGGATCGCTGGAGCCGTTTGGTGATCAGGCTACGAGGGGTTTGATGGCTGCGCAGGCTGGTGTTGATCTTTTGCTTGCGGCTAAGAGGGATGTCACGCAGGGAGAAGAGATTTATAATGCTTTGGCTGCTGCGTTGCAGGATGGGTCTTTGGATGAGGCTGCGTTTGCTGCTGCGACTGAGAGGATCTTGGAGGTTCGGAAGAAGCTTGTACTTGTTTAGATAGATGGCGGTTCTGTATTATAAGATAGATGGAAGCTGTATTGTCCAGTGTTGAATACGAACGAATTATTGATATATACAGGGCTCTGATAGGTTGAAGCTATATATATTGCTCAACTCAAGCTACATCCATATCAGACATTGACAGCTGAGGAATATCATGGGTTGCCTTGATTGTCCGACGATGTTCCATGCAATTGGGGAATTAAACCCCGGCAAGAATTCAATTACAACCGCAAGGAAGTTAGGGCAACGGCTGAGCCTTCTAAACGCTTCGTGATAAGGGGATTGGGCCAATTATGACACTGTCCAAGCCGTGCATGGGGCTCTTATGCTGATCACGATATAAGCCTCTACAGGCAGATCTCGATCTGTCTATATCAGACAATAACCAACTCAAACTAAATTACTACTTACTTGCTATAATATAAGCCTTTTAACACACACAATACCTTTTTTTTATAGATCCATCTCTTTGAATCTCCTGATCTAATCGATACAAAAACCCAATTTTGAGGCATTTCATGCCACACACACACCACTCGATAAAAATTGCACACCTCCAACAACCAGATATAACGACCAATGAGCAATTTTAGACGAAAAATAAATCCAAAAACCAAAAAAATTGACCGACGCAGGGATCGAACCTGCAATCTCTTGATTCGTAGTCAAGCGCCTTGCCATTGGGCCAGCCGGCCTGCTGTGATGGTCTTCGACAAAATGTGCGTTTTGAGCGGAAGCGAGGTTGGACCCACTTAGGCATCCATTGTTGTCACAATTGGTCTACATTTACTTTTTGATATATAAAACTACTCTAATAGTAAGGTAGATTGCTTATTTTGCTTCTGTTGGTGACTATTTCGCTGCTTTTTACACATACATTGTCAAGTCACACTAACGGGAAGCATTATATATTTTTGTGACCCGCCTCTAAATATATTATCCACTATTAGTTAAACTGATATATAACCAGTCCAACCCTATATCCAGAGCTGCACTACAGCCCCCGTGCCTGTACTAGCACCCATGCAATACGTGTGGACGCTGAGATATTTCCTAGCCAAGGTAGGCAGCCGAGCTAGGGTATGGAGTCGAATGTACCCAAAGCAGGAAGAAGTAGGCCAGCTTCCTAACCTAGTACGCTGCTACAATGGCAATTAGCGCTTTCATCCATATCCGTACATATGGATGTGATGAATCTTGGAGTCCACATAGTCTACTAGTGGCGCTAAATAGCCTGTGTGACTAGTTTAGTAACAGAGACATACATGAAAGGCAAACTTTATCACATCTTGGTATATTTGTTTGCTCCTGCAATATCACATAGGTAGCGATAGAAAATATAGCAGGGACTCAATACAGTCTGCGCTGCAATGTGAGGAGTACAAAGTACCGACATTGTTCTGATGTGATGAAGTGAACATGTGAATATTTAGCCAACATGGGCGCTTAGACCCCCACTATTCAAAGTTTTAATATTGCCATAGGGCAGCACTAAAGATACTGGGCCAGACAAAGCTACGAGTTAGGGCTTTCAAATTTTGCGATATCAAGGCTAATGGCTTAGCGAATGAGTTTCCTAGAGCTGGAAATAAGTAATGTCGACAGAGAGGAATTAAAGCATATCCATAACGCCCGTAGTGCAGCTGCAGTGATCTGTCTCACAGGAACCAGTTGGTTTCATAATAATTCCCGTGCTACTCCCTACTCCGGACAGATATCACAGCTTCAAGTCCTTTCACAAAGCTCAAAGGAGACCCACATTTGGTTAGAGCAGACTATATTGGGATTGGATAATAAGAAGGATTCAGATTAGATTGGTTCGGAGGCCACAACAATGAAAAGAATGGAGCTCCGGTCCAATGGGAGATTTCCCCTCGGACTAGGCTGATCATAAACCCGGGAGATGGATCCCGATGGTCCTTTGAATATGAAGGTACAAAAAGAAAGAATTCTCATTCTAATTGAAGTAAATTTCTGGGTTATTTTAGTTGAATGTGAGAGAAGTTGACAAGGTACAAAGTAAAAGTGTCGCCACCACGGACCAGACCGGAGTTGATTCCGCCCTGTTAAGCTCCACCTGAGATCGTTGCTCGTTATTTTCCTTTCAACCCCTCCAACTCTCTCTCTGTGTCATTCTCTTTCCATTTTCTTTACAGTCACTCTACTCAATTCAACATCTTTTATTCTCTGGAGCTCTGAGTGTACCGCAACCCCTTCAAGCCACCATCATGGGGCTGTCCAAAACAAACAGGATCTTGATCCTGTTGGTCATCGATACAGCTTTTTTCCTACTTGAACTAATCACTGGTTCGTATCTCGACAGCCTGATCGCATGCGACCGTGTGCTGACTATGGTGTCCTAGGTTATGCCGTCCACTCCCTTGCCCTTGTCGCCGATTCCTTCCACATGGTAACGCCATCTACGAAGTTCCTCTCCAGCTGAAACTAACCAGAATAGTTAAATGATGTCTTATCCCTATGCGTCGGATTATGGGCCGTGAAGGTCGCAAATCGCGAGACCAGCTCCAACACTTACACCTATGGCGTAAGTTGATGGTCATACCAGCCCCGAAGGATGATCTGACAATTGGATTTCTCTACGCAGTGGCAACGAGCGGAGACACTTGGTGCTTTGGTAAATGGTGTATTCCTAGTCGCACTGTGCATGTCGATTTTCCTGGAGGCTACTCAGCGATTGTTTGAACCCCAGGAAGTGCAAAACCCCCGATTTGTTTGCATTGTTGGCTGCTTCGGTCTAGCTTCTAATATCATTGGATTGGCACTATTCCATGACCACTCCCACGGACCCGGCGGCGGCCACGACCACGGCCATGACCACGACGATCACGATCACGATCACGATCACGATATCGAGGCTGGAGGAGAACATGATCACGATTACACACCGGTCACCGACCAGAGTGAGAGCATGGCGGGGGCTACCGCTGGCTTCGGCAGACCTGCAAGCTTGCCTCAAAACTCCCTCACCAACTCCAATACGGACTCACCCCGAAAACGCCGCGACACCCAGACTCGCGGCCCAAGAAGGTATAGTACTTCGGCAGGCTTTGTGAGCCCCGATGATATCCCCGTGCTTCCAGAGAGATTGAGACAAGGGATTATCGCGGCTAGTCAATACCGGAATGAACAGTCCTCGGATTCGGAGAATGGCCATGACGAGGATGAGATCCCATCTGAGCGTTCAGGTCTTCTGAGCCACCGCGATCGCACTACCAACTACACCGACGAGGATGGAGCTCCGACCAAGGTCCACAAGCACCGCGACGAAGATGTTCACAAATCCCACAACCACGCTCAGCCCAAGCCTAAGGACCAGAAGAAGGGCCACACCCACGACCTCAATATGCGTGGTGTCTTCCTCCATGTGATGGGAGACGCCCTCGGAAACATTGGTGTGATCGTTTCTGCGCTTGTGATCTGGTTGACTGACTACGAGTGGCGCTTTTACGTCGACCCGGGTATTTCCCTCGTTATCACACTGATTATTCTTGCATCCGCCATTCCATTGTGCAAGGCTGCCTCGCGTATCCTTCTCCAGGCCGTGCCTGCTGGCATGAGCATTGATCATATCAAAGAGGATATTGAGCGCCTCCCCGGTGTCATTGGTTCACACCACCTGCACGTTTGGCAACTCAGCGACACCAAGATTGTGGCTTCCATTCATCTTCAAGTCGACACTGAGATCAAGGGCGAAGGCTCAGAGCGGTACATGCGTCTGGCTAGACAGGTGAGACGCTGTCTCCATGCTTACGGTATCCACTCTTCGACTATCCAGCCCGAGTTCGCACCGGAAAGTGATACCGAAGACAACGGACAGCCTTCATCCTCCCGGGAGACCGATGAGAACGTTCCCAGCCGTGCTGCCAGTGTTCGCGAGGGTGACCCTCAAGCTTGCCTTCTGGAGTGCGACGAGCACTGCGCCCGAGGAGGCCAGTGTTGTCCTAAAAAGTGAACTTAATGCCTTCCTGTGGTGACTTCCCACACACTTTCGTTTCTCATTTGGCACCCCTAAACATTTCACCCCTACGGTTTTTCCTATCAGATACCCTATCTTTTATCTTCACCTGTTCGGGCAGATTCACAAAGAGTTGCCCTATCCCTCATATTAATTGTCTGGTTTTGGAAATGGTAGTCTCCCTTGGCCAGCTTTTGGGACATGCATGGCAAGGCATGCATCTGCGGACATACACCGGTATCCTTTGGACCGCATTTTCATGTATCTCTACTTATTTCTAATTCAAAACCAACCTTGGAAATCTCAAAATATCAAAATTAAAGTAGACATTCTGTTATCCCGAGGGGTTTGCAGGGTTTGCGTCTCCTCGCAGGCCCCACTTGTCCAGGAGAGCCTGAAGCTAGGCGAGTCAGCGAGTGCTGGTCGCATATAAAAGTATGAGGGTTCTTTTTGTCAGCTGAGAAGCGAGGACTTCTCGGGATTATATATTCTATCCATCTATAACTATAACTATAACTAACTAACCTTCTAACTAACGTATTTCACTACCGAGCTGGACACACCACCGAGCTGGACACCCTACCCAACCTACTAATTTTAAACGCATTTATCTCAACCAAAACACCATTAAATTAAATAAACTAAAATCATCATCTATCTGGACATGTCTCTCTTCTATGTCCTGGCTTCCTACATATTCCACACCCTCGGGGTGGCTTTGTACGCGGTTGTAAAGCCGATTCTCCAGGTATACCGGGACCGGGGGTAGGTGCTTCAACTACTTCCACCGGCTGCATAATTAATGCAGATGCTTCTTGAACTGAGAGGCCTTCTTCGGCGGGGATCTGCCTCTTAGATCTAGCTCGCTTTTGCTTCTGCTTCTCGTTAGCGGCGCGTAATTCCTTGTTTTCTTTGGCGAGTAAGATAGCACCTTGCATTGTAAGACGGAAGCCTTTCACAAGCTGGTTTAATACACGATCTGATGGGCTAGGGGGGCTTCGAGATCTTGTACGAAGTAAAGCTTTAATTAATAAAGCCTGTCGACGTAGTTCTTTCTCTGTAAAGGGGGTTTTTAGGATAAAATTCTGGCTTAAATCACTACCCTAGCTGACTAGGGGGGTAGGGGTTCGAAGCCTAATATCAAGCTTCGAAATCACTCTCTCCGGTAAGAAAGGGACTAAACCGGCTGCGCCGAAGCTGTTTTTAATAGTCTCCGATTTAAAGGCTTCAATTCGTGCGAAGGGGTATACTTCGAGGAAATCAAGTTTATCAATATAGTTTATCCCGACCCGCATTTTTGATTCAACTAGCCGGCCGTACGCACGTTTTAATACCGCAAAACAGCTAATATCGAGAGGCTGTAAAAGGTGCGATAAATGCGCTAGCATACAGATCGGGATCACCTTATTTCTCTCACAAAGTTCGTTAAATCTCGGTATTAAATAACTTCCGTGGCCGTCGAGTATCAAGAGCCGATACCCCCCCTTTATATATAAAGAAGTAGTAGGAATAAAGAGCTTTTCAAGCCAGCGAATCCTAATCTTATCAGAGGTCCATCCATTAGGACTAACCTCAAATCGCCAATCCTCCGGGAGGCCGTCGAACTAAGATTTAATAAAGACTTTACCTTTAAAAATCACACACGGAGGGAGGGCCTAACTAGAAGCATTTGTACACTCAATAATAGTCACCTATTCTCGATTTCTAGGTTATAAAAGTGCTCGCCGACCGTAGTATTCACTCCTTATTATAACCTTCGCGGTAGCTGTTAACCCCATCGCGAAACCGGTCTCGTCAAAGTTATAAACGTCGTCAGGGTCGATCCCAAATTGAAGAATGGTTTTTTGAACAAGACTAAACCACTCCCCGATAATTTTCGGGTCTTCGCATTTCGCACGCTCGTAGTTATACCGTTTCGAGAATCGGGAGGAGAGGAGAGGATATCTTTTAACGAACTTCGTAGCCCAATTTTCGCCGACCGAAAGAACCGGGGTAGTTCCGCGCTTTTCAAGAAGAAGGTTCGCCATTTCTCGTACTGTAGAAGGTCGGGGGGCTGCTCCACGAGAATCCATAGAGAGGATCCATTTTTGAAGAGATTCCTCTTCAATATCTGTAAGTTTAGACGAATTGGCGCGAGAAATTGCGCGGTTTTTTACCCCATGGAGGCGGGTAGAGAGGGTTGAATTCGGAACGTTAAATCGGCGTGCTGCCTCACGAACAGAGCTAATTTCTTGGTTTTTAAAAGCCTGAATAGCTAATAAGATCCTACCCTCTTTCTCTATTGAATTTCTAGAGCTTTGAGAGCGAATTGGGGGCATAGTGGGTGGTTGAAGAAGAAGGGTTTAACGTTTATGGGCGCGTTTGGGTGGGGTGTCCAGCTCGGTGGTGTGTCCAGCTCGGTAGTGAAATACGTTAACTAGTTAACTAGTTAGCGCTTCCTGGGCTTTACAAATTGTGACACGGCGTGACGAGCGTGCAGGAGGGCGGCAAATGTGACCTAGACCTACGCAGGGGGCGTAATAGCCAGGGTCACTTTCGGATTTAATGCAATGCATTGTGGCCTTGGTGCCTTAATTTAGCCTGAATTTGGCCAAAAACTAAATATAACGAGCTTATATTAGTAGAGTAAACAATAAGGCAGTTGTTGGGTTTTAGTTATAGACTGAAGTCAGGTATAAACCGCCGAAGAATCGTGCGATGTATGGATTTGTATAGTAGAAATACAAATATTCAGACAAGCACGGGCCCCTGTAATGGTAATTCAGGTTTCTTGATTTTAGCGGCCCTGGCCACTATGCCCTATACAGACAGGCTGGCGCTACAGGGAGTAATACTACATCACTAGGGGCTCACAAGCCTCCACCTTTCCTATTTTTGTTGTACCCTTGAAACCACTAGGAACAAACACTAGCAGATCCTGAGCGATTAGAGCGGGCGGGTAATTGGCTGGCACACTGGTGTAAATATGCCGAAATTGTCGCTCCCAAAAAGTCCTCAAATTGGGGCAAACAGACGAACTTGATATGGTTACTTTGACCTTGTTCATATGGCGTTAGGGGGAAGGGTAATCTACATTTTTCCCAAATCTCGCTCAACTATCGACGTTACTTATTACCTCACTTCGCTATATGCTTTACTTGCCGTTGAATAACAAGCAATATTGAATCATCGCATTTCATTTTCTGCCTCCTTTAAGTCATGGTTCGTAGTTCTTCATTGAAGGCAGGGAGTTATCAGCTGATAATGATGAACAGGAACGCCAGTACCTCGAATGTGATCCTCACAGCGCACCACAGTTTGCTGTGTCCAGAAACTCGAATCCCGACCTACCCTTCATCTTTATCCCGGACTCATCGAAATATCCTATCCCAGGCGGGGTCGACTTGAATTGTCTGCCCTCTGGGGTGGATACTTCTAATCGCCAGCAGCCGACTTACCCTAAACTTCTGACATTTCTCAGTAAGAGGAAAAAATGGATCCTAATCGGTGGTCTTGCTTTGCTGGCGATAGTGATTGCTGCATCCACGGCCGGCGGAATTATTGGAAAGAGGAATCAGAGTTCCTCAACCGAAAGGTATTCATGATTGAATCAATCCATTGCTTTCTGTTCCCTTGTAGATTGTACAGTATCGACTGAAATGTGCATAATCACTAATACATTACATTTTCCTGTCATGTTTAGCCCTTCTGGTACAGCTGCCACGCAAACAGCCACCTCTGGGTCCAACAATTTCAACCCGTCGCCCACCGGCGGTCGCTCAACCAACAGCGATGTCAACGATGCGTGGGCCTACAATGGTACCAGCGTCACCTCTCTCACATTCTCCACAACAAAGGATACCACAGGCACGAATTACGTCGTCTTCTACCAACATTCAAACGGGGATATCCGCCAAGTTGTCTACAACAATTCGCAGTGGCATGACTCGCAATACATTACCAATGATGCTCGAACTGGATCCCCTATTACGGCATACTGGGGAGGGGACAGCATTCGGTACAATCTCTTTTACGTGGACAAGAATAATGTACTACAAGAGACACGAGGGAATCATGCGAGTAATTCCTGGCTTAATGGTACACTAGGTCAATTAAGCGTCCTCGCCTCCGATTTTGGAGATATCTCGGTCGTCTATGTTGGGGACTGTGCAGTCGGTACTTCAGCGTGGCTTTTATACAGCGCCCCAGCTGGTGATCAAATGGGCATCCTGTACTGGGACCAAGCAACTGATACATGGAGCCATAAGGAGCTCATCGCAGATGTGAAAACTAATGCAGGTTTCGCTGGTCACGCTGACATTGGCGTGTGGAGGTATTATTACGTTCAGCAGTCGACGTCACAACTGAAGGAGCAAGTGTGTCCTGATTGTTGTTCGAACTCAAGTTCTATTGGGTGGAGATCTGGTGAGTTCAGTTTCCTATTTATTAACATTTCATTACCGTTCTAACAAAATGTCTTTTTGCAGATCTTACTGGGCCAACTGTCAACTCTGAATCAGGACTCTCTGTATCTGGAGTGGGCCTTCCCAGGTTGATATACTACGGTGATGAAAATGGCTCCATTCGAGAGCTAAACAATTCATATCAGTATCCGAATGAAGCCTATATCGCGGATGTCTCGTCGCATGCGGACGGAGGAAATACTGGTACACCAGTCTTTGGAAATATGACCGCCAGTACACCATCTGGCATGGTTGTGGCAACCGGAATCTCGAACGGGAAGTTTAGCATGTCTCCTGGGTTTCGAGGCAAAGTGCAGCAAATGTGGCTGTTCTACCAGGCTTCAGGACACGATCTCACCGTGCAGGTTCGAGACTCCGATGCCGCTGGTAACTGGACTGAACCGTCAGAGATTCCGGTCGGATTGAATTGATTGTATTGACTTCTATCAATAAACCAAATGTGTATCTAGGTTCTATGTATTCTATACTTTCTTGGTATGAAATAGCTTGCTATATTTTATGTGTAGTCGAATAATTTGACGAAGATTTGTTTGTGAGAAGAGCTATTATCATTGCGTCTGCACCAAATAACTATATCCAGAATGGCTATTATGAAAGGAATAAAGCAAGGACACGTTGCAGATCTTTCTCCGATGTACTTGGTCAGTAAGGCTCCCATTCCAGCCTTCTTTCCAGGAAGAAACTTTCCACCGGGAGTCCCCTCCAAACTTTCTTGCCGTTTTCCTTCTTGAAAAATTCAGGCTTGAAGTCGCTGACTTCGGCCCAAGCTTTGATCAGGCGACGCCAGTAGCAAACTTCGGCCGCCTCAGTCAGATAATGCTCCCGAAAAGTCTTCACGTTGTTGTTCGCTATACGCTGGGCATCATCATCGTGTGTTTGCAGCCAGTTGATCTTTTCCTGAAGATCTGAGAAGTCGCGCTTGACTGTGACAAAATTCTGATCAGGTCCTGAAGACCGCATGAGTGGATGTTGATGTTGTATCCAGGCCATCTCATGGGCTATGATCACGCTCCTGCAACTTTGCAAGTATTTCAGGCGACCAGAGTATGAGTTACCCTCAGTATGAGCCAGGTATTTGTACTCGCAATGTTCAGACATTGATTTGAGATCGCTAGTCATGCTTTCGTGATCTTTCCAATTCAAAGCTTTGACGTCGGCCCACGGTTGACTCGATGCAACTTCTATCAGCTTCTCCCGTAATTCCAATCCCATTGTTGCACCACGCCATAGGACCTTCTGGACTTTCTTAGGCCATGATAGACCTCCGGCGTCTTCGGCCCATTCGGCTTTCATCACAACTTCTTTCATCGAACCGGCTTTAGTCTCCGGCCAGGACCAATATCCAAAGTCGGGAATAAGCCAAATATTTGAGTCTTCTTCCTGGCGAGCATATCCCCAGAGAGCAACTGGTTCAATTCGATCGTCTGAATTGAAGGCGAATTCAATATTGGGAACTTTTTCGGGCGATGATATAAGAGCTCGATGCAAGGAATGAAGAGTAGCAATTTCACGAGAGTAGATGTGGCCTTCTGTTGCAATCACGTAAAGCTGGGGGAAGATGCAGTTTTAGAAAATTTCTCAAAGCCGTAAGCCGAAAGGGGCGGGATGTCCATTAGCTTACCTGCTGGTCGTATATCATTGCTCGGATATACCCGTTTCTGGGTGTAATCGAGTCGATCTCCTTCAAGGTTATCGGGCGGGATTGACGGTCGCGCTTTGCTCGTTCGATTTCATCGAAGAGCGCTGGAAATGCTTGCGCGCACTCGTCGTGGTTAAGCAGCAAGTTATCCTTGTCCCGTTAGTAATCCCATGTCCCGTTGAATAGGCCGCCATAATAAAGCGTTCGCGTTGGCACATTGTCCACAGTTCGAACGATATCTGGTTGTCGGTACCAGACGAACACAGCCAGGATAAGGATGGGGGTCAGAATCACAACGATGCGGCGTTTGGTGGTCGCCATGAAGGCTTCGAAGTACCGAAGGTACGGTTCCACGAAACGAGACATCCAACAAGTAAGAGTACTATCTAGAGAAACTGAAAAAAGTGACAAGCCGGGCTCACGCGGCGGTGGTGACGAGAGTTTATCTCGTCTCCTGAGCAGGAAAACCGCAGTGACAAGGATCCAATATTACCTATTAGATAACAAACATGTAACGTATTGTAAGCCTAGTTTAAATCGGTTTCGCTGAGCTAGCGCTCGCCCTAATCTCGCTTTAGGAGTCATATACGTATACTAGCCACCTGCATGCTTTATATCCCGATAATCTATAAATAGTACGATTAGAAAACATTATTCTATATAGAGCTAGAAATAGGAATATAGGACTTTATTATTATCGACTATCACACTCTATTTAGACCTGGCAGAGACCCGCGGGTGACCCTCACGACCCTCGGACCGCCCCGCCACTAGGGTGGTCCGAGTGTCCGACCCCGAGGGTCGTCAAACAATACAAACAAGCAAATTTTGTGATGAAAATAACTTTTAACGCTTTGATTTAATCTCATTACTCGCTGATAGTAACTGATAAGCATTTTTAGTATCATATATCAGTTTAAAATAAGTCGAGAACTTGCATTGTTATAGTATCGAAAAATACATCGCTAAACTCTAGAAATATATATATCTCAGCCACTGATTTATTAAGATCCCCTAAACCCTAGTAAGTGGCTAGATATCATATAAAAGGCATTAAGCTAGAAGGAAAGACTCATACGGACAACCGTCCACGGGTTGTTGAAATATCATAATGTAATTTATCGCTTTGACTACAGTCATATTTCATGAGTATATGTATTTACACCCAGGTACTTCTATTTTCTGCCGGAAGAAATTTGCATCCACCCACATTTCATCTAGCTACGCTACGCGGGTGGGGTCTATATCAGCAGTAATCAAAAGGCGGTATAGCCAAGGCGGTCAACAATGGAAGTATGGGGTGCAAATACTCGTGAAATGCCACTATATGTGTTCTGGTGTGCGCATCTCGGTGGTTTGCGCAGCTCGGTAGTGAAATACGTTACAGCGTAGCTAGTATTATCGTTGATCCAATAGAAACCATGCGATCTTTACAGAATCTCAATTCTTGACAAGGATCCCACACGTGACCGCCGTTGATCGACACATCTCGACCCCGAAGCTTAACTTGTTGCCTGTTAAACCCCTGTCTTCAAATTGAACAACATGTTATGAAATTTTTCTTTTCTTGATTTCATTCATTCATTCATTTGTTCTTTTCAGTCATATGCCAAGAGCATGACCAGTCATTCCTTTCATTGAACATTCGCCCCGTCTTGTCCGGGGTCAAGCCACCCTGTCACCCTACTTAGTCTTGCTGTCAAGCTAAGCCAAACATGACGTTCGCCTATCCACGCAACACAGGTGCTTCCATTCCATTCTCCAACCCGAAACAGCCCTTGCGATCGCAAAATATTCTCAGTCGCGCGTGGGACTCCATTCCCCCAGCAGCAAAACAATGGCTTCCTGGGAGTGGCAGCCGGGGAATTGGGAGAAACCAGGAGGGTGAGGGGATTAAGACAGCCGCAATGAACATTGTCAAACGCATCTTCACGATACCTAATGCCATTATATTACTATGGATGTTCTCGATTCGGTGGGGCGAACGGACGGTATTTGAGGACAGCATCAAGAGATGCCTTTGGGACAATTGGGAGGACTGGGTAAGTTGACAGTGGCATGCTGTCGCAATTATGTTCCCTTGTCTTAGCTGGTACTAACGATTGAATGTCTCTAGCCACAAGGCGCCACACCACACCATATTGCTTTTATCGCCGATCCCCAACTCGTTGATCCCCACACTTATCCCGGTCGACCATGGCCTGTGTCGACGTTGACTGTCAAATACACCGACCAATATATGCGACGGTCATTTTCATTGATACAGGATCATCTTGAGCCGGACTCAGTGCTGTTTCTTGGCGACCTTTTCGACGGCGGCAGAGAATGGGCCACGGCTACCAGTAGCAGTCCTGAAGCGCAGTGGAAGAAGTATAAGGACTCCTTTTGGAAGAAGGAGTACATGCGATTTGTTAAGATATTCGTGGATCCGTGGGTGAAATTAGTGACGCCACCTGTCGATGGGCGAGGACGCAGAATGATTGCTAGTCTACCTGGAAATCATGATCTTGGGTTCGGTAATGGCATCCAAGAACCTGTCCGTGATCGATTCGAATCCTTCTTTGGAAACCCAAACCGTGTTGATGTTATTGGGAATCATACTTTCGTTTCAGTGGACACTCCCTCTCTGAGCGCGATGGATCAGCCCGATCCATTGACGGGCAGCTCTCCGACAGCTGGCGAGCAAAGCGGTCCTCAACGCCCGATCTGGAAAGATGCAGATGACTTCCTGGATAAGATGGCTATCCACAAGGCGAAGGCGGAAACGGAGGAGCTGCGGATGCTCCAAAACCAGACCGAGGGCCTTAATGTGTTTGATTATCGTGTCGTTGACGCCATCGAACCTGTCATCCATGAAAAGCCTCAGCCAGCCGGCGTCGGATTTCCTACTGTTATCCTCACACATGTCCCTCTGTACCGCAAGCCAGCCACTCCATGTGGTCCTCTTCGCGAACGCTACCCGCCATCTTCATCGGACGAGGAACTGGCAGAGGACGAGCCTAACTCTCTGAGAATTGCGGGAGGTTATCAGTACCAGAATGTCCTAACGCAAACCGTTTCCACCGAATTGGTTTCCAAAGCAGGACCCAATGTCGTCCAGGTGTATTCCGGCGACGACCATGACTACTGTGAAGTGTCCCATCGGGAATTCAATGGCTCGCCCAACGAAATCACAGTGAAAAGCATTTCCTGGGCGATGGGAGTCCGCCACCCGGGCTTTGTACTCACCAGTCTATGGAATCCTATCGACCCAAAGACAGGCAAAGCCCTCCAAGACGGCACACCACCCACCATTCAGAACCACCTCTGTATCCTTCCAGACCAGCTGGGAGTCTTCTTCTATTACCTTACTATTTTGGGCCTCAGCGTCTTCATCCTCTTGCTCCGTTCCATCTACCGCATCCTTTACACCCCAGAACCATCCCCCTCTGGCACCCTTCTCCCCCTCACCGAGCGCCGTCCTCTCCCACACCAGCACCACACCTCCGGTGCGTCTAGCTCTACCCTCTCATCGGTGGGTGGCTTAGCCAGCCGTAATGGCATGACAGCCTCCACCCGCTACCCCGGTACTCAATCCCCGCAAGATGCTTATCGGGGTACAGACGATCACTTTGAAGCCGTTGCCTCAAAGGACAAGGCTGCATGGCGCCCCGCCTCGGCTACCCGCTCCCGATCGACGGTGTCACTCATCGTCCGGGATCTGTACCATTTCGTCAAATTTGTGGCGCAAGTAGTGCTGACTGTGTATTTCATCCTGATCTGGCGCTGGTAGCTAGTCCGATTTTTTTTTTTTTTTTTCTTCAGCGAGCATAAACAAAATAGACAAGCATTTTGCGGGAGCCTGCCGGATTGTGGCGTAGTTCTAGTTTTTGCTGTATCGTGTGACAATGGCCTGTTGCCATCAACTAGGAGATAATAATAGGACAAAAAGTCGAATGGGCTAAGGTCAAGGCTCTCTTAGTTCCTTGGCTGTACGCCACTCGGCGAAAAACACATGACCGGCACGTTTTTCTGACAAACAGTCCCCCGTGTCCGACTTGGCCAGACACGGGTTGTCTCCGACGATTCACCGGGGAATGATTAGCGTCGGGCAAAAACTCCCAGGTACGGGTTGTCTGTCCAATCCGCTTCTCGGGAAAAATAGCGCATTGGACGGGACTAGCCTAACTTTGTCTTGTATTTCCCCAGTAATTTCAGGAAAAGTGAAACTTCGGAACGGGGAAATTAGTGTTTTCACTCTTTTTCTCAATTCGGCTCCGGTGAACACTGACCGGTTCATAAACATCTGTCTGGTTGGTTCTGGAAATCTCGCGGTACGGAGTACCTGGGGAAACTCGGGACTGGAGTGAGGGGGAAGATGGGGGAATTTTAGTTCAAACCATACGATCTACAGTCTACGGAGTAAATTTTATTATATTTCACCGTATGTGCGTCATCTAATATAATACACTTCAATTATTATACTCCATAACAAGAATAAAACAATTCTAAATGTCATAAAAACTGTGAAAAAAATCAAGGCCCGTTGCCTGTTGCCTTTTCTCCCGATCCGGGACGGTACCGATCGGCATTGGCTCAACTCGGTCCCCCGTTTTCGGGTCTTGTCATGTGGCATGCAAGGGCTATTTTTGTCCCCCACGCCGCATTGCACGAGGTATTCTATTGATGATATGATGCAAGACTATTTACATTACCACCCTTACTATGTAAATTCATTAATATTGTCTATGAGTGCAAGACAAGTCTCACAGTAAGGTTCATAGAAGAGAAGGAGAAAAAAAAACAAACTCGGCTCGGTGTCGAGTCAATTTCCTGCGTTGGCCAATGACTATCTCGGCTCAACTCCGGGGGCTGAGTCCACTAAACCCCATTGGTCTCTCCACTTTCGGCTGAAACCCTATCCCCAGGCCTAAAACATCCAGATGTCCGTAAGAAATGGGGAATGCTATTGGATTGGATGCCCTCCGGTAATGAACTTTTCGCCTTCCAGGGTTCGCTTCCACCCCCCCGCACTTGCTGTTTTCGGGGTTTGTTGACTGAAAATTTCTGGGGCGGCCATGTGGTTGAGGATGTTTGGGGGAAGTACAAATAGAGGTTGGCCTCCAGGTTTTTCTTTCTTTTCTTTGTTATTCTACTCCACTTACTCTACTTCCTACTTTTCTCTCCTATACTCTTCTATACTCTCATCTTCTCTACTTCATACATATACACCTACTTCGATTGAACTCCCTTTCTGTATACACTCACAATGGGCTTCGCTTTGAAGAGGCCAGATGATGCCGTGGGCTCTGCTGCCCCGGCTATCATGATCGGATTGTTTGTTGCCTTCGGTGGTGTTCTCTTTGGGTATGTACCGCTCTAAGTTCTATACTCCTATTCTCAAAGACACGTCTAACAGTCATCTAGATATGACACAGGTACCATCAGTGGTATCCTCGCCATGAAGAAGTGGCGAGAGATGTTCTCAACTGGTTACATCAACGAGATCGATCACTTCCCCGATGTCACATCCTCACAATCATCAATGATCGTCTCTCTCCTCTCTGCAGGAACTTTCTTCGGTGCCCTCGGCGCCGCCCCTATTGCTGATAAGTTTGGCCGACGTATCGCCATGATCCTGGACACCTTTGTGTTCGTCGTCGGTGTCATCCTTCAAACTATCTCTACCTCCATCCCCCTCTTCGTGGCTGGCCGCTTCTTCGCTGGTCTGGGTGTCGGTCTCCTCTCTGCAACCATCCCCCTCTACCAATCTGAGACTGCCCCCAAATGGATTCGTGGTACAGTCGTCGGCGCCTACCAACTCGCCATCACATTTGGTCTCCTCCTCGCTGCCATCGTCAACAACGCCACTAAGGATCGCACTGACACTGGCTGCTACCGAATCCCCATCGCCGTCCAGTTCGCCTGGGCCATCATCCTCGTCGTCGGCATGCTTGTCCTCCCTGAGACCCCCCGTTTCCTGATCAAGCAAGACCGCTACGAAGAAGCTAGCAAGGCCCTCGCTCGTGTCCGCCGCATGGATGTGAACGACCCCGCCGTTGTTGCCGAACTTGCTGAAATCCAGGCCAACCACGAGTACGAAATGAGTCTCGGAAAGGCTACCTACCTCGAGATTTGCCGCGGCTCCCTTGGCAAGCGTCTAGCGACCGGCTGCGCTGTTCAGGGTCTGCAACAGCTCGCTGGTGTCAACTTCATCTGTTCGTTCCATCCTCCCCAACCCACCCATTCTACACATCACTAACCAACTACCACAGTCTACTACGGCACAACCTTCTTCCAAAACTCCGGCATCAAAAACTCCTTCACAATCACCCTCATCACCAACATCATCAACGTCGTCTCCACCTTCCCAGGTCTCTACATGGTCGAGAAGTGGGGTCGTCGCCCTCTTCTCATGTTCGGTGCCGTCGGAATGTGCGTCTCGCAACTGATCGTCGCAATCGTGGGCACAGCCGTCAACAACGATGCCTCGAACAAAGTCCTCATCGCCTTCGTGTGCATCTACATCTTCTTCTTCGCCAGTTCCTGGGGTCCTGTTGCCTGGGTCGTGACTGGTGAATTGTTCCCCCTCAAGGCTCGTGCCAAGTGTCTGTCCATCACCACCGCCACCAACTGGCTGCTCAACTGGGCTATTGCCTACGCTACACCATACATGGTGAACAGCGGTCCTGGAAATGCCAATCTCCAGTCCAAGGTGTTCTTCATCTGGGGTGGATTCTGCTTTATTTGCGGTGTGTTTGTTTACACCTGCATTTATGAGACTAAGGGTCTTTCCCTTGAGCAGGTTGATGAGCTCTATGCTAAGGTTCCCCGTGCCTGGAACTCTGTTGGCTGGGTTCCCTCGCTGAATTACACCGAGGAGCTTGAGATGGACGGAGAGAAGAGAGTTGAGGGTGCTACGCATCTTGAGAGCGTCGGCACTAAGACTGAGGTTTAATTCCCATGTTTTAGTATATCTTACGATTTCCTTTCTATTTTTTGATTGTTGCGGACAATTGTTCTGCTTTCAGCGTGGCTCTTACATCGATGGCTCTATGTGCTAGATTCTTTATTGTGATATCTATGATACTGTGCATTAACTAGAATATGATTTTATTTCAATATGCTATGCAATTCTCTATTCGTAAATCCAAGATGAGAAATGCCAATAAATATTTAGACACGTAGAATATTCTAGAGCATAACGTATTTCATTAGTGACCTTCGCAGTGGGTGGACACCCAAAATGCCTCCATCAATGGAAGTGGTCAGTTCCATTGCTGGATGCGAAGAGGGAATAGGCAAACAAGAGGGGTCACATGATTTTGATTTAACGCCTCTTTTACCGTAAGCTGACATTCCGCGAAGCCATTTCACATATTCGGCCAAAATTAGGAAGTACCGACCTCATATCTCGGCATCCTGACCATTTCGCCGAGTGAGACCGGCAAGTGGACGGATTAATTACTAGCGTTTCATGACTCTATTCCAAATGCCCAAACAAATGTTCACTGTCGCACTTTCTAATACCAAGCACATCGACGTCGACTATGGCATATTTTCGTACTCGCAGATCATGCAGCAAACTAACCAACTATCTCACACGCGGCATCAATGCAACAGAGCCAATAATCGCTCGTCAGATTAAGCATCTTCCACGGATAGGCCAAATGGCAGCTTACCATGGTATACTATTCTTTACACATTATACCTCTACCATACTCATATATCACATAGTGCTACCACAAATAAAAACCAAGCCGAGATTACAAATAATGCCACTAGGCGGCTCAGTAACCTACGGCTCCGGATCCACCGATGGCAACGGGTATAGAAGAACCCTCCAAGAGACCCTGATCTTAGACGGCTATACTGTGGAAATGGTCGGCTCTCGCAAAGCCGGTTCAATGGAAAACAACTCCAATGAAGGCTGGCGAGGCTTCCGAATCGACCAAGTCACCAATAAAGCAAAAACATCCGTTCCTAGATTCCTTCCAAACCTCTTTACAGTCAATGTCGGTTCAAATGATTGCATCCAGGACTATCAAATTGAGACTGCTGGCGAGCGTATGAGTGATATGCTTGAATATCAATGGACGATGTCACGTTCGACGGTTGTTCTTTCGACTCTTCTTCCGAATTTGGATAGGGAGGTTGAAGACCGGGTTCGATGTGTTAATGAGCAATTTAGGGAATTGGTGAAGGTTAAGGAAGCTGATGGGAGGAGAATTGTTCTTGTGGATATGCATGGGGCTGATGGGCCTCGGATTGGGGATTTGGTTGATGGGACGCATCCTAATGATGTGGGATATAAGAAGATGGCGATGATTTGGCGAAGAGGGATTCATGAGGCTATACGTAAGGGTTTTATTCAGGAGCCGCAATAAGATTGGGTTCGCGGAGATTTTTGGGGTTTGTTCGCCGGCTGCAATGTGTACCTATAATATACATCGGCAAATAGTTGTTTAATCTGTTCTATATAGGACTAAATAGTGTGGCCATCAAGTATGGTCATGGTCATCTAACTAAAACTATTAATCTTGGCAACTCTTAGTCAGCATCTGAGATCGCCTGGTGAGGTCCCGAGATCGCCACCTGCATTTCGCCAGGCAATGTGGAAAACTTCCTTAAATTCATACAATGAAGGAAATTTAAATTCAGATACCGTCCTGGATCTTATAGAGTCTGTCGTCATATATCAAGATCCTCTTCCATTCAGTTGAATTGCCGATATAAGTATATCGTGTGCTTGGCTCATCCTCTGAGTCAGGCCTGCTTTGAATATGTCCTATGACAATCCTTACGACTGTATGTTTAATATCTTTGTTTTTCTTAATCACTTAACTTATTCTAAGTAGCGACTAGCCCATTCGCTCTTTCGGATTCTCGGAACGAGCTTGATCTGTTGACATTATTTCCTGACGCCTCGGGAAACATCGATGTCACGCCGAATCATCTTTCTTTCGCAGACGGCGTTCTTCAATGGCCTTCTTTTGACAAGGATGTCGTGGAATATGATGTCCCTGATATACCAGAGGCCGGTGTAAATCCAATGCTAGATGAAAACTATCTAGACTGGATAACACAACCAGGCAATGACGCCGATTCATCAACAAGGGCCGAAACCTACGGTGGCGAGAATGATCAACCTGATAGTTCGCATGGCCCACCTCTGCATGATTCTGTGTCAGACCAGGCTAGTGGACCATACGGACTCTTATCCCTCAACGAAAAGCCATTATCCACAATGAGGAACAATGGCTACAGTCCGTCTGCAAACCAACAGCTACCTTTCAATGGAGCCCCACAGGAGCTGAGAAATAAACGTGACCGAGGTCTTCCAAGACGTAGAAGCAGATATAATATTCAAACGATTGGTGGAGCGACTACCCCTGTCTTCATTCCGACAAATACAACCCCCTCGGATCCTCTCATACGGTGGCAGCAGTCCCCTCCTGAAGATGAACCTGCTTCTCTGTCTGCGATCAAGGACGCAGTTCAGAGTTCATATAACAACAGCTCACTGAACGGAGACCGTACATTCCTTGATGGTGGATCAGGATTCTCTGACGACCGCATTGCCAACCCTTTCCAAGCATATCGTCGGACCCGCTCTCGTCCTGGTTCGACAACGAGCGGTGGAAGCACTGCTAGTGCTTCATCCCAGCAATCAGTTACGTCGGGAGTATCAAATGGAAGCCGCAACTCAACGCAGAAGGAGACCAATGGCCGAATCTCAACCGCGGTCAAGAAATCACAAAGCAAAAGAAGAACTAGACAGCCGGCTGCAAGTAAGCCGCGTTTATTTTGCTGTACCTTCTGCTGTGATCGATTCAAGACTAAATACGATTGGGCGCGACACGAAAAATCGCTTCACTTGAATTTGGAAAACTGGGTCTGCGCACCATTCGGAGGATCCGTGATATCACCATCAACGGGCCGTGCGCATTGCGTTTATTGCAACAAACTGGACCCTTCGCCAGAACATCTTGATGAACACAAGCATGGAACTTGCATGAAGAGTCAATCACGCACCTTTCGGCGAAAAGACCATCTCATCCAGCACCTTCGTCGTTTCCACTGTCTTGATAATATTCCGTTGGTCGACGACTGGAAGATTGGTCTCACTGATTTCATGTCACGCTGTGGATTTTGTGATGCTCAAATTACTAGCTGGGAGGAACGAGCTGATCACCTGGCCCTCCATTTCCGTCATGGCTTGACTATGGCTGACTGGAAAGGCGACCATGGCTTTCCTCCTTGGATTGCAGAGCAGGTAACTCACAGCGTACCTCCGTACCTAATTCAACTTGAATCGGACACACTGGTGCCTTTCTCTGCTACCAACGGACAAGTCCAAGATCATCTTTCCCAGATGCTCTCGCGGGCGACATTCAACAATGAATCGGGTGACCATGATAATGATACCCGGCCTCATGAAGAACAACCGGATATGACGTCTTTATTAAGTGAATTCAAAACACAAAATCTCTCTTTGGATTCATACACACAGGTCCTGACACTACATCTGAGCCATTTTGCCCAGCAGCAGATGGCTCTTGGGGTTGTTCCATCAGACGAAATGTTTCAACTGGAGGCACGCCGTCTCCTTTTCGATTCCGATGACCCTTGGAATCAGACTATTGCAGATCACCCGGAATGGTTAGCTACATTTCGGGCTGATCAAGGGAAGAATTGACCTGTCGGATTATCTTGAACATGCACCCTACTAGTGAGAAATATGATACCCGGAAGAGACCTACAATGCAATCTAAAACACTGCTTCACTGAATTACCCAATTTGCTCTTATTCGACTAAATCTATTCTTTCTCAGACACTACAGTTGCCCATTCGTGCTCGATGCGACCGTACATGATATCACCGAGCCAACCCTTCATCTTCCCAGTAATCTCCCCAGGTCCATCGACTTGCCCCATGGGGATATCGATACCATGTTCTCTGTGTCGAATGTGCGAAATAGGGGTAATAAACCACTGGAAACATATGAGCATCTGAAATCCAACCAAACCCTAACAATGGACAGCAACTTACCGCAGTTCCGGCAGCAAACGACTCCAAAAGTCGGTTCTCCTTGGAAGCCTCCAACACTTCACCAATCGTGAACTTGCGCTCTGTAATTTCAAGTTCATCCCCAAGTCGCTCTTTCGCCAATTCAATGCAACTCCAACGAGTGATCCCATCCAAAATAAGATGATCATCCAACGGCGCAGTAATCATCTCCTTCCTCCCATCCCTCCTCCGCCAAACCAAAAAGAAATTACTCCCCCCAGCCTCCGTACACTGCCCCTCATCACCATACAACCAAAGGACCTGATGAAAACCCCTACTCACCGCATCCTGCGTAGCAAGCACAGAAGGCCCATAATTCGCCCCAACCTTAGCAAACCCAAACCCACCAACCCAAGAACGCACCATATCCTGCGGCGAAGTGAGCAATCGCTTCCCACCATGCATCATATCCAACCGCGGCATATATCCAACAATAATATACAGCAAAGCTTCACTGGGCTTCTGGACACCGAGCTGCGAGTTCGACCCGATAATAGTCGGCCGGATGTAAAGGAAGTCTCCGGCGCGCTGCTTCGGCAACCATTTCCCCGCGTCGACGTGCAGTAGAGCGAGAATCAGTTTCTCTAGTTCCTCGCCGGGAGGTGGGGGGAGGGAGATGCGTTCTGCGGACATTTGGAGACGGATACCGTTGCGGTCTGGGCGGAAGAGGCGGAGTTTGCCGTCGTCGCCGCGGTAGGCTTTTAGGCCTTCGAAACATTCGTGCGCGTAGTGGAGGCAGGATGCTGTTGGGTAGAGGGATAGGGGGCCGTAGGGTTTGAGTTCTGGCGCTGACCATCCGGTGGAGTTTTGCCACTGGGCGGTTATCATGTGGTCGGTGCAAATTGTGTCTTTGCTTTTGGTTGCTTCGTCCGGTACATCGCGTGGATTGGTGGTGTAAGTGTAGGTTAGCTTTGAGGCGTCCAAGGGCTGGACCTGGGGTGAGGTAGAAGAGGACATTTTTGAGATGATATATAGTAGTGATTAGTAGAGGGTTTCATTATTTATATTCTATTATAAGGCCGGACTAGATTTGGATCTGTTGTAAGGCGTAGGGCGTGCACAATATAAGGCGCTTTGGCACGCCCTACAACATATAGACCCACCAAGGGCCCCACATTAATTGGCATTGTTCAAAGATTGGAGAGAGAGATTTAGGAGATATCGGTAATTTCGAAGTTGTTTTATGCTAGGGGTAGGAAAGAACGGCTATACTGTTCTTCCTAGGGCTGCCTGCCATACTGGGATAGAAGCCCCGAACAGAAAATAGCCATTGAAACTGTAACTACTACTAAAGAAAGGCTAGATACAAACAGGTAATTTGTCTACTACGCTCCTTGCAACCAATCAAGTTTTTATCATGCGGATGTGGCAGTAGTGTAGTAGTGGCAACAAGTGGATATCATTCAACTAGCTTTTAACAACCAGCAGAGTAGATTCTTCCCGCAAGGCTATCAATATGTTCTTCATCCGTACCACAGCAACCCCCTACCACTTTCAGTTCCGGCAACATCTTCAAAATACCAATAGTCTCTTGAACCCAAACCGAGATATCACCCCGATCCAGCACCAGCGAATTATCAAGCTCATCATGACTCTTAAGACTAGCATTCCCTCGAATCGACCCAATCCTCGACCTCACATCCTCAGACAGATCGCGTAAAGCCATAATGATATGACGAGGATGCGCACAATTCACCCCGAAATAAGTTGTATAATTCGCCGTCACACGATCAACTTCCCGAATCACCTCATCAAGCGATCTCCCCCCTCGCAACCGTCCATCCGTCTCAATACTGAACGAGACATGAATCGGGAGATTGAACTCACGCGCCACGCTCACTGCTGCGGTAGCCTCGTTGAGGTTCGTCACAGTCATGATCGATATCATATCTACACCTTCGGCAAGAACCTGAACTTGAGCGCGATAATTTTCCTGCGCTTGAGAGAAGGAAACTGTCTCTGTGGAATCGATATAAGCGTCTTGGAGGGTTCCAAGAGTCCCACAAATGACGATTGGAGTTGAGTGAGTCTGCATCTTGGCTCTGAGATCATGGAGGATTTGAACTGCCGTGCGGTTTAGATCGAGGATCTGTGGGATGGAGAGATCGAGCTGGGAAGCCCATGCCGGGGATCCGCGCCATGTTCGTGTTTCGAGGATTATGCCGGTTGAGTGGGCTAGGGCGATGTTTACATAGTCTTTGTAGAGGGAGAGGAGTGTTTCTTTGCCTTCTTCTGTGCTGAGGAGTGGGAGAGCGGAGAAGCATGGGAGATGGATGTTCCTTTTGTAGACTAGGGTTGTTTCGAGTCCGGCTTCGGTGAGGAAGAGTTTGGAAGAGGTCAATTGGGGAAGGGTCGATGAGGCCATTTTGAGTTGAATTGTGAATTGTAGAAACTAGAGATTTGCGGGGAGAAATGGGGATGTCGGTTGACACTTAGTGTGGGGCGCTAGTGGATAGGGCGTGTCAAGTCATACCATACACGCCCTATATTATGGCACGATATTAAAGAAATGAAGATTGGACTGTGTACAATAGAAGGAATCTCTCTATACATTGAACTGCTTGTGCTAGGGTTAGAAACTTGTGAAGCATATATCCTGAAATAGGATGGATGCCTTGTTCGTCAGATTCCCAGAATATGTGCATTAATTCCGATGGAAATTGCAGAATAAAATGTATAGAACACGATCTCAGTTAGGTAAGTTGTATACCTGCTGTTCGACATAAATTCATACATGAAGCCCTGTAGGGCATGGCTGCATATCATATGACTAATCATAACTGACCCGAGGCCCCGGCGATCTCCCCAGTGGAAGATCCGGGAACTAAGTCAATTACCGCCACTAGACCTTTGTGCTTTGTGGATCATCGAGTTAAAAAGGGAATATTTCATGAGACTTGATTGGATTTCATTGGTAGTGATTACTATATTCAATGTATAAAAATTATGTAGGCAGAATCCAAACTGGTGCACTGGCGGTAATACACTGCCGACGCTTCTGACATCATCGAGTAAAGTTGACCATATTCTCTTTTCGATGGTCTTTGATCCCGTCAAATATTCTATTACATGAACAAACCTCCACCCTGCCAATCTTGAAGTCTCACTCTTGGCCACATCGGGCCAATCGCCAAGAATGGAGTCGGCAGCAGAAACTATGAGGCCCAGATCCAGTCGTCATGGGTCAATACAATCGGAGGACTGGCCTGAGGGGGTCCCCTTGTCCCCCACCCGACACCGCGAGGGGAAACATAATGGAGAAGGACGAAACGGCGGGGTTAAAATCCTGAGTTCGTGATCAAGTATAGCGCCATAAACCGCGACTAACAATGGCTCCTTGTAGGTGACGGCCGGCTTGATATAAAGATCAACGAACATCTGCCACAACTCGCAGGGCTATTAAATCGCATCCAAACGGCAACTGCACGACCAGACCTAGAGGATCTAGAGGCGAAGCCGACCCCAGAAGCAATACCAAAAGATGAGGGCAAAGACTTCGCACTGAAGCTGAACATCGTCATCCAAGTTATCGGATCTCGGGGTGATATTCAACCGTTCCTTGCGCTGGGCAAAGAGTTGAAGAAACATGGACACCGCGTACGGCTAGCAACACATCTCATTTTCCGGGAGGTTGTACTTGAGGGTGGTTTGGAATTCTTCAATATCGGTGGTGACCCCGAGGAACTGATGGCGTTTATGGTCCAAAATCCGTCCTTAATGCCCGCATTCAGCACCATTCGCAGCGGTGCCATCCAGAAACGCCGACGCGAAATGAAAGAAATCATATATGGATGTTGGAGATCATGTATTGAAACAGGTGACGGCACAGACCTACATCAAATCAAGGAGGATCTTTGGAATGACACTGTGGATTATCGTCGACGGCCATTTGTTGCTGATGCAATAATCGCCAACCCACCCAGCTTGGGACATATTCATTGCGCACAGCGGCTGGGGATTCCACTTCATATGATGTTCACGTAAGTCACTTTCAGACATGAAAATCGAGGGACGTGCTAATGGAAATCCTCTAGAATGCCTTGGTCAGCTACCCAGGCGTTTCCGCATCCTTTAGCCGTTCTCCACCAGCAAGATTGCAAGCCAACAGTTGCAAACCTCATATCCTATACCGTTGTCGATATTATGATTTGGGAGGGATTGGGAGATCTTGTTAACTCGTGGCGGAAGAGATGTCTCGCACTCGATCCCTTGGATGCGATCACAGCGCCGAGTTTGCCCCAGCGCCTCGGTGTTCCGTTCTCATATCTGTGGTATGGTATGACCCTAAGTCAGCAGATTGAACTATTCACTAACTACAGCTTGCTTCAGGTCACCGGCATTGCTGCCAAAGCCACGCGACTGGGCTGACCACATCGATATTTGCGGTTTCAGCGTCCTACCTAGAAAGTCAGATTACAAGCCTCCAAAAGAGATCGAAGATTTTCTCAACGCAGGGCCCACTCCTCTCTACGTTGGATTCGGCTCTATTGTGGTAGAAAACCAAATCAAACTCACGGAAATCGTGTTCGAGGCGATACAGAACGCCGGCCAGCGCGCAATCGTTTCGAAAGGGTGGGGAAACCTCGGAGTTGACGACGTCGATGTGCCAGATAATATCCTCATCGTCGGCAGCGTACCTCATGACTGGTTATTCCAGCACGTATCATGCGTGATTCACCACGGTGGTGCAGGCACCACTGCTGCAGGACTTGCGCTTGGACGTCCGACCATTATAGTTCCCTTCTTTGGAGACCAACAGTTCTGGGGAGGAATCGTCGCAGTGGCTGGGGCCGGGCCGGCACCTGTGCCTCATAAGCAACTGACAGTTAAGAAGTTGACTGATGCGATTGAGACAGCACTGAAGCCTGCAACGAAAGAGAAGGCACAAGAAATTGCGAATAAGATGCAGAAAGAGTCTGGGGCGCGGGATGGGGTACGCAGCTTTCATCGGCATCTTAACATGAAGACTTTACGATGCGCAATATGTCCGACTCGTCCTGCTGTATGGCATATTAAGGAAACTTCCATTGGGCTCAGTGCTTTCGCCGCAGCGGTACTGGTTGAAATGGGGGCTATCAAGCCGCAGAAAGTTGCTTTGTAGGTTGATCTTCGGCAATATCTTCCAGACCACTAACTGTCTAGAAACCGAGCATCGGAATACGACACATACCGCAATCCTGTAGGTCCTGTCAGCGCAGGAGCTCAGGTTCTAGTCGGAGCACTTGCAAACTTTGTGACCGGGATCGGCGAGGTCCCTTATGACATCTTTTCAGATTTCGTCACTGCCGGTCGTGCAATAGGTCACACTCGTTCACAGTCTAATCCCCAGTCTAATGCATCAAGACGGTTTTCATGGAGGAAACATCGCAGAAGTGAAGAGTCAGACGTGGATAGTGATGAGGAACAGTATCATGACGCCGCTGAGTATCGTGAGCCCGCTGAGTACCACGGGCCTGACCAGTGCCGAGGACTCGGCCGATCACTTAACAATGATAATGATGATGTTGATGACGGGATAAGCCTCGACACTAATGAAAACGAGACCGACAACGCGAGACATAACAAAATGAACCATAATTTACCAGCTAGCGCCGCTGGTCAGAGACAAGGCATGGTGCCGTGTGATCAGCTGGCACTGTTGAGCTATCTAGAGTCCCCCAGCGGGAAAGGTGTAATACACGAAATACGCACTCACGGAAGTCGAATGTCGAAGAAGTTATTAAAAAGTATACTCTGGCTTCCAACGGACCTGACTCTCAGCATGGCCAAGGGATTTCACAATGCGCCGAGGATGTATAACGACCCAATGCTCAAAGACACGCCGACGGTTATCGGCTTTCGGAGTGGACTTGAGGCAGCTGGAACGGTATGTCTCTTATACTCGGTGATCGAAAGATCCAACTAACCCTACAACTTTCATAGGAACTCCGAGATGGCTTTTACTATGGTATCACGGGCTTGATCACCCAGCCTCGATATGGTGCGAAGCACCAAGGAACGAAAGGAATGGTTAAGGGAATCGGGAAAGGAATTGGCGGTGTTTTCCTTAAACCACCAGCAGGTATATTTACGCTATGCGTCCCATACTCGCTCTGCTCTTTGACCGTGCGCATCTCATTCTAACTTAACTCACCTAGGTCTCTGGGGCCTCCTTGGATATCCCTTAGTTGGAATTCGCAGAAAACTTCAAAAATCGCTAGGCAGGAGCCAGGAGCTTGGTATCATGGCGTCTCGGATCGCGCAAGGTATTGAAGATATGCAGGCATCTACTCCCGACGAACGCGCGGAGGTTGTGAGAAAATGGAATCTCCTTGAAGAGGAACTTCGTGCCTCTTATTGACGAGATCTAACACCATACTGCGATCATAACTCTCTCATACTAATGGTCGCTTCATGTATCATAAGGAAGGATTGCATACATGTACATATAAGCATAATGTTAATTTTTTAATAGCGGACGAGTTCCATAAACTGGATCAAATCATGCAATTGTCCTTAAAAAATATTTTTCTATGCTCGCGAATTAGATTACTTCAGGTTCAACCCATGTGAAACAAAGCACAAAAGAATGCATATACCTCTTTCACATAGAATGGATAGATTCAATCAATCCATTATGCAGTTTAATCTAACTAGCACCTCCCCCTTCTGCCAGCAGCGCAAGTAAAGCCAAGAGAGTATTCCGCTTCCCCCTCTCACCAATTATCATACACATAGCCGTCGTGATGATCAATTCATACAGTCTCGTCTCCCTAACATCGGAAGAATGGCCATCGAGTAGCTGAGCTACCGCCGAATCGAAAACCCACAACTCGCCATATTTGCAACTCGCAAAGCTTGCTGTATACTGTCCAACGAGGATATCTTCGCTCTCATTTTCAGGAAGTCTGGCAATCAACATCAAGTGGCTGAATGGCATGATCCATTTCGCCCTTCTGGTCGAGTGTACGTCTCTCGTTCCTTCCCAGGAGAACTTGATATTGGCGTATTCGAACGTATAGCGCCGAGGACTTAACGAAACCGGAGAACGCCAGCTTAGACGGACTGCCTCTTCAGCAAGAGCTGGATGCGGTGTTGCAGAGTAAGGAGAGCTAGGGTATTCTGTTCGTGAATCCAAGCCTTGCTTCCCATCTTCCGTGATTTTTATCTTAGGAGTATCATGCACGACTTGCATATTTTCCCTTTCCGCAAATTCCATTTCCTTGCGTCTCAAATTAACCAGACGATGATATTCTTTCCCACTCTCCCCCCACACCCTCCACGAGCGGACCTTATACCCTTTCAAAGCGCGATCATCGTTGAGAGTATTGTTTGTGTTACTGCGACACTCCCATTTTACCACACCTCTAGGATCAATAACATCCTTCAGATCACCGAGCTGGATTGTCCAGTTCCGCCAAAAGGTCCCGCATTTAATTAGACAGATCGGTGTTCCGTTTTTATTTCCGCGACGGAGTGTACGTGGAGGATTGTGGAATATTAGAGTTGGGTGGTGTATGAAATAGTTGGATTCCTCGTCTTGGTCTCCAGCGGGCTTTTCGTGTTTTTTCTTATTGAATCCGAACTCCTTTTTTGGATTGATGAATGGTGTTATTGAGATGTGCCGGTCGCCTTTGTGGTAGATGTGCCATATTGATGGGTTTTGGTCAGATAGTTTCTCGTCCGTAGTTGACATATTCGGGAGAAGTGCTCATTATGGATGATTAGGTGGTTGTGTTGAGGAACTTCTAGTGTGTGACTGGTTTTGCATAATATATATTGTCTCGGGCACTCCTTTTGACGTTAAATACGAGATGCCAAGAATGAAGCGTGACAGATTTGGCCCCAATCAACGAGTTTGCATATAGCACGAAGTATGTTGTAGTGTTATGGGGGCTGTGCAGCTCCATTCTCAGTGAATCATAGCTCAATATAGTCATAAATCATAATATTACTTATCCCATAAGGCTGATGTCTAGCATTGATAATACAATTCACCCCGATATTCGAACAGATAACCCCATATCAACCTCGACCATAATAGCAATGGAAACAATCAACACCGTTAAAGTGATCTAACCAACGTCAGTTACATCTCAAAACCAAACCATTCATACTCACACAACCCAATAATATCCCCACCGAATTCAACTCCCAACCTCCCGCATGAATCCTCCCCCTAGCAATAGCACCCTGCTGCCTCCAAAACCGATACGCCCCAACCAAAGCCACAAGAATACCGACACAATAACAAGCAACAGAAAGTGGCGTGCCGACCTTCCGAAACCCAAGACGATCAGCAACCGCCTCCGCCGCCTGCAGCCGGAATAACTGCGCAATCAACACGCCCTGTTGAGTGATAACAAGGGAGGTGCGGATATACGCGAGAAACGTCCTCTCCAAAGCTGCGCCGTGTTAGTATTTTACAGATCGATGAGTCGTATACGCACCGAAGTAATCCCGACTACTCTTCTGCGGAACGGTCAGAGTAACATTATGCGTCCATAGTTGAGTGAGTTTGCCCCATGTCCCCTTTCGGGCTTGGCGCGTGGGGCGGGATGTCGTCCGACGCGTTACTATGCGGTATTCGTCGCCGGATGAGACGGATGGTGTTGAGTAGTCTAGTTCGTTGTGGGTTTGTATTTCTTGGAGTTCGTGTGTTTCGTGGGGAGAGTCGTCGTTGCTATCTTGCGGTCGGGTGTTCCGCAAAGTTACACCCGATGGTCGTCTAGGACTGGAAGTACGAGTTTGAGCTGGGGCTGTCATATTTTCATTGATATCAGCCCGGTGAGAATGGCATGGTTATGGTGGAATTCGAGCTCGCTTGGGCGGGGTGAAGCGTGAAAGCTGGTGAAAGCAGGTTCTCGGATCGAAGGGGTTTGTCCCCCGCATTTGACTGGCTAGCTCGTATATCGATAGGATTGAAGCTATTTTATAGGGCAAAGAATATACGAGTTGCAAAATATCCATGTGCTTAAATATTGTCGACCAATAATAAGCTTTTGGAAATACTTTGCATAATACATATTATATATATATATATTTTTGTACATTTTACTAAATATGTAGACTCTCTAACTTCACATTGATATTATTCTTTCTTTTCTCCGCAATGCTCAACAGTTACCCACTCATATTGCTTCTTGATAAACACCTCAGTCCCAGGAGGAGAAACAGTGTCAAACAAAGAAGCCTTCAGGAATACCATTTCAGGAGCCTTGACGGTCTTGGTAAACACCGGGCTGTGCTGGGTATCAGCTATTGCTACTGGATTGAGTGATTCCACATACCTGCCACAGCTAGAACAGAAATGACGCTGTTTGGGATTAGGATATTAGTATTGGGAAACTAATAAAGGACCTATACTTTTACCATCACAGCATTCCCACTGGTAGACTTTTTATCGTCGTATTTCTTCAATGTCGCATTTGGATCGTCGATGGTCAATTCATCCTCACAGACGAAATAGTTAACAGAGAACGCTAAGATGGCTGTAAGCGAAAGGGAATTGTTGCTAGGCTTTGGTGACTGTACTTACGGCAACCACCTGATCGCTTGCAACAATCGCTGTATTTGAATATTAGTTTAGGATGCCTCGAAATAAGGGAAATTTCCATAATTCCATACCAATGACAAATAGCTGTGGTGGAAGGTTGCTCGGGGAGAGTAATGCGAATACTCTCGCAATTGCAATGGCCTTGATATGACATATTTATCGATTTGCTTATAGAGTAGTGCTTTAAATATGAAAGCCCGTAGATCTGATTTTACAATATATTTGCTGGGTGAAAATTAGTGGAGCTCATAGGAATTGTTCCGTCATTGCCGTATACCCGCTACGTCATGATACTACATGTCTTCAAATGCTGACTTTTGTTGAAATTCTCAAGAGGGATGGTATTTATATATCGATGCCTCTTAATCGTGTCTTCGTGATTTGGGGGCTATCCTGCACATGTGGACATGTGTCTCAGTCGGGTGGGCTAGTACAACTTGTACTCCATACGGCCAGTACAAAGTACAGTTTTGTATGTTGTATATCACTTATCTCCGATACTAAGCTATCGGAAAGAGAAATTTTCCAGAACTTCCATCGTGTCCATCGGCCTGTGCATCTGCAGGGCGCATACTTTCAAGTATATCTCCGGTCCGATATCGGCCTCCTTATACTACCAACCCATGTCCCCTCTACAGAGAGGAAAAACATATAAGAGAGCCCATGAAGAACCTGAATGACCAGAAAAAAACATTCCAAATCCCAGGAATACAACACTTGAAGCATTATCATCTGTTGATTAACTATCATTTCTCTTCTTCCTAACGGACATTCAACGCCAAGGCTACCACTTCTCCACTTCTCCATACTTTCTGTCCAAACTATGGCGTCCAATACCGAGGGCCATAAAGACCACTGGTCGGAGGAAGTATGTATTCATCACAATGGATATGTGCCACAACTAACAAGTCTAGGCATACAGTGCCTCTGCATCCTTCGTGCACTCCGCGAAAATCACCGGCAAACTCCTCTCCTCTCTGGACCCCAAGCCAACAGACAAAGTCCTTGATGTAGGCTGTGGCGATGGAAAATTCACAGCGAATTTCCTTCCCGCCATAGAATCCGTCTTGGGCATTGACTCATCCGCATCTATGATCGAGTCAGCGAACAAAGACTTCGCAAGTCATAAGGCCAGCTTCCGCGTCGTGGATTGCCGGTACTTGGAGAAAGAAACCTCCATTGTGAATGGATCATGGGATAAAGTGTATGTCTCTGATTATATATGGTACATGAAGTATGTAACTCGACTTCTAACAGCTGATAGGATCTCCAACGCAGCCCTCCACTGGATCTTACGCGATGAGTCGACACGCATGTCGACCCTTCGCGCAATCCACGACTGCCTAAAGCCGGGAGGCACATATGTGTTTGAAATGGGCGGACATGGTAACGTCGCCGAGGTCAAGACGGCCCTTATCTGCGCACTGGTGCAGCATGGTATCCCTGTTGAACAAGCGAGAGAGACAAGCCCTTGGTTCTTCCCGTCTGATAAATGGATGAGAGACGCTCTGGAGGAGACTGGGTTCAAGGTTGAGAATGTCGAGCTCGAGTACCGCCCGACAAAGCTCACTACTGACGCTAAGGGTGGTTTGGCGGGATGGGTTAGACTGATGGGAGCCCAGTTCTTAGAGGTGCTTCCGGAGGAAAAGCGGGATGCTGCAGTGCGACAGATTTGCGACGTGCTCCAGGACGTTGTTACCCGTGGCGAAGATGGGAGCCAGTGGCTGGGATATGTGCGGTTGAGGGGTATTGCGAAGAAGTTCTAATGATTCGGATATTCGTTGGAAGGAATTTAGTTAGCAGATTGCTGCTTTCGTCGCTGAATGAGAACACCAAGAGGAATGTCTTCCTCGTCATAGAATTCTGCTTCCTCATCCACCCCGAAATCGCGTAGTCGTTCCCCTTCGGCGTTTCGCCAGGCTTCTTCGCCCTCGTCTGAGTCAACCCCAGAATCGGATTCGGACTCGCTATCACTTTCAGCGAATTCGTCTTTTTTGTACCGATTGTGGAATGGTTTCCGACGTTGTAGGCCTGGAGTCTGGAATCGCTTCATGTCTTCCTGTTTGCGACGATTGAAGGCATCAATCTCGTCCTGGATAGTTGCATATGTAGGCATGCTGAAATTGGTAGGCCTTGCACTGACCGGCATCGGGATTCGATCTGGATCTGGAGGTGGCCATGACACACCAGGATCTAGCAAAAGATTAGTTATCGAAAAGCTAGAATACTGACTCCTCTACACACCCTCAAAGTCATTGGTCTCGAATTCCCAGCCAGACCGACGATCAGGTGTTGCGGCTAATGGCCAGAACCAGCTGATGACCTAGAAAGATATTAGCTTACCTGTTTACGTGTCTAGAATATCATGAACAGGTATACTCACATTTGCGCTCCCGCCCATCCCTTGCTTGATGTTGGCCCAAATCCCAATGTCGTATGGATATTCTTGCTTTTTTATGTGAACTCGAATTCCTCCAGGACCCTCAAGATACCCGCCCAACACACGGGCTCGACGGACAAGAGTAGCATGTCTCTCGATTTCCCAAGTTTCAATGGTGGTCGTGTTGGATCCAAGCGCCCAAAGGCTCCTAAGTAGGAGAACAAAGAGACCGAAAACTGTGAGACTATTTACGACGAGTAGTATAAACAAGTGAATGAGTTGCCCGAATGTGGGGCCGAGATACTATTCAAATTAGCGACATGAATAGTTAAGCACTGGAGTTACTTACGCTTGGCATATGACTATTCTTCCATACAAACGAAGCACGCTGCCAGAGAAGAGTCTCGAGATAGGACATTCCAACAGTGGCATAAAATAGAAACCGCATGAAATGCGGGATCGTAAAATGTGAGACACAGTTCGAAGTCCAGGGACAATGATGATCCATTTTAGGAATGCATCTAGGAGAAAATCAGCCAAAGTATCCTCTGCATAAATTCCTCATACTACCTTTTACAGGTCTTGCAGTGGTGAGCACGAGGCGGTTTGTAAGCTTCGCATCTACGACACCATCGCTGACGACCAGCGAGTGCGGCACCTTCTTGCTCTTTGGGTTTCGGTCGCTCTTCAGCCTTGGGACGCCGGCCGGGATCTACAAAACATGTTCGGTAATAACAGATCCAGATGCACAGGGCGAATATATTGATTTTCCAAGCTTCGTCCCGTGTGAGTGGCACAGGCTCGAAGTGCAGAAAGAAGTACTGTGATGTGTAGGCGAGGAAGGCGATCAACACACTCACGGCGGGGATCGCGAGCTTGGATATTGAAAAGTCCTCTAACATTTCAGCCGTCGGGGAAACAAGGCTAAGAAGATGTAGAGGCGTGAAGTTGGAGGTGGTGTTTATCCGGCCTGGACCACCAGCGCCCCGGCCCGGAGGCGTGGCTATGCTGACTAATGGTCCCGATGTCCCGCGTAGAATGACTTGTAGGTTTGGTCCAAGCTTCTATACAATCACGATAGCTTGCTTCATGAAAGGCTTCCAATCAAGTTATAACCTTGCATGCTTCGCTTAATATAGATAGGATTCCTACAGTTCTAATTTCAGTCAAAGCCAAACTTCAACAAGGTTCATGTTAGAGGACCATATTGCCAAGACATGGTCGCCGCTATTAAGCCTGTTTATGCCTGAAGTATTAGATAACTACATAAGTCGTTCGACATCAAGTGGCTGTCTTAGAACTACTGTAGAGCCCATTATCAGAAGCATAGTCACCTATCTGGGCATGCAAATCTCATTATAAAATTCTCTCTAGGGCTAGATCTTTCATGTATAGGTAATTAGGAGAGCATAAATATGAAGTAGTTACTAAATGCTTAGTGTGTTATATCGCCATTTAAGGTGTTTGGGTCCGTATATGAGCTAAAAAATAAGTTTTTAGGGCTCGATGTCAAGTAAACAAACTAAAATATATTGCGACACCTAGAGCGACATATAACGCCCGAGCAACACAAGATTGAAACCGAAAATTTATTGCGAAAAAAATATCGTGACAACCGTAGATATTGCTCTATAATATATGTACTTTAGTGTTTTACATGGAAAAAGAGTGTTAAAGAAAACAAATGGAAAAAAGGGTCCTCACGTGACCCCACGGGCCAACGGTCACTGTTTATCGATTACCGCTTTGAGCAAACTGTTGTGGTCCGACTCTTTCTGTTCTCCATCCTCCCCCAACCCTCGATTGAGGCGCTGTTATTTGTTTTCCGAGCACTGTACAGTTTTAATTCTTTAGCGCTTTGCATTTCGGTAAGTTCTACAGCTCATTTCATATGTTCCGTTCTCAACTGAGAGCGGCTTCGGCTTCCCGACAGTGGAGCGAATTCTGACTTGATCATTGCAGGGATACCAATATTGCCGGAACTTGATACCCATTTTCAGACCACATGGTCGCCGTTTTTAATGATCTTAACGCTCGATACCCCTCCGCTACACGCCTTCAATCACAGCTATTATCTTAATTCTTTATTTGGGATAAAAAGACGACCCGCCAAGAATGGAGGCCCTGTCCCCGCGCACAACGAACCAGATGATCAAACCGAAGCTCGCCATGGATCGGAAAGCGTTCGATAAAAATGCCGTTCTTCCGAGTAACAAGCAAAAGCTTGCAACGTCCAAAAGCTACGCTGAGCCGCCGCCATCAGTAGTCTCAGAGCCGGAAGACGGTGGGGAGCGATACTCGATAGGCGCATTTTTGGGAAAAGGCGGCTTCGCTGTTTGCTATGAGGGTTCTTTGGCTCGCAATGGTCGGGTGTACGCCATGAAGGTCGTCAAGTCAGCGATGCCTCAGAAAAAGATGGAGGAGAAGGTACGCTGAGCTTCTAGATGTAGACAAACCGCTTGACAGTGCCTAAAATTTGTTGCAGTTTCGAACCGAACTACAGATCCACTCGAAAATGCGCCATCCTTTCATCGTCCAGTTCTACCGCGCCTTTGCCTTCGAATCCAGCACTTATGTCGTCCTCGAATTATGTCCCAATGGGTCAGTGATGGATATGTTTCGGAAACGACGCTGTTTCAGCTTGCCAGAAGTGCGCCGGTATATGATTCAACTTTGCGCTGCGGTAAAATACCTACACAAACGTTTCGTCGCTCATCGTGACTTGAAGATGGGAAACCTGTTCCTCGATCACAATATGAACATCAAGGTTGGGGATTTTGGTCTGGCAGCTATGATTTTGTCCGACAAGGATGCCAAGCGACGCAATACGCTATGCGGCACACCCAACTATATCGCCCCCGAAGTTTTGGACAAGAGCAAGGGTGGGCATACACAGAAAGTTGACATTTGGTCCGTGGGTGTAATACTGTAAGAACGCCGCGATATAACCACGAAATCATTGAACTAATGTGTGAATTTTAGCTTCGCCATGCTCGCCGGATGCTTACCATTTCAATCCAAAACGCAAGATGAGGTTTACAAGAAAGTTCAGAACTTGAATTATGTCTGGCCAAAGGAGTCGGAATCCGGCAACTACATCCCCGAGGAAGCGAAAGACCTAGTCAGTCGTTGTTTGAACCTAGTGGACGAGGAGCGACCAGATCCGGATGACATTGTTGAGCACCCATTCTTCAACATGTATGATGGCTGCATTCCTCGACAACTGGACCCCTCATGCCGATTCAACAAGCCACTATGGCTCAAGGACGCCTCACCTCAAGGTGATTGTGTGGTAAGTGGATACGGCTTGGACTCAGATGAGAAGCTTCGCGCCTATGTGTACCAGGTGGACGACCCCGCCCAACGATACCATTCTTGCAAAGCCGCCTTCTACTCACTCTGCGGCGTGGGACGCAAGCCTGACGGGACGTCTCGGAAATCTGTGGGGAGAAATTGCTCGAAGTCGGCCTTTTCTGAGTGTGATGTGGAGGATTCCAGAGGTCTACGACCCGTAATACCCTTGTCGCCGGATTATGTCTACCGATGGCCCCATGACCTTGAAGGAGACTGGTGTCTTTTGGAAAATTCCCGAAAGGTAATCCGCACCGAGGAGTCAATGCTTAACAGCAGTACTATGTCCCAACGGAGTGTTTCAGTTCGTCCCAACCCTATGGCAGCATCACGGACCAATGCCGCTCTTGCCGCTGCTCAACAGCGCCGAATGGAAGGCCAGAGCCATGCCGCAACGCTACGCCAGCAAGCTCGTGTACCCCCTATCTCTCCTCGGAGGGCACCCGGAATCAGCGATCCCGCTGTTTTATCCTCGAGGCCATATCGAGATATGCCACAGGCCGAGACAAAAGCCCCATCCGCTACGGACGTACCGACTGGAGGCCTGGCAGAGCGTCCTATTCGGACACGAAGACTGGTTTCTGCATCCCATGCGACGACGCTGCGTAGCAAGGACATTGATATTGCCCCGCAATTAGCCAAATCCACAAGCATGCCCTCCGGCTTGACTGTAGGCAAAACGCGCTCTCAGTCTCGTAGATTGGCAGCCGCTGACCAGGAGTTGATGCAGCCTCCCGTCCCGACCCGAGAACGGCAACCAACCGCTAGGCCGGAGGAGCGAAAGGTGATCACTCGCCAGACATCCCTACGGTCTATATCGAGAGTAGACCCCAGCGCCGGTGTCGGTCGAGAGGAAAGAAGGAGAGACAGCCCCATCGAAGAGTCCGCTCGATCTTCACTGGCACAGTCTAAATTTTCCGCTACAACTAATGGACTTGGTCGATCAGACTCCAATGGTATCGCTCGTTCTAACAGCAAGACGGCTGGCGGTAGGGCGCGCTCTAGTTTGGGGCTCAGTCCTCTATTTCACTCAGAAGATTCCACCAAGCTTCTACCCCGGACTTCGTTGACTGAAGTGAACACTGACTTGCGTCTCATGCTCACCAATCTGGTTAACCACGCACCAAGTAGGCGCAGAGGTGGAGCACGAAAACAGCCTCATGCGTATGTTATCAAATGGGTCGACTACACCAACCGTTACGGTATTGGGTATGTTCTGGATGATGGCAGCGTTGGATGTGTCTTCAAGGGAGAAAACGGACAGCCGGCGACGAGTGTTGTGGTTCGAGATGGCGAGAGACACATTCGCCGAAAAGCGCGTAGTGTCGCGGATGGCAAACAACAACCGATTTACTACTCTGAGGCTGATCAGTTGGTTCCTCGTACTGGGAATTTGGTTGAGTTCTATGAGAATCGAGACGATGACTTGCTAGGATGCCGCGGCATCCGACGAGCACTCATCCCGCCCTCACTTTTTGATGTCAAGACTTCTAAGGCAATGAGGATTCGGTCCAACACAGGGTCCGATTTGGAACGAGCAGATCTAGAGAAGGTCAAGCGGATGAAGCTTGTGGATCAGTTCGGTAAATACATGATCGGAGCCCTTGGTCGCCATGGCGACGAGGGCATCATGGACGAAGACTTGCCTGAACATAACAGTGCCCAGTTTGTCAAGTTCTACCAGCGCTTGGGTAATGTCGGAATCTGGGGTTTCGGAGACGGAGCCTTCCAGTTCAACTTCCCCGACCACACGAAGCTAGTGATCTCGCCCGGCCGCACTCGTAGCTCATCCCCCTGGATCGACTTCTACCATCTCTCGTCCTCTGCCGCTCGATTCTTCGCCGCGAAAGGCAAAATGCACCCAGCAGGATTTGACACTCGGGCCGTGGCCTCCGACGAGGCTGCCACGTTCCTTAGCATCGCCAATGGAGATTCTATCAATTCGACCGAAGACCGTATCAGGGATATTCTCGATGCGAATGCCTTCATCCAGAAAATTGCCTTTATCAAAGATACTCTCAGGGTCTGGATTAAGTTCGGACGACTTGGCGGTCGCCCGCCTCCAGTTGACTCTGACGAATCCATACCCGAAGAAGCATTCTGGCAAGGAACGCAGGAGCGCTCGCAGCCCAATAGCGCCGGAACGAAGTTTGTCTGGGTGACTGTAGGAGCACCAGATGGCGATGGTCACTATCGGTCGATGATGCTTAAAGATAGTGATCGGGAGCCAGCCCAAAAACACGGGATGGAATACGACAAAGAAGTGGATCTACTCAAAGACCGGCTACGTGCACTTGGTCGTTGAATCTGGGGTTTCTGTTGCTATTTATTATGTCCACTTTATGATGTCACGACCTTTTGTTTTATCGGTGTAATACCCTATGTTTATTATCGTGGGATGAGATCACGAATGTTTGAAGCTCAGCTTCCCAAGTTGTTTATAAGTGCCTAAAACCGTTTGGTCTGTTTCGGCTACTTGCAGTACATATGCTATGCACTATTCCTTATAAACGCCCCATGTGATGGCCTTGGACCTTGCCAACCTCTGAGGATGTAAAAAAACCGATGATAGAGAAGGTTGAGTTGAAGCCGTTAATCACCAATCTCGTGGCTTTCGAGAATGCTGTCACTGCCTGGGAGACTACAAAGCGAGGCGAAGGTGTCAAGGCTTTGATTCGAGTGGGACTTTGATAAGAGAGTCGTCTACTGATATGGCTAAGGTCTTAAATTATCAAAATCAGTAAGCGTCATTACTTTGTACACTATAGATCTCCATTACTCCTGTCATGGAAGAACATCCACTACCAAGCCCACGGTCTAGGCTCTTCGGTTATTCCCCGATCTGTCCGGATCTCGAAGTCCTTCAAACTGTTAATAGACTCATCATCATAATCCTCACATAAACCCTGATCCGTCTCCAATGCACGGTCAAGGTCATAGTGTTCAGTCAAGAGGCTGACCAACATTGCCACACCTGACACCCCACAGCAGACTATCCACACCGTGCGTAAACTGTCCGTATACGCTTCCTTGAGATTCGCCTTGTCAGCGCCATCCGCCATCGCCCTGATCACTTGGACCAAGCCCGCGGCATCCTTGCTGTACGCCTCAGCCATAGGAGCCAGAGCAGGATATCTCGAGATATTGGTGAACATGCGGTTCTGGAAAACAACACCACCAACAGCAACGCCAATGGCTTGGCCAAGAGCACGGAAGAAACTAAACATGGCAACCGCGATAGCGAGGTTTTCAGGCTCCGTCGCTGCCTGCACCGCATAACCAAGAGATGGGAAGAGAATACCCAATCCAAGGCCTGGCACAATGTTGAGGAAGATCCAACCAAGCATACTGGTATTCACCTTGATCAGACACATCAAACCAAGTCCGACAGTTGAAAAAGCCCATCCGATCCAGATAGCCCATCTGTAACGACCCGTTACCGTGATCAGGACGCCAGCTACCATCCCACTGGGAGCCACAGTGAATGTCTCGGGGAATAGCGCAACACCGGAGATAATGGGGCTATACTCCTTCACTGCCTCGTAATACAGAGGCAGATAATAGAGGGCACACCATAGGATCAAGCCCTGAAAAATACTCCCAATGAATGAAGCTATTGCCGTGCGGTTCTGGAATATCACAGGCGGGACAATCGGATCGGAGGCGAAGTAATACTCGTAAAATCCGAAAACGATGAGCCCAACCCCTCCTACACAGAGAGGTGCAAGGGTTTGCCACGCGTTCCAGTCGTATGAAACTCCACCCCAACTGAGGGGAATCAAGAAGGATGACATGCTTCCAACGAATAGGACGGTGCCGAAATAATCAATCCGACGAAGCTTCTCCATTAATGAACTGGGAGCAAGCTTGAGGTTCAGGAACAAGATTACGAGAATCCCGCCAACTCCGATGAATGGGAAGTTGATATGGAAGATCCATCGCTGTTCATTGTTAGTATAGATAACTATAGACTCATTATAGATCAACTTACCCAAGACACATTTTCGGAGAATCCACCTCCAAGAATAGGTCCCGTTACGGATCCAACACTCCACATTGCACTGAGGATACCGAAGTACTGACCACGCCATCGCAGAGGGACAAGGTCAGTTATGATGACCTCGCTTAGGGATATAATGCCACCTCCACCGACACCTTGGATTGATCGGCCGATCAACATGTAGGTGAAATTATTGGCGATTGCTGAGACCGCAGCTCCGACACAGAAGAATATAAGGGCGATCATAATCATAGGTCGACGGCCGAAAATATTCGAGAAAGAGGCGAAGCTTGGTTGAAATACTATGACAATGTTAGATGTGCAAATTCTTTGAAAGAAAAAGATCACTTACCTGTTGAGCATAATAGGAACGAAGTTCCACTCCAGAATGCTTCGATGGCTGTTCCATTGAGTTCTTTTGCAATTTCCTAGACTTGGTAAGCTTGAAGATATCATGCCCCTCGCTGGAGCACTTACAGGTAAAGCAACAGATAACGACGTTCCATCCAAAGCGGCCATCAAGGTAAGAACTGACAAAGTAAAGAAGACCAGGATTCCCCTTCGACCTAAAGCGAATTTCTCATTGTCGACCTTTTTCTTCTGTTTCACGTATGAAGATGCCCTGCTCATATCATCGTCATAAAATGTCCTCCCGGGTCTATAGAATGGAAAGTCTGAGTCCGCCATGGCGAATATCAACGACGGCGACAATCTAGCAGCAGTCAGAAGATGAGTAGAAAGTTAAGAATTAATTTCACTAGTTATAGAGAAATCAGAGAAGAAAAAAAAGAAATTGAAATGGGGATCTGCATTGTAGATAAATATCGAGCACAGCACACGTTCATTCCACGCGAAACTCATAAGATCCCACATGGAGTTTAGAATTGGACGAACTATTACTCCGTCGTGTTCCAGAATCCTCGACTACGCTGGCTACAACCTGAATATTTATGTTATACACGGGGAGATTGACCTCAAGGGTCTCCACAATAGTCCTAGTTGGAGTGGGAATGGGACCGCAGTAGGCCAGTTGGCTTACCAAGAGTCGGGAGAATTCCTCGCCGTCTGCAGTCGGGGCACGGGTAATTGCGTTTCATGTATGTTTCTTTTATTCGGTTTGATTCTCTTTCTTCTTTGGTATTAGACAGGCCTTCAGTCGAGATTTGGATGGCCCAGGCCGACTTGGCGTGATCTGATTGCCTCTATCCCTCCGCCGACTGCATTAGTGACTGAAACACGTTGCTGTGTATCAAGATCCACCTAGTCTGAAATCTTATTGTAAAATGGCTCGATAATCTGAGTCAATGTCAACATATCTGGTCTTGACACTTGTACTGCGCGAACAGGCCATAATGTTTTGGTGCAAGGGTTGATAGATGGCTCGGTTGTAAAGATCTGACATCTAGCCATATTCAAATGCTCCAGTCAGTATTTCAATAGCTGGACTTCTTATCAAACTTTCCATTCTTTGCTGATTGGAATATAAGACATAGCATAAGCTTATATTGTGTAAGCGCTGAAAGCTAAGGGAAGATAAAGATAATATTATGTACTTATAGCTAGGGCTATATGACCCTGTCACCTGACAGTGACATATTGAGTTAGAAAAACTTGGGGCGATGCTTTTTGCGGGTTGGGACATTTGTTTTGGATTAAAACAGGGGAGATCGTAACGATGCAGCTATAGTCCGGACCAATAGACTGATCTCACCTGTGATGCTAGATGCCCTCTACGGAGATCTCGCTCAACAACCTAGGTTATATATATCCGGCCTCTAATTGAATTGATTACAATTTAGCCTTGCGAAATATATCGCCCAGAATCTACGAAATTCACTGAAGCTCGTGGGGAGCCCAAAGAGACGAAACTACGGATTTCTTGACCGGTGTCTGGATGAGTAAAGCTCATTTTCCAACCACATCGATGGACGTTGTGCGCAGATGGTCACGGACAGGAAGTTCAATATTCTGTTACAATTCCTGAGATCTGGTATCCGGCCATCTAATCTGCGTATTATCGACAATACCCACAATCATGGGATGAACTTAGAAACCGACAGGAACGTTTCCAAGCTGTCCCACATATCTACCCATAACTTATCCATGTAGTTCCGAGGGATGCCTTTCTGCTCCTAACTCGCTTGGCCCATAACATGCTTCCTTGGCCCTTGCTACCTGGCTCGAAGGATAGCCAATTAAGTCCCAAGTTGCAATCTGCGTATTGCCAGTAGCCTTGGAATGGCGTCGCGCTCGAAGATAGTAGAACGCCAAGAGCGACACAGCCAGTATCAGAGGCACACCAAGGCCTACACCTAGTCCCGCTCCAAGGCCAACTACTGACTTATACGATCCGCTTTTGTCCGTGGTTGACACAGAAGTATGTGTTGAAGAAGGTGATGAGGGTGTAGTGGACGGGAAACTGGTCGTAGAGCCAGATGATATGTTGGTTGTTGAAGTAGACGAGACGCCATTCTGAGCGGCAGTCACATTGACACCAGAGTCTCCCTCCCACTTCCACGTTTCGACAATCTGCTCACAGGCAGTCTTGCCATCGACTGCAATACTGCAAGTGAAATTGCCTCTCGGGGTGCCAGAGCATGTCAGGAGATTAGCCCATTGGTCTGGGATTGCTATAAAGGACAGAGAAGTACGTCGTTAGCCTTTGGATATAATTGGCCGTAAGTTCCCATGACATATTATACGTACTGGTATAACATGCCCGGGGGCAATCAGCGATCGGCCATGATGTATCCGTGCAGGCACCGCGGTATGCAATGTTGTATCTCGCTGCATAACATAGACCATTCGAGAGACAAGCCTCGCCTTTGAGGCAGCAAGTCTTGCTACCAGGACAAGAAGCATAGTTTCTGGCTACGCCACCGTTAGGCCAGTAACATTCTGCCGCCGTCGAAGGGACAAGAACTGCCAGAAAGAGAGCTCCTTGTATCGCCAGGCGACTTTGAGAGGCCCGGGAACTCGACATTTATGCAAAAATTTAACAGTAGGACTTGTTTGAGAAATGGGTCACGAATACATTCATATAATCGAGTAGCCCCAGTTTCCCTTGTTTTTCTGTCTAGCTTTCTCTCCAGGTAATCGATTGACCTGCTGCAGGCGCCCTTCCTGCAAACTAACCATCGCTAATTGGTGTGGTTTTGGGGCTAGTACAAATTACCCGCCGGGGCCCTTATCCCTCCTCATAATTGGAAATTACGGCCCTGAGAGCCGTTTCACCTCTCTTATCACCAACGTCCCTCATAATTCTTCGCATAGGAAGAGCCAAGCAGATTTCTAACAATAAGTGCTTCCTCAGTATATCCAGAGCGTGATGCATTCTCTCCAAAACAAAATCAACCCCATCTTCCTCTGAAACACAACGAGCACGAATCAATCTAGCCTCCTACTACTCCGTACTGCATTTTCTGCTGCATTAGTTCGTGACCGATGCGCAGGATTAGCGCCCGGGTACGGTCCCCGGGGCCCCGGGCGTGGCTGACATAAACAGTACTTTTTACCTTCACACCAAAAATTACACCTGTCTCGTGTACCAATTGGAGATGCCAAAGGAGTATACCACTACCAGCTACAATAAGTCAATAGCCGACAGTAGGCTGCTCAGTGTCTACCTTGATCTTCACTCTGAACAGATTCCACGAATTCTATAACCGATATCAAGTAGGAGGTTACCAGACTGTGATATCGCCCATGGACGGGTGGGCATTGCCCACGGGCCTTATGTAATCGGGAAATGGGCCCTACCCTTAGGGCCTACGGGCCGTGGGCTTTATAGGCGCCCGTAGGCCTTTTTAGTAAAATTAGTGTAACAGGTGATTTTTATTAATAGATTTCGAAATATTTCAACTAAATTTATATTTTTACATATTTATAATCATAATTCCAGATTTATAATTAGATATATATAAATATATATAGTATAATTTACTAGGTTAGGAGCCATGGTTCGTTGTACTGCTGGATGTGATGATTAGCCGTAAGATTTGGGAATGGGGGCACCGTGGTAGAACTCGCTAGCTCTGACAGGTAATAAACATAGGCAAGAATAATACAATAATCCGGTATAACCTATAACCTACTAGTTATTACTGGTAAACGCTCACTAGTAATTACCATTTCCTAGTGACTGTTACCAGCTAGTTCTTCAAAACAAAGAGTGCATTTCAACGAGAATACTAAGTACAGGGAAAGGAAGAAAGAAAGAAAGAAAGAATCGAGTCCGCGAAGCCTTCGTGGGGCTTAAGCAAACAATAATCAATAAACCATGCAAACATCTAACTCCTTCCATCCGAATCCGGAATCCCAACCGAAGTCGGGATCCAACAGCAGAGTCCTGCCTGCAATACTCTTAGATCGTGACAGTGACCTAGTGAACCCCCTACTCAGAAGCAATTGAGTATAACCAGAGGATCAACTGACTGTGCAAATTCCAGGTACCTCTGATGGAACTCCATAGAATTCCCTTTTGGCGTGATGTGAATTATAGAGCACCAGCTGGGTTGAAACCGGATGACAAGATCGTACAGCCATTTAGGAGTGCTAGCCTCCTCTCCACCAGGACCTACACAGACAGTCAGTCAACCAGAATATACAATTGCTACTACGCGAAGGCACTCATGGAAAGAATACTTCGCGCCACTACCGCGAAATTGGCAGCACGCACATGACAAGCCCCACTGAAAGCCCGAGCCCAGCAGGAAAACAACATGGCACGACAGGAAAGGACCGTTGCCCTTTGGACACTGCACGCAGATATCCGCAGCAGGGACCTCATAACCTATGAGCTGTCACAACGAAGCGCAAGCCTGCAAGGCGCTGGTGATCTTCTGGGGACGCGTAGGACGCCAGTCCAAAACGCTCCTTTTTTGGGTCAACAGTGCCCCAAACCTTGTCGCCAACACTGAAGAACTAGCACTGCTGGTTTGAGCGACAGTTTGAACGCGGATTGTATCTTCTTCGGCATTCTTTAACCCCCTGTGAAGTGGACCATCAATGAACGAAAGTTCATTCACCTTCGTGATCGTACTAACCACCTGGCGGCTCTTGCGGATCGAGGTACGATTCAAACAGGTACGTGGTCTAGTGTGGGGATAGCCCTGAACTGGTTTCCCCACGTTTGTTTAATCCTAAAGATTCATTGTTAATATATGGCGTTTTCCAGGTTTGGTATATATGACATACCAGCAGAGGCCGATGGGCAATATTCTGCCAAAAGTAATCTTCCAAGCGAACATGAGAGAAGGGAGTGGTAGGATGGGGGCCTTTCGGGCTGAGAGGTTAGGCATTGAAGAATTGCGTGGCCGTAAGAACGGTGCAAATACATAGAACAGTGAGAACTGCGAAAGTGATAAATGAGGACATTCTGAATGTAGGTAGAGTAGAAGCAAACCACCGAGCTGCTCTTGGATGGAAAAGAGAGAGCTAGTGACTGGGCGAGCAGGTTGAAGGATTTCTTCCCATATGAGTAGCCTGGAAAACTTCGGAACTCAAATAGGAGGATGAGTTTAGCTCGTGTATAGTAATCCCTCTGTCGTTGGGCTTTAGCTCAGAGCTCTGAAAGAGATTTTGAATGTCCAACTTCCACGATTGCTAAGTTTGAGGTGTGATCGCTCAATGCTGAACATATGAAGGGGTTGAAAATGATATATAGCTAGATTAAGACCAGGTGCCTAGGTCAGAGTCACCGAGTCATGTGTAGTGTTAGATGAGGTGGTCTGCGCATATGTAGGCTCTCATATCATGTAACCGTCAAAGAGTAGCCGCTCGGTTGCGCGAGTGCGAAGTAGGATATTGTCACTGATTGTTTTGATCATATCGGGAGACTCCACTTGCTGTGGACCGATGATGAAGGTGGTAGCGTGTGCTCCCTTGCACCCCTGTATTTTGGTCGCCCCATCTACGACTCATTTTTCTGCAACATTTGGGCGGGAAGTGCCTGCCCCGTGGCACTAAATGCAGAGACTTATAGGCGGCCCTTCTCGTGACGCGACGGGACTGTCAAGTGATACGGTTTTGCTGGATAGTTCAAACTCATTAGAATCACAAATTAGGTCGTCATCACATTCGCGATCCTCAGGCGGGAGTGATTTGGGACAAGTCTTGAAATGGAATTGTAGTAACTCGCCTATAGGAAGTGTTATCGGCCAGGCGATTATGAGCGGGCCGGGATAATGTTTGAAGTTGAGTTGAGTAGTGTTGAAAATCTGTTGCTTTAACCCACTATCATGACTTCCTTCTCGAGTAAATCCTTTCAGGGGAGAGTACGGCAGGCGCAGTGCGTGAAGTAAACTTGTAAGGTATAATTCCCCCAGTGTAATTGGTAGGTTATTTCTGGGTTGTGTGATAATGAAGAGGAAGTGAGAAGGGAGTGAAGTGATAGCAAGGAGAACTGCGATGATGAGTAAACAAGTCTCCTCCCAAACACTCTTACATAGGCAGACCATGTTGCCACTCAGTGTTCCTTGAGTTGCAGTTTCTCGTCGGCGTGCGGAAGTCTTGAGGATGTATATACATTCTGCCGTAATGATCTGAGTTTCTGATCTCTTGCGGCAAGAAGAACCCGCACTGAACACTATCAGTGTCTCGAATTGTCCCCCACAAAAACGCTATACCATATTCCCATGTTCCCTCCTCCCAGAAGCAGTGGGGTCCCATCGATGATAGACTGCTGGGCTTGCCTTGTTACACCGTGGACTTGGTATCTCCATCAGCTTCCCGTACTAACATGGTGGAGTGCATGAAGACCGGTCGGCTTTAAAGCGACTCTTTATATGGACTCCGTTCTATAACACTATGGTCGTGGGAAAATTTCGTTAGTTTTGGGAGGTTAGATTCGGCGACCAAGCACAAACCGTGCTGAAACCCATAAGGATAAAGGCAGTGGCGTGTGCATCAGTGGTGTCGGTCGTAAGTGACCGTAATAGTGCCGGTCTGGTGGTGTTATTCTTTCTTTTCGCAGAATTTGCACACCGGTAGCCTGAAGAAAAGGGTATACATATATGTTGCTAACGGCTCGACCAGAGTAGAGTGATGCTAGAATATACCCGACACGCAGACTACCCACCTCGTCCGGGGTGGCAAAAAAGCCTGAATATCTATATATAGTCTTGGGCTAGAATGAATACTGCAGAAGAATTAAAGTATCTAAACGGAATGATATCTGGAAAGGCTACTAAAAAGACCACTAAAAAGACTCCCCAAAAGGCATCTATGCATTACACGGCCAAGCCCTTCGTTTGCTTACTTGCTGTTTTACAGGGGTATAAATATATGTATGTACCCATGTCTCTTCATATTTTCTTCACATATCTATCTTTCTTCATTATCTCTCGTTCACTACATGCTCAACACTTGTTATAATATCTCCTTAGGTCTAAGGGGTTTCAGGTCCCAAAAAATGATGCGTTTTATCTATATGAATCATAAAGCCTCAATCTTTCAAAGAAACCCGCAACTTCGACAATCAAAAAACAATATCATACCTAGCTAGGTATATGACAATTTTCCCTTTCCCAGATTGTCCGTTTATGAACTGACTCAGTACTTTTCTTCAGACCTAAATCGCTCCTATGGTTAGGTTCTTCCACCATCTTCCGCTACCAAGTCCGCAAATTGGCGGAGGCGTTCCCACTGGCAAGTTCGCGTAAGCGACGCTAGGATTCGGAGGATAATGAAGGCGATACGGACATCACCATTTAGAGGCATTCGCTTCGCAAACACCGGCTGCAGGTGATCATTCGGCTTCAGTTCCCATCGGGTCGATCAAGGACGACCTCACTACCCTTCCTAACGACTATACCCTTTCACGGATCTAGGTCATCAAGCACGACCACCTTCATGTCCTTATCTTATTCCCGATATACCCAATATCCGAGGAAATAGTGGGTCTTGCGGACATGTTTCTGCTGGTTCTGGATATTGAGAATGACTAGAAAACCATCCCCAAATTTGGATTTGGCACTCGTTGAAATTCCAGATGATTGGGTGGGAGAAAACATAGTAAGTCTTTTCATTTCGACACCCATTTCCGTGAGGCCTTTGCCAGCTAATATGGATCTCTATCTATAGACGCCCGACGCCCACCATCATAAACCAGACCCCGTAGCTGACGATCTTGATGAAACGCCCAGTGTTTATTTACGGCCAGCGGTCTGGTTATGGCAAAGGGATGAAGAATCCCCTTGAATGTGCCAATCTCACGCATGAGATGGAGCTTGACACTGCATTTCACCATCTAAAGGGTGAGATCGGTTGGCTTCTTGATGAGAGTCGTAAATCTGAACGACAACTGGAGACGCTTTGAGAACCTCAAAACATAACATTTTGCTAAATGCGGAGAACAATGTCCACAGAGCGAAATGAAGAAAGTCTGCTCTATCCAGAAGGTAAGTAGTAATCTCTAGTAGTTACTGACCATCACTAATGCCAACAATTATTCCTCAATGCAAAGTAGGATCAGCTCCAAGCCCACCTGACATATCAACTTACGTGACAATCCCCATAAAGCAATGATAGAGGCGTTTTCCGATTCAGAGGACAAGGCTCAGCGCTCCGCATTATGGAACATGTTCCGATCCCACGTGCACATTATTTGAAGACTGAGCTTGTTTGCTAGTTCTTTGGCAGGATAAAAGCCCTGGTTCTTCAAAGTTGGAATGTCAGCAATTTGCCTTCTTCCATTCATTATACGAATATAGATCAACAGAAGGTCAATTCCAATGCTCTCCTACTTAATGTTCCATGGAAACTCGAAGGTTTCATTGCTACATAGTTCGCAAATGCAGGAAATCGTAACATGGTAACCTGACTAGCAAGCTTGTTCGTGCTAGTCTCTTTGAGCCAAAAGATATTGTTATCTTGGTCGGATATGAGGCACGGTGGTGTGTATATATCAAGGGTCTACACGAACTCGGACAGACTGATCTAAGTATAGCATGGAGTAGCGATCGAGCCTTCATTGCGTTCCTCCCTAAAAAATTAAGCCTCCGGTGATCTAGTCTCCTCAAATAATGAAATCTGCCGTGATTCCAACCTGATAATTTGAAACTAGAGTAAATATCACCAATGATAACTTCACACGATCGCTGTCTAGCCGTAATAGTAGATATAGAGTATGTATTATCCGGTATACCCGACTACGTAAGTCTATCAAATGACCGCAGAATCTCACTTAGCTCTTCATCAGTCATTTGCATCATGCTGATAGCATAATACCCACTCCTCAGCCGTGCGTTCACCACAGCCTTACGACTTTGCGACCGAAAAGCCGCCTCGATACTTTTAGCGATTCCCTGGAAAGGATAACCTACCAATCCAATCGCCGCTAAATGTAGATAAAGTCAGCTCTATTCACTTGCATTGACAGAACTTCTTACCAGATGGGACTTTAGCCGCAAGGCCAATAGTACCCTTGGCAAAGCCCTTCACAGCACCGAGGGCGCCTTCCTCTTTTGCCCCGTTGACAGGTTGTGTGTAGAGACCGCTGAATCCATCGGTCATGCCGTCCACAAAATTCCTACCACCAACAATAGCCCCAGACTTCCAATCCTGAACCACGCCGTAATCCTTAGGCGTTTCCCCATACAGACGGGGGACCTGTCGGAATCCTTCTGCGGCGGCGTGTGGAATGTCGACTACCACACCTTTGAAGTATGATCCGGTGAATTTACCAAATCCTTTCATCGTCGCGCCTGCCATGCTACCTGCGACATATAGTCCGTTTCTTCTTTTATCACCAGTTTCGCCCATAGGCTCAACGGATGATAACTGACAATTATGTAAATTTGTGTCGGCGGCGGATATTCTTGTGGATGATGGTTCTCGCGAAGATGACCGACTAGGCAGGGCCATGGCTTGTGAGTCTCCAGCCGATGGGGTTGGAGAACGACCGCGTTTGTATTCTTTGTATGGGTTGTAAATCATCTCAGCGGTCGAGAGCAGCATAGTGGACCCGGTTGTAGTAGCTGCAGCCAACGTTGCAGTTATGGGATCCCAGCGACGATGTTCGATGATGATTGGATTGACGAGGTGACTGATCGAGAATGAGAATCATTGGTTAGCAGATTAATGTACTAGTTGAGTCCTGGTACGTACAATTGAAGATGTTTTTCGTTTATCTTTTGATGTTCAATCAGGATTTGAACAGCTGCACTTGACAGGTTCACATTGGCTTTTCCCTTTTTGTATCTCCAGGCTGCAACTTGATGGGGAATGAAATTGCACCTCATTTTATCCACGGGAAGATTTCGATGGAATGATTCCACAGCTGCGGTTACACCTGATTCAGTCTTCATTTTGAATGCTACCTTGCGTGCGGCTTCTCTTGCATTCGGGGTGAGGCAAAATTGGATAGCAGCGGTCAATCTCTCAAAGTTGAGAGATGCAAATGGAATAGGATTAGGTCCAGCACCGGCTCTAGCAATCATGTGGCCCCAGAAAGGTTGGCTAGGAAAGTCAGCACTGATAAATTTCCCCAGGTAAAAGATGAGTTAGAAGAATGGTAACTTACTCGCCAAAGAAAGGGACGATAGCAGTTGGTCGACCGTTCTTGAGACCACATGCAGTCGTTCCAGCACCTCCGTGGTGAACTACTGCACTGACATGTTGAAAGAGCCACTCATGTGGACAGTCGTCAATATAGTAGATATTAGGGTTTGGACTTCCGACTAGCCCACTCCAACCCTTTGAAATAATTGCACGTACACCTGTATTTACTACTGCGAGGACAATGGTGTCAATTAGCTTTTGAGGGTCGTCAACCACGATACTACCGAAGCCAATATAGACAGGAGATGGGCCATTTTGTAGAAACTCTCTCAGCTCCGAGGGTGGGCAATATGACGGGGGATCTCTAAAGAAAAATCCACAGACATCTAGGCCATTTAGCTTTCGTTCTTGCAACAGGCAACCAAAGTGATGACATACCAATGTGAGCTGGCCAATCGCGTGGTTTTGGCACAAGGGCAGGAGACCAACAATATGTGTACGGTATTTTCAAAGTTTCGGCAAGGCGGGGCCCCTCCGTTGCGGGGATAGGCTCCAGATCTATTGAGATCCGCCATCGATTGATCACATCTCCTAACCTGAGTGATAATGTCAGTCGCCTAGCACCTGATACTCCATGAGTGACCTTACCCTTGCCATGTGAGCCACTCAACAACTCCATAAGAGACCCAATTTGCAGTCCGAGGATCCATAGAAGAGGAGTTTAGATTGGCAAGAGGATGTGGAAACGCCTTGGTACTGCTCCACGGCATCGTAAACATCAGGTGAACAGGGATGCCCAACGCTTGTGCACAATGAACGTGCGCAAAGCTAGGAGGATTAGCAATTATAGCATCTGCAACAAAAGGCTCTTTGGTAATTGGATCATCTTCAATGCAAGATCTCCAGCACCCATCGAGCATTGTCGCTACCATATCTTGTTTTCTTTGAACCTCGCCGTCGCGGAGTGTCTTCATTTGTGGAATCAACCCGGGATTCTTGACCATAAATGCCATCAATTCTGAAGGATCTCCACCAATGGGGTAGAACTCTAATCCTGACTCGTGTACGAAGTCTGCAAAGACACCGTGTGTTGCAATTCGGACACGATGGCCGTGCTTTCGTAATGCATTCCCGAGAGCGATGAAAGGTTGCACATCCCCACGACTTCCCACAATTTGAATGACGATATTGAGGTTAAGTTCACATGAGGCCGCTTGGGTAAGGTCGATATACTCGGGAGGTGGATTGTGGATGTCTTCTTGCTGCAAGTCGATGATCTTGGCAAGCGTTCTCGCAATCTTGGACTCGAGGTTTACGTCAATCCGGCCATCCGCTACACCCAGTATTAGACTAGGTTAACAAACCTTGATTGTGACAAACTCGACATACCTTGCACATTCGCTGATTCTACCACAAGTCCACTGTCGGCAACCAGCGAATACGGTGGAGGGACTGAGTCTTCTTGCTCTCTCCTCCCAGACATAGTGGAGACTCCCATATTGAATGTCAAGGTGATGAAAAATTTCTGTCAAGAATCTGGGAACGTTGAATTAATAGCAAATAAATAGTTCCTGAGCTATCTTGGTACACAGTTCCGTACTCGTATCTATTTCCAAATTGGGACTAGTGGATCCAAATTAACGTTCAATTATTGGGTCTATGCATCGCCACTAGTCCCCTTTTGGACATTCAAGATTCAAATCTGCAATCTCTATCTCTTTTTGCCATCTTAGAATTCGAATCAAATGATAATCTCACTCTCACTTTCTTAACATGAGCCGTCAGTCTTTGCTTCAATTTTGCTCAGATGCTCTATCTACCTTTAGCCTACCCGTTGCCTATTTGGTTCAAGAACATCGTCTGGACGTCCTATATCGTCTTTATTTACTATATGCAACGTCTAATTCATTATGGTATCTTGGTTATGAATAGAATAGTTGTCTGCACAGTTCATGCTCTCCCCCGCATTTTCCCGTATCTACGAAACCGAGAAGGAAAAGGAAATATCTAACGAAAATGCTACTATTGATAATGATCTCGCCGGTGTAGCCCAACCCGGGGTAATAGCAGTCTAGAGGTCATACCCGTACAGCCTTTTCGGCTATCTCGCACTCTTCGCTATACTTGACTCACTCGTGGCGGCAATCCTAGCCGAAGTGAAGGGTCTATGTAGTATGACCAAAGCAATCGCAGAAATGTCGAAACGTCCAATGAACAAGTCCAACAGGGGAAGGAGCGCCCCACATGAGAATTTGGCCAATCAGACCCGGAACCTTTCCTTATGCAGCCAAGCCAGATGCCAAGGCGCGATTGCTCTAGCAATTGAGACTATGATCAAGCCAATTTATCATTGTTATCATTCTTCCAAGTGTAATATCAGGCACATAGGACCATAGGGTGTGGAAAACAGGGCTTTCCGTCCACTCAGCCGTACTTATCGTCATCCCAATGGCGCTGGAGATGAGAGATCCTGGCCAGTCCCGCCCAGATACGGAAATATCCAGTGATCTGAATCATATCAGGCTCAGTAATTGATTCAAATATGGGAATCAGTTGATTCAAATACTCCTCGGCCTTTGCGAAGGATTCACGGCGAATGAAGCATTTAATTAGGGCGAGTTGCAACCGTCTACCACTCGCGATATTTTCCCAACCTCTTTTGTAGACAATCCGTAGTTCCTTTTCCAGCACCACTTCTGCTGAGTTTGGATCTCCGACCACGCAGCATAAATCTGCTAAATTGGAGAAGAGAACCATTTGCCACCCCGAGCTGACTTGGTAATCTTCGTTCGAGAGCGTGGAAAAAATGTTTCTCAAAGAACGGCAAGGCCTCATCGAACCGCCCAAGACGCCTTTGGGGCCTCCTTCTCGAGCTGTCGGAAGTTCAGTTCCCATACTGTTGCCACTGTCTTCTCGTATCCACCAATAGACGGAGTGATGCTGAGAACTTCGCACTGTTTCTCTTTGAACAGTCGATTATAGTCCTCTAGGGACTTCTCGCGCCGCCAAATGAAAGCTCCTGCTTGATCAACCGCCAACGGAAGGTATCCCATACTAGAGACTATGGCACTTGCCTCTTTCAACTGTTCTGCGGTCGGATTGTTGATCACCGCCTTCTCAAGAAGCAAATCGATAGCCGCATCTTCTTCAAGGGCCTCTAGTGCTTGGCCATCGGGTGCTACAAGCCCGAAAGCAGCTCTGTGTCGACTGGTAACGATGATATGTCCCCAAGAGCAACTGTGAAAGTATCTCGTCAGTTGAACAGATTCCAAGTCATCCGCGCCATCAAATATCATCAGCCAGTTTCGATTTTCCGTTTTTGAAAACCACTGCCGCAGAAAGTTTATCTTGTTAGAGGCACTCCCAAGATTCAGAAGATCGTAGACCCTATGAAAGTCGGCAATCAAGGTTGGATTGGAGCTCGCGTTGAAATGCACCACACCATGTCGATACTTGAATCGATTTCGAAGAGCATATTGCACAGCGCTATGTGTCTTCCCGCAACCTCCTATGCATTGAAAGAAGAGCGATCAGTGATTGGTTGCAATCCCTACTAAGATCTCGGAATAGGAAAAGTTGAAGAGTTGCCTAGTCCTGTTAAGACATATATCAATTGCCTTCCGGTGGTAGCTTGCTCGAAATAATGCTTCATGGTCCCAAGAAGCTCTTCTATTCCTTTGAACGAAACATTGCGAACTGGAATATCAAAGATGGGAGCACAATCGATCTTGGGTGCTGTGATCACTATTAGTTTTGTGATGGATTGGTAGATATATGGAATATATTTGACATACACGTTTTATCGCTGGAGCTGCCGATGAATGATGCAAGCTTCTTTGTAATATCTTGATGTAAGTACGAAGTGGAACCGTTAGTTGTCAAGGAGAAGTGAAAGCATACTCATAGAGGATTTCGAGCGAGTGGGGTGGCTCGTGGAGGATTGTGACTCCATATCCATGGTAATTCTCCATGTTTCAGACCCTACCCAGTATAGCCAATTAAGCCTGGTGGAGTCAAAAGAGTGCAGAGATACTGGAGATACAGAGCCGAGGTTGTTACAGTCTATTTGGGGATATGGCCACATGTAACTCCCAACTATGGTCACTGGTGTCTTCTCCGCACTCTGGGCGAAGAATATTGCCTTGGAGGCTCAGCTTGACACCAGTGGCTACAGTTCACCTTGAACACGACAACAGACTGGCCCTCAAAAGCATGAATGCGTCAATAGAGCACGTTCCCTGGTCACAATGCATGCATTGGAAGACAGGGGTACCCACCCCGCGCGAACCCTGTTCAGGTGGCCTAGCTGGATCTGTAGCGCAAGTCATGTTGTTTCATGAAGCAAGAAAAATACCCAATCATGAAATAAACAGGGCGGGACGGCGGCTACTGAATTAAACAAATTTCAGTACTCCGTACAACATAGGGGGGTCCTAGGCTATAGGCAAAATCATCAAGTTGGGTGACGTGGCGATCAGCTGACGAACTTCGCACAGTTCGGTCACAAGTGGTACTCGATCTTATTCAAAAAAGCAAATAAATTTCTCCTCCAAAACTTTGGGCATGGACCTCCGTAGTGACAGGAATCTTATTAAGGATAGACAGTCCCACTTCTCGAAATATTGATTACCACATATACCGACACCAAAAGCTCCAGATCGAATTGTTCTCAGAAGCCTTTCGCAACTACCAAACTATCCCTCTTATCAAAGCATGTCAGATACACTGGAAAGGCCGACCTATCAAGTAGGAATTTTTTGCTTCTGCTTAGACCGAAATAGAAAGACATACTTACAGCGAATAGAATGCAGTGGAAAAACTGAATTCCACTCAATCGGGATTCAAGGTGCTGGAGGAACGAAGGCGTCTTGGTCAGAAGCTGGATAGCGGAGCCGTGGAACAGATGAGACAATGGATATGCCGCATTGGATACGATTTGAGTGGATTCCAGAGCCTTTTCCGTCTGTTAGCCCTGGCTAATTTTTGTTTCTGAGCAGATCAACGAGTTAAATCGTCTAAATGTCGTTCATGTTGCGGGTACGAAGGGAAAAGGCACGACGTGTGCCTTTGTCAATTCCATCCTTCAGAACTACCAACAATCGGTTGGGGTTCCCCGTAAGATTGGACTCTATACCTCCCCTCATCTGGTGATGGTTAGAGAAAGAATTCGAATCAATTCCTTTCCGATTTCAGAGGAACAATTTACCAAGTACTTTTTTGAAGTCTGGGATGCCCTCGAATTGAGTGCTATTAGAGAAGGTATCGATCCCACTTATAAACCTACCTACTTCCGATTCCTTACACTTATGGCATTTCATGTCTTTATGAGAGAAGGTGTCGATGCAGCTATCTTTGAAGTTGGAGTAGGAGGTGAGGTAGACTCAACAAATGTTATTCCACAGCCATCGGTGACTGGTATCACTACCCTTGGGATTGACCATGTGGCTACACTCGGCGATACTATCGATAAGATAGCATGGCATAAAGCAGGAATTTTCAAGACTGGCTCTCCTGCATTTACCGTTCCTCAAGTGCCTAGCGCTATGGAGGTCCTATATCAGAGAGCGAAAGAAAAAGGTATCAACCTTATTACTATTGCAGCCTACCCTGCTCTTTTCGATATTGGTCTCAAACCAGTGGAAGATTTTCAAAGGATAAACGCTTCTCTCGCTATCAGACTCTCACTTTCCTTGTTAGACAAACTCGGAGTTCAAGTAGACCTTGGCCTTGAAACACTTCCCAAACAATTTACCCAAGGTCTCGAGAACATAGTTTGGAGAGGAAGATGTGAGACTCTTACAACCGAAAAGCAAATTTGGCATCTTGATGGTGCACATACAGAAGAGAGCCTAAAATTAGCGTCCTCATGGTTTGGGCGCGTTTCAAAATCACAGTCGATCCTGTCAAGGTATGTCTTCTTCCACCACTTCCTCGTCCTAACAGGTTCATCTAACACATCGGACTAGGGACACAACAAGGGTGCTCATATTCAACCAGCAGTCTACAAGAGATGCCGAGGCGCTTCTTCGAACTGTGCATAGTGAGATATACAATAACTGCAACTTGAGTTTCCAGTATGCGCTATTCTGTACGAATGTTACCTACAAAGGCAACGCCTACAAAGTTGGTAAGATCTACGCAACGCACTGGGTCGGCTCTCAAGAGGAAAGAATACTAAAGTGGAATGTTGTATGCAGACCTTGTCAACCGGAATATCGATCCAAAGAAACTCGAAAATTTGAGCCTACAAAGGCGCTTGGCTAAGCTTTGGCATCAGCTTGATCCCAAAACAGAGACAGCCGAACTTGCATCGATCGAAGAAGCCATCGAATATGCAAAAGAGATTGTCTGCGATGTGGATAAGACAATGATTCTCGTTACTGGAAGCTTTCACCTGGTTGGGGGTGCACTTTCCGTCTTGGAAGGGGAGAGCTTCGCCCTCCAAAAAGCCACGACCCAGTAGCGTGGTAAAAAGTAGATGTCCTCACAGTCACACTCGGGAAATTTCAAAACAAACCTACCACATTATCAGAAGCATATCTCGAGATCATATCTGTCTTTTTGTGATAGTTTCTCAGCCATGTTCCAGTTAGAACGCGTGTTGGAATTCGTACAAGGCGTATGTGACGATCATTGCACGCAAAATACTACTCGGTATCTGCCAAGAACCCTCTTCTTCGTATGCCTTTCTTCCTTCGCCCTTTCTTTTACCTTACGTTGGTTCATTATTCTATTATCATCTCTAACCGAGAGGACCATTTGAAGTACTTGCTGTTAATATTGCCGTCTATATAAAGTCTGGAGACATGGACTAAAGGTCGTAGTTATGGTCATTGCATCAGCGAGGGTGTTAATTTGCGCGACTGTAGAGATTTGTTTTAGTAGGGTCTCGCTAGTTGCATGGAGGTATCCGCAAACCGACGTGTAAACTTCCAGTTGTGCAGCGGCATAATTCATCCAAGAAGCCGCGCAGGACAGATTTTCCCTGCGGCACCGCTGTATCTTATTATGCAGTCCGGAATGGGGTTCTAACCTTGAAAGGCTTTAAGGCAAGTTTTGGGACGTTGGAAGATATTGCGAGAGCGAAGTTCTCGGAGTAAGTAAACTACCCGATCTTGTTCTTCCGCCTGTGTCCGCCGCTCGATCTCTCTAGCGAAATTGTTTTGTAGTCAGTTCAACTGCCTTCATCCGTATGAGCTTTGCTATGTCTATATAGGAGTCTTGAAGAGCAACCAGCCATGTTGCAAGGGCTTGGAACCGGCGAAATCGTCCACTCGATATGAATCACTGCACCGCTCTGTCTGGATCACGAATACCCCGAGAATAATGTTGTTGCCATTATCCACAGCAAATTCAAAGTATAAACATTCCATATACGGCCGACATGATTCATTATCACTGCTTCCATACGCTTTCTACTTCCAGTAACCTCCGGATCATTCTGCACTCTTTTCGAGATTTGTAAATGCTAGAAGAGATCTACGAAGTAATAGATGTCTTCATGAAAAAGATGTGACGCGTGAGGAAGAGAAAAACTATCTGCTATGGAGCTGAGAGAGATAAACTATAGGATTACCTGACTCCTGTCAGTAAAGTGAGCATTAATTCGTTCCATGCACTTGTCAGCAAAGAAGACTTTCAACTTCGAAATCTGGCATTTTGAACCCTGATAACAGCTCACATTTCGATGCTTTCTCTCGGTGGCTGTGTGCAGATGCCAAGAGAATGAGTGTTTCAGGAGGTAGAAGTCCGTCTGATCGTATGGTGCTGTAGCTCAACTGGGAGGATTAGTGCGTTAGTCGCGCGAAGCACCCTGTCTATAGCGCACTCGCCCTTGATACCCCCGGTCGCGCGACCGTAAAGCGGCGCTCACCCTATTCTCACTCGGGCGGCACCTACCGACTATCGATCGCACATAAGCCACACGCCGGTTAGTAGTTGGGTGGGTGACCACCAGCGAATCCTTGCTGTTGCATGTTTTTGCTTCTTTTCGTTTATGTCTTTTTTATTCTTCGTGTTCAGTTCCTAGCCGCTCCGGTCTTTAGTCCATTCACGGTGATCACCCCGAACACCATCTATTCTTCACCTAAATGCCCTGCACGACACAACCCTGATTCCCTCTTAGTCCTTTTTAAAATAGATATCGCATAAGCCTATTATGAACACGATCCATAAGAGCCAAGGATAATCTCGGGCGCCGAAGAATCTCTGGTCATAGTTAGGCTTCTGCCTACCTTCAACTCATCTACAAGATCTTTTAAACATGAAAAGCCCTCCAGTTGATGTCCTCTACAAAATCTGTTCCAGCTTGTGATCAGCTTGTGATCAGCTTGGGGGGCTTTTGGGACTGATGTCTATCCAAAATCAATGCAAGTTTTCTATATAACTCAATCAAGCTGAATAATGTATCAACTCTTATTGTACAATAGCGTAGACAAATTCTCGTCACGGTAGTTCGATAAACCGTCTGGCTTCGTTTGCTGGAGCTTCAAAGATCTTCGGCGCTTCATTGTGAGCCTGACCGTTGTAGGATTTTGAATAAATCACGGGCTGAGTTTGAGATGTGACAGGGATGCTCTCATTGACCTGCGTTGAACTTTTCGACCTCCGTCGGACGAACAAAAATATCGCGAGAGCCGCGACAAAAGCACCCCCGAGTCCGACACCCACTCCCACGCCAATTTTGGTACCACCTGATAGTCCGCTATTTCCCTGGCTGTTATCACCTGCAGTGGTGGTTGTAGCGACCGCTTGAGTTGTAGTTAAGGAGGGACGCAAGCTTGGAGTAGATGCCGTGGCCTGCGTAGTTGAAATTGCAATGCTTGATGCGGTAAAGCTTGCTGAGTCGTCTTCGGTGATGTTGAAGTAATGACTGGCAAAGATTCCATCCGGGTCATTAATATCCGAAGCATTGCGGACTTGGAAGAAAAATACTTCTCCGTTGTTCAAGTCTCTGTTCGTTGACACAATCCAGTCATAAGAGGTGACGTCGTGAAGGTTGGCTGAGAGTGTTTGACTGTGTTAGGGAGTTGTTTGCAAGAGATCAAGGCCTAAATGGGTGACATACTTTGCACCCATTCATAGTCTAAATTATCATTTTGCCATATCATGATTGAAAAGGTTTCCAACGTAGTATCCCAGCGCAGTTGCACTGTCTCCCCCAGGATGTAGACCGGATTATTACGGTACTCATGAATGGGACCTCCCGTCGGTGGATTGTAGAAAATCCCCGGTTCCGCAAATACAATGGCGCATATTAACAGGATGATCAAAAATAGCTCCATGGGAGGAAAACAGAAGATGAAGACGGGGAGTGAGTAGGTATTATAGAGTCATGGGACAGAGTTTGCGCAAGGCCTGAGACTCAAATCCTAGGGTTGGCTTAGGGAAAGGGGGTTTTTCTGGTCACAAAGCACTAACTGATTCGCTAGACCATTCTTAGCTAGTCCCTCCAAAGTCCCTCAACACCCATGCAAGAGAGCGACTACAGGACTTGCTTCGAATTCAATAGACCTGAGCGTAGCTGAAAGTAGTTAGACCTCCTCACTTGCATTCAACTTGATTCAAGCATGCGCCAAATATGGTCCCATTATGGTCCGTCTCCCGCCGAGACGGACGGGCCCGAATAGTATCACAAGCCGGCCCAATCACACGCTAAAGCCTAGTGCTTTTTGGAGGTAGAGTCCATGTGGGTGGGGGAGGGGGGGGGGGGGGGGGTCTTAGCACAAACCCCCACCCAGCGTTGATTGGGCGAACGGAAAACTCAATCCAGAATGTAAATTTACCCTTTGTTGCATGTATACCACTGATTTAGCGATATTTGAGACCCCAAGTGTGCCCTCGTTCTAGCTATAGAGGGAAAATAATTGACCCATACGTGGTTTTGGAGGTGATCCCGTAGTTTACGCCCAGGATGAGGGAGTTACCAGAACGTGTGATAGGTGGCTAGGACGGCGGCGCGGTCCACTCGACATGGATATAAGGCACTATCTGACTAGCGTTGCATTACTGACTACAGTGTGATTAATACTGCTATTTGCTGCGCCCCCTTTCATAGAGGCTATCTTGGAAGCTGTATTCATTTAATCCTCGCTTTCATGCCTAGTCGAACGCTTTTAATGCGGCTCCTCCGGTACATAACATAGAGACAATGCCGTCTGGCGTCCGCGTGTTGCTCTCATACCGTCAGACCTCTTTCGTACTTTCCATCGTGCTCCTCGTTGTTTGTTGGGTTTTTTTCCACACTCTCTCTTTGTCCCCAACGCGCGAATCTGCTTCGGCATCCGCCTTTCCAAAGACTCTCTCGCATCCAGCAGAGGGCGCAGGCAACGGGACATTAGGAGTAAGCCACTCTCTTAACTATATTGACCGGTTTTCTTGTTGACATAACGAAGTTCCAACAGATACTTGCTTTATCCCACGGTGCGTCATGGCGCACTCGGGGCCTTGTCGCCGCAGCTAGATTGACTGGGCTTCAAATCACGATTCCCCCACAGCCGCCAACACACCCAGATCTCATCAACGCATTTGCTCTTCTAGGTCCCCATGACCAAGAGAAAGACCACCCTACCCCCGGTGGCAGCCGGGCTTGGCTCGCGCACCTTGATCTGATCAAATTTGCCTACCAATCCAACTTTCAAACTACCCTTATCATCGAGGACGATGCTGACTGGGACGTATTGCTCAGAACACAAATGAAAGATATTGCATCCGCAGTGAGGTCCCTGACAAAGACCTCCGAAGACGAAGGGTGGCCGTACGGTCGCGGCTGGGATATGCTTTGGATTGGCCATTGTGGAGAATACTGGCAGGAAGGATTTGACACTGTTTTCTTTGATAATGATGCAGTGTGCCCACATGCAGACTACACTGGTTGGGCACATGAATACCTGTCCCGCCTACCTGACGGAAAGCGAGCTGTATATTGGTCCAACAACCCAGTCTGTTCGTTCGCTTATGCGTTGTCTCATGACGGTGCAAGAAAAGTGTTGGAGCTAACTGGAGCTGGTCAAGGGGAGGCATTCGACGTCAAATTGATGGGTGAATGTAAGGCTGGAAATCTTGGGTGCATCTCTGTCGCCCCAGAAGTCATCCACCAATATTTCCCGCCCGAGGAATACAGGTTAAAAAGTTTGGTGGATATCGGCAATGGAGAAGCACCAGGGCCGGAAGATGCGGTTTTCGAATCTATAAAGGGCACTACAGCGAACATACTATATAGTGCACGTTGCCAGGCTCTCTGGGGCGAGACCTGTCTCAAGCGATAGCCTCCCGAGTACTTAAAATGCCATGTGTCCTTAGGCTTCAAATAGAACAACTCAGGTGAGTGACAATACTTCATCACTACAACTCAGCTAATCATCCTTCAGATCTAGTCAAACTCGAGTGCCCGTCCATAACACCCACCGCCCACGGGCATTTTCATCGCGGGCATGCCCGCTATGCCCACCGTTATATAAACTTATCTTAAATATATATAAAATTTAGATGTATATCTTATTAGAAATCCGGAATTATGGTTGCAAATAAGTTAAAAATACAAATTTAGTTGAAATATTTCGAAATTTATCAATAAGATCACGTGTTACGCTAATTTTGCTTTCTAAAAAAGCCCACGGGCGCCCATGACGCCCACGGCCCGTGGGCAATGCCCACCCGCCCGTCCATGGGCGGATGTCGCAGTCTATCTCCTACCGTAATCGAATAGGTTCACTTAATATACTAGTTCAACCGCCCACGAAGTCTGTCGATAGGAAACTCGCTTAACGTCTTTCCAAGTTGCTTTAAATAACTACTATGTGTAAATCGTGCCCAGTCGCCCAGCTAACAATCTGTTGTAGAGAATTGTTGGAATAGAATTTATTGGTTCAAGCTAATCTCAGACTACTACAATACAATGTAACGCAATGGGATATGTAATAATTATAATATAGGATAGAAGATAGACCCATTTGCATGTTTTCCACACCCAACCAACTCTCTCAAACACGATCAAAACATCGCAAGTCGGGCCGGCGACTTTCTTTCCTTGGCAAATGAAGCGTGGTAGACTGGTCTTGCGGCAGAGGCTAAGGCGACACCCAGCCGATATCCTCCAAGTCAATGATGAACAAGTTTTTCTTTTCCCAATTCCACGCAATGTTGCGCCAGGCCCCGTCCTGATGACTAGCGCCATAGGCTCTAAGCATGTTTAGCTTTTGGATTGTATTCATCTCCAAGAAATCGCGCGTTTTATCGATGGTTGGATGATCAAGTCGGATCCCTGCCTAGCTAAGCACCAATATATGACGTATTCGAGCCCTATGATACCGGTACTGGATGTTTGTGTTCGTGCTAAACAGCCCCAGGCAGATAGGCATACAGTTTCCTAGTAGCACAGCTAGAGACTAGTAGGTGCAATATACGAATTTAATGCTGCACTCGCGACTATAAGTGGTGGCTTTGATTATCACTGTATACCTTTGCGAAAGCAAAGTCGCCTTGATCATGCAGGCGGTTTGATCGCGTATGTTCAGCTGCTAGAATTTGGTCATGATGGTAAATGTACCTTTTGCTATACGGGCTAAATATTTAGATGAGCAATATTTAGGTGGGTGAATATCTGCCCTGAGTCCCCTGAATAGAGCAGCAAGCCGCCCACGCCCGAACCGTGGGCGCTAGGTGACCACCACCTCAGACATGCTGTTGTATGTTTTTTTTTTTTTGTTTCTTTGATTCATTCGGAAATCCCCTCTTGCCGCCCTAATCTTCAGTCCATTCAGCTACTCACCTGAATGCCCTGAACACCACTATTCTGCACCTGAATATCCTGCACGCCCCTGAACCGCTGACGTGTCCTCCCCCTCCTCCACTGATTTTTTCTCAGGCGTGTTGTTTTGATCACAACTCTCTGGTACTAGCTTTTACCGGTTGACACATGTCCTGCTAGGATTCAATGACAGTAGGAAAGAAAAAGAAGAAGGACCGCCTAGGAATATCAAAGTTTTTATTGAATATAACTTCGCTGGTGGTCACCCTCTCCATTACCAACTCACCGGCGAGTCCCTTATGTGCGGTCAATATGTTGTAGTTCGGTGGTCACCCGGGTGAGAAATGGGTGACCGACGCTTGGACCCTCTCAGCTGAACCAAGGTGTCAGTTTATTGGGTTGCCTAGTCCGTCTGACTGGGTTTCTTGCATGCGCACAGCCACCAACTAACTTAGCTATCGTAGCCTAAAGGTAACTGAAGTCATTCTTCACTCCTGCTAGTATCTAAGCCGGACTAGCCACGAGAACCTCCCTTCAATAATTGCGATATCGGACTAATTTGTAAAACATTTGGTCAAAAAGGTGACTTTTATTTTGCAAGCTGTAAGATTCGAACCCTTCACTAAGTATGATATAGGCGCTCCCCTATACAGAGAGGTTCAACATTTGACAAGAAAAGGTCACTCTGCCTATATCATATTTGTATCATTCTGAAGAAAGACTCGCCCTGGTAACTCCCGTAAATTGGACTGTGACCAATGGATATCTGCAAGGCCGCATCAGAGGGGCATGCAAATATCGTGCAACTCCTTCTTGACCAAGGGGCGGATGTCAACGCCCAAGACGGCAAGAATGGGACTGCTCTCCAGGCCGCCGCATTGGAAGGGCACGCACATATAGTGCGACTGCTTCTCGACCAAGGGGCGGACGTCAACGCTCAAGGCGGCTGGTATGGAACTGCTCTCCAGGCCGCCTCTTTGAGAGGACACGGAGAGGTTGTGCAGATGCTTCTTGACCAAGGCGCAGATATCAACGCTCGAGGTGGCGAGGATGGAACTGCTCTTCATAGCGCTGCCTTAGGAGGGCACCCAGAGAATATTCGACTCCGCCTTAAACGAGGTGCGGACGTTAACGCCCAAGGCGGAGAGGATGGAACGGCCCTCCACCGCAAGAAGTTTGCTAGACCGCCAATTAAGGTAGCCTGTCTGCCCTGGTAAGCAAATCCTTTGAAGAAAAAAAAGACGAACTTGACTAATCTTATTCTAGTCGGGCTTCGAGAACACGATGTGGCGGCCAGATGCCATGCGCGAGTGTATGTTTTCTTTGTATTTTGAGTACTTTGGGGGTTTTTTATTTTATTTTGGATCTGAGTTTATCAATGTTCATTGCATGGTCTAACATTCACTTTAGTGTATTAGGAAAGGCAGAGAATGCTGTTATCTACCCAGCAAACAAGACGGGCCACACAAAAAGAAGGAGAAGTCCTCCCTGTCACCAGAACAGGAATCAAGACGAGATGAGGCTCTGTATAATGATGTTCCCTCACCCCCGGAGTTTGAAGAAGGTACGTCATCGACATTCCCAAAAAAAGATGGAACTGCTCTCCACGCCGCCGCCTTAGGAGGTCACACGGAGACTATTCGACTCCTTCTTGAACGAGGTGCGGACGTCAACGCCCAAGGTGGAGAGGATGGAACGGCCCTCTACGCCGCCGCGTTAAGAGGACATACGGAGACTATTCAACTCCTTCTTGAACGAGGTGCCGACATCAACGCCCAAGGTGGAGAGGATGGAATGGCCCTCTACGCCGCTGCATCGAGAGGACACACAGAGACTGTGCGACTCCTTCTCGACCAAAGCGCGGACTTCAACGCTCGAAATGGCGAGGATAGAACTGCTCTCCATGCCGCCGCCTTAGGAGGACACACGGAGATTGTACTACTGCTTCTCCTACAAGGCGCGGACGTGAACGCCCAAAGTAGCGAGGATGGAACTGCTCTCCAGGCCGCCGCTTTAGGAGGACACACGGAGATTGTACTACTGCTTCTCCAACAGGGTGCAGACGCTAACGCTCAAGGCGGCCAGAATGGAACTGCTTTCCAGGCCGCTGCATCACAGGGCCATACAGAGATTTTGCAGGTAATCTTGAGCAGACAAGGGTACACGACCCCGATCACCGAGGAAAATCTCAAGGCAATTTTGAACAATTCAAATGCGCTCCAGCTGATGACCTCGATTCTCGCGTATCAAGCCGATAAAATCATTATCACAGAGGAAGTTCTGATGGCAGCCGCGCAAAACCCGAGGGGAGTTCAGTTGATGGCCCTTTTGCTAGAGAGCAGTGCCAAAATCTCGGAAGAATACATCTGGGTACGGGATCTAGAGAAGGTCGGTTATAGCTACCAGGAGATTATTGATCTTCTTCTAGAAGATAGGAATGATTCTCCTTGGTTTTCTTTCGAGTCAACCTACTCCCCCGACGTCAAAGTTCAGCCTGGTCGACATGTTCAGGGTTGTTGTCACCAGATTTCGCCATACGAAGCAAGGCCAATGCAAATTTTCGATCCCAAATTTGAAAACGATATAACAAATGATCATCATGAAATAATCCTTCAGATCCAAGAGTTCTGTGGTTTGGCTGGAATAAAGCCAACCACGCCAAGGGTGACCGAGTGGGTTGGATACATTGAGTTCAATAAGGTTCATCAGGTACTTACGGTGTCATATACCCTGCCAACGGAAGGAAGCAACCCGCCCGATGTTGGAACAATATGGTCTCGCATCTCTCGAGCTCTGGATGGACTTTATCACGCTGTTGCTTTAATGCAGGCAAACAATCTTTGCTGCAATTCCTTCACAGTTCTCAAATCAGGGTTCCAAGGCCACGAACCGTCTTCGTCATCTCTGGTAGAAATTATTTCTGTTTCTTTCAAGTCAGTTTTGGTCCTTATTGAGGAGCTGCAAAACGTCATAAACCCAGCCTCTAAGCTCTCTGACACTAGAAAGCTTCTATCTGCATCCACGGCAATCCTCGGACTCATTTGGCAAGAAATACCGGATGCTCCAGGTGACTCTAGCATGGAGTGGTCCCTTCATGTCTGTGCGCTAGCAGTCCAATTTCTCTGCCTTGGCTTTCTATCATACAGTCAAGCGCATATCGAACCCCTTCGACCTTTTTTCTTAGATTTCTTCGCCCAGCAAGTGAGACTGATGGGCCTTCACAGGGACGCGACCTATCCGTTTTTGGTAGCAGAACTTGTCAATCTCACTTGTTTAGGTAACATGACCCGTGGGAAAGTCTTGTTATTCCGTGCCAGCAAAGATCCATTACAGAAACAATCCTTGGAGACTCAAAGCCAACAAGTAATCCAAAAGCATGACGTCTTGGGCCATACCGAAAATATACTGGATACATGGGGACCCGGAAACCTGATACTTCGAGGAGACGGAAGTCGCGCTCCTGTGGCCATAAAAATTGGAGATGGCTTTATTTTCGCTCATGAAGGTGCAAAATTTCATTGGAGCCAGCAAATGCCTGGTATCGAGGGTTTGAGGTCGATTGAGATGGAACAGTCACTTTTGATTGGCTCTTTGGTCGCAGTAAATGCTGCCTGTAAACCTATCGAAGCTGATTCCCGCATTATATCAGCCAATCTTTTGGAAGAACTCGGAACAAGCCGTTCTCTCTGGCAAAAGTCGCAACGACAATTAGGCATCCAAGGGGGCCAGTATGTTGTTTGCCAAGCCACTGAAACTTGGAATAAACAAACAGGCATCCCGGTGAAAGACAGAGCGCTCTCATATCCGTCCGAAGTGCTTATTCAATACCTCGATTACTATTGGGGAGTCCAAGTGAGCTACTGCACTGGAGTAGCCAAGAGAGTCCGTTTAAGAAAGTTGGTGGCAGATTTGGTACAGCATTTCTCTGCCGGATCGGCATTCAACTTTGATACTCTCGAAGCCAAAATGAATGACGAGACGCTACGACCAAAGGACCTTCAGATCTGGCTTAGCAGCCTGGGCCCAGACATACGCGCAGAACTTCTAAATATCATCTGTGATATTTTGAATACTCTTCGACACACCGGACTAGACAGCACGGAGACATACTTTTGTGTTGCCTGGCCATTCGAGGGTAACATCACTCAGTGCGTTAAAATTCCCCTTGAGCATGATAGCTCATGGGCCAGATTTCTGGCAGATTCTCATGATTGTGCAACTTTTGCGTATATCACAATGGAATGTTTCGAGACGGCTGAATTCAGATGCAGCAAGACTCCAGAACCCTGCCTTAAAATATGCCAACTGGAGACTGCCGTTTCTCGCAGCAGAAAGGAAAAGCATGAATCGTTCCTACAGCATCAGGAAATTTGCTTCTTTTCCAAGCAGGATACCCTGTTCTGGGTCAAAGTACTGAAACAGCATACAGATCAACCGGCAAGTCTTATTGACTTGGTGCATATTCAATCCATACCATATAAAATCAGACAGAGATTATATTTGAGCGAGAGAAGGAAGCAGCGGAGTCGTTTGCGCGAGTGTGCTACAATGTGGACCCAAGGAGAAGCCGTTTCGGTATTCTCCGTACGAAGATCGAGAAAATCACATTAAACGCTGTTGTGGGAGCATCAAACTCTCCAAAGTATCGGGACGTTGCTTTAGTGGCTCTAGATACCAATCGATATACTGATCGGGCAAAGCCACAGCACCGTTGAACCAAGCACAAACGACAACGGTGTCCGCTGAAGGAAAGTACTCTCTATTCTGTTGGTAAAGAGCAGCCACTCGACCCATCATATAATGGGCTTTGTTATCACCCACAAACAGATCAGGTGATGGTTGCAAAGGTTGCGGAGGAATATGAGCAAGAATAGCACCGTGTGCGGATGCTATGAGAACGACAGAGCAAGATCCAAGGTCCCTGGTACCAATTGCCGCCAGTTGTTGGAAAGAAAGAAACTGGATGTCGCCCATTGGGACCACAAGAACTGCACGAGAGGCTTGCCATTGAGCGAGGATTCCGGACATTGTGGGGAGATCAGAAAATAGAAGTGTATGATATTTTGCTCATCAAGTTAGAAGGGTCATGTCCATCAAGAGTAATCTTCTGCTACTTTATAGTCTCTCAATGAAGCTGCTAAGGATAGGCAAGACGGCTGACAATGAGTTTCACATCCCTGGCTACTTTCTAATTCGAATTGATAGACTGCGTACTCCGTACAGTGCACCTAAGCTAGCCGCCCACCCTGAAAACATGTAGAAAATGCAAGTCTCCAATTGGTGGTTTTTAAGCCCCACTCAAGCTGGCGCGGCGAAAGTGGAACGCTTTTACCTACACTGTACGGAGTAGGCTAGGATCCATTGGGGGCTCAACCTGTCCTGCCTCGGTCGCATAGATCATTAATTAATACTTCCACGAGGGTGGTTCCCATACGTTCTAGTTCGCAGCCATGTATACTATAGCCAATCAGCTTGTTCTTAACCGGGCTGCTTGCTCAGCATTTTGCTGCGAAACCCGGCCTAATGTGCACATTTTCTAATTGGTTAACTCGGTGCAACGTCTGGTGACTTCGACTCAACTTAAATACCTCTCTCTCCCTCGCCACTTAACTGCGCAGGTTATACTTTCCGCTTCATTCAGCCCACCCAAGCACGTGTGTCAAAGAAATTGTGAAGACTTCCCCATTGAAATCCCGCTATGGATGTCCTGCCACCGCCAGACTACCCTCCGGTCCAACCAAGCGATTACCCTCAAATTCCAACTCGGACGCCACCAGCGACTCTTGAGGTATTGCGTGCTTCTTATGTTAGCGATGGTATTCAGAAATTTCGGGAGATCTTTGAATCACAAAGTTCTTCGTCGGAGGGGTTTGACATATGCGACTTCTATGCGATAATGATCGAAGCCATCAAACGAGACGACGTACAGTTCATCAAAGAACTCCTTGATCGCGGCTTGCCCATGGATCCGCTCTATACTCTCGAAGCCGTTAATGCGAAGGCAAAGGATGCCCTGGAGGTATTCCTTAAAAAAGGATGGAATATCAACCAGCCTATGAGCGAACTCAAACCTCCCGTACTAGGGTGAGGCTCGTCCCAATAAACCATCTCATCGATAACATTATAACATTGGTTCAGTTATGCTATTGCAGATGAGGAGATGGTAGCTTGGCTCCTTGATCATGGAGCTGATCCTAATCAACAATGTGTTATTGACCTCACTCCACTTTCCCTTACTGTCGAGAGCGCGCCAGTATCAGTCATCCAGCTCATGCTCAGTCGTGGCGGAGATGTTCGAAAAGGCCAACTTCTCCATCACGCAATTGAACGGCATTCGGATAACATTGCGGTCTTAAGCCTTCTTCTAGGGAAAGGGGCAGATATTAATTCAACTATGTACGAGGACCATTATCCTTCTCGGGCGCTATTCTCTTTCATGGACCTCGGAACGCCTCTGCATAAAGCGGCTGAACTCGGTAAAGCGGATGTGGTTCGCTACTTGGTCAGCAAAGGAGCGAACTTGAATAATAAAGATGCAAAAGGTCGCACAGCTCTGGAGTATGCGCGAATGTTAAATCAGCGGGAGGTGACTCATGCACTCGAGAAAGGCAAGTAGCTTGTCCTTTCCTTCTTGAATACGCTCGGTCATGTTTCATTTGGATGGACTGGTCTACGATTTATGTTACCGTTCCAGCATTCGAAATTAGTTTCATCATAAACGCGCTTCCTGTACAATCATCTTCAAGGCCTGCAAAACAGTATCCAGCAAGAGTTTGGCTATGCTGATACTGCAATCGAACCTCTTGACAGTAAATACACAGTACATGACAACTACTATCATTGATCCGAAGCTATCTTTCCTTTCCAAGTGTCCACTGCTTGTTTTCCTCTCCAGAGGTACATGCGGCCGTTGAGCCGCACCCTTTCCAAATCGTGGCCTGAGTAAGCCCTAAGTTGTATCAAAGTGCCCTTGACCAGTAGCCAAGGTAGATGGGAATTGTTGCGACTAAATACAGTTGCTAGCTTGCCGGTCCGCTTAATGTTATTGTTTTCGGGTGCCTGTCTTCTGGGCTTTTAGACGATCTGGTAGGTACACCTCACTGTCGTCCTTTTGCACCAATGTACCATGTTACCCAAACCAAAGGACTACAATGTCACTTAATTTTATCTAAGCGCGGCAATACGAATTATCTTGTTCTTCATGCAAGAATACGTATATTTATCCTCGGGGACCATATACAATGGCCACAAGCTTGACTATGGGAACACTTTAGCCGCGCCGCTGTTGCGTGACATCTGCGTCTATGCTAGAGCTATACGAAGGTGCTTTTCTTGACGCTGTGGTTCAAACAACTTCCTCTTTGTTACACTCGACTGTCTCTTTTTCAAACCAGGGCTCAATGCCACGTTACAGAAGTTAATGATAAGAACCCGCCTCAGCTTTGAATTCCACAGCAGATTTCTATCATTGAGGTCGCCATACACCACCACGAGTGAGTAGATCTCTCTCTTAGATCGTCGAAGCTCACGATCTAGCTTCACCGAAAGCTCTAATCCACTTATTCGCTCGCCGCCCTAAGCCATGAGTAGTGTGTGTCGAATCCTACCTGCTTCGTGGAGGAAATAAATCGTAGCCAGGTCAATTGTTCCTAGGAAAATAGGGATGGGCCATATACCTTATCCCCAACACGAAATTTTGGGTTCTATATATGAATTTGGTAAGTAAATGTAAATTTGTTGCTAGGAAAACTCGCAGCATTAGAATTAGCGATGTATGGAAGATCATCGTTTGAAAAGATGAAAGAGTTCTGAGTGTTCCTAGTCAGAGTCAATATATCAGATATAGAAGTTACAATTTAGATATAAAGAAAATAATAGATTTAGAAGGTTGAATATAGTATTATCCACTTTAGAATATATATATCTCTCTTTCAAGAATCAAGATATTTTTACTCTTCTAATTTTTTTACCAAAAATACGAACACTTCTAAGCCCTAAAATCCTCACTGTTGTATGTTTCTGTTTTTTGTTTCTTTGATTCGTTAGCAAATCACACTTCTTACTAACTCCCATGGGACAGACGTGTAGCATAGAAGAGTAGTCCCACCCAGGATTTAGGAGGCCAGAATAGCGAATAATTTCTGTTCTCCGCTACCTGGCATTGAGAAAGTCCGGTACTATGGTGCCTCCGCGTGGTCTGATAGCGTTTGCTCCCTCTAGCGAAAGGATAGACACCTCTTCGTGGTGGTGGAGACTAGTACACAAATACTGGTGGTTCTACAGAAGCTAAGACCTATCCTCGAGATCTTATGTCAGAGTATTAAGGAAGACATTTTGACGATCGAAGCCAACTTAGTATTGAAGATGATCATAGTAGACAGGGCATCAGGGACAAATGCGGAAATAGATATAAAAGGTAATAATGTTAAGCGAGCATTATGATAACACCTGAAGATATATTGCCTGTAGGTGTATATGACGATGACCTTTGGCCCTGTAACGCAAGTATTTCAATGTCTGTTCCCTGGAACAGGAGACCAACCCTTCTATATACGCTGCGTAGGTGAGTGATTGCTAGGTCGATATGGAGCTAGTTAAAATACTACGTAATAGAAATTGCTTAGATGCCATTATCATTGAATTTTACATGTTGATATATCTGAATACTATCCTCCAGCTAGACTATATCACTCAAGCTTGTTCCAAAAATCAATATTAGACAATAACATACATTTCTAAGAGTTTCATTCCCAAACAGCTGCTCCCACCACACAGTGTAGGCAACCAGACTGGGCGTGAAAAACTAGCCCGCGCGTGAGCAGAAGAAGCCTGCATGCTGGACTACCTACAGGGCCTCAACTCAGCCCGTAGACTGTCCTCTTAAAATACCCAACTCGGTAAGAACCGACGGAACCTGGCCAGAGCACCTGGGCCCGCACCCAGGTATGCCCCGGGGCCGCGCGGATGGTCGGCGCACATGCGGACGTCGGCCATGGTAACGCCCTCGGGCAGCTCTGCTGGGTCGATCCTCATCACGCCTAGAGACCCGCACTCAGCTTCTGCCGCGGCGACCTCGTCGGGGGTTGCATCCGGGCCGAGAGCGGCGAGGGTAGTGGTTGCAGAGATGCCAAGGAGGAGATAGAGGTAGGTGAGGGGTTTCATGTTGGAGTTATGAGCTTATAGAGTGGTGTAGTTAGCCTAAGAAAAATAAAGGAAAGGAAGACGAAGAGTGAAAGAGGGCTGATCAAGAAAGAAAGATAGGGGAAAGGGGATTTCGTACCTTTGAAACCTTACGCAGGAATACTGTAAGGGTATTTGGTGAGTGTAAAGGGGAAGGTGGTAGGCGCTAATCCTCTGGGAAATAAAGATATTAATAAGTTGGGAAGCGGTGGTCTTAATCCTGGCTGCTACTAGCGGGCAAGAATATAAGTCTCTCGTGCTGAGTGGGGCGTTGTGGGGTTCGGTGCTAGATCTCAGAGCTTAGCCTGGCGGAAAGCCTGCTTCTTTATATGGCTAAGACCGCCGACGTCGGGCGAACAGGCGACGTGGTCGAAAGTCGCCCCAGGCAGCCGGATTGGGTAGTACCCTTGTTTGCTGCCTGGTCACAGGGCAACCTTGATGGGGAAAAGCACTCACTTTCTAGGCAAGGATCTATCCAACCACTAGGCCTTCGGGTTGAGTCATAGAGCACAGTGAGGTCTCACCCTGTCACCGCTTCTATCTACGAAGGCATGCATATAGGGAATTCTCATATCTGGTTAGCATAGAGTGCCCAATGGCAAGAGTATGGCATGACTGGGTTCATCAATATAATGTCAGGGTTACAAAGACACGGTCCAGAACTCCATTCTCTCACAGGACACTGAAAGTGCCCCGGACCGGCCCGACCTTAGAGTGGGGAAACAACCATTTTCAAATAGTATTAAACGATTGGGGATCTGGGGAGCTTAATTAAATTTAGGGACCTTGTGGGGTGTTGCTCTGTTGATATCCCTGATGACTAGGTCGCGGAATCAAGTTTTTAACACACCAAATCATAGCGCCACGGAGATAGTCTCAAATAGAGGCGAAGCGGAGCTGTCGAGGTTCATGGCCTGCTTCCTCTTCTAAACTTGCCACTGTCATTAATCACTTTAGTGACACGGGGCTTCTTTCCCTCTCCTTTTTTTTGGCTAATGATGGGTTCCGGAGTCGAGACTTCCAAGTGGAAGGCACTCGGGGAAGCTCTTACCTATTGTGAATAAGCGTAAAAAAATGACTCGCGTGTCTCAGTTCAAAGTGGCTAAGTCGTCAAGGGTTCGAGAGAATCAACAGACGACAGGGGTGTTGATTGGTTGGCCACGATCATGATGGCGCTTTAGCGGCCCGACACACCGAGGTCTGTCCGATTGGCTATAGGCGAGATAGTAAGATACAGCAAGGGACGTAGAGAACCGCTCTAGAATACTAATCACACATCCTTGGACTGACAGGTAACCTGCCTAAGCGCAAAAACTCTGGGAGAGGCTACTGCCCTTGCCCTATATACAGTGTATGTCGGCGCAAAAAGCCTTAAAAGGCCAGTATATTGCTAAATAAACCTGGCTCTACATAGCTTAAGACAAGTAGAAAGACCATAATGAACAAACAGCTGCTCCGGGCTATCCATCTACTCTACTAATAGACCCACACGGGCATTCTCTAGCTGCATCATGCCAGTCTTACACTACATGGATTGCACGACTAGCAGGCCGGGGGATTGGTGCTGGTTTGAGATAACGAGGGGTTAACTAGGGTCGAGGTTGCGTTACACCTACGGCCGCTCTTGCGCATCAGAATCCTGCTCATCGAGACGAGGACCAAGCACGGTGATTAGTTCACGGAAGGCGGGGGACTATAGGGTGTGGATGGTAGTATCGTCTCTCGGATATAGATGCTCCGTTCTTAACAAGAAGAGGTATAAAAGGTAAGATCATTCCCAACCATCTAAGATATATCCAGCTAGGTCTATCCTTCTTACAGCAACACAGTCTGATATCCAGTCTCTCCGCTTGCCCAAGAACGCACATATCTTACCTACAATTGGTAGGCTCCTTGTTCTCTCTTCTGCATCTCAACCCCAATGAGCATACTTACCCTTCAGCATCTGTAGCCACCGCATCCACGATGAAGCTCCCTATCACTTTTATTAGCATGCTCGCCCTCTCCTCCGCGCTGACTCTCACCCCGCGAGCAGCGGAAGGGGACCCCGTCGTTGAATGCGGCGACCTCGACGTTATGACCGTCGACCCAGCCGACCTCCCCGCAGGCGTCGCCCCTAGCGACGTCCGTAAATGTCTGGACCACCCGCTCGGCCGGAACCGGCTCGTTAAGGGCGCATCGCTGGCGCCGCTCGACGCGGTGGATGCCTCGTTCTACAACAGCACGGTGGACACAGACACCAGCCCTGTGGAGGCTCGCTCAGACGGCCTCGGCGGCCTGCAGGAACGGGCGTGCTATAAGGATGCGCCATATGGGTGCTCTGGTGGATATTGCTGGAAGGCCTGCGGGGATACGAATAAGGGCGAGTGGTGCTGGACAGCGGCGAAAGCCGGCTTGGGCGCTTGGATTAAGTGCAGTAAATGGCAAGACTGTGGGACTGCGACGTATGCGTGTGGGAGGGGAGGGTGTCCATCCTGTGGGTGCGGTTGCTAGCGGGAAGGCTAGGTTGAGGTAGATAGTTAGTGTTAAGATTCGGCTAGTATTGGAGGATGGACGATCTAGGAAGTGCTTTCAAATTGGGCATAGGTACAATATATGGATATACTTTGCAGGCCTAGGTATTAATACGTTAGCTCGGAATATTCGTAATGTCCATAAAGGTTTATATCGGCAGCGGTTGCATCACATCTTTTTGATTGTCAGGCTAGAGTTACGAAAATATCCTTCTACGCTTTGCTCCCTTCTCCCCACAGTCCCGATACACTATTCCACACTATATCTGAGCACTATGCTCATATATTCCAGACTCCGATATATATAGTGCATGACATGACAAGGGAGCTCAATAGCGGAATTTGAGAATGATGATTTTGCTTTGGAGTTGCTACGGGAGGACATTTATAAAAGGGTTTGCTTGTATTGATCTCATATGTTCGGATTGCTTTATTACATTTTCTTCGATCATTCTAATTTCTATTGCCGATTGGGTGAGCGTATCATCGCCACCAGCGTATAGTCGGGGTAAGGTATAAAGGTATCAACCTCCCGGAACCCATACTTCGCATACAAAGGTCTCCCATCCGGAGAGGCTGAGAGGAAAACCTCCACACCTTCATCATCAGCGCGCTTTAGACCCCAATTGAGAAGCTTCGAGCCCAGTCCCTTGCCCTGGTAGGAAGGGTGAACACCCAGCATATCGAGATCTATACATAACAATTAGTGATTGCTCTGCTCTCATTTGTTGATTGCAACAAGCATAAAGAAAAGAATGGAACCTTCCAACGAAAATAAAGAAAAAGCAGGAAAAACGTACAATAGTGAGGCCTCTCCCCCATCCACTTCTCATGTCGTGATTCCATACCATAGAAGAACCGATCGCAAAGCTCCTTATCGCTACTAGGAGGCCAAGCGATCTGTTCCTGTCGATCGCAATCTAAAGGTGCGGGACGCTTCCATTTCGCGAACGCGGCAATGGGGCCACTTTCCGACCCCTCCGTCACCTTGAGAAATATTTCGCTAGTCTCGCCTGCGATTGAGCGCTGGATATCGGTGCTGAATGATTTCACCCACCATTCGGTCACGTCTGGCTTGTTTGGGAACATAGTTGTGTCGAGATCGCTGCGGAAAGTGGCATAGAAGACTTGTGTGAGAGCGGGCGCGTCCGCGGGGGACGCGGGGTAGATCTCCAATGACATTTTGGGGGTTGTGATTGGAGTTTTCTGACAGTTTGAGGTGGTGATATTAGTATGTAGTCGTATAGGCACTAGAACAATGTCCAATGGCGTAGGTTGTGTGGTGAATTGGGATTTTTGGAGGTCGAAATTCGGTCTTAGGTGCTGAGTAGTGGGGGTGGAGAAGGCAAAGTGGATTTCAAATCCGCACAGCTCTACAAATATGCTGTACAAGAATGAAAGTCTTGTATGGCTTCAAAGGCAATAGCTCTGTATATATTAGTGGAAGTGAGAATAATATCCGTGGCAATTTTGACGTCAAGGGCTAATTCGTCCAATGAATATTAGACATAAGGTTATGCTATTAGACTCAACTGAGATACTTGGTTCAATAGTTGAAAGTCGAAAAAGACGTTTATACTTATATCTATACCTAGATGTATGCAAGTTTAAGTATACTGCACAACATACTGCGCTTGGCACATAAAATCAATAGGCTCGGAATGAGGCGTATATCTACACGCCCCTGACAGGTCACATGCGGCATCCAAGGGAGGCAATACGAACGTGCCAGCTTGCTTCGTTTCTCTGCACTATCAATCCCCCCATCTAATATGTGACAGTTAAGTACTCCGTACATATTCTTAGAAAGAACTCTAGCCATCAATTATCCCCCAGCCCACCAAGTCATACATATGCTATAACATGCAAACTCAAAGCTGATAATACAAAGTATTTTCCTCGTTGATGGTGTAATTTTCTACTGGAGCTTAATTATCTGATTATAAGCATTCTCCCAATGGCGATAACTCGACATGCTCTGAGATCATATATAAGCAAAGTGTCGCCATACCACGCCATCTCGCATAAACCACCATCATCTCTCCAAAAATGGCGACTAGTTCCAATAAGAAATTGATATCAGACCCATCAACGGGGAATTGTTGTCAAGCCGAACTGACTTTCTAAGCCGAGGTGACTTTCTAAGCCGAGGTGACTTTCTAAGCCGAGGCGGGGCAAGTTCGATAAGAAAATCGTGGCCCCTTGTGATCCTTGAAGTCTTCAAACATCCTAACCAACAGGCATTTTCAGAAATATCCTAATTATGGGCGACGCGCCAATCTCATCCGAGCATGTTCTGGTTGTTTTCTACCAAGCAATGCCAGAAGAGCTGGAAGATGTGATCCGACAGAAATTCTCCGATGCCGAGGTCACTATTCACCAGTCTCAGGGAGGTGTTCCTGTGCCACCTGGTAAGTGACTATCAGTATTAAAAGATTCGTGATGGAAATTAAATGTCCAGAATTATATCAAACTGCCACCGTCCTTGTAACTTTCACGGATCTTCCAGATCTCAAGGACTCGAAGAAGTAAGCTCCCACCCCAATTGTTTCTACTTTGTATTAACCTAGTTCTGTAGCCTTAAACTAATTCACACCTTCTCTGCTGGTGTGGATCATCTTTTGAAACACCCAATTTTGCAAGAAAGCAATATCCCGATCACTACAAGCTCGGGTATCCACGGTCCCCCAATTGCAGAATGGACCGTGATGAACTGGCTAGTCACATCCCGTAAACATTCCTTGAGCTACGAGGCCCAGAAATTACATGTCTGGGAAGATAAAGCCCCATACACGAAAGGCATACATGATCAAGTGGGCAAGAAGGTTGGTATTCTAGGATATGGAAGTATCGGGCGCCAAAGTATGTTTCACCCTCGATATACACTATTATCAAAGAACCATGTCTAAATTTCCTACAGTCGCCCGCGTCTCGAAAGCATTAGGTATGACCGTCTACGCATACACGGCCACCCCGCGCCAAACACCCGAATCCCGCCGTGACACAGGCTACATCGTGCCCGGTACCGGAGACCCAGACGGGTCTATCCCAACATCTTGGCATCACGGAACAGACCGGGAATCCATCCATTCTTTCTTGGCTCTCGGGCTGGATCATCTCGTGATCTCACTGCCATTGACTCCGCAAACAACCCGTCTCCTCGGCGCAGAGGAATTCGCCATCCTATCTGACAACTCCCATCACCATGCGAGCAAGCCTTACGTGACGAACATCTCGCGAGGCAAGGTTATCGATCAGAAGGCTTTGGTGGATGCATTGAATTCGGGTATCTTGGGCGGTGCCGCCCTTGATGTTACTGACCCTGAACCTCTTCCAAAGGATGATCCTCTGTGGGATGCGGCCAATGTTCAGATCAGTCCACATGTCAGTGGTCTTGGGATGGAATATCTCTCGCGCTCTCTTGATATCCTCCAGGTAAACTTGGGGCGTATCGCTAGGGGCGAGCCGTTGATCAACTCTTATGTACGGGGGAAAGGGTATTAGATTTTACATATCAGGGATTGACAGTGATGCCCCAAGGCTGGATGACATCTGAATGTACTGTCTGCTTCACCGAGGTGGGGATCATAAGTCAGCACAACTTCGTCGAAGCGCTGTCCCAACAATTGTCGTATTTCATTCCCTATTTCTACTCGGTACATTGTCTCCCCACAAGATGTGTAAAGCCTCCAACTCTCGCCGTCGTCGCCGTTTCTCCGCTGCTTCCTGGCTCATGTCCCATAACACTTCCTTTTTTATATAGTCGCGATGCTTTTTCACATGCTCCTCTGCCTCTGTTACGATCTATATCACTGTCAGCCTTCATCTCACAACCAATCACAGGGATTAGACTTACCAAGTATCCGTCCGCTGTTGAAATCTCGCAGCTTATGTAGTAACCAGGTCCCACGTATCCAATTTTGCTGAAGCGACTTGTCGTTTGTCTCATTATAATATTGCACCCGTGGCATATAAATGAATAGTTTTCTCGTTTTGGAGCCTGCGATTGTGGTGGTGCAGATGAGGTCTCCATGTCGCTGAGATCCGAAATGATGGGAAAAGGGGGATTGAAGAGAGGTCTGGGAATATGCAGGTCCAGGTTGATTATTGGATGGTGTTTTACTTTTTTAATGCAAAGGAATGAAGAAAAAGCAAAGAAAGGAAAAGCAACTCCCGCCAATAATATCAAGGATTATTGAATTCCGCATCTGGAAATCGGCAAGAACTTTTGTATGTTTCGAAACCTCATACTATACTGTTTAATCTCAACAATCTAGACATTTAGGCAGCTTTGCCTGTTCGACCTGTCTCATTGCTATATTATTACATATCATAAGTACATCTAAATCCCTCCTCAATAACCACACCGATAAAACCGCAACCAGCAACAGCCAATGCCCATGGATTCACCAAGTCCCGCAAACCAGGCCAAAAACTGTTCTTCTCTACCTGCCACTGTCGCAGCTGTCCATATTTATGTGGATCCTGAGACTTATAGCGCTCTTCCTGGTTAGCCTCAGTTTCCTTGTCACCACCCAAAAACCGAAGGAAGAGGTAGTTCGCAACAGGGCCCAATATCACAACCGGATTGAATGGACCAGCCATGTTAAGCAAAGCGAAAGAAACATGAACCAAAGTGTCCCCAAGGTAACTATACAACCATCAGCACATGCCATCCGATATGAAGGGCAATATATATATCACGACCAACTTACTTCGGATGCCTCACCAAACCCCAAACACCATGCCGACACAAATCCGTCCGTTCCTGTCGATGCAGCGCAAGCTGCATATCCGCCATAGCCTCCAATGCAAACCCAGCACCAAAAACCCCAACAGCAAGTGCCCTCACAACATCCACCACTTCATCCCCAATCGAAAGCCCAGTATCCATAGTAAACGGAACCGTGAACGACAAAGAGATAACACTCAACACCGCAGCTTCCGGTAAAAAGATCCTTAAAAAGGCACCCTTCCAAAATCCAGGCTCTTTTTTAACTGCCTCGTACCGCGCATCATCTCTCCCGCGAGAAAACGACCGATACGCGATCCGGGCAAAGAGCCTCGTGCCCCAGATAGCGACGCAGCTTAGGAGAACCCTTTTCGTCCATGGGAGAGCTGCGTAAGCTGTTCCGAATGAGATGCCGTGTTTGGTCATTGGTTGGCCGATGGCGGTCCACCAGGCATTGAGGACTTGGGCGGACGGCCAGAGCCAGTCTTTTAGTTCGACTCTGTTTGTTGCATCGGCTGCGATGTAGGTTGCTAATGAGAGGGAGGAGTACAGGGCGAAGGAGGGTAGAAGGGTTGATCTTAGGATTCCTACATCGCCGGGTGTTATGTTGCTTCTGAGGGGTGGGGAGTGGAGATAGCTAGAGGACTGGTTCTCTAGAGTTGAGGGGGGGATTAAGTATGCCATTTTGGCACATTGTTTGGAATATTGAGGGAGTAGATTATAAAATCGTGGTTTTATAGCTTTGAGGCTCCTCCCGGGACCAGTTAGTTACGGGTTGATGTCAAGATTATGTCACTGTCAAGTCGGCATCCGGTCTTGAACCGCCAAGTTGAACTAAATATTTGTATAATTGCATTGAACTTTTAGAAAAGTGATATAAAGTACATATCAAGTACACATGTGTAAGAATACCTATGAAAACCGAGGCCATGAAGCCCGATTTGCATCTTACACTTGAACAAACTACCGGAGAAGGGGGAAATGAAATATTCTCTTTATTGTAATAAATTGAATATACCAGATTCAATGGATCTCTCATATTTAATCTATAAAATAAATAAGAAGTAATGTTTAAGTACATGGATGAGATGACACATGGTCCTGGAGGTAAATATAGGAAGATCAGGTTAACAGTCAGCGGAGAGCACCTCTTTCAAGGTATGCTAGGGGCATAGCCAGCCTTAATTGTTTTCGTGGTTTGCGATATTTCTCAAATGTCGTGAAATGACGGTAGCAAGGTCAATTTCAATACCAAAAGGCGATCCATCCTTGTTCTTGTATCGTTGCTTCATAATGAGCATCAACCGGTCGTTCCAGAACGGCGAGCAGGTTGCAAGATCAGCTGCTGAGAATGCTGTAGCATTGTTGTCTTCGTCGGTGTATAAATCCTCAGGCATACTCCGTCTGAAGGAGTTCGAGTCGGAAGACAAGTCAACCGAGCAGGTTAACCCGAGATCATGCAGGTCGCAACCATCGGGGATACGTTCTAAGGGAAGTCTGTTGGTGGGTCGTTTCCGAACCTTGCTGTCCTTCTTCGAGGATTCATCGGTGGAATGGTCCATTTCCTTGCGGATGAGATATGCCCGGGGATCATGAGGAGAGAGCGTTGTGGTAGAGACCGGTTCGCCGACCGAAGTTTGCGACGAGGTTAACGCAGATTTTGCGGCAAGATATCGACTACGATGAGGTGAATGCGATACTGGGGCAGACTGTGAAGTGGATGGTTTATCGCCCCGCCCGAAGCGTGTGCGACTGTTCTGGATGGCTTCTTTCTTCCGCCTTTCGAAGTCAAGTGCTTTCTCAAGATCGGACAATTCATCATGACTGACGCCTCGATGAAGTTGAGCCGCCCATCTTTCAAGGACCGGACGTCCTCGACCGCTATCTATGGACTCTGGAATATGATCGCCATGCCGATGATGAGTGTCTTCTGGAGTGATGGTAGTCTTGGATGGACTGTCTGAGCAACCATCACTCTGCCCATCCACTTGCACAATATTTGGTGAAGTGTCCCTGGGTAATCCAAATCTTTCCTGGGCAAGGAAAGAAAGCGGCGAATCTGGTTCTTGGGTCGGTCCTTCCTCAACAAGGTTTTGCTCTAGCGAGACTTGTGTAGTCCTCTGAAACCAAGTGTCTAAAGCCCCGTTCCCATATCGATTTCGATCACGTTCCCTCTCGGCGTGCCGGGCGCTTGAAATGCGATTAGTCTCAGCGGATGACTCGGTCGATGCTTGCGGATCTTGTCGACGCCGTCTCACTGGCGACGTAAACGGACTTGTCATGTCTGAGTTTGGCAAATGCTGGATATTTTGCGAAACACTCTCCCTACGGGTTGGCCCTTTCAGGCTACTGCTAGAGAGAAGTACAGGACTTGTTTGGTCCAGAGGATCCCTTCCGCCTCGCGGTGTTTGAAATGAGGCATTGATTCGCGAGATAGACCACGGATTGACGAACCTGGAATGTTTCTTTGTGGAGGTAAGCGTTTCGTTAGGACTTTCGGGACCCTTGCTGCTAGAAGGAATTACAGGCGAAAAGACGCACTGATACGAGACCGGCTTCGGTGAGAGAGACGTAAAGGGTATAGGCTCACTGAAGGGGTCGTCAGGATCCGCAGGTTCTGTAGCTGGCTTCCTAGCCATCAAAAGCCCGAACCCTTCTGAGCTTTCATTGCGGTTGCAAACACCCTCTTTGCCTTCCGTGGAGGCTTTTGTCTCCGCCCCTTCTATTTTACCGTAGTGGTTGCGAAACAAATTCTCTACCAAGCCCAAGACTACATCTGGGTCTTCGAAGAGCAGATCGTCTTTCGCTGGCTCGATGTTGACATCGTATGTTCCTCGAGGACAGCGGATGTGCAAGCAGAGGAAAGGATCAATAACCGATTTGGAGAATTCGTTTTTGGATGCGGCGCCACGAACATATGGCTTGAAAATCCTAACAAGCTCATGTCCAATGCCCCTGCTACTAGAGAGAGGGCGGCCATCCACGCTAATGTATTGGCCTGCACTGTTGATCTTCGAGGTGTCTACTTAACTTGGTTGGTAATCACATCATCGGGCGTCGATCAAGATGAGCTCACCGAATTGTGTCTTTGGAAGAAAGGCGATGGCCTCATAATCTTTCTGATCTGATGATCCTCGTTCGTCCCCAGTGGTGCTATGGGAGGAAAGTCGCCTCAAGACACAACAAGAGGACACTTCTGTGCCGGTTACCTTGAGAGCTGCATCCGAGAGCGAGGCGTCTGCGCTTGGTGCGTATGTCCAATTGCTGTTTTCGTTTTTTGCCTTGAGAACTTTGAGTGAGAGCCTCTTTGATGGTTGAGCTATAGCATATGCTTGGAGAAGCTTTTTGATTCTCGTGAGATTTCTCGCGGCACCCTTCAAGGCAGTCTGCCTGCGAACAGGAATGTGTTTGAGAAAGTCCGTGATACGGACAGTTGTGCCCACAGGATGTGACGTCGGCTGTGATCTGCGATGAAAGGTTAGCGGAGGCAGGAAGACAAAAAGCTCGCGCGGTCAGCATACCCAGTAAGCTCTCCGTTTTTTCCGTACTTCAAACATAACCCGGCGACTTCAGACGCAACCCGAGTGGTGACAGCAAGTACACCGGACATCTCCGCGACACTAGCAAGTGCCTCACCACGAAATCCCAATGATGACCCACCGACATTTTTCAGATCATCTAAAGTCTGGATCTTGCTGGTAAAAGCTCGTTTGCAGACATGTTGCTGGTCCTCTGGAGAGATGCCATGGCCATTGTCTTTGAGCTGTATGACGTCCACGGTGTTTTGTGAAATTTCAATTTGCAACGACGTAGCAGAAGCATCAAGGGCATTGTCTACAAGTTCCTTCACAACGGAGTAGGGATCGGAGATAACAGATGTGGAGCCAATCGCCCGGATTGTTTTCTGAGGAAGGGCCTCAATCGGCATTCTGCACGCCTGGTATTAGATTTTCATCTCCGAATGCACAACAAATTGTTTCATCCAGCTAGTTGGGGTTAGAAAAAACATGCAAACAATTTCAATGGGTGATATTCGACGAATGTTTGACTCGGCAAATGTTGAAGGAAGATGAGATTGTCTTGGCACCCGAGGTCACGTGGAGTTGATGCCTTATGCTACGGGATTCTAGCTCATAGTTTGTATGGAGTTTTCTCTCTTCATCTCTCATTCTCACCCTCATCTCCTCCACCCATTAATTACCTAAAGTGTTTCCTTCTTTCCCCTGCTGCCTGTAGCTCATGGATTTGATACCTGATGAATAATGATGGTTCCTGTGGTCACCTGACCGTGGTTACGGAACTTTTAAGCTTCCGGGTCCCCACATATACCAGATTAAGCCTAGCGCCTTTTTGCTTCATCCTGTACAACCCAATCTACGCAGCGGTATAGACCCCAAAGGTCAAAACGCCATTTCTAGAGGATATTCCTTGATATCTCATCTTGGCCTGCTTTCTGACCGCTCCTCGCACCGGTTTATCAAATGTTGAAAGCTTATAAGGCCGACTATCTTGCAATAGTAATTCAAGTATCGTAATTATTCTGCTGGTCTTATTTCAGAAAATGAGGCATTAGGGCATCGATATTGCCTAGAAATGGGGGCTTGACCCCTGGCGTCGATACCGCTGCCTACATAATCACTTTTTATCGTACCCGAATGGTAACAAAATGATACTTATCACCTCGACTATTCCGACGTGGATTCCCTCAATAGTCCCTACTCATTAGTCTGCGGTAGATACTCACAGGCAACGACTCGCTAGTATAACAGATCTTTCAGACGTCTTCGTTGAATCTATAACACCAGATCCTTTCGACGGTAAACCTTTCCAACTAGAAAGTAAACCGGAGTATATCCAATGTATCCGAGATGGCCTCAATAAACCTTGAACCCAGTACTTTAAAAGTCCCCGAAATTGCCAATCTAGTATGTATCAGAATCCATGACTGCAAATCAAAATTTGCACATATTCAGAGTCGATGATGGTCTACTGGCTCATAGTTGCTTGTAAAAGTAGCAATGCTGAGGTTCGTTCTTTTTCTACGATCAACTAGCTTGCGAAGAATTATTTACTCAAGGACTCTGTTTTGAAAATGTTCTCATTGCATATGTAGATGAGCTAAGGAGCTCAGCAGTAACTGCTTCCTAGTTTGTATTTGGACCAAGACATCGGTCATATTGGCATACCCACTTGCACTTGGGTAAATCCACGCCTTCAGGCTGTTTTGTATTGTAGACATTGTGGACTGATGCAAACAGTTTCTTGCAGCCAAATTCTCTGGCTTGTTTGCAGGGCCAACGAGCTAACATAGTGTCTTTCCATATTGATCTTGGCCTGTATGTCTTCTTATAATCTGGGTCTGGGCATTTTCATCTGCCGTCTAAAGCGTTGATTTGGGAGCGTATCCCATCCAGGTATTATTCTCCCCTCCACGCTTTTGAGTGGGATATATTTTGAAATGCCGGAAGGCTTTTGGCAGTTCCATAAATTGTCCCACGTTTTATATTTATCTATTTAGTCAGCTTTGCAAAATCACGTAGTGTATAGACGTGGTGGGTGCACTTACTTCCAAGGTTTAATATATAAAGCAACTGTTAGACCCCCGCATAGTTACCGAAGAATATATTCCCTGCGCTCTTTTGGCTAACTTGTAGTTGAACATGGTATAACTACTGTTGTGCGTGGCGGCGTCGTCTATGACAGAAAACTGACATCCCACCAGTCGCTTCGGGGATTCCCTGAATGAATAAATAATAGTTAGTACAAATGTTTGAAAAGAAAGAACACATTGACTCACTTCACAGTTGCAACCAGTCATTTATAAATATAATTCGTGTGCTTATGAATAGGTAAGAGATGTGGAGAGAGGGAGAGGGTAAAAAGTCTCTGGAATCCAATTTATGGGAAGCGGGTATTTATAACCGCCAGCAGACAAGAAACAAACTGCTCAGTCTGTAGCAAACAAGTAAGATGGGATGGCCAAAGTACAACAATGATATACTTGTGTCTATGAATATAGGATTAATATACTTGTGTCTATGAATATAGGATTATGGGAATCGTGGGCTCCAGTAGCGGCACGTCCAAGTCCAGGAACATTGTGAGCCAAAACGGCAGCGAAGAAATCATCTGTAAATTGATGGATACGCCTTAGGGGGGCTTCTCAACAGGACCTGACTTCGATGGACGGCTTGAAAAAATTGGTCATCATTTAAAGGTTGGGAATTATAGGAAAGAGTTGACTTTGTTTCATAGAAGAATAGGCAGCTCTTATATGTTGGATCTCAAGAAGTAGTATTGAAGTGACTCACTTGGATCTCATTGTTCGGCACACCGCAGCTCAGCTGGCGATGGTACAGAAAAAATTGTCCTGTTTGGTATATGTAGTCACCCATTCACTTGATGGGAGCCGCGGCAAAGAGAAGATAAAAGAGGGGGAAAGGAGGAATCTGTGCGGGAGCTTGAAGAGACGCAAAACAAACAACAAGCGTAGCGTATGCTCAAGAGGCCAGCTCATGTGTCTACCCTGTTCTGCCCTGTGTCTAGGCCTGGCATGGAAGGCGCCAAAGTTAACACCCTGAAAATATGTGCGGGTTTCCTGAAAAGCCTCACCTGGTCCAAAGTCTGTGTGTCATCGGAAGCCAGTCATATATTACAGCCAAACCCTTTTAAAATCATCCCACTACTTTGAGGGGGCTGCCGCAGGGGTGGATAATCAAGTTGTGAGTTCATTGGCTATCGTTTAATGCCGGCGTTGGCATCACCCCCTTTAGCGCGCACGTACTCAGCCATAACCGCCCATCACACCCGGGCGCACCCCTATCTCTCACGACGCTAAAAATGGCATCCTTTTGTGTAGGTTTATATTGGCTACGCTGGCCTTGTTATGCTCACAAGAACGCTTGATGCGGCGCTACTAGCCTAGAGTGGAACAGCCACCAGCGTTAATCCTCTAAACAATTGGCTATGGGGGTCCCCTAGCGTATACCCATACGTGACATGTGTGGACTAATCCTACCTAAGCTATCGTCCAATTGCTAATCCAGCCTTACCAACTCTAACGACATTATAGCCACTACATATTTGAACAAAGCGACGGTGATTATATTTAAGATACCCTTGAGACCTCTCAGGGATTGTTGTCCAGTTGTTCTGTTTCACCTTGCCAACTTCTCATCTAGCGCGCGCGAGATGATCCTTGAAATCCCTCATGTGCAGAGATCATGTCCATCACACGTCCGTTCACAGTTAGAAACAATGAGTTTTGACTTACAAAAGGAACATATAATTCCAATCGCGACAAGAAAAACGGGATACCTATTCATTTTAGCTAAATCACCTTATTTTCACTATCCAGCCTTAACACTCTGAGTTACTCTGTCTTGCTTCGTTAAGGCTACGATCTTCTCGTTCCTTGTCTAGATATCAACCATGTCCGACAAGGAAGGGTCCCCCAATCAGCAGTCCAGCCCCCTTTCAGCCCCCGAGCGGTACAAAGTTTTCACACCAGAGTTCGACACAGTAGCCTACGATCCTCTGGACCCCGCCAAGCGATACCACACCGGCATCTTCGTTGAAACAGATCCGAAGACTCACGCAGGAGATCAATTTCATGTCACCGGCGACGTCATCGCCCGCAATGGCATGCGCTTTGAAGTGAAATCTGACTTTGTTCCTGTGGCGGACATATGTTTTCACAGAAACACAGAGATTGGATGGATTCACAAAGCCGATTATCCAAGAATACAACCTATCTTGGAAGCCTTGCCTAGACCGACCAAGCAGCAGGGACTTGACTTTTGGAGCTTGGATCCAGAGAAGCGAAATAAGCTTACCTGGACAAAGGAGGATGGGGAGCTCTATGGACCAGACGAACCAAGACGGCCAATCATGAAGTGCAATGAATGGACACATCAGCTTGCGATTCCGAAGTTGCGAGAAGTTGGAATCTTACATAGCTAGATTTGCGGTATGGGAAGGAGGCTGTTTCTGGAGCCAGAAGTGGTCATTGTCGGCGTCCTTTTCACAGGACATCATATTCATGGTAAATATATTAAACTAGTTGAAGATCTATCACGTCTCATTGTCTTGCCTCGAACAAAATAGGTGGTCTCCTAGTGATGGGTAGAAGACATCTCAGCCCCAAAGAATATTCAGCTTTGCCAGTATACTGTCTTTCTTGAGAGGCACATTCTCCGGGTCATTGTTAGCCTCGTCTATCGCTTGTTGAACCGGTACCATCTTTAGGGGAATAATCTCTGTCCGGCGAATCCACTTATAGCCCCCGTACGCGAAAAGGACGAGTGGAATGTCCCTAGTTCGAGAGTTAGTAGGCTGCACATAATGCGACAAGGAAGATACCCACAGATAAGACGATACAAATGAGGCAGGGTCCCAGTTTCCAGCTGTGAAAACTGCGAATCCTCCAGTCAGGAGAATGAGGACGCAAGAGACTAACGCGAACCAGCTTGTGAATCCTTGGTAATGTCAGTATGAAAGCCCTTCAATGACATGAAAACAGTGATACACACTGGTAATACGATTATGCCACGGCAACTCTGTTGGTGATATGCCCTGTTTATCGAGCGCTTGCAACAGACGAATATGGTTCAAAGCGATGGTGATCCACGAGACCAAGGTACCAGCTGCGGTCAAATCAACGAACCACCAGAAGACATTCATGGCGTTGTTGGAAACACACATGTAAGCCAACAAAGAGAAGGCAACCTGCAAAAGCACACACATGTATGGTACACCCCACTTGGTGGTGCGCAGGAATATCTTCGGAGCATGGCCCTTGATCGCAAGACCATATAATGTTCTCGTTCCAGCCAGAATACTCTGGTTCGATGCAGACCACGCAGAGGTTAAGCACACGGCATTCACAACGGAAGGAATAGCCTTGATACCTGCATCCCCGGCAGCAATGACGAACGGACTCGTGGTCGCCGTGCCAGAGTCGGAGCCAAGACGTTTATCTGCGCTGGAGACCAACATGCCCACGACTAAGACAGCGGCTATGTAGAAGATAGACACTCGTGCAAACACCCTTTTGCAGGCTTTGGGAATATTATGCCGTGGGTTTCTTGTTTCCGCAGCGGCCGTGGCCAAAGATTCCACACCTGCAAACGAGTAGACTGCATTGGTCATGACAGCCCAGAACCCTAGGAAGCGTCCCAAAGGTCCAGTAGCGATATACTCAACGAACGGGCCGGGGTCTTTCCAGTAGTGGAACCCTTTTCGGGGCACACCAGGCACACCACCGAGATCAATGACAAGTCCTAGAATGACCACAAAAACAACCAACAGGATTTTAAGAATCGCAAAAACGAACTCGATCTCGCCATAGACACGGATAAATGAGATGGCAACAACCACAGACACAATTATGAGGACAGTCACCCAGACCGCAGCACTAATATCGGTCCAGTATTGAATAAGGACCACACTGGCAGAGATCTCACTCGGAACGCTGATAAAGCATCCATAGACAACATTCCAGCCGACCGCGAATGCCAGCGCAGGGTCAACCAAAATCTCCGCATGTCGGACAAATGAACCAGTAACTGGTAGCAGGGCTGAGACTTCTCCCAGTGCAAATTGAATGCTACAGACTACCAGGCCGATAAACAAGTAGCCTAGCAGGGCGCCTAGAGGACCACCCGTGGCGATCGAACCACCTAGACCAAGAAAGAGACCTGTACCCTATAGTAAGTCAGAAAAAAGTGGTTATCTCAATAATGGTCTACATACAATTGCACCGGCAATGGCAATCATTTGAATATGGCGTTGCCCCAGACCCCGGATCAAGCTTTGGCGCTCATACTGAGTAACGATCTGCCCGTTGTCGGCGATGGCACCGCTCGATGGACCCGATTGTGGGGTGAAGTCTTGATCTTCCACATCCTGTAAATTCTGGACGGTATATCGACTCCCTGTTTTAGAGCTCTGGTCCTCGAATACCATGGCGTCGTTGCAGGAAGGAAAAGCTTCCAAAGAGAAAATATTTCCACGCGAGGGTCAAGTAGGTCAATCACACCATTTGACTGGTCGATGAGGAGAGACTAATTTTTGTTTATCAAGTGGGTTCAAAGCTTTCGCGTAACGGAATTTACATTAAAGGCGATATCGCTTCGGCTGAAACCCGAAGTTGGGGGCGGGGGAAAGGGAGTTCGAATTAAGTATCATGCATAAGTTGATTGGCTCATTACATGATGCGATGTCGATAGAGCAGATGTGAACAGTAGGAGACGCAATGCATTAATCGAACATTATGTTGTATCTCACACAGGGGGTCTGCGAGCTGTTCCAGTGTACAACATAGGTTCCACAGGCTTTTTTAACTTCAACCGAGAACAAGGCTAGCCCTATATTATTGATATAGGCCTTTCCACCCGTCTTCAGGATGTATCAGAATATCTCACAAACCGTACATGGAGATAAATTCCATTTGAAATGCTGAAATATTTCATGCGAGACATAGTTGATGCTAGAAAGCTTACCCTTTCCGTGATGTTTCCGAAAGGGAGCTAGTAATGCTCCGAGTTATTTTTGTAAAAATTCAATCCAAATCCATCAAACTAGATGAATCTTCAGTAACCAGGTGGTTAATGGGTTATTGCCAAGGAAATATTGGAAATAAGCCTCTAGTTGCTGTGCACCTCCCGAAGTTTTCCTGGGCGGGAAGCCGTGGATCTTAGAAGACGGTGCTTAGTAAGCCAGACACGGCGCTCGGGGTCCACCGCGTCATGAGGTGAGAAAGTGACTCAAGCTTACGTTTACTCTCTCCATTGCGCAGCCATGTCGTTAACATTGAAGCTCTCCTCCCTGGTAATCAGGACATTGTCCAAGCCAATTGCTGTAAGCTTCCATCTCGAACTCAATCCTGCCAAACCATAGGCTGACCCACACAGTCTCAAATCAAAGCCCAAGCCCGCGAACATGAACGATTTCGCAAGGTCTGTGTCTCTATGGCCCAGGCTCTTCACCGATTTGATATGCGTCTCCGACTAGGCACTCTCCGAGATAGTGCCGCGTCACAACGTCGAGCCGCCGCCGAAGCAGAAGCTCGAAAACACAAGCCTTCAATGCCCACTGTTCGAAATGCCGCCGATACGAAAGCTGCAGAGGAGGCAGAGGCCAAGGCCAAGGCTGCGGCAGAGGAGGCAGCCAAACCCCACCACTATCATATCCGTCCCCTTTCCGAGTCTAAAGCCATCGAGTCCGGTGCCAACTTCATCTCCGAATCCTTCCTCTTCCTTGTTGCTGGCAGCCTGATCCTCTTTGAGTCGTGGCGGGCACGGAACAAGGAAAGCACACGACGAGAAGGCGTGGAGGGAAGACTAGCAGAGCTGGAAAAGTCTGAAGAAGCGGCACGTGAAGCTCTGGTGGCACTAGAGAAGGAGCTACTCCAGCTAAGAGCGAAGCACGGCGACTTGCCCAAGTTGTCTACGAAGAGGATTCTATCTCCTGAGATATATGAACAAGCCCCAGAGTCAGAAGCGCCACTCGTCGCACAGGGGTGGCTGTCACGCCTTTCCTCGTACATTCCGTTTGGTCAACTTGTCGAGACGACCGAGTCTGCGCCTAATACCCAGCCCACAACAGAAAAGCCTGCCTCAATAACCCAAAGTTTGGACCTGTCTGCTACATCGACTAGTCAGAACCCATCTGCATCGCAGAAGTCGTGATTGTTCATTGATTAATATTCTAATATCTAACGATATCCCATTATATAAGGTTAGACTTGCATTTGCTTTTATATTCGGTCAAGATACCCCATTGAAAGACCATTTGAAATACTCCAAAGGCGGAGTCAATTTTGTCGATATCCTCCGCTCCTTCCTTGAATATAGTGGCTTCCATAGCTGGAATCAACAACTCTTCTCTTACACTCTTTCTCTTTCATCAGTCCTTTGGGTCTAACATCTCTCTTCTGTCATTGTTCTGCTTTCTTGATTCTCTCTTCACTATGCATACTCAATCTCATCCCGAAAAGCCGCCTCCATCTCCTCGCTCTGCTGCGAGCCCGCTCAATTCATCAGTTCCATTTATCCCCATATCTACACTCGCCCCTCGATCGGTGGATAGTGCCAGTCCTCCATCATCTCTTTCCATGTCCACTTTGGCATTGTCCCCACCTCCCCCAACACTCGGCCTTCGGGGTGAATATAACCCAGAACTTCGAAAATGCGATGAATGGCCGAGGCTGGCTCCCACCCTCACTGCTCTCGAGACAATGAAAGAAGGTATAATGATCCCCTCTATCTGTTTAGCGTTTAGGATTAACCGTATCCTTTAGCCTCGCCGAGGCCGCCGAAAACAGATTTCAGTTGTTAGTTCCCTTACTTCCTTGCAGAAAGTTCAAGTGTTAACTCCCCATCTAGCTATGTGGGCTGCTCGAGATGCCGACTTTAGCTTTGAGCTTACCTACCAGAACCGAACACTATCGTCATTTGATGTCCTTAATCAAACACACTTGATCAAACTCAATGCGCTTCTGTTAACTCCCAGTGCACTCAACGTGACCACGAGGCATCAGACTGCGATTGGAATCCAAAAGTTTACTCAAGCCAACAAAAATTCATTGGGGGTAATTGTGTATTTGATGGATACGAGATCGTCGGGTAACGAACAGATCGATGCAGTGCAGTCTCTCGGTGCACTACACCACTGCCTTTCATTGGGCTTCTCAGATCCACCGCCTGTTCTTGTTGTGTCTGACGCATCCTACCTTCTGGATTGCATAGGCAGTTACATGAAGAGTGCCTCACGGGCAAACCCGGTGCGTCATATTCAAGGACAAGCCTTACTCTTCGTTGGCCATTTGCTGATATAATGTGGGATTAGATTCCAGTCACCACGCCTAGAGATGAATCTCCGATGCCTAAAGCGCCCACGCCTGTGTCTACCTCTTTCCCAGCTCCCAAGTTTTCTACTTTTGCCCAGTCCAAAAGGTGAAGTTGAAGGTACATGCATTTCAGAAACAGCTGCTTTCTCGAGGGAATATCTTTGATCCCACCAAGCTTTACACGAAGAGAGTCAACGAAACGTAGCTGAACGAGAGGTGGACCTTTTTCATGATCTAGCATGTATGATTAACACATCATCACCCGATGCAAACATTTATATTCTCCCATCGGTGCTGTCTGCTAATGACATTTTATTCTACTGCACGAGGACCAAAAATCCAAGCTTTACTTGAGTGTGCACACACCCAGTGGGTTCTTGCTTCATTGGCCTTGCTAAACAGGTTGGATCCCGATGCCATGAGTCTCACTTTGAACAATATATAAACCTACCCCATCGTCATTATAAGTTTACATCCCTTCTACCGCTATCATACCATTGCCTTCCGGTTTTTACCCTCAGTTTGGCTTCCCTTTATACTATATATATGTCTTGTAGTTCTTCAAATTTAGTAGCAAGTTAGACTCTACCCTCCCTCGTACTACTAACAATTCTCACCGCTATAGGGTGGCCGAATGTGCACACTAGTTCTTGCACCTCGTGTAGTTCGCCACCCGATATTGGTATTGATCAAGAGAGTAGGCCTAGTTTCGCAGATCTGGGGCTAGGGAGTTCTAAAAATGAGCAGCGAGATTTCGTGTCAGATCAACAATAGAATTAAAGACGATATCATGGTGTCAAGAAATCTCCGGGTAGAAAACTACTAGTTAGGCAGGAGTATATTTGTCCTAACGGATATGCCCAATGACGTCGGTGTATCTATTCTTGACCGCATGAGCCACAAGCCCTGACGCGCGTGGCTGACCGTTGTTAGAAAAAGAATTGCCATGGAACAAAAATTAAACTGAGCAATGAGAATGCCTATATCAAAAAAAGATGATTCTTGGTAACCGGATAAATTGATATCCAAGTCGCCCCCTGAGGCAGCAACGGAACCAAAAGACCCTCTGTGGCGCAGCTGTTTGCTTCGGTTTGACTTGTTGTACGTAAGTCCGCCTGGGCACTTCCCTCTTACAATTACCTAGAATTGGTTCTAGACTTCCTATTCACTCTCAATTCCTCTTAACTTGTCACTAGAATTACCTCATTTAGTTGACAGGTCAGATTTCCCATTTCTCGCCTGGGCGCGAGATAAGAGGTTGACACAAGATGGTAGGTGTCCTACCACGTTGCGACCAGATAAGAACCCACTGACCCTGTGATTGCGATATAGGGTCAGTCACGACGCCCCGTTGGCGGAGAGAAGAAGAGCCGCTTCGGACGTTCCAAAGCAGTCGCCGATGTTGGCGATGGCCGACAAGCGGGGGGAAAGCCGCAGGTCAGGAAGGCCGCTTTCGAGAGCAGCAAGAAGAAGGAGATTGGCGTATCAGATCTTACACTGCTCAGCAAGATCTCCAACGAGGCTATCAACGACAACCTGAAGCTCCGGTTTGAGCACGACGAGATTTATGTAAGTGATCGCTGTCGCACGCGGACTGCGGGGTTGTGCGCGAACAGGAGTACAGGCTGACGAGATACTATTAGACTTATATTGGCCATGTGTTGGTCTCTGTGAATCCCTTCCGAGACTGTGAGTTGCCCCGCGGAGAGTATTCGGATTCCGGTTTGCTAACAGACTTGCGATCATTACAGTGGGCATCTACACAGATACTGTCCTCGATTCGTATCGCGGCAAGAACCGCCTCGAAGTCCCTCCCCATGTATTCGGAGTCGCCGAGTCGGCATACTACAATATGAAATCTTACAAGGACAACCAGTGTGTCATCATTTCTGGAGAGTCCGGTGCCGGAAAGACCGAGGCCGCGAAGCGGATCATGCAATACATTGCCAGTGTCTCCGGCGGTGGCGATTCGTCTATTCAGCAGACCAAGGAAATGGTATTGGCGACGAACCCGTTGCTGGAGTCATTCGGTAATGCGAAGACGCTGCGCAACAACAATTCCTCCCGATTCGGAAAGTACCTAGAATTGGAGTTCAATGCCAACGGTGAGCCGGTAGGAGCCAACATTACGAATTATCTGCTGGAGAAGTCGCGAGTTGTGGGACAAATTACGAATGAGCGAAATTTCCACATCTTCTACCAACTCACAAAGGGTGCCCCACAGAAGTACCGCGACAGCTTCGGTCTTCAGCAACCCCAGTCTTACCTCTACACGAGCCGATCCAAGTGTTACGATGTGCCAGGAATCGACGATGTTGCCGAGTTCAAGGATACACTTGATGCGATGAGGGTGATTGGAATGAGTGATGCCGAGCAGGACAATGTGTTCCGTATGCTGGCAGCTATTCTCTGGATCGGCAATGTTCAGTTCAGCGAGGACGACTCTGGAAATGCTATTATTAGCGACCAGTCAGTTGTTGATTTCGTCGCCTACCTGCTAGAAGTGGATTCTGCTCAAGTGAACAAAGCTTTGACCATTCGTCTGATGGAGACTGCCCGAGGAGGACGCAGGGGTTCCATTTATGAGGTTCCACTGAACAGGGTCCAGGCTTCGGCTGTTCGGGACGCTTTGGCCAAGGCAATTTACTTCAATCTTTTCGATTGGATTGTTGAGCGCGTCAACCAGTCACTGACTGCCCGAGGATCCATCACCAATTCGATCGGTATCCTTGATATTTACGGATTCGAAATCTTCGACAAGAACTCTTTCGAGCAGCTGTGTATCAACTATGTCAACGAGAAGCTACAGCAGATCTTCATCCAATTGACTCTCAAGGCAGAACAAGATGAGTATGCCCGTGAGCAGATCAAGTGGACTCCTATCGAGTACTTTGACAACAAGGTGGTGTGCTCTTTGATCGAGGACAAGCGCCCCCCTGGTGTTTTCGCCGCGTTGAACGATGCCTGCGCAACTGCCCACGCCGATTCCGGTGCAGCCGATCAGACTTTCGTTGGCAGGCTCAACTTCCTATCCCAGAACCCCAACTTCGAAGGTCGCCAGGGTCAGTTCATCATCAAGCATTATGCTGGTGATGTCAGTTACGCCGTGGAGGGAATGACGGATAAGAACAAGGATCAGCTGTTGAAGGACTTGTTGAACCTTGCCCAATCTAGCAGCAACGAATTCGTCCACTCGCTGTTCCCCGAGCAAGTCAACCAGGATGACAAGCGTCGCCCACCTACCGCCGGTGACAAGATCAAGGCATCCGCGAACGACCTTGTGGCCACGCTCATGAAGGCACAGCCATCTTATATTCGTACTATCAAGCCCAACGATAATAAGGCCCCAAGGGAGTACAACCACGGCAATGTGCTGCATCAGATCAAGTACCTGGGTCTTCAAGAGAACGTCCGCATTCGACGTGCTGGCTTTGCCTACCGTCAGACCTTCGACAAGTTTACCGAGCGGTTCTACCTCTTGTCCCCGAAGACTTCGTATGCCGGTGACTACACATGGACAGGAGACGTAGAATCCGGTGCGAAGCAGATCTTGAAGGATACCCGGATCCCGGCCGAAGAGTACCAGATGGGTATCACAAAGGTTTTCGTCAAGACTCCTGAGACACTGTTTGCACTGGAGGCTATGCGAGATAAATACTGGCACAATATGGCCATTCGAATTCAGCGTGCTTGGAGAAATTACCTCCGGTACCGCATTGAGTGTGCGATCCGCATCCAGCGCTTCTGGCGCCGCATGACTGGTGGACTCGAATTCATCAAGATTCGTGATCAGGGACACCAAGTCCTCCAGGGCCGCAAGGAACGTCGGAGAATGAGTCTTCTCGGCTCTCGTCGCTTCCTGGGCGATTATCTCGGTGTTGGAAATACTGGTGGCCCTGGTGAGATGATCCGCAATGGTGCAGGCATCAGCGGTTCAGATGAGGTTGTGTTCTCTTGCCGTGCCGAGCTTTTGGTGTCCAAGTTTGGTCGTTCTAGCAAACCTGTTCCCAGAATCCTTGTCTTAACGAATCGCCATGTCTACATTGTTGCACAAAGTATTGTCAACAACCAGCTTGTTATTTCGGCGGAACGTACCGTGCCTGTTGGAGCAATCAAGAGTGTCAGCACTTCCAATCTCAAGGATGACTGGTTCTCGCTGGTTATTGGGGCTCAGGAACCCGACCCGCTAATCAACTGTGTCTTCAAAACCGAGTTCTTTACCCATCTCACCAATGTCCTCCGTGGATCTTTGACTTTGAAGATCGCAGAGACCATCGAATACCATAAGAAGCCTGGGAAGCTGGCGACAGTCAAGGCAGTCAAAGATCCGGCCGCTGGAAACGTCGATAGCTACAAAAGTAGTACAATCCACACTAGTGCCGGTGAGCCTCCCAACTCTGTCTCGAAACCTACTCCACGGCCGAAGCCGGTTGCTGCTCGACCGGTTACAAAGGGAAAGCTGCTCCGTCCTGGTGGCCCCGGTGGCGGCCCTTCAAAATTGTCCCAGGCCGCTCGCAGACCTGTCCCTGCCGCTCAGCCTCTACCCCGGTCGGTTCCACAGCCTGCCGCAGTACCGCAAGCTGCCGCACAGCCTCGCATCGTCCCCCAGCCTGTGGCTGCTGCCGCCACTGCACACTCTCGCAACGAGTCTTCTAGCTCCATGAGGGCTCCTCCCCCGCCTCCCCCTGCTGCACCTCCTCCAGCTTCCAGCAAGCCCTCCGCAAAGGTCAAGTATGACTACACCAGCGACCGGGCCAATGAGCTTTCTATCATCAAGGGCCAAATTGTTGAGATTGTATCCAGGGAAGGAAATGGTACGTACCCATAGCGCACTTCATTTTGATGATAACTAACTTGTCCTAGGATGGTGGTTGTGTAAGAACACAACAACATTGGCGCAAGGATGGACCCCCGAATCCTATCTTGAAGAAGTAGTCGCCGCCCCCGCGCCAAAGCCCGTTCCACCCCCACCTCCCATGGCACCCCGCGCAACGCCCAGCCCCATTCCAAATGGCGCTGGAGCTGCAGCAGCCGCAAAGACCAAGCCCGCTCCTCCCGCTCCCCCGGCCAAGCGTCCCAATATGGCCGGACGCAAGCCTGCGCCCCCACCCGCTCCCCGGGATAGCGTCGTGAGCATGCAATCTGGCGACTCATCAGGCGCCAGCGGCCGCGGCACGCCCAATAGCGCCTCGAACGCCAGCCTAGCAGGTGGTTTGGCCGAGGCACTGCGGGCCCGACAAAGCGCGATGCAGGGCAAGCACGACGACGACGATGACTGGTAGAGTGAAGTGGATTGTTTATGGTCGGTCGCGGTGTTTGACATTTCTGCGCTTAGCGTTGACCTTTTGCGTTTGTTTCCGTTTGTGGAGGGCCGTGGCATATGCATGTGCAGGTCAGCGAGTCATTGTTTTTTTTTTTTTTTCATTACATTCTACAGTAGATCCGAGTTCAATATATACCGTTTCGCGCGAACCCCATATGAAAATTGTCATGTCATTCTGAATGCTATCCATATCTCAAAATAAAATGCACATGCACATCCATTCAAACAATTTACAAGAACTTGCTAGCAAGACTCATAAGTCCACCAGCACCACTGCTACCACCACCACTAACCTGATTCTTCATATACATCTTAAGCGCCATCTCCGCAGCAGCGTTAACAGCAGACTGCTTATCACCAGACTAAATCATCATTAGCATCATCATCTCCTTTTTCATCATTCAAAAGAATAACATACCACATTACCCCCAGACCCATTCTTCTCATCCCACAACTTCCCAGCCTGAGCCATAGCAAGCCCAATAAGCTTATTCTTATCACCACCCTCGTTCCCACTGTTCCCACCACCAGTAAACATCTTCAAAGCCTGCATCGCAGCACCAGCACCAACAGTGTTGGAATCGTGAGTCTTGTTATCACCACCAGATCCATACATAGCCTGGTGCGCATTGGCAGCATGCTTCTCATCGACGTCATCGTTGGAATCCTTGCGGTTCTGGAGGAAGTTCAACGCAGTGTCAAAGAGGGACTTGTCTTCTTTGCTGTCGTGTTCCTGGGCGTGGGTGGCAGCGCTACTGAATTCGTTGTTGTATCCGCTGTTGTGGGATTCTTGGCGGCCAGAGTTGTTGTTTCCGTAGCCGGAGCTGTTGTTGTTGTTGTTTCCGTAGTTCTGGCCGTGGTTCTGGTTGTGGCCTTCGTTGGAGTTGTAGCCAGAGTTGTTGTTGATTCCGTAACCCTGGGACTCTTGACGACCGTAGCTCTGGTTTTGGTTTTGGTTTCCGTAGCTAGAGTTGTTGTTGTTGTTGTTTCCGTAACCCTGGGACTCCTGACGGCCGTAGTTCTGGCCTTCGTTGGAGTTGCCATAACCAGAGTTGTTGTTGCCGTAGTTCTGGCCTTGGTTCTGGTTACCGTAGCCTTCGTTACGGCCCTCGTTGCGGCCCTGGTTAGAGTTACCGTAACCACCGCCACCTCCGTAGGAGTTGTTGTTGTCGGTGTTGTAGTAGCTATTGCTAGCGCCGCCGGAGCCGCCGTATTGGTTATCGTTGTAAGACATGGTTTGGGTTTGAGTTGGATAGGAAGATGAAGTAGGTTAAGAAGGTAGAAACAAAGTGAAAGAGATTTTATAGCAATAAAGAGAAAACAGCTTCAGCTGAGGGGTTGCGGGGCTAATCTGGCGATTCGTCCGATCTGATGTGGGGTGGATCGTGGCTGAGGCCAATTATGGACGAGATGGGTTTTTAGTGGATGTTTTAGGAGATGAACTATCGATTTTGGGTTGATTTTGGGTTCATTTCGGGTTTATTTTTGGGTATCTTTGCTTGTTTTAGTGCGTTTCAGGATGATTTAGGTGATAGTTCGGAGTATATATGGAGGAATTTAACATTTAAAGAAGTGGTATATATATGGAGTACTGGATATAATAGAGCAAACATATAAACAAACTCCTTGCTATGATAATAGACTGTGGATGTACAGGTTTCTTGTATGTTGTACTAAAAAAATGGGATATCAGATTCTGAGATATCCTTGGCGATTTCCATTTTAATCCTCAGATCTTGCCGCTTTTTTACTTGAACTGCAGACAGTGGGGTTGGATTTCAGCCCCTCTAAGCTTCGCCACAATGACCCTCTGAGGATCATCGCAAGCAGAATAGACATACTATAGATAGTTAGCCACGGTGGCTAACTATCTGAGAAACATAAATAATGGAGCCGAGGATCGAGTTAAGCTTCGGGATGGGCTGCAAAACACCACCTACCTACTCGAGATACTCAGAGACCGCATCGAGGATGCCGAGGACGTGGTGGCGACTTTAGGCATAGAAAAGCCAATGTCGATCAAGTCTCTTTTGGGCCCCTCACTATTTCCCAGTGCATGGTGCAGGATATCATCGCGCAGCTCAGCCCGCAGCATAAGTTGCGTCAACAAACATTATCTCTGAAATGGCCGTTTACCGCAAAAAAAGATATCCCGGAGAAGCTTGCCTGTTTGGAACAACTAAAGAGTCATTTCAATCTTTTGCAGAATGACCTTGTGTTGGGGCTTTCTATTACAGTCGTGGTGTTAATGCCTGGGGTCGACACATGTTTCATCCATGGGTCTGACATTGGGGGGGTTATCCCGAGAGCATTCCAAGGCCAGTGGGGAGCTACTTAGTCAAGAAATGTCAGAGAGAAGTCCCTCTTGCAAGACATCTGCACAGAATGGTATCTAAGACCACTGAAACGACTACTGGAAAGATATCACACCCGCTTATGCGGTCGACTATTCTTATGTTCATAAATAGACGTCCAATACTTTAAACAAAGAAACGAACATAAACATAAGCAACCTCCAACTCCGTAGCCCAGGGTATAAGATGCAGACGAAAAGGCGCACAGAATACCAACCAAGAAAAGAAAACACAACACACAACATCCCACCATAGAATCAAAGAATCAACGCATCATGCTCCTCATCCGACAAATTCCTCAAGAACCTCAGTCCCCGCTCCCTCTTACTCAAAACACACCTAGAATCCACCGCCAATTCCTCCTCGGTAACCCATTCAGTCGGCATGTCAGTCAACCCAACCCGCTGTCCAGACTGTTTGCGCTCATACTGCATGAAACCACCGAAATGGCGATCCGTATTCGCAACCCAGATCTCTGCCCCGTCAGGCGCGTAATCGGCGCCACCGATTTCACCAAAGAAATCGTGCACTTGTCTTGAACGGAAGAGCTGTGCGTCGACGATAGAAATCCGGTCCGCGGGCTCGGTGCAGAGGAGGGTGCGCGGGCCACCGCCGACAGGCGAGAAGCGCAGGGAGCGGTAGCCCGCTACGTCGGAGTCGATTGTTTCAAGCGGACGCCAGGTGCGCGCATCCCAGATGATGACTGTTTTGTCTTGGTTTGAGGTTGCAATGTGGCGCATATCTGGGGACCAGGCGCAGGCGAAGCCGAAGTCGCGGTGGCCGCGGAGGGCATGGACTGGACGGCCGGTGTCGGATTCGATGACCCATGCGTCGGGTGAGTCGCCGATTACGACGCGAAGACGACTGTCTGGGGATGTGGCGGTGCAGTTTATTGGTTGGGCGAGTTCCTGGTCGGAAATGAAGATGTTTGTTTCTGTGTCGAGGATGCGGAGGTGCCTGTCGTTTGAGGCGAAAACGCCGGTTGGGGAGGAACCCGTGCGGTTGGGGATTATGTCGACGTGGTTGGTGATGCCGTCGTTGAAGTCCGGGGTTACTAGGCCTTTTATGCCGGGGTCGGATCCGCTGGTACTGCGTAGGGCGTATTCACCACAGAACCCGCCTGCGATTGTAAGGCCATGCGCTGTTTTCATGGTGGATATTTTGACCGGTCCAAGGAAACCTGATTCTGGGTCTGGTTGGCTCATGTCGATTAGACAGCGTGCGTCACCGGTCGTTGGGGTCCATGAAAAGACTTTTGAGCGGGAGGCGAAATGGACGGTATTAGATGCAGGTGTCGACATCAAATTACGAAGCTGGAAATGCTCAATAGATGCTTTGTGCGAGGTATGCATGGAGCTTTCTCGGAAATATGCTTCATGTTGTGGAAGGCGCTTTGCATGGCCGGGATGCAAGTAATCCAGGTTACGGTACGGGATATACCAGGCGTCGCGCACCGCGCGTGCATCGGACCGTGTTACCCGTAAAGTTTCTGTCCATGGGATCTGCTGCAGATCATAAAAGTCGCGTTTCCATTTAGACGGCCGAACAACCTCCTGTGGCGGTTGCCAGCTAATCATCTTTGCGAGTGGGCGGAGTTGTGGTGGAATTCGACTTTCAGTATGGAAGCCGTGGGGAACGGGGTTTAGCGAGACCATCCAGTGCTGGATGAATTCGTCAATTGTGAGATTTCGCTCGTATGCTACAGGGCAATTAGCTATGGTACTGTCTGAAATATCATAGCGCCTTACTCGATGTGTGGATTATAGATGCGGGGCGTGGTCCGGGGAATTCCATTTGATCATCGGCGTAGTTCCGCAGAGGTTCTGTAATAGACAAACCAATGGTTTGCGGGAGATCGACATCAATATCATCATAACTGATACTGGTATAAAAATCATCCAGATCGCAGTCTGGCATCTCGGCCTCATACGTGGGACGTTCCTTGCGCTGGTAGTAATACTCTTCTTCATCCGGATAGAATTGGAGAAAGTCTTCAAGCTCATCATCATATGTTGACGAGGGAGACGGCTGGTCTTCCATAGTAGCTGATTCGTAATCCACATCCATGTTCTTGTGGCCATCGTCGATCGCGTCTGGGGCGATAGCGATATTTTGCCGGCCGGCGGTGGGGTGAACTAAGTCCCGGACAATCGTTTGCATATCGCCGTCGCCACTCGGGTTCGAGCCAAAGACAAACTCCGGTCCAGCTGAACGAGTGCTTCCCCTTCCGGATGGGTGAAAATGACCCCGATGTTCCGGTAGCACAGAACCGGACTGTAAATGTCGATAATAATCCGGGGGACTTCCGGCACTCGTAACAGCGTTAACAACTTCGGATACTAGAAAAGAATCACTGTGCGCAACGTTCTCCGCACGCGGGTACTGGGACACAGCAGCAAGAGCTGCAACGCCCACATCATGTAATCGGCGGTCGATCTCGGAAGTCATATTGGTCGCAGCCGAAGCTAATCGATCGTCGGTGGAAAACATATCCGTTTCGAGGGTTGAGTTCAAGGACCCCGCATCGTCCCGACCAGATAGCGTACCAGAGAGATGTGGAGGATTCATAACTCGTTTAACTAAACCATCGATATCACATGACACATGGCGTGGTGCGCGGGATCTCGCTAGCGGGGAGATAAGTCTCGCGATTTGAAGATTTACTGGAATAGAGCATTCAAAAAGGACATCTGACTCGACTGACAAATTATAGGTCAACGTCAGCGCAGCTTTTGGCTGTTCTAGGCAACGTGCAGGAAGGCGGGTGATCACGTCCGAAACAGGTCAAACACGCAGGGATGGCAGGTCGCGGTCGCACAAGCGGAGGAAAACAACCCAGTCAGCAGAAAGGCAGCTAATAATTTCACCTTTTTGCTTTGCCTTGCAGTTGAACCCCACAACACTCGTGGCTGAGATGACGCGAGGGAAAAAGCGGAGAACGGAAAGCGGTCGAGAAAGAAATGCCGAGTCCAACCGGAGAGGACTTGGTGATCGTTTTATTTATTTCACTTACAATCAGCCCTAGAGTTGAAGAATTACTAAATTACTAATTAATAATCCATGAATAGTGTCTAGGGTGTGCCTAGAAGATTAGTCTAGGTCTTACAAAATGTGATGTATCATTTACTCATCGTCACCCAGTTCGCCAATATATATATCTTTGACAATACTTAGGGCTAGACATCGCCTAAAGGGTTCGAATGCTGTATAGGCAGTTCATATCGAGATATATTGTATGTTATTATTTTTACTATTTTGGGCTTTGGGCTTACCCACTACGTTAACGTTTGTATATAAATAGTACAGCTTTGTATCTGCCAAGAGAGGTCTCCATAGACGCCTCAATACATGGTGAATATGATATACATCGAAGGCCTAGAGACTATATATGTAGAATGAGCAGAACATAAGCTTCAGACGCAAGTATAAGACAGAGGGAAAAAGAAATTATTCCCTGATATGATAAAATCCCTTCCGATTCCAGAAGCCGATGAACCTCTTTAACAGCGCCGTATCAAACGGGGTATATTTAATACCAGGATTATCCTTCAATGCTTCTGTCGTATTATCACAGCGATAAACAGGCGAGTACTGACTTGCCTCCCAGCGCGTCAAAAGACCTAGCACCTTCTCCTGGAGCATAGGCATCAATGGTGCCAAAGGCCCGTCTTCCGGCTGCTGTCTTAATTGCTCTACCCACTCGTCGTAAGAGATGACCTTGACATCGTATCCCGCCTCATTGAGCACAGCGCAGGTTCCTATCACATCGACTGATTGCCGCACATCAGGACAATTCAAGCTGTAGCTCATGCCTAAATTCTTGTTATCAGATGCAATATGGATGAGCGCATCGAGAACATAGTCGACGGTCACATATTCTAGTCGCTGCTCTAAAATTCTCGGGAATGTCCCAAGCTGGATACATCCAGCCAGAAACCGGGAGAAGAAATCATCAGGATTGTTCGTCCCCGTCTTGCTATCACCAACAATAAATCCCGGCCGGTATATCGTAATAGGTAGTCCCCTGTCTCTCATACGACGGACCATGGCTTCGGCCGTCCATTGACTCTGTGCGTAGCCCAAATCATACCGAAGGCCTTCAATATGCCGCTCTAGGGGCTCATCCTCATACAGCTCTTTAGTACCAAGAATATAGCCAGTTGGACCCCATACGTCAATGCTAGACACGTAATGGAATGATTTGCGGCGACCAGAGGAAGCTAACCGGAGCGCGTTGCATGTCCCTACGACATTGCTGACACGGTGCTCGCGATACGACTGGCAAAAGTTAACTTTTGCACCGAGGTGAAAGATTACCGAGGCCCAGTTTGCCAGCCAGGTAAACTTTTGACTCCCCAAGCCGAGCTCCCGATCTCCCAAATCACCCTCCAGCACCAAAAGCTTTTGAATCTGGTCAAACCTGCTCGGCCATAGGTCATATCGTTCCAGGGCCTGTTGGACTCGAGTGGCCGCACTGACCCCATTTGTGGGACGTGCTAGACACGCAATCTGTTTGACAGAAGGCTTCTCCATTAGACGTTGTAAAAGATGGGCCCCCACAAAGCCAGTCACACCGGTGACAAAAACGCGTCCTTCTGTGTCGTCTTCCCATCGAGGAACGAGCTCAATATCGTTTACGAGATTAACATCTTCCATCCATATCTTTGCATCATTGGGCGCATCTTCATGTTTGAGATCAGTGTTTTCAATCAACCGCAGTAGTCTGTCGAGTGTGGAGTGTGTATGCAAGTCCTGCATTGATACTAGAGTTCCAAGCCGCTTCCGAATAAGCGAAATGAGCGCTGCAGCCTGAAGTGAGCTGCCTCCAGAAACAAAGAAGTCATCCTCATCTCCAATATTGGCAACATTGAGGAGATCTTCCCAAAGACCCCGAAGAAGTGCTCTATTGTCTTCAGATTTGTGCTCCGGCACTGATAATTCTTGTCGAAGAGTCTCAAGCCGTCGTTGAACAAGCGTGTTTCGGTCCACCTTTCCGTTCGGCGTCAATGGGAACTCGGTGATACGCTCAACAGCATTGGGGACCATATAAGCTGGAAGATGCTCCCTAGCGAATTCGAGTAAATTCTGTGTGTGAAACACCTCGGTACCCACCACGAAAGCGACGAGTGAGTGCGTTCCACTTTCAGATATCGGCGGCTGTCGGACCACCACAACGGACTGAACACCTCTATGCGTAAGTAATGCATGTTCAATCTCGCCCAAATCCACCCGAAACCCAGCATGCTTCACTTGATTATCAGTACGTCCAATGAAATCAAGTAGGTAGGTGGTGTCGCGCCATTCGGCCATGTCGCCTGTTCGATACAATCGGATAGATCCTTCCCCTGGCAAACCTATCTTCTTTTTCTCTAAATGAATAAAGAATTGGTCTGTCTCATACGGCATATTCAAGTACCCGAAGGCCTGCTGTGGCCCTCCTATATGGATCTCGCCTCGTCTTCCACTGTCACGAATGGTGTTCTGGTCCTCGTCCAATAGCACGAGTACTGTGCTACCTATTGGTCTACCAACGGTGATTCTTTCTCGAGATGTCTCCTCCAATGTGATGCGAGCCATGGTGACCATGGTTGTACACTCAGTCGGCCCATATGAGTTCCAAAGGTTCTGTGGTGGCCCATTCTCTAAGACAGACCTCATAGCATGTACGCTAGCCACATCGCCTCCAGTGAAGACATGGCGCAATGAAGAGAATGCAAACGGGTCCGTGAATGCAATAATCTGGAACAGTGCAGCTGTCAAAAATGTCACTGTGGCATTATGAGACTTCAAGAAACCCCCAAATGCGCCAGGATCAGTGGCTATCTCTCGAGGGACCACCACAATCGTGGCTCCGGAGATTAGCGTGACCCATATGTCGAATAACATTATATCAAATCCTGGATTGTTGAACTCGGTGACTCTATCGTTTGTTTGCAATGGTGTTGCGAGGGTTTTGGTCGCCATGTGCAAGATGCTCTCTGCACGGATCTGAACTGGCTTTGGCTTTCCAGTTGACCCGGAGGTGAAGAGAATATGGCTTATTTCTGACTTACTTTCGAATGTCTCTGGTGCCAAATCAACATTTTTCCGCCCTGAAATCGGCTGTACGTGAATGACTTCGATATCGTCCCAATGCGCACTGTCTTCTTTGTCGACGAATACACGTCTCACGCGAATATCACCTAGAAGCGCCGCGATGCGACTCTTTGGAAGTGACGGCTCGATAGGGACGCAAGTACCACCGGCTAGACGTATAGCTAGCTGGGCAACAATTTGATGGATAACGGGGCCAAGCAAAATGCCAATCAATTCACCAGAGACTACAACTCCAAGCGTGCCGGCTAGATGAGCGGCTTCCGCGAGTAGCTCGGCATAGCTCAAAGACAAGTCTCTGTCTTCCACAGCTATGGAGTTTGGAGATCTCTGGAAATGCTCGTAGATAATCTTCTCCATATCAAATATCAGGTGAGAAATGTGTGATAATTCTTGGTTTGTGATGTTTAGTTATCTATCATCTTCGGGATACCACTGACCTTTTATAGTTAGCAAAATATTACTTTACTGCGCAGCGCTTTAGAGGTTAATGCTCAGAGACTTGATCATGACCTTGTTTCTGTGGCGAGGTTAGCCATTTTCGCCACTCTCAGCCACTGACTGCCCTTGGACTAGCACATAGCACGAAGCAAGATTCTCAGGTTGCACCTTATGAGAGAGTATACGGATCAGCGTTGTTTTCATTACCATTGCAAGAAATCTGTACCTTAACGGATCACGCACTACAGCTGTCTGCATCCTTGTGACACGAGAAAGACGCACCTCCTCATAAACAGCGACGACTTGAGCAATATCCCCGGAGAAATAACGCATATCAAGTAGCAGTCCAAGTACTGCTGCTTCTTTGCTTCTTCCATAGCCATGCAGGCTCCCTGGCTTTGATGAGCCATCATCGGGTGGATAGCATCCCCCGAAAGACAGGTGGCACCGCGTTGCATAAACAGGTACAGGTTGGACCCGGAGACGTCATGGCTTGATTTCTGTCCCGATCTTCAGATGGTTAAACACCTGTCGGGCCAGATCTGGGTATGGGTTGAGTAGTTCCTCGACAGGGCGGTCCGGCCGCCTTGTGTTGAATACATCATATATTTCTGTAAAGATCCAGCAGCATGTAAAAACTCGCTATTATGAGAGTAAGTTAAAGTTCAATTCTTAATGGAGTCATCTGGAGATTTTGGACGTTTATTGACTTGATAAATAGAAAGCCTATTACTCCACAATACAACCTACTAGGCAGCATTAGTCTCATATTTAAAACCACGATGACGCCCCGACAATATTGCATTGTAGTCGACAATTGAGTCTTCAAGAAAAATATTTCATTCCTTTATATTATCAGAGCCCACCCACCCTAGCGACCATGGAAGGCAAGCGAATCCTTCTTCGGAAACTTCAAACCACGTTAGGCGCCCGTCGTCGCGATGAAAGATTGATCAACCCTCCCGATCCTTCAACTATTGCCCAAATGGTAGACTTCGGATCAAACGATACGCTTTCTCTATCGACCTCAGGTGCATTGACTAGATCCTTTCTAGATCAACTCCATCAAAATGAAAATTTCATCCTCGGCAGTACCTCAACTCGCATATTCGAAGGCACCACACAATATCTGAAAGATCTTGAAACCTATCTCGCACAGTTCCACAACGCCGAGTCAGCTTTGTTCTTCAACTCTGGATTTGACGCAAATATTGCACTTTGGTCAACTATCCCACAGCCTGGGGACTTCGTCTTGTATGACCAGTATGTCCATGCAAGCATACATGACGGAATGAGAAATGGACGGGCTAAGACCGTCGAGTTTGCGCATAACGACTGCACTTCTTTCCGGCATTGTTTGCAAGGTCTTCGTGACCAGAATCCCGGCATTGCGGGTGGCAGTAACTTGGTTTTCGTTGCCTTGGAGTCATTCTATAGTATGGATGGAGATGAAGTTCCAATTCATGAACTCCTTGATATTGCCAAGACCATCCTCCCTAAGAGAAATTATATATTTTCAGTGGACGAGGCACATTCAAATGGTCTTCTTGGACCGAATGGCTCTGGCTTTGTTTGCCACCATGGCCTCGAGAAGGAGATAGGCCTCCGTGTGCATACTTTCGGCAAAGCTTTAGGATCAACTGGAGGTATAGTTCCCACTTCTTCTGTCCCTGATTTGGATCTAACAGCTTTAGCCGTGGTACTCGCTGAACCGACAATCAAACTCACTCTCATCAATTATGCACGGAATATCATCTTTTCCACAGCTCCCAGCTTCGTGACTTTAGCTGCTACCAAAGCCGCCTACGGAATCTTAGCTAGTGAAGATGGGGAAAATGTTTGTCCTTCTACTCAGCCATACTAGAAGAAGACTAATGCAATCAGCGTCGTCGAATCCTCCAAGAAAACATCCGACACTTTCAAAAAACCTTCCTTGGTCATCCTCAGTGGGCGTCTATCAAAAAGAAAGGAATTATTCATATCCCGAATGAGGATAACTGGAACTCTGCGCTAAATCAATCGCCTATCATCCCCTTAGTTACGCTACCCAATGAATCAACTGACCTGGCTAAACATATGCATCAGTCCAAGTTCTGGGCTAACCCGGTCAAATACCCTATTGTCCCGAAAGGCCTGGATCGAGTGCGCATTTCGATACACGTGGACAATACCAAAAAGCAGATTGAAGATGTGATTGATGTCATCATGGAATGGGGAACCTGTCGGGCTAGATTGGAAGTCTCACGGCTGTAAGCTTGCAATTATCGAGGATCTCTCTCTGTATCTCATATAGCTTTTGTTACTTTTTATATAGCCTTTGTTAATTTTCTTTACGATGCATGAATAGAAGTTTGATCGCTTTGTGCGCGGATATTGACTTTCGCAATCCTATTCCAAGAGAAAGGTAGTCTTGCTTGGGTCCTAAAGTCAATTCTTAAAAAGCAGATCGATATATTGTACTTTAACTTCAAGGTCATTCGATGATTTTTACTAAGGTTGATACTTAGGAACACAGAAAAAACACAAACAGTGCGCGGGAGAGATCTCCGATCAAAGCGATTGGCTCAGACGCAAGGAATGAAGAAAGGGATATTAAGATTACTTCAGACGGACAGGGAGAAACGTGAGGGCTTAGACTCCACCTTTGGATGACCTAAAGATGCAGGAAGTTATGAGGACAAGGCAACGAGGAATGCATGTAATGAATCTGGCAAAAGATGATATATCATAAACAGCATATCGGGATTCAACCCTAACACCCAGCCCCTTTGTTCATTTGTTCGATTACATACTTTCTAGGAAGATCATCAAGCATTAAGGCAAACTGAATCTAAGCCATCATCATCATCTTGCATGAAATAATGCTGGGAGTAAACGCACTGTAGATCTAACAGGCCAAACCCGGGTGACTTGCGCTTTGATCCTGTTGGGCACGGCTTGGGCTGAACAGATGGGGCCATATAGTTGTGAAAAGTCAGAAATAGAAATCTGATACTCCCATTTAGGTTGCCTTATAGAGCCCTGGGTTACTGCGCTAATTACGGTATATCGATTGAAATGACGGTTTATTCACTATCAACAACGGCAACGCGCCGGGTCAAATCGCTGTACAAGGCAGAGAAAAATGCTTGAACATGAAAATGAATCAATATGAGCATAACAATAAACTCGTCAGTCGTGCAACGCCCGCTCTGAACTGTATTATAAGAATGTTTAGACGCCGGTATGTAAATTGTACAATAAATCACGTCGAAACAGAAGAGAAAAATAGAAACAATGAGAGAAAAAATAGAAGACAACAAGCGCTGGCGCTTTCGTTAATAATGAGAATATGTGTCATACTGCGATGGGTAAGGATCCGTCGAAGCATGGGGTTGAGACTGTGACTGTGCCCAGGCATTGCGCAGACGGCGCTCTAATAAAAAGTTAGATTCAAACCACATATTATTGCAGGGCATAACACATACCTTTTTCGAAATCACGCCATCTCTTCATCGTGATCTTTGTACTATCAAATTCGCCCTCGGCATCACCGTGTCCCTTATCCTTTTCGCCTGCAGTTTTACGGGTATCACCCCAACTGAAGTCGTCGAACTTCCAGAATGCGTACATTGGTAGAACAAAATTCCAGATCGGAAGTGAGATAAGGTAAATCAGCATCCAGAGGACGTAGATGAGTTTGTGTGCGGTGACGACGATCAAGACACCAGGTAGACCCAAGACCAAGGCGAGCAGAACCAGCGGGATAACTTGGACGGGTTTCCTGACGATGGAGACGACAACGACGTAGATGGTGAAGGAGATGGCGGCGGGAAGAACGAGGGTTCCGATAAGTTCGATGAAGATGACGAACTGCATGCTGAAGCAGAAAGTTCCACATAGATCGCGGACAAGAACGAGTTCGAATAGATTGTGGACGGTACTGTTGATCCAGCGACGGCGCTGGGAGAGCAGGACAAGGAATGCGTCGGGGACGACTGTTTTGCACACGGCTTGGGGAACAAAGATCTGCTTGCGTTTCGGGAAGGTCTTGAGCATCAGGGTGGTTAGGTATCGATCTTCACCGAGGAGGAGCAGGTTCTTCTTGTGCAGGGTGTCGACGACGTTTTCGGAGTAGTGTTCAACGATATCTGGGTTTGCGAGAATTGGTACCCAGTAGTTCTGGCCACCCTTGGGCGCTTTAATTCGGTACATGGTGAAACATCCAGGGAGACAGGTTACACCACCGAAGATGGATTCGAATGATTTGGCTAGATGGTGAGAGACGAAGTACCTGTTGTGGAATTAGTAACTGTGCTAGCTATACTGTGAGGGGGACTTACTCGAAGACCTGGATCATGGTTACCCAGCTGTCGGTCTTGTTGGCGATCTTCGTTTCTCCGCAGAGACCCATGATTTCTGGGTCCTTCACCATGGCCGAGACCATGTGTGTCAAGCTGTCTGGGAACACCTTTGTATCGGCGTCGACCATGAGAACAATCTCGTAGAAGTCCGGTGGGATGCCTGTGACATTCCATAGACCATTAAACATCTCGAACTCGAGTTCCGTCATGCGCTCGTCAAACATAACCTTCTGGAGGAAAGACATAAGAACGATCTGACTGTCTCGCTTTCCGCGGTTACCAGGCTTTGACTGGGTCGCCTCCTCCGAAGTTCCACACTTGACAATCACCATCATGGGAACGCGTTGCTGCTTCTCCGCCGGGATGAGCGAAGCGTGGCCGTAGTCGTAGAATCCAGTGTAAACCTTGGCCATGTTGTGTCGCTTAGAGCCAGTGGCCACAGCCACGTAGGAGTACGGCTGGACCTCATCCTTGGGAACAACAGGGTCCTTGAGCATGCCCAATACAATATCTGGCGTAGAGAATTCCTCTCCCTTACCCTTGATAATACCATCGCAAATGACCAGGATCGTTTTGTGGCTGTTCGGGTAGTCGGTCAAGGCAACAGAATCCAAAGTTGACCTAATACCCTCTTCACCTTCGGAGTAGCAAGTGACCAGACAAAGACTGTGAGCAAGAGGGTAACCGAACGGTTGCCAGTCAGGAGGAGGTTGAGGAACGACAGCTTCGTGAATGAAACCAGCAGGACCCGCACTATCGTGATCCGTCGATAGTGTAGAGTAACCGGGTTCTCCGTGGGCAGGAGGAACCAAGCTGGTCCGACTGGCAGTAGGATTGTGCCGAGAGTTGTCAGCGCTCAGAGTACCACCACTACCGTTGTGGCTTGACTTGTACATAGTGGCGGGATTGGAGCTGGGCATGAGATGAGTGGTCGAGTTTTGGCTAGCCATCGTGACATACATCGGCTTTTTGCTACCAGTGCTGCTGCTCATGTTGTAAGGACTCGAGAAACGGGAAGTGGTCGGGAGGAAACTGGCGCGTTTGCTGGGACGTTCGGGAATGATGGGGTCGGCGATTCGTGGTGCAGGGCGATAGATGTCGTTGGACCAGTCTTCAATCTGTTGATTGCGAGTCTTGGGATTGGAGGACATACTCGTGGTCTGCGCGGCAAACCTGGGTGCCAAGAACCACTGGAAGAACACGGCGAATCCGAATTTGACACCAACAATCGCGAGAATGAAGATGAGGGACACGTAGAGTACGACTTGCGATGCAATACAGCCCACAGTGTCGGTGTCGATGCTTCCAACCTTGATAATCTGGGCCAAGCACTTGCCAATCTTCTTTTCCTCCCCGGATTGCAGGTAATAGGTAAGATCGACACCGCGGACATCAGGATTCTTGCGCAGCTGGTCGAATTGTTTGGGGTACGACACCTGACTACGGTCGAACCAACCCAGAAGGTCGAGGTCGAGCACGGTTCCCGAATAGATCGCCAGATTCCGACTCTTGTTCTTTGTATCCTCCCATGTGTAGTATACATCCCCGTCGCTGTTAAGCGTGTAGAAAGGCTCACGAGCTCGCTTGCTGGTATGGCAAGCCCAGCCAGTGTAATGATCAACGGTCAAATTCGGCGACGACGAACCATCCTGGTTGAAGGGCGCACAGGGGAAGTACCATCCGAGCTCTCCTTTTGAGTTTGTTGGAATATCGCTATCAGGCGTAGCCTTAATCAGTCCCTTGCACGCACCATTGACTTGCTGGAAGAAGAAGCTGCCATCCTGTCCGCCATACTTGTGCGGCAGGTCATAGATAACATTCGAACCATCGGGGATACCAGCAACAGCGATATGTTTGGAACCGCTCAAGTCATATGCCCTTCCATGGAAGATCATATAGTTGGAGCCAACTTCGTTGGCCTTCAACCGAACCGGGGGTGAGCCACACACGGTAGCCGTGAAACCGAAAGTCAAGAAACCAACAAAGGCACCGATCATCAGAATAATGCTGATAAGACCGATCTTCTCTCGCCAGGCACTGCGCTGCTCCTTCTCTGGCATGCCGAAACATTTCAGCACAAAGTCCGGAATGAAGAATGTGAGCACTGCACAATATGTGGGCCACAACTCGGGCGGACCAGTCTGCTCGATAGCCTTTTGACGTCTATGTTCATCTGAAGCTCCCTTCGACGACCTCCGCGAACCTCTCTTCTTCTTCTTCGAGCGATGTCTGCTAGGAACCCGTTCCATGGGTTTGTTGATATTACCCCGCGCACCATATAAACCATCCTTCTTCATATCCATGCTGCGCGAGCTGTTCGTCTCGGCCTCGCCATCCTTGTTGTCCAAGAGCGGATCGTTTCCGGTTGAAGAGGGATAAGTGGGCATATGGTTCGATCGCTGTCGGTAGTGATAATTGGGTTGTTCTGGGTCATTTCGTCTGCGCTCTGGCTTGACCATGCTCTTTTTGCGTCTTACATCGCCGCCCCGGTCCATGCGCTCTTCGTCGGTATCCATTCCTCTTCTGTGGCTGGAGTGTCGGCGACGGTGTCGGTGGGAAGGAGAAGTGGGGTCGTCGCTGTAAGTGCCCGAGTCTATATCGCGTCGACGGCGGCGGGAGGGTTCACGAAATGCGCGGGCTTCTTCGCGTCGAGGTGAGGGCTTGCCTGGCCTCTGCGGCAAAGACATCTCGCTCCTGCGGCCCGATGGTTAGTCCAGCCGAGCTTGCTTATGTCTGAATTTGCTGGCCCACTCACTTTAGTTATTGCTCATCAACAGCCGGGCTGTTCAAAATATGGGTCTGTAGGTTTCCGCCTGAAACATGTCAAATGCGCTCACCCGGTCCTCGATAATGCGACCTATGAGACTCGTGTTGTCAATCCCTGAATCTCGTAACCGCAAATCGAGGTTGAAAGGGAGCTCGAAGTACGGGTTTGTACAAGGTGGAGAAATAAACAAATTCCCCACCTAAGAAATGGGAAGATCTTGTCACACGGAAAATCGAGAGGTTATGTCTAAAGAGAGAAAAGGGAACTGAGACAAAGACCCTGGTACACGGGACTCTAGGCGCTTGACCTGGGACAGGTTAGACTTGTTTTACCATGTCAAGTCCATATTAAGACATATTAAAAATAAATTTCCGTCGCTAGGGGCAATACACTGTAAATAAAACCTATTTAATCCACGGTTAGAGCAAGTCTTTCCCACGGTTTATCAAAAATACTGAATGGTGCAATTTTCAGTTCTTTCCGTCTTTTTCTGTCTCTTTCTGTCTTTTGTTTACAAAAGGGAAATCCAAGCCGAGCCATTTTTTTCCTTTCTGATCACGGGGCTCGAGTTCTATTTTAATAGCCACGCTAAATATCCAATTGCCACATTCTCAATCTAAGCATAAATAATGCAAAGAGGGAAAACAGGATATAATCCAAAGGTTATGCACACCACGCCATATGTACCCTGGACAAAACACTAAAAAGCGCTTGTACGACTAATCTAGAGTCTAGCCACAACAGCATTGAAAGGAATAGTGCTTAAAATAAGCCAAAAGTCAGCATGGTAAGCATTGTCTAGATATAAATTCTAGGATATCCCTGCTTTATGTAGGTACCCCAATGCCAATCCAATATGATCCACAACTGGTCGATCATGGCCATCCCCAGAGAAGAGAGTCCAGCTTACCCCATATTGCATATGCATCCTTCCGTTTTGGATTAAGTCATCTTCTAAAGAAATTCTTGAAAGGAACGTGGGATGTCTAAACAAGTCCCTTTTTTTTCTAAATAATCGAATTGAGAAACCCTCGGATTTGCTAGGTCTTGACAGTGGCTTCCCCGTATCCTTGTTGGGCCACGTTCTTCGGCTCTCACTGGAATGCTGACATCTCTCCGCATCAGCAGATGTAGTACGACTTTAAGCTGAGTACCCAACGCTGCGAGGGATATGTATTTACTAGATGTCGTCATATAACATCAGATGTGCCTCTTTGACGACAGCAAGGAGTATACATTGACACCCGTGCGAGGAATTGAAAGTCAGTTTTCAACATGTCAAGGAATAATAGATATAGTACTACTCCGTACTAGAAATAGAAGAGGATAAATATAAATCTCTAATAATTAAGAGTTAAGAGTTCTAATTAAGTTCCTAATTGCCAATATCCACGCACAGAGCCTCGGAGTAGTCGGATATAAAAGCCAAGGACACTAACGACACTAACGACACCCACCGGACAGCTGAAATGCCGCTTTACAAAAAGAGGGGATTCGTTTAAAGTACCTAAAGGTGTATGTGTTAAGACTATTTGTCTCAGAGACCATGTATACCCGATAGGCATCCGCTTTAGAAAGAGACATAATAATAGGCGAAACATAAAAAGAAGTATTATGTGGTTTTAATCGTTTTAATCCCTTTATGCTTCGAATTCTAATAATCTCGTGTCCACTCTTGTTTTTTTTTAACTAGCCCCATGGATTCCCCCATAAAGTCTTAACTTCTCATGGATCTGCAAACTCTCACTTTCTGACCTTTAACACCTCCTATCATGGCCAGTCCTGCCCAGGGACACCGCCAGGCCTTGCCTTCTCCCCCGCCAGCTTACCTCCGATCATCGCCCTCATTCACCTCATCAGAACCACGGACCATCCCGAACCGACCCCAGAGCTTGAACCTCACTCGTAAACCAGTCCCCTCACAATCCGAAACTTCTCCCGTCCTTCAAAACTCCCCGCGCTCACCAGTCAAAATCGGCCATGCCACCGACATCCCAGATGCCTCGAGCGTGCGCATCGAAGGCGCATACAGTGGGCCCACCACACCGCAATTGGAGCTTCCCGAGGTTGCAGACCTGTCGCTAGATGGCCCCGTACAGCCCCCTCAGAGTTGGGATCCTGCCTACCCCCCGCGGCGAGACTCAATACAGGCCCCGCATTACACACACGCGCATGCATACGGTCATACCCCAGCGAGTAGCGAGTCATGGTCGGCAGAGCCGAAAGACGACGGACAGGGAAACCCGAAAAAGAGCGCCTCCTCACTTGAGCGCGAGGGTCAGAGCTATAATAGCTCGTCGCGGGGAAGCTTGGATAGCGTGGCGCTGGCGTCCGACAGCTACGAACCTTTGACCTACCACCACCAGCAACAGCCGGCTGGGGCACCTGCAAGGAAACCTGCACCCAATGCTGGGGATAACCCATCCGCCTCGACAGATAAGCTTGCCGCTAGGCGATCAAGGCTCTCGCGGCCTCTGTCATCATACTCTGTAACTTCAGAGGGGGGTCACCGACGGAACTTCTCCACATCGCCGTATCTACATGCGCGATCCTCATCTGGAACCCCCGAAAACAGGTCTTCATCATTCCTCGACTTGCTCAACACATCATACCCGCAGCCAGGCCCATCAGCAGCGCGATTCGACAACTCGCGTCTCCAAGCCTCAGTCGGAAACAACGCCTCTCTCCTTAGCCACAAAGACACATTCGAGATGTATCTAGCGAACGTAAAGAAAACTGACGAGCCAACAGTGCTGTATGAATTCGCCGTGTTCATGGTAAATTCAATGCGCGAGATGCCAGCCGTGGACCTCGAAGACTCCAGCCCGATCACGCGCGCCCGCCTACTCCGCGAATCAAAATCTATCCTTCAACGCCTGGCAGACCGCAGCTACCCCTTCGCACAGTACTACCTCGGCGACGGGTACGCATCGGGACTCTTCAGCAAAGGCGTCGAGGACCATGACCGCTCCTTCCCGCTCTTCGTCGCAGCCAGCAAACACGGCCATGTCGAAGCCTGCTACCGCACAGCGCTGTGCTATGAGTTCGGTTGGGGATGTCGCCCTGACGGTACCCGTGCAGTCCAGTTCTACCGCCAAGCAGCGTCGAAAAACCACCCGGGCGCCATGATGCGCATGGCCAATGCCTGTATCGCTGGTGAGCTGGGGCTCGGCAAGCGATACCGCGAGGGAATCAAGTGGATGAAGCGGGCGACCGAGTCCGCAGACACTCAGTATAACTCCGGGCCGTATGAACTCGGCCTGATGCACGAGAAGGGCTTCGGAGACGACGTCTTCCCCGATGAGACTTACGCAGCGCAGCTGTTCACTAAATCCGCGGAGCTGGGACATGTCGAAGCTTGCTATCGTCTTGGAGATGCGTATGAGCATGGGAAATTGAATTGTCCACGCGATCCGGCGCTCAGTATCCATTTCTATACCAGTGCTGCGCAGAATGGACATCCGCTGGCGATGATGGCGCTTTGTGCCTGGTATCTTGTTGGTGCGGAGCCTGTGCTCGAGAAGGATGAAAACGAGGCTTATGAGTGGGCTTTCCGGGCTGCGAATCTCGGTCTTGCAAAGGCTGAGTATGCTGTCGGATACTTTACTGAGATGGGTATTGGCTGCCGTCGTGACCCTCTCGAGTCGAATGTTTGGTATGTCAAGGCAGCAGACCAAGGCGATGAGCGGGCCAAGCATCGAATCGCTACAATCCGGGCTGCGGCAGAGGGTACACATCCAACCGTGGCTGGGCATAATAAAGCCAAGCGCAATGGCCGACTTAAGAAATCCGACCGCAAGGATCAGAGCCCAAGTAATGGCCAGGGTGAGTGAACCGAACTAGATTTGTATGCACATTTTGCTAATGAATTCTCCAGAAAATGAAGTCGACAAGCCTGTCAAACAGAAACGATTCGTCATTTTCTAATCTCCCCTAAACAAACTTATGACCTGATCTGTCCAACGATCTACATTGCACACTTCCAAACATCTTCACTTCAACCGTTACCCTGCGACTCCTAGCATTGCAATATAAATGCAAGCTGAACCCCCTCACGAGAACAGTCTACGACCGAAAATACATACATAATCCCAACATCTGCATACAATCCCGCGCAAGCGCGAGCACGAAGCCTGTCATTTTACAAGCGATCTAAATCGGAATCTGATTCTTCCCACATGCCCGTTATGGAAATCTTGCCCATCGCTCTAGCATGATGATATTTCAAGTCTGTTTATACCACTCCTTTCGTATCTCTTCTTCATCCTTCGTCTCATCAGCGTGGTGGTTCCCATCTGCATTCATTCCTTTGCGCTTACCTTCATCTTCGCGTGAATCTACTCACTGATTTCCTATTGTCATCGGCGTTGTAAGATTCTATTCTGCCAATCTATCATTTTACTATTGTTATCCGTATACGTCTTTATCGTATTCTAGGATCTCCATTCCTAGAGTCGGCCGACTTTAACTTGTTTCGTTTTCACTCGCTATTTTATACATATAGTGGGTTATCTCTTACTCTGTTACTCTTTTCGATTCTTGTCTATAAAAGTGAGTACACGACTATAATCTGCTTGGTCGTTTTATTGCTACGCTCGATGACCCTTCCTCTCCCTTGTATAAATGTCACGATCCAGTAGATGGTGTAGTTGGTGCACGTGGGGAACGAACGGGTTAATTAGGGTCCAATCACGGACGCAAGTGTTGAACACTCCCTGCAGTCAAGGTAGTGCATATAAGAAACTGACGGAACCTGGTCATGCGAACGTGGGTGTATGTCATCTTCACACCCTTGTTTCATATTCCCTTGCTAACCCTTCCTCGCTCTTGTCACCATACTCCACAAGCCAAACTCGAACCTGGCCCGTACTACAACCTTTTCAGCCTATCAAAATATCACCTTTGCCCCTGATGCAATGCGTATGGAGGGCAATTCCACCCGCCAAGAAAGCTAGTTTTATAGATTGACAAAGAAAAGGCGGATGGCTCATTTCACTGTGTAGCTCATGATCTCATTTACCACACTCTAGATTCTATATATTCTTGAAACAGCGCAGGGCGAGGGCCGTGGACACGAAATAGAGAATTTCCCAACGCATTATACCCAAAACTCCCATGCCAGCGGTCTGCTGGTAACGTGCTTTCGGCGCGAATATGTTTGAAGATAGACGACGGAGGCTTTGGCCTCACTTGAACCGTGGAGGTGGGTATTGATTTGCCTGCAGGATGGTTGCAGCTCGGTGCCGAACCCACTACTGTCCGTCTACGCTCTTGTACATAAGGACCTACTCAGGGGTTAGCTAATGGTAACAGACTACACTCATTCGGCACTACATATCATATCCATAGATTCTAATAGATAGATACCATCGGAGCAGCTCTAACGTATGTGCATACAAAAAGTACTTCCTTGATAAGTTTATAAACCTTGCAGGTAACGACAAAGAAATAGGTATTCAAAACGGGATTATCGTATGTTTCGTCCAACTGTCATTCCTTTCTACATCATACAATTCATATGCATTACAGTAGCCTAATAAGAGCATACTCTTACAATCTACCGTTCCAACGTTCTCGCTAGGTTACATAGGCGTATAAGACCCGTCAGATAACCACACTGCTTTCACTACCGAGCTCCAATTTGTAAGTAAATGTGTCAAATGGGATGTGCTCAGAGTAGACAAGGCGGCTGTCGAATTGTAGGTGGCCACATGCGAAAATGGCCTGCCCGAATGGGCGTGGAGAGAAGGCCAGAAAGATAAATAGGGGGATTGGGGAACACATTGACCTCGTATCCAACAAAGGACACAGATGACCTCAAGATAGGAATATTCTTCTTGTGCCGAGCCGTTTTCGATATTGTAGCTCCAGGCTAAACTAGCTGAGACTAAGCAGTCCTTGACTTGTGTGCAGCCTCGTTTCCTGAAATGCTCGTATTGCCGGGACTTCAGTTTAGTTCCAAGTAGATATCTCCTAAGCCGATGAGGTCTGAGAGGTCAGACATACTCTTGACATGCTATGCATGGGCGCAACCCTGGTATGCACAGGTATCATTCAACTGCCGGAGTGCAGACATCACCTGTGATGAGTACCTCTCTCTTCGTGTCATGCGTATGCGACATCGACACTGTATACATTGTCTCGGGCTTGAAGAAGGTGTTTCCAACTGAATTGTAATGATGAAGTGTGCCTAGTTCTTGGTGAAGTCGAGCGCGAACCGCATCGTGTAGGGTATAGCGTATACCTCGACAACACAGCTTGGATTGTTTTCACGAGGGTAGCCACTCCATAATCCCCCAAGAGGAGGCATTATTCTGCTTTCCAGACTATCTCCAAGCCGCAGGAGACTTCGGACACAGCAGTCGCTATATATAATTGCCCGGTGGAGTACCGCTGTGGGTACCGGGAGAGCATAGATATTCCGGGAAACGTCATTCGTATCCTTCTGATCAGCGATACGGACTCCTAGAAATGTTTGACCTTGGTTCCCGTAGAACATGAGCCGGCTGGTTCCCGATTTAGTCGCTAGATATAGCGCATCAGATTCGGGTTGTTTGCGCTTTTGATTGGGGGGCGTGTGTGTCATGTCCTGCACTATATATATATCGGAGCCTGGAATATCTGAGCATAATGCTCAGATATAGTGGTCTTTTGGCCTAGTTCGTAACTTGTCAGTCCAGGGGCAGGTTGTAACAGTGTGCCAGTCTAGTGGCTAGTTGGGATAAGAGGTCGATCCGCTGGCCACATATGTTGGCTGAATGGGTTGATTGCATTTCTAGGTCCAGTGTAAGCGGATAAGTTGACGAGCGAACAATTAGCTCAACTAACCCCGGTTGTGGCATTTTGCGTGGGTTGCCGCCCGGCCTTGGTATGACGTGAAATGTGATGGTGGAATGTTCAGATTGTGAGAAGGGGCAGAATGCATATGTTCTCACCGGTCCCAGGGAAAAGAATGCAGAGAAGGGACTTGAGCAACAAGTAGAAGAGGAAGAGGGGAGAGGAGTGAGAGAAGTGAAAGAAAAATAAAAGAGAAGTAAAACAACATCGAATGAGACAAACGCGCCCCCTAATAGTATATAAGACAGCTACTGCTTGTGGTAGGGCCCCCACTGTCGTCTTGATCAAATGTGAGGTAAACCAGATATGAAGTGAAGTAGAAGTGAAGTGGAAGTGAAGTGGAAGTGAAGTGGAAGTAAACACGAAACGGCTGATCACCATTGGTGGTAGCTCGAAGGAAGACTGGGGTCGAGGCGGATGGCCAAGAATCGGACGTAACTGGGCATCTTTTTCATCAAGTTCAATAGTATCTTTAGAGTCTACTTCGACGGAAGGTTTATCCTAGTAAGGCTCCCCAAATTCTCGCAAAGCTCTGTGCCATATGAGGCCGTCAAACGGGCTTTCCATTTATCGACTGTTTGTACTTCCATGTAGCCCGTTTGTTGATCTTGTTGCCAACAGTGAAGAAGGTCTTCGCCTCACAGAGAGCACGAAGCTCCTCGTAAACCTGTGCGGCAGTGTTGCCTCGGCGAATGTAGACTAGCATTGTGGCGTCAAGTGACGAGGCCACGTAAGAAAGGACAATGGCATTTTTCTGATCCCATGCTTGCTGGAGTTTCTTCCGCTTTATGATATCTACCTTCTTAGCAGCAGGCTTGTTAGATGGTCAGGTGACCTCTGTATGCTCCCAGGACCCAATTAGTCAAATCGTGTAGATAGCTTCCTTTTCTCTCACTACGCATCTCAATACAATTATCCAGATATTTACTTCTTCATTGTAAATCATCTATCCTCAGGTTATAAGGAAGCTCTCGTTCCTCGATCTGATGGCCAGGCGAATAAGACTGAAATCGAGGAATTCCAGACGAAAGTCGGCACGCTGATCTGGCTCATGGTCTCTACCAGACCCGACATATCGTACGTCACGACGAAGCTTGCTCGCTACGCAAAGAACCCTGGTGACCTTCACTTTCAAGCTCTAAAAAGGGTGTTTTGTTACCTTGCAGGTTCAAGAGATCTAGCTATTTCCTATTCTAGGAATATCAGAGCTTCAGATCAGGCGTTCATAACTTCAAGCCCATTTTAATGGGATTTTGTGATGCCAATTGGGCCAAAACGCATGCTGAAAAAGGCATGTCCACCTCTAGTTTCGTCTTTAGACTCGGCGGCGGATTGATCTCGTGGACCTCGAAAAAACAACCCTGTGTCGCGTTGTGAACTACTGAAAGCGAGTATATCGCCGAAGCGCTAGCCACACAAGAAGCCTTATGGCTTTCTCAACTTCTTTTGGAACTCAATATCCCCGGGTTGCTCAAGCGCCCTGTTCCAATTTTTGCCGATAACAACGGCGCCATTGCCCTCGCATCAAATCCTGAATTTCATGCCAACACCAAGCACATAGCTGTGAGATTTCATCGGCTTCGCGAGGAAGTCGAGGCCGGTATGGTCAAATTTATCAAAATTCCAACTGCCGAGATGGCAGCTGATGGATTGACCAAACCTCTCGCACGTGTTCTTTTTAAGAGATAGATAATTCAAATGGGATTGAATTCTCGACGAGAATAAATGGGGGGTGGTTTATGATTATGATTCTCTTCAAATGCTGAGTCCTTTCTGGTTTGCATAGTAAGAAAGAACGTTTTTACGGCATTTTATCTGGTTGTTTTTGGGGGTTTTTAACCTTGGAAGCAACCTTGGGTGGCATATGAGTTCCATACTGAAGAAGTATGTGATAACGAACGTAGTTGATGCCCTAGGTAGGAAACAGGAAGAAAAACTAGGCACTTTGTTGATGTTAAATCAACTTGTTGAGCATGCTATAACGGAGAGATGATGAAGAAAGAGAGTGATGATATTCATAATCTATGGAGAAACTGGATATAAAGACCCATGCACAACAGCAAATAAAACCGGCGAACAAAGATCTCAGAGCCGACAAAAAGCGCAGCAAAACTGATCGAGGATAGTAACGCGGAGCTTGATATCATCTCTTCACACCCACACTCAACCCTATTTTCATCATCCGTTATCACATTCTTGATATTGTGGCATAGCAGTTTGATCAAACTACATTATGTCGCGCAATGATGCTATACACTGAGGCTTGTTCTTTCGCCAAGCTCTGGTTAAAGCTAACGGCCATATCGTGCAACTCCTCGATTGGACCGCTAACCCCATTCGGGAAATTTTGTTCAATATTGAGTCTCACCTTATCGAACCAGTGGATGACCTCGGCATTTGATGGCAATACCCGCATATCGTGTAAACGTAGCCCGTTCTGCTCCAAAACGCTAACGAAGTAGTCTGGGGTCTTTCGATTAGCACACGCCAGGCGATCCACCGTGTCTGGTATAGCGGACTTGTATGTTTCCAGGTCCACGACCCTGTATAGCGTGTCGGAAATAAGGAGGGTTCCCTGGGGACTCAACCGCTGTGCCACCTGAGCTATAGAAGCCTCGAAGACATCAAAGAGAAAGTGAGTGTAGACACCTCGTACAACGACTAGATCATACGGCACTTCCGGATCCGGAAGAAGGTCAACATCCTGCCCGTTGCAGAGGTATAGGTTGACCCGCTTTCTAAGATCCGTCGGTAAATTCTTAGCGCAGAAGTCAAGTTGACGCTGGCTAATATTGATGGCGTCGATGCGCTGGCATTCGGGGAAATGTGCTGCTAGGCGCTTGGTAATGAAACCCCAGCCACAACCGATGTCCAATATTCGACAGAGTTGTGGCCTGTTTGGCCCGAGAAGCCCAGCGAGCTCGAGCTGGCGATCAAACGCTCGAAACTCAGCAGAACCGATAGCTCCTGGCTTAGCACCTTCGGCAATCTCTGCCTGATCGAAGAGGCCAAATTGAAAGCTCAGATTGTCACCGAGAGCCTTTTGCCACATTTCCGGGGGATCGTCATATGTGTCAACAACTTTATCCTGGTACTTATCGGTACGGTGGCTTTTAATGAGATTGATCTTGGCGGCGGATTCCATGTTTGTTTAGCCGAGTCGCTTCTTGTGAGTTAATTACTTATCCCCAAGGGTCTGGTTTTGATCTCTTTAAGGAGAAAGCTCAATGTTTATATACAGCATTTAGTGTCCAGCCTTTTCAAGGTTGTTTCGATGACTTCCCCTAGGAATTACCTAAAAACATCATTGCAGGCATTATATGTGCTATGGATGGTTTTTGGACACCGCGGAACCACCAGGCCTGAGATGGAGACATCTTCTAACCAAATAGGGTTATATAAACTACCTGTTTATGCAAAAGCGACACAAAACGGTCTGAGCACGTGGTATCGTTCTAATTATGATTATTCGATGTTGCAATATCCCCAACGTATGTTTGGCTTGGAATTTATACCCGTACTGCGTATATCTAACCTTCATTACACCCGGGAGATGTTTCTTTCTACAAGCTGTTAACACTCGGTGAAGAACTTCATCAATGTCACACCTGCAAGCTGACCATTGTGTCACTTCGTCTGAAGTATAATAACGGCACTTTTCTTACTAACCTTCACCATGCCCTTTGACATAGTTAATTCCTGATAGCCCATATGTTCAATCTCTGTATTCGGAAACCATCGCAGCGCTGACGACAGCAGCATTCGAGCAGCTGATGGAGGTTGGTTAGAGAGGTAGTGTAACACGGCTATATTGATTGGCCTCTCGTATGTAGTAGGGTCATTTTCAGAATAACATGACAGGAAGATCCATAGATAGGATCATTCAGGCGAGAGAGATAGTAGTACAATATATTGTAGAAATAGTATGTGCGCGAAACTCCAAATGCCAACTCTCGCCTAATGCTAAGGATATAAATCGCAACACTTAGCACCACTACCCACATTTTGGAATACAAAAGAGACAAACAAGTTATCCTACTACACAATACTTAGTATGGCCTGGTGCCTTCTTCGGATTTAGCTTATTGGTCTCTCTGACTAACTTCACAATAGACATCTCTCTATTGACACTTCATAATACGGTACATACCCTGGTTTATTGATCCAGTGCTGTGCCAGCCACCATTTAAAGTTATGGATAACCCCAGCACAAGCCAAAATGTTAGGCTGCTCGACTATGACCCTCTCGAGTGTGGTGATCTCGACGGTTTCCGGCAATCGGGCCTATCGTGCTTCCGTCCTCACCACGCATTAAAACTGAGAATGAAGCCTGTCATCGATGACATCCCCGACAATTTCGACAGCTTGGGAATACTCACTGGTTGCCTATGTGGGGTCCAGAGGGCAACAAATGCCCAACGCACGCCTCTGCATGTCATGATGCAAATCGCTCAATGCTTAGCACACATCGCAGCTGCAGCCGATTGTCCGGCTTGTATGTGTGAGGGGCTTTCAATGATGTATCTTGCGTGGCTGAGGGCCTCAGAGTGTGAAGAGAGAAGGGGATGGTCAGACTCTATTCTTGGATGTTGCGAATGTATCGGTTTGTCACAGTTCACACTGCACGATATTAGTGGGGTAGTACAACGGGGACCAGCAACTATTTGCCAGACTGACTGCTGGACCAAGGCATTGTCCTTTGCCGGTGAGTTGTCTGTTGGTGAAGTTCTCTATATCAACCGAGCCCGGGTTTTGACCCACCCGTCTGGCACGACAAGTATGCGGAAGTGGCTTACAAAGATCACCGAACCGTATGCCGACCAGCTGTTTAGTGGCTGTGACCAGATGCCATTTCGTGAAGCCCTAGGTCTCACGGGGTGGTACACTGTCTGTTGCACCCACCCTTTGGCTCAGGGAGCTGAAGAGACCCTGCGGGAAATTATTCGATACACAATGGATGCTGAGATGTTCAGTCAATATGATTTCAAATCGCACCGCCACCTACACTCAAACTCCACAGGTCAACCAGACGTAGCTGCGGCATTCACTGATCGGGCTAATAGTGCAAGACCTACAATGCGAGAAAAGAGTGAAGGGTACGATGCATATGTTGCCAAGCGTCTCGTGGACGGCATTTGGACTGCTTTCTTCTATCAACGCATGTCTACACCGATGATCTCTTACCATCGTTCGCACATTCAGCGGCCAAGACCCATCGAATGTCTTAGTGTGCTGACCTTTGACACTTTCAGCCACAGAAGACGGCTGAAGGAGGACGGCAATGTTGACGCCACTTCTTACGTGAACTTTGTCGATGGACAGTCTGCATCAGGCGCATACTCAAAATGGCACGCTCTTATGTGTGCGATTGCTCACCAGGCTGTGATATCTTTCCTATGGGATCTGACACACCACTTACCACCGCCTGATGTAGGCGGGGACATACCTAGCTCTGGCAGTGGTAGGGAATTACCCGGGAAACAGGAGCAAGAGCTAGCGTTGAAAGAGACAAATTGATACTAATGCTATAAGTGGTTCCTACCATTATAAGAGGATATTCTCGGGGTCTATATTTAGGGGGGTATAGATAGTCTAAGATGTTTACTTTCTTCTAAATATAACTATCACCCCTCTGACGTCTCTAAATCGGCCCTACAACAATGTCTAAATATATGTAGCGAGCATAATGTGGTTTACGGCAGGCAGAAATATGATATAGTAAAGGTTTAAGTTTTTGCGGCTGGTACACGCCTTGTAACACTGTATTTGCCTGACACATCTAGGTATTCTCTAGTAAAACTCGCTCATAGCCGATATTGGCAGCGATCTTGGCAGCTTCGTATATTTTGCCAACTAGACGTTGCTCTAAAGCCCATGCACTCTACTCCGAAGAAAATATGCTCCGACGAGTGAGCCTAGATAATCGAATTCCACGATATGCCGAAATCGACGAAGAGTGTGTAGATCGCGGTAACCCTAGCTGTCTTGCTATGAGCGTACTGAGGCTCAGCGTTTTTGGCTGGTGGGGTTCCCCCGCCGGATCATCTTCATCAGCTTGATCAGTAATCAATCGGCTTAAAAGAACCAACTCATTCACGTCAAGACTTTCTTCATTTAACTCATCAAGCCATGGGTGTTCACGTTATTTCGAAGCTTGATAACCGCCAACATGCGACCTTCGATGTTGAAGTCGCTGGTCAGAGGGAATTATCGGAGTCTTCAGTAAGAATCCGCACCCAACTAATCAGCCTCACTTCAAACAATTTGACCTATGCCTTAATGGGTGAATTCTTGCATTGGTATGTTCCCGCTATCCATCAGACTAGAAGACAATGCCAGAAAACAATCTGAAATGGGATTCTCATCAATTACTTGCAGGTGGGACACATACCCCGTATCTGCAGACTATCCCGCACCATACAACGACCCATCAACATGGGGAATTGTTCCAGCCTGGGGTTATGCATCAGTGGAAGAAACCACAATCCCCGAATTACCAAAAGGAACACTTCTTTATGGATTCTGGCCTACAACCAGCACACCAACCGATCTCAAATTCAAACGCGGTTCCCCAGAAGGCCACTGGATCGAGACCAGCGATCATCGCCAGCAACTGATGCCGTTGTACAACCGCTACACGGTAACTCGGTCATCTACTCCAATCTCTGACCTGACCAGCGCGCTCAATCCCCTGTCAGCCTCTGCACAGGATGAGCTAGACCGCATGGCCTGGACCGCACTATTTATCGGCGGGGTAGCCGGGTACATTCTCAGCGAGTATGTTTTCTCGTCCAACCCAAGCCAACCTCCCATCCACCCACTGGGAAACCAAGCTGGGTTGCAGTGGACCCTGTCCGAGGGGGAATTGTCGTCCGCGGTCGTAGTAAATCTCGCCGCGTCGACTAATACGGCCCGTGTTTTCTCGTACTACCTGTCGCGAAAGCCGGATAGTTCGGCACCCCTTGGCTTATTGCATGTTACATCAGCTGTGTCACGCATTGAGGAAGCGGATCGGAATTTAGCTACTTCTGTTCCTTCTAAGGCAGTTGGGTATAAAGATATTGGATCCGAGGAGACTGCGGAATGGCTTGCTAGTCGCAAGGCTGAGAAGATTGTTATCGTTGACTTCGGTGGTCGTGGAAATGCCCTCGAGGACACACTTTCCCTGATCAAGAATCACGCTAAGTTGCAATCTTGCAAGGTTGTCATTGTCAAGGTGGGCAATGAACAGAAAGTATACTCGATGGAGGAGTTATACGCTGGAGGGGAAGCGATGGCGAGGCTTGGAAAGGTTCAATACAATACTTCTGGTGTTCAAGATACGATACTCGAGACTGTCGACCCAGAAGCCTACTTTGCAAAACGAAGCGCAGAGTGGGAGAAATGGCTGGACGACCGACATTTGAGCGTTCCAGGAAAACAGGTTGTCTTTGGCCGCGGTGTCTCTGGTGCTGAAGGCGTCGAGGGAGGGTGGGAGAAATTGTGTAATGGACAAGTAGGAGCTGATGAGGGATTGGTCTACAAGATGCAGTGAGACTTCAAATTGGGTATGAATTAGTCTGGCGATAGTATTTAACAGATAAAATTGAACGAATTTGTGAAACTAAACCCTCCAGGCTCTGGTCTGGGCCTTACCCAAATTCATATAAGATGATCCAAAATCAACACCGCAGTAGAAAAGGGGTATACAAGCGCGCATTCTAAATTCAAACAGACTATACGACCTGCTCGTATCGGGGGGCTGGGTCCATAGTGTGAATACTCGCACTTTGCTCACTGGAAGACCGCGCAGAATTGATCTCCGCTAGCATCGGGTGCTCACAATGATCTGATTGAGTAGCAGCCGACAAGATCAAGTCCGAAAAATGATCATTGTAAGCCGGAGGAGGACATCGGCTTCCCTGCATATGTTGGATATCTTGCCCACGAGCGAACGCATTTTCTCCAATCACGTTGGGTGTCATATATATCTTAAATGGCATCATTTCCGTGATCTAATTCCCGTTAGCTGCATGCTCCAAATTTCCTAATGCTATATTCACATACCACGGCTATCTCTTCCCCCGTCTCATCACTAAATTCAGCAGTGATAGAAAGCTCATGGTCAATCTTGATGGGTCTTGTCGAGACACTCTGCGAGCATGCGTTAAGACTCCTAGGTAGAGAGACGGGCGTGGTAAAGTGCCATTCAATTTCCGAAAGACCGTCCGAATCAGATTCATCCCTTTCAGAGAAATCGATGACCTTCGTGAAAACAGTTTCAGTTTGTGCTGCAGTGATAAACCGTACATTGTGTCGCACTGATTCTTCAGCAGTAGCTTCCAACCGCGCAATCTGTTTCTCAATTACTTTGATTGTAACAGCCTTGAGTCTGGCGTATTTCAACAACGGTGCAAACCAGCATTCCACGGGAAATGTGCAACCAAAGGGAACGTTCCGGTCAGTGATGGAGAGGGAATATTGGATATTTTCATTGGAGTGGCCCTCGACAGTCTAGATATTGAGTCATTAGATATGGCAAAAACTTTCCAATGTAAAATGGACTCACCAGTGGGCAATGTGGTCTTAAATAGCTGGTCTCCAAATCGGAAACCTGGTAAATCCTAAGTGGCTGCGAAACCACGAAATTGCTTTTGAAGCGTCGCTCGATAATGGCGTCGACAGAGTATGTGTGATATTGATTGTTTGCTCCAGCCACGGTGTCGAAAACTTTACTTGGAAGCGGAATATCGAATAAAAATGCGTGGTCCCCTGCTGGCATTTGGAATACGTTCATCGTTTTTGAAGAAGCTAGTGGTTGTTCTCTCTCGAATGTGATCTGGTCACGGCTTTCCGCTGAACCAAAGATTCCCTCCACAGGGCTATAAACAGGAGTAAGAAGATAGTCAACAACAAAATATATAGTAGGGCATTCTCACATTGCTATAGTTCCCCTCAATCTCACTTTGATGCTCTTTACTGAGACAACTTGTGCAAGAGACAGATTGAGTCGTCCAGTAACAGAAACCGGATGTCGGTCCTCCGAAATAAAAATGCATGATTTATCAAGACTAGGGAATATAAGTTAGCTTGTTATAGGGAAGCAACACTGGGAATAATCAAACCTCAACTCTGAGCCAGTAATGTGTTCGCGGAACATCGTCAGATGCAAGAAATATTTATCTTGATAGATTAAAAGTCAGATTATAGTTCAATTGAACCTCCGGCGAATTAATAGTACGGGAATCATGGCGCGTGGTTGGCCTTTATACTCGTGTCTGCACGACGGAGCGGACATTCCTAAACGGGGTCGGAGAGCTGATTCCAATGACTCAAACCTTATAAGCGCAGCTCTTGACCAAGGAAGGAAATATCCACATTCCTGTGATGCTGTCTAAATACGTAGGTTACAATAATTTACGAAATGCTTCCAAGGTCTGTCCTTGGAGATTCTTGTTGCGACTTTGCTAGGACATTCTTTGATCTATGATGGTGCGGCTTCCCACCATAACATCACTGCTATTTCTGAATATATTAAATCTAGCATAGTACTTGAATCAACAGTAGAAATAGGATCTTTTTCTTGTATATACTAATAAAAGCTACGGACACTCATCGGTGATACATTTCCCGCTAAACTCCCTCGGGTATACTTTCCAGCCACTAAACCAGACAGGGTAATAATTCCAACAGCAAAGTGGGAACAGCAGTCGGGAGGCATACCCAAGGTAGTTTAGCGGTGAAATCTATAGTCTTTCTCGTGAATTTGCAATATTGACTCGGTACTACTATGATCAGGACTGTACACCTTATGCCATATTGAATACAAAAGGTACAACACAAGCACAAGATATGTACTTTCACCTTTCAAGTTTCATCAAGCTAAACCATTATCAAATTCGAACTCGGGCATATCCAGATCTAGCAATAATTGATCATTCGAGCAGTTCGGAAAGCCGACATCCAGGAAATTGCCGAAAAAGGTATCGAAATCCTCAATTTCAGTTGCTGTTAAAAATGGCGATGTGTGTACTTCGGCATTCCAAGGTTTGTCCGATCCCCGATCAGCCAGAGGGTGTGTGGTCTGAGATCCTGCATTAATCTGTCTCGCCACCTGTGCAATGTCGATACCCGAGTGCGACGGCATATTATCCGCGGAAACAGGTGGCTGAGAAGAGATCTGGCTCGATTCCGGCAGAGAGTTTAGTCGGGTGATATTGATTTCTGGACCTGTGGAACGTTCTTGATCTATGGTGGGCTGGATGTTGTTCAACACACGCTGGCCTAGACGAGCCATCACAGCGGCCGACCACCATGTGGTGCTCATCTTCTCGAGACAATCATGGAATAGGCGGAGTTGGGAAATGGCCGTGTGGCGTGCACTTGGCAGTTTGCTTTCTCTGAGCTGCTTGTACGTAACCGAAAAGACGAGCGATATGGTGTAACCAATCATGGGAAACGGCAGGAAATTCCGAATATCTTGATTGCAACTGAGCGACGCGATGGTAAGTATTGAATGACCTTGTCGGATTTTGGACGCTCGTGGCCGTGAACGACCTTGCAACCCGCTAGAATGTGTTGAGAGAATAATCACAGAATGATAAACAAACTCGAGGGACTCTGTCTATGGGTTAGACAATGTTACAACTAGCGAGGAGATGTTTCATACCAAGAAGGTCTGTAGGCATGTCCCAGGCCTCACATTGCTCCACAATATCTTCAAAGGAGGGAAGATCGACTTCGCTTTGATCAACGCCTTTCATGATCGGTCGGTACAAATTAATCACTTCTCCGAGCTTATCGGTAACTCGAAGCCAGACACGAAACGGCGATTGGAATGTTGAAACAACATCATCCACTCCTTGGCTCCTATCTCCGTCGTGTATCATTAAAGGCCTCCCATTCATAGCAGCGTTCCATCGGTCTAGACTCCACAGACACCAAAAGATGCCCCTGGAAGATGTACCAGCGTGTTGGTCTGGCCTCATCAAATGCAACCCCATAGTCTGGGCATGGTGAATAGCCTGAGCCAGGTTCAAAGAACCATCCTCAGACCCGGTGGAGCCCCATTCGTGCAGTGACAGAAGTGCCAGGATTTGTATCGCAAGTACCTTTTTCTCAGCCCTTCTCGAGATATTTCGCATAGCATCAGTATAGAGGATGTTGCTAAATTTCTCTAGTGGGAGTGGTTTTGAATGGAGACCAAGGCATAGGAAGGGCGCCGCACCCCGGTCCTTCGCTGCAACAAGACAAATCACTTGCAAAAGCCGCGGATTGAGTGTACCCACTCTGTGCTGGCTTCTGACCTTGTCTTCGTCAAGAAGAGGCAGCAATGGGTGTATCCGACGGAAATATATCTCTATCAATGCCTCTTGACAGCCTTTTGAGGGCAGCCAATCCGGATGAACATAGGTGCCTGGTGCTGTTTGTGAAAAGGAGCTAGGGGTTCCGCCCTCATCAATGGGACTCTCCTCGGCGCTTAACCATGCACCCACATCCCCTTTCTGGGATCGACCCTTCTGCAACCTTGACTCGTGCTGTTCCATGAGAGTCGCTATAGGGTTAGAGTCGCACGCAAAACGTCGAGACTCTTGCTCGACCTCTGCAGGCGTGGCTGCATCAGGGGAGGAAAAAGATTCAGCCTCTTGTTCCACCAAATTCTGGAGTGAGGAGGCACTTGATCGCTCCCCTCGTGGAGATGCAGATCTATCTCGGGCTACTGGATCCCGCCTTGAAATCTGCGAAGCAGGACTTTGGATACTTGCGACATCAGAGATGTTGGGCGAAGAAGACCCATCGGCTAATTGCTCCTGGGGGGTGATGTGATAACATCGTTTCTAGCAAAGTCAGCATAATCCGATCGTTATAGGGCTATCTAGCGAAGTACGCGACACCTTTTTCTGGCGACAAGAGTTACACGCACGCCGTGCATGCCCCCTCGTGGCATTTGTTCCATTGCGACTAATCAAGAAAGTCAGCTCCATCGTGAATAATCCTCATATGTCTCGTTCATGAAGGTTGTTGCGGGGCCTTCCTTCTCGGGGGCGGGAAGAGGTAGTACGCCACCGGAGCGGCAACAGTTTCCCGAAACGGAAAGTCCGACCTCAAAACAGTAACAAGGCCAACCACCCGTGGACCGATATGACCCTAAACAAAAATATGGATGAATACGGTAATATCTTGCACCAAATGAGACCTCTACTCTAAATGGAAGGTTTACTGTTCATTTTGCTATTGTAAGACCAAAGCTATTCCGGCCATATCAATCTCCACATTTGAAATTCAATGTATGGCGCCATAGATCCCTTTCTGAAATAGATGGTTATTTTTATGCGGTCCTAATGGCTCAATTTCATTTATAAAGTGATGCCGAAGTCAATCTGCAATTAGGCATAATTCAAGTACCAACTATAGTATCGGAGGAAATATATATTTCACAAGTGAGGTGCGAAATACTGGTAATCATGGGTGTGCTACTATGTAAATGTTACGGTCAACAGAGATTGAATTTTCGTATTTTGAAGTAGCCATCATATCCAGACCAGGCCAGGCAGACAATCCTAATTCATCAATAGGCAGTTTGTAGTGTGGCACTGGATCGGTTCAATGCATGATGCATACTGCAAGTTCGGGCTTTTGTTAGCAAGTTCTGTACAACCTTAGTTAGTGGAATAGGGCGATAAGCCTGACTAATGCTCTACTATAGCAGGTATTATTCTCATAGGTACAATACGGGTGAAAAAAATATATATAAAAAGGCGTCCGAGTGTTGTTTCATAACACTGGTAACATCATATTTGGCACCATATCAGTGCTGCATTATGCCTTGTGCCGTCCACTGCGAGTGCCCAGAGTATCAATCAAGGCTGCATATCCTGGATAGGTCAGATATGCAGGCCACCATGTGATGTAACTCCGTTGTACACAAGAGCGGTACTGACAACGGAGTCGTAATGAGTGACTCCGTAGTTCAATCTAGGAAGATGCATCCGAGAGAAGAGGTCATAGATCCGATCATTTTAGTCTTAAACAGCTCGTATAATATCTGTTCACCGAGATAATCAGAGATACTATCTGTAAGGAGTCAAGATCGTAAGGAGCCATTGTGTCTAGGTCATAAATAACTGAACATAGGGGTAGAAATCGGTATGGAACCAGTCTAAATGGTATATGACAGAGGCTGCATGAGGGGTCAACTATACTTTGTCTTCACATGGATATATAGCTGCTCGCCACGCATCTGTAGTATATCCTATCCGCAGAGCCTGGTTCTAATAGCCTGGATCCTTTCAATCTCTGAGCCAGCCCCATCACTGGCGCATCCAGCCCTTTTGAACTCCTCGTTCATAATTTCCCACTGGCAGTACCGTCGGGGGCCCCACGGATCCTGCTGGCTCATGGCTTCATCCTCCGCCCTTGTTCGCACTGTCCACCCCTGTAGCATGTCACAGATCATGATGCTGCCTTCTTCAAGATCGTATGGCTTCGCACCGGGCATGGGCGGGAGTCCATTAGCGAACCGAATCCAACTACGCGCCATCTCCTCTCCCTGTCGTCGCAGGAAATGATTCCGGTGCGTAGGAAGACGCTCTGAAAGTGTCATAAATTGGTACATGAGTTCAACAAAGTGATGCCCCGTTGCGTAGGAGTAAGGAGAGCCCGGAAAGGGGTTTGGCAGACCAAATTGCCAGCGATACAAGCGCTGTCGACCATTCTGAGCTACGGAGATGGCTGTTGAATGTGTGGGCTCGGAGAAGATCACGTCTCCCATTAGAACCATCGCGTGCTGCCAGAAGAGGCCCTCATCCATACCATCGTATATTTCGTATGCGTCGAGCACACGGCGGGCGGACTCATCACCAAGAACGGTATGAAATTGTGCGATAAATGGACTAGCAGATATGTCCTTGAGGGCTGTGACGAGTCCAAGTCCCTCACACGAGTCGTCGCCAATCATGATCTCGTGGAGCCATGGGCAATTGGCTAGAACTTCGCCCTGATTGGCCCACAGGGGTGCCTGAGGGAAGAACTCGCTCTCCGGGCCAAGGAACGGCTTCATCGTGCCGACATTGTTCTCACGAATAAAGTCAATCAAGCGTGACACTGGCACCTCACGGAGCGCTTTGAGCCGCTCTGCACGAGTCGCTCCGGTGATTTCCAGATATGATAACAGCCGATGATAGTATGCATCAGCCTCATCAAGAGCCCAGGTACCTATGGCGTTGGGTGAACCACTTTGGAGGATGGCTCGTTTGAATACAGGCACGTCCGAACAAGCGTGCATGAAGATTGAGACAGCCCCACCGGACTCACCAAAGGCTGTTACATTATCTGGGTCACCGCCGAAGCCCGCGATGTAATTTTGGATCCAGAGGAAGGCGTTGCGTTGGTCTCGCAGTCCATAATTGAATGCAGGCTCGCCATTCTCCTTAGCCTCGTCGAGTAGATCGTAGCAGGCTGTGAAACCTTGCCAGTTCAACCGGTATCCTATGGACACAATCACCACACCCATGGCTTCGTGGGATGCCAACGCCGCCATCTTTGTTGTGTCATGACCAGCGCTGACATGGCCTTTGCCTTCGACGAGACCACCGCCATGCACATAGACCAGGACTGGAAGAGGGCCATTCTCCTCCGAGAAATTCTTCGCTGGTGCAGAAATGGTTAAGTTGAGACAGGCTTGCTCATCATATATGATCGGCTCCTCACCAGGAGCAAACCCCCCTCCCGCACTACCCCTTCCAGTGGGCTGTGGCACTTGGGGACAAGCAGCACCATACTGCGTAAAGTCACGATGGGGACGATCATCAAAGTGGTCTGGGATGCGATCGAGCAGTACGCTTTGACTGAAACGGGCTGGAATGGTGGCATAGGGGATGGAACGGAAATGCACCACAGGCTCGCTCACAGGCTGTCCATCAACATGCTGTTTATCAACCAGGCGGCCAGTGAGACTGCCGAGCTGTGGATGGTCGAGGGCCAATGTGGAAGTGGTTGCCATTGCCATTGTGTATAGCTATCACTGGTGACAAGTGTTGGGATAAAGGACAAAGCGTTGGGACGAAGGACAGGGTAAGAATACATCCTTCCCCTCCCTACGCGGCAATGTTGCCGGTTGTCAGCAATTAGCGCAGTGATCCTGGAGCATAAACTCCGTGGCGGTACGGTATATACTCCGCGTAGTCCGTTGATCAACAGAGGTCGCCTTCGTCTCCACAAAAAGGCTGTGCTGCCTGGCTTAGCGCCAGGCAGCAGCCGCATTGATGCCTTATCCCTCAGGCCAAAATGGATTGACTCCGTCACAACCATCTGCTTCTGTTTTTATTTAAAGGCAACTTGTTCCTTCTAATTGTTCCTTGTTCTACTCTCATCAAATCTGATTCCTGAGTTCTGTTTGCTTTTCATTTCCTCTTAATTACCTTGTACACCTCGATCTCGTATTCGCTTGACCGTTTCCTCTTCAATCTTTACTTTCTACGTTTGAATTATCTACCCCTGATTCCTAACTCTACTTTGCAATTGAGTTACATTATGCCAGCGCGAACGTTCAAACAGCTGGTGATTGCTGTGGCCGGGACCTTTCCCAATCTAAAACAAGGTATGAGCCAGAGCCCCCTATTGCCCTCGGACCCCGGCCTTTGATTAGATGATCTCCACAATTGCATGCTAACCAGTATACTGCTTCTAGCGGACTTGAAGTCAATGATTGAGAAGAATGGAGCGACATTCAGCACCACAGTCTCGGATGATTGTACTCATCTGGTGACCACCGATAAGGATGTGCAGAAGCAGACCACCAAATGTAAGTGTACTATCACACACAAGCCACGATCACCTCTGAGTTTGGGACCATTGAGCGCTTTCTCAATGTTGAATTATCGCCGTTTTAATACCAAAAAAATGGTGATAAACGATGTTAGAAATGCCAATGACAACACCCCCTAATCGGCCATTTTGAAAATGGCAGGGTCTAGATGGTGTTTGGAGACAAGCACAAGCCAATGTTTCAAACTTTTGAGGTATCACTGTATAACCTTGGGGACTTTCTTATTGATCAATTAACTAGACAAACAAGCTTCCCAGCTCGCAAATTGTCACATTGTCCCACTTTTGTGGCTTATTGAATCAGATGAAGCTAAGAAACCGTTGGCGGAGTCGAAGTATTCTTCTTTCATCCAGCTCAATCAGACGTCCCAGGCAGACGGAAACACAGACACTAAGACTGTGGACAGCAGCGAATCTGTTCCTGCGGACAACAAGCGCATCACTAGGAAGCGAGGTGTGGTTGTGGCTTCTGCTGAAGACGATGCTGAAGAAACGACAAGCACCAGCAACAATGGTGCAAACGGCAAAGCTAAACCCTCTCTGGATGCGAAGCCTACAATAAAAAATGAAGATGTGCATGATGATCCTGCTGAAAATGATAGCCACACCAAGACGAAGGTCACCAAGAAGACTGTTGTGAAGGGGAAAGCTAAAAATGCCGAGGATAAGAAGGTTGCAGGGAAGAAACGAGGTGCAGATGAAGATACTGTTGAAAGCGGTTCAAACAAGAAGACAAAGGACATCCAGAAGACAGCCACAAAGGCGATTAATGTCCCAATCGACGAGGGCGTCCATGGACTGGGTAACCCAGGCGGTAAGTCTGCGATACGACTGGTTAGTGTGAAGATAAACTAACCCGTTTTGTCATAGATCTTAAGGTCTACATTGACGATTCGGGCCTCATCTGGGATGCAACCCTGAGTCAAACTGTGGCAGCCAACAATGCCAACAAATTCTATCGCGTCCAGTTGTTGTCCTGTGCAAAGAAGGGTTACTTCACCTGGACGCGATGGGGTCGGGTCGGGGAGCATGGCCAGTCAGCCTGGCTCGGGGACGGCCTCTTGGAAAATGCGATACATCACTACGAGAAGAAGTTCAAGGACAAGTCAGGCCTCAAATGGGAGAACCGGCTCGACACTCCTAAGAAGGGAAAGTACACCTTCCTTGAGCGAAACTACGAAGACGATGATGAAGAGGAAGAGCCCGTGAAAAAGGAGAAAACTATCAAGGAAAAAGACGACGAGCCCCCAGCCCAGAGCGCCTTATCCACAGGGCTTCAAAATCTAATGGCTTTCATCTTCAACCGACAGAATGTTCTCGACACATTGGCTGCAATGTCCTACGACGCCAACAAACTGCCACTTGGAAAGCTAAGTGACAGGACTTTGAAGAGCGGATTTTCGGTCCTAAAAGAGATATCCGAGATCATGACTACACCAACTCTCGCACAAGAAAGACATGGCCAAACGTTTGATGATGCTATAGATGCATTGAGCAACCGATATTTCACCTTGATTCCTCACGTTTTTGGCCGTCATCGGCCACCAACGTTGAATACGAATGCACAGATCAAGAAGGAAATTGAGTTGCTAGAGGCACTGACGGACATGGACGTTGCGAATGAAATCATGGTATCGTCCAAGCAAGACAGTGACATCCACCCACTCGATCGCCAGTACCAGAGTCTCGGCATGAAGGAGATGACAGAACGTGAGTATAGATCCGGTCGCCCGAAGTAACCAAACTGACATCTCCCAGTGGACCCCAAATCAACCGAGTTTATAGAACTAGAGAACTATCTCCAGAACTCACGTGGGGAGACACACAGCATGACCTACAAGGTAGTGAACATCTTCCGCATCGAGCGCCAAGGTGAAAACGACCGCTTCAACTCATCTCCATACGCCAAAATTCCAAACAGTGACCGCCGCCTCCTCTGGCACGGATCCCGCAGTACAAACTTCGGTGGTATTCTCAGCCAAGGATTACGCATCGCACCCCCTGAAGCACCCGTCAATGGCTACATGTTTGGCAAGGGTGTTTATCTCGCCGATATATCGAGCAAATCCGCAAACTACTGTTGTCCCTACAATAGCCGTGGGATGGGGTTGCTTCTTCTCTGCGATGCGGAGCTTGGTGCGCCTATGCTGGAACTTGATAGTGCCTGCTACAATGCTGGAGAGGAAGCAATTAAGGCTGGCAAGATTGCGACACTCGGTAGGGGTACCAACGTCCCTGCCGGGTGGAAGGATGCGGCATGCTTGAATCCCACATTGGCTGGTGTGAAGATGCCTGATGTGTCTGTTTCGAGTGCTAAGGCAGATCAAACTCGTGGTCTGTGGTACAATGAGTACATTGTGTATGATGTTGCGCAGATCCGACAGCGCTATTTGTTCCAGGTCAAGATGAGCTGAATGGTTTGATTTTGTGTTGGAGTATTGGGTTGGGGGTGTTATTGAGCGGGCCCTATTTTTTTCTGTTGGTTTATTTGCTTCTTTCAAAACAATTGTAATGTATGGTTGAAAGTCTAATATGTATTGCTCACTAGAATATCTAAGTATTTCAAGGGTTGTTAATCATGACCTCTAAAAAGACTAGCTGGTGTGTTACTATATCTCCGACATACCCTATCCATCTATAGGTTCTATTACACTTCTTCTCTTTCTCTGTAGGCTAGTAGCTATATCAAATTTTGACTTACCTCACTGCCATTCTTATAATCTACTTATTAGACTTTCAAGTGTATGATTCAAGGATAGGAAGAATCACCGGCGGGTTATGCGGCCCTATGCACTCTTACTCTTTCAATGGTCTCCCAGTGGCCTTTCACTGGGCTTTGGATGATAGTCTTGGTATATCAAGCTTGCAATTTGGTACACTGCTTGCTAGTTCAAACTGAGGTCTTTGTTTGCTAGCTTTTTGCTGTTTTACAGGGTTATAAATACCCTGTCTTTTCCTTGATTCTCTGATACACACTTCCTACTTCTTCATCTCTCATAGTACACTCAACATTTATATTTAGAGATCTTGCTTCGATATATATTCTCCCTCTTGTCGGTTTCACAGGCAGGTGGTTGATGTCATAAAGATTGAAATGTCTCTCCACGAAGCCATCCGTCAACCCAAATCACACGAGGATGTGTGACGTTTTAAAGGCATTTAGGCATCAAACCCTGCCACGGTCTTGGACCCCTACGTCATCTATGCCTTCCCATTTAGTAAATAAAGATCAATTCGTGCTAAACCTGGGAAAGCATCTGGGATCGTCGTGGGTGGCCCGATCTCGAATGCATCGCACGAAGAAGAACATTACTTTGTGACATGTGTCGACTTTGGAATGATGGCACGAATGCCACTCGGTTCTATCACCCATCCGCTGAACTCTACTGGTCCGCCCGCGATGATCCGGGATGCTTTCCCAGGTTCTTCACGATGAGATGTCAAGTGGAACACCACAGACCAATCTTGCTGAGCGCGAGTTCCTGATACACTGCTCTGCCAACTTTCTCCCCTCCAAGCCTCTCACACCCCGGGCATCGCATACTAGCCCTCCTTGGTAATACAGACAAAGATGACCAGTCCAAGGTTACGGCAAATAGTGTCTTGCAAAATGGCATGCCCAACGGACAGTTTGTGACAAACTTCGAAAAACCTACCGCGGGAGCCCTACTGAGGGCAGGCTACCTTTAGAAGTCTTCTACCTACCTATTCCACTGTCTCTATTCGCTGCAATCTCCACGACGCGAATGTTCCCTATGCTGTTCACGCCGGAAAGTGGCCATTCCCATTCGCTGGGAAAATGATACTACCGGCGCAGAGGAGGATATCATCCCTAGGCCGCCTCAAATAACAAGTAGGTGCCAGAGTGGTAACCCTATGGGTCTGTCTGTTGTATACTAATAAATATTACTACCATCTAGGGCCCATTAAACATGGTTGACTTGTGAAGACCCCTCGGCCTTTGTTCCAAAATAGCATTAATAATTTCGTGATAAACTAGAAGGCGACCGTCAAGTGCTAGACCCCGAGAGACTCCATGACATCTTTTCATGTCGTGATTGTGGACCAGAGCCTTTCGAAACCGAGCGTCTAATATTAGTCTCGTTGGACTCTGCTGGGACCTGGCCCACTTTGAGGTTAATTGGTGACATCCAAAGAGGTGAATAGAAAGGGAACCCAGAGAGCAAACACAATGGGTGAAGAAGAAAGAGTAGTTGGTGCAGAGGGAAAAAGCGCAAAATACCAAGCACGATGCAGAATGGGTTTATATGACGCCGCCAAATGGCCGGCCGGGCACTCAGCTGCTGAAGATACTCTGACCTCACCAGACATCTTCATTATACCATGGGTGGAGAAGATATTGATTTTACACAAGCATGTTTCATGTTTCCAGTCAATTATGGATTCCTACAATGCCCGTCAACCGAGAACAGCCGACAACCAGAGTGTGTGCAGATGTCAGGCCATTTGGTGTATATAACAGCATAACACATCACCTTTGTCATACCATAGCTTTCAGTGCTTTGAGTGCTTTCAAGCTAGGCTGATATGGACAGAGGCCAAAATTGGCGACAAGTATTGACTATTGAGCGGATAGAAATCCGGAAAATTAGTAATAGAAGCTGATTTTGAGGGTTGTAGTCTCTTCGGAATGACATATGGGGATATTGTGAACGAAACCTGCTCTTCCTACCTGCCTTGTATATCTAACAGAGTCCGGGGTAAAGCACGCGGCCCAACCTTGGAATGCGGCCACTTCCTTTTGCGTCCGTGCGTTACCGCGCTAACCCATATGGGGCAGAAAGGCAACAAGGCTAGCTTATTTGGGAATCACATAGCCTACAACACCCATATCCGGCAACACGCGTAGACTCGGGACGTGGGGACGCGGGGCTATGACATGCCGAAGGTCAAGATGCCGACCGAGCAAAAATAAGAAAGGTCATGCGACGCGACATTTATTGAATTAAACCCTCACCCTCCTTCAATTCAAACTCCTCCAATTCAATTTAAATCCGCGAAAAGGCCACATCAACGTTCCTAAACCTCCCGAACACCAAATCAGACCAACCCACCAAAATGACCACCACAACCCCACCATCCGCCAAAAGGCCCCAGATCAGCATCATCGGCTCTCTCAACATCGACTTCGTAACAGCGACCCCGCGCTGCCCCGGCGCCGGCGAGACCCTGACAGCAACCTCCCTTACCGTCTCAGCAGGCGGCAAAGGCGGAAACCAAGCCGTAGCCTGCGGCCGCGCCTCCTTCACATCGCAATCAACCCAAGATGTATCCGTGAACATGATCGGCGCCGTCGGTGCCGAAGACCCATACTACACAACCCTTCTCCAACCAGCGCTCGAGAAATCCGGCGTCGACACAACATCCATCGAACAATCGACGGTCGCGCAAACGGGTTCCGCAACCATTATCGTGGAAGAAGCCATTGGCGGCGAGAACAGGATTCTCGTCGTCCCCGGCGCAAACCATGCCGGATTACTAAGTTCCGTGGACAATATTCTCTCTACACTCAGCCGGTCATCGAAGCCCGATATTGTAGTTTTACAGGGCGAGATCCCGCGCACCACGACACTGGGATTGTTGGAATATTTCAATGATGTTTCTGTCTCGGACCGCGCGAAAGTGGTTTTCAATCCTGCGCCTGTATTCCCAGAGGGGATTCCGCTTTCGGCGCTGCGTGGTACCGCTGTGCTTATTATGAATGAGACGGAGGTCGTGCAGATGGCGCGGTCGATTGAGGGTCTTCCTGTTGGGGATGTTGTTGAGGGTGATGATTTGCGGCCTGAGGAGTTGGCGCCGCAGTTCCATGAGAAAGCGGGCGTTGAGATTGTTCTTATTACCCTTGGTGCGAAGGGTGTTTATTTCTCGACCAAGACTGGTCGCACCGGTATTGTTGCTGGTGTTAAGGTTGCCAAGGTTGTTGACACTACTGCGGCCGGTGATACTTTTGTTGGGTATTTCGCGACTTCCGTGGCGCGTTTCTTGGCTACGGGACAAACCTTGGATGCGTTTGATGATGACATTGAGGGTGCGGTTTCGATGGCGAATGCTGCTGCCGCTATGTGTGTGCAGAGACGAGGTGCTATGCAAAGTATTCCATTTGCGTACGATATGCAATAATGGATTAAATGACGGATTGTAAATATTGGTACCATTGATGAAAAAGAGCAATAGATATGGCGTTTTGGGGTATATTTATGAAATCATGGTGTCAGCTTCCTCGTCGAATTCCTCCTCGTATCGCGCTAGGTTCCAGGCCGCTTGTAGCTCGTTAGTCTCCCGGTCCAATTTGATGCCTGTCGTCGCAGTAATCCTGGAAAACCGTTCTAGTAGAACCGCTTGTTGAGATTCATGTGTCATCTCCTTGGCGATAGTAAGAAGACTCGCAACCAATATCGGGTCCCATTGCTCGGGGGAGTCATTGCTTGCTGCAATCCCGGCGATCGACTGCGCATGCCAGATATGCGAGGTGACTGATCTCGGTCCCGGCAGTGATTTCAGAAGCCGTGGCTTATGGGTGAGCAATAAGAGGGAGATCATGTGATAGACAGCGTTGGCGACCAGCGCCATTGGCGTCGTGTAGATGAGGATTGGGAATGAGGAGTCGTGGTCGGGGTCAATTTGATCAGCTTCGCTACCGCGGATGTCGACAATTTGCTGCACATTTACTGGTCGCTCGTTGTACCATTTCTGGCAGTCTGACCAGAGGAATGTCCATTGTGATAGCGAGTGCGATTGTCGTAAAGATGGGAATGCTGCCAGATCTGGTGATTCGACTTCGTGTGGAGAGGACATTTCTGGACCACCGTGGATCAGGGATAGGCAGTGTCCCAGAAGAGACAATATGTGCTTGTATGCGGAGTTGACGCTCTGAGGCTGCATGGATTGTGGGTGGTGTAATGAGGTACCGTCTCGTCGTAGTAATGATCGAAATGGCATAAGCGGTGGTTTTGAAGAGGATATTGAACCTGCGAGATCTGTAAGGAGCACTTGGTCAGTCTATCGGTCGGTCTCTAAAGAGAGTATAGCTTGCCCTACCGAGTCGAAAGCAAAGCCATAACAAAGCATCGCCAACCTCTTCTCCCACTGCTCGCGACGCGAAGTCACTTATATGCTCTATTTTGTGAACCAAAAGGCTTCTCCACTGCTGCGGTCCAGCGGGCAGGGCATCTTGGAGCAGCAAGAGGGTATAGCCGGCATATCTAGCCAGATCATATTCAAGCGCAAGACTCTCTTCTGCCTCCTTTCGGAACTGCTGGTTGCTTTCTAGGTCTTTGCTATTCGGGGATGTCACGAGAAGTCGTTGGCCTGCAGAGAGAGCAAGGACGGCAGCTTGCAGAGCTCTGTTCGTTCGCGAAAGAAGAAGAACCTGCAGTCCGAATGGGAGCTCAGGGTCCCCGGTGTCGATCCAAGGACCAACGTGGTACCGGAAATGCCGAAGCAAGTCAGTCTCGTGAGTGCCGTTTGTAAGTGTTCCTCGTCGGTCGACTGTTCTATCGCTAGTGACAGATCGGTAACCGAAGTACGGAGCACTGTTCATGTATCGAGTATCCGGCGCGCTCCGTTGACCGACAAACGGGATTGGAGGCTCAGAAAAGTCGACATTGGGAACTGCGGGTGACAATATGTTTTGGAATTCAAAGGCACGGCGTGATTCTCCGTGGTCATCTGGGCCATCAGCCGAAGACTGCAATCCATCTAAAGAGAAACCAGTATTGCCATCACTCTGGGAATCATCTGCGGGCTTTTGTGGGGCCTTTGATTTCTCCCTATTTGCGACTGCAAGGGGCGAATCATCGACAAACTAGTCCAGATCAACCTCATGTCCATATCGCGTTGTCAAGTGGACTCCGTTGAACTCAATGTGGAGCACTTACTGTAATACTGCTATATGCCTGTCTCGAAGCACCGGAAACACCCCCGTCGCGCTGAGGAACAAACGCGAGATCAGAGCTATATTTACACGTGAGCCCCTTAACCTCACAGTTTGCACAGTTCGGCTTCTGCTCATCGCCTACGCCAAATCGTCAGTTTCAATTGTGAAAAAAATAAGAACCCACGTGACGCGTACATTTTCTCCTCCTTTTCCGACAGGTCAGGCAACCAGTCCGAACCCGCTGCTTAGCCGTCGGTGTGGGTTTCCTGGGCATGGCGAGACGCGATATACGGCATTACCCCAGATGTTGCAGAAAGGAAGGATCGGAGGCTCCGCAGTCCCGATGTGTGTTTGACTGCCGTGATAATTTGGCTCTGTGGGGCAACCAATTAAGTCCAACCGACGGTTTACGGTGGGCGATTGTGTCGGGTCGGTCATTAAGGGATTTTATGAATTACATACTTTCCGGTTAAAGCTGAATCCTTCATTACTACTGGAAATAATGAAAATAAAATCAACGACTTATACGGGCATGCGTTGATGGAAAACTGATCCACTCCACAACAAGGAATCTAGCAGATAGAAAGGTAATCTCCTTGTGCTGATACTCTCTTATCTGAAGTAGATAGAAGGCCACTGTCATTGTGCCCTCTCTCATCTGGAGCAGACTCATCTGATGCAGATAGAATGGCAATGTCGTTGTGCTGATACCTCCCTCATCTGAAGCAGATAGAAGGGTAATGTCCGTGTACTGCCACCCTCTCACATTCATAGCATCTGATTTCTTGCTCAGTTGGGATCCCGCCGGCATCGATGAGAGCCATCATTGGACTTCGGTCATTTCGCCTCTCCCACATTTGATCTCCGTCACGGAACGAACGATATGAGTATGTATAAACCCAGTCCCGTTTCAGAAAGTTCATCAGCATAATCACTAAGTCAATGGGCCATAGAGCTAGCCTCTCCGTGATGGCTCGCCCTTTGTTGAGCATCTGCTTCTGGGAGTAGCCCAATCACCCAGATTGTCTCGTATTCCGTCTCATTGGGACACACGTTTAGCAAACTCAGGCGTAGGGACTTAGAGAACATGGGCAAACAATATCTAGGGCCTGCACGCTTCATAATTTTCACCGAATTCCCTGCGTCCTTTACCAAACATGAAGCGTTTGATGGGGGATAAATGAGTTGGGACCAGGTAATCAGCGATGCATCGGGGGGTTGTGGATCAATTCCAAATTGGTGGTGGGTGAACGTTGGTATTTCCAACGGAGAACTCTAGTGAATTAGTTAGCCCATATAGAACAGTGACCTAGTTGTTGCAGCGAGATCTTAAAGAATATTCCAGCCTCTGATATATCGTAAATGTTCGTCATAGATAGCAGAGATGGTATGCGTTGAGGGTTCAAGAGTGTGTAGAATGCCGCCTCATTATCTTAGTTGACACGTATCCACGGGATTTTGTTGTTGGAGCGTATCTCCAGGAATAGAATCCTCCAGGAACGTTGACAGTCTGCAATGGCTAGACCATCGCGTAGAGCGTGTATCCATACCACTTTCATCATTCGCGGTGGTGATGAAATGATTCGAGCCGTCTAATCCCAAATACACCGATTGAATTAGCTCCCATCGTTGAAAGAGAATTTTTCCCAACTCCTACTATTGAGCGGCGTGGGGAGATCCATACCGCGACCATAACGATCTTACCAGGTATTGATTCCCGTTCCTCTCCGCCGTGATGTCTAAATGGAAGCACGGTTTTCTTCAACATTCCCTTAGAATCCTCGGCAAACGTATACGAGTGTCGAATGACTAGTCAACAAGTTATAGATACCAGGCCCAAAATATCTTCGAAATTTCGTCGATTATACCTACCAATAAGCCCCCAAAGTCCATAACCAAGTAAGGGTCAGAGATCCCATATGAATGCCGTCACTGGAGCTATCCCGTGACGTTGTAAGCTAATGATCAGCGAGAACGTTTCAGGCTTTATTGATGAATATGATTGGAGGTGTTGTGGGTGAGCTGATGCCCACGAGATCGCACGTTGTGTGTTGCACATATCGGGGTATAGGTCATTGTTGACGTGGGGGCCTGAATAGCTTCATTAGCTTTAGTCATGTAGATGACTCCATCTCCTCTAACAATTTCTGATGCTCGTGCGGATTTTGCACTTCAGTTCTCCGTCATGGCCATGAGCCAGTGATGGTGGGAGATGAGAAGAGGTGACAAAAGGAAAGGGGAGTAAGAGTATAGCAAGGGTGAGGTGAGATGGGAAGTTGAAAAGGAAGAGAGAAAAGGGAAAAAGAAAAGTGGAAGATATTTGTATTTGTTTAATTCCAAGGGTGAGGAAGGTTCCAAACTGGGAAGGTGTGACCTAAATTAAAGTGGCAGGAACCACGGGACCACTCCATCTATAATCAACAGCCCTGTGTATGCGACCAAACACCAGCCGAAGATCCGAAATCGTAGAATACACTACTGCACGCTAAACACAGAGGTCTACAGAGTGGATCAAAGATTTGCACATGAAAAAGTAACTTCGTAAACGCTGAATAATTATAAACTAAATGCGACATTGGGCAACGCAAGGCCCATTTTTATAGAGCCCGCTTAGACCTTCTCAATATACTGCGAACCCTGATTTTTCTCAAGATCGCCACCATTGCCAGACATCCGCTCAAGGAACGAAGTCAAACCGACATCGCGCTGCGCCTCGCGGAGGAGCTCAGCATCTTGCTCGCCCGCATTACTCTTGAAAACGCGGTCCATATCCTCCAGGGACGCGCCCTTGGTTTCAGGCAGGAAGATCCAAACCCAGACAATGCCGCAGGCAAGGAAACCAGCGAAGAAGATGTAGGTACCCCATTCCCAGTTCTTGAGCATAGGGGGAACGAAGAAGGCAATGGCGAAGTTGTTGATCCAGTTGCTGAAGGCACCGATGGAGGCACCCTTGGCGCGAATGGAAAGAGGGAAGATCTCGGAAACCAGGGTCCATGAGACGGGACCCCAGGTGGCGCCGAAGCCTGCGATGTAGAGCCAGATCAAAGCTAGAAGAAATTAGTTAGTGATTGGAGTACAAGGGGCAGAAGGGGATAGTAACTTACCAACTGCGGTCCAGCCGGCTGCTACATGGCCTGGCCAGTCGTGTTGGAACTTGGCCACAATCACGCCAACAATAACCATGCTGAGGAGCATAACAATCGATCCGACCAGAAGCATGGGCTTGCGGCCGAACTTGTCAATCACCAACATTCCGGGGACGGTACTGATGAGGAACACGACACCAGTCACACCGGTTGCCAGAAGAGCGATGGTACCGCCAGTCAGTCCAAGGCTGACGAAGACATTGGAGGCGTAGTAAATAACTAGAAGATGGTTAGCTGAATACTCGTAAATTTCTCAGACAAGTTAACTTACTAGCATCGACACCACTCCATTGCTGGAAGAACATAACCAACCAAGCGATGCACACACGCTTGAAGTTATCCATAGAACGGAAGCAGTTGGCATATTGCGCGATCTGGTTCATGAAGACACTCTTCTTCTCCTTGTCGGCAAGCTTAGGCGAAGCCTTAGCGAACGCACGCTCCTCAAACACAGACTCAGCCTTGATCTCAAGGTACTCCATCTGGACAAGCTCATGATCAACAGTGAGCTTACGCATCCAAGCGATAGTATCCTGTGCCTCCTGATCCCGGCCCTGCTTGACCAGCCAGCGGGGGGAGAAGGGCATGAACCAAATTCCACAAGCGAGCGCAATAGCAGGAATACCCTGAATAATGGAAGGTAGACGCCAAGCAAGATCGGACTGACCAGCGCCAGTGCCACCAATATTGTTGCTGCCGTAACCAACCCAGAAAGAAATCATAATTCCGAGAATGGTAGCGAACTGGTAGAAAGAGACGAGCAGACCACGCATTTCGGGGGCAGCGAGTTCGGCGTTATAGAGCGGCCCCACACCACTGAACAAGCCGACGCCAATGCCGGTAAAGAATCGGCCCGCGTACAGCATGGCCGGGTTGCCGGCCGTCGCGCCAATGTAAAGATAACTTCCCAAAATGACCCAGCAGCAGGCGAAAAACATTGTGTATTTGCGAGAGTAGACTTCGCCGAGGATACCGGCTGCCAAAGAGCCTAAGACACCACCCAATTGCAGGATGGAGGTTAACCAGCCTGTTGCGGTAGATGAGGCTACTACTGTTGGGAAGTTCTCTGTGAAGCGGGTCATGACCAAAGACTGGCCAAGGACACCTTGTTGGTAACCATATTCGAAACCACCGAATCTAGGGGATATTAGTATTTGGTTTGTGGATTTTGATGTTAGAGATTTCTTACGAGGCGAAGAAGGCAATGGCTAGGACCTTAGGGTTGTCGAAGATAGACTGCCACATAGATTTCTTTGCGATTTGAACTCGCGAAACAGATTCCACTTCAGTGGATGATCGAGCTGTCATGGTGGGCAATATTGGGGAAGAATTTCCAAAGTAGCGCTAGGAGATGAAATCTGGGGAATTGAAAACATGGGGGAAAGAGGGTCTCATTATATACGCCCATTTTTTGGATTTCATTGAATGGATTTGATTTAATTCTGTCATAGTCCGAGTGGCACCACGTGCGAAAGAAAAAAAAAAACTTCCAACCGCATTGAAACTTCTCCAGTTTCTCGTCAAAATCCCCCCGGAACCCCAAATTTTGTTGGTTTGTGGAGGCAAAATAGTGGAGGAACTGCTTCGCTAATCCGTTTTGGGCGGTACGTAGCCTCCAATCTCTCAAAAAGGTCCCGACAGTGGAGACGGGATAAATGTGGACATTCTCGGGATGAATCGGTTTCTTGTTTTTTTCTTCGGGCCCTGGACGGGCTAGCCCGACTTGGGCTATAGCTCGGTCTCACTCGGCGGAAAAGTGTGGAGTGGCCTGTTATGTCTTTTTGGGGAAATCAGAGCCACCTTCGCAGGATCCCTCCAAATCGGGATGTTGAGATATTCCAAGGTTTAAGGTAGTATTCACGTGCCGTTCATTCGTATGAGACAAAAATTTGAATTTCTGATAACAGGACGTGAAGGGGTTTTGGAGCGTTGAGCCGAATGGAAACGGTGTAGTGCATACAATCACCCGCATTTATCTCGTTCCCTCTGTGGTTCTGCAATGCATTGGTCCACATCGGTTCCGCTGCTATGCAGCTCATTACTAACTTGCGTCACAAGCGGGCCAGTAGTCATGCCCAGAATCAACGCTACGCCGTCATGGACAGTGATTCGTACATGGCAGCATTTGTGCCTCATTAGATGTGGATGCCGGAATTCTCGGCTTAGCCCTGGTGCAATATTAGCCTACATATATGGTCGCGATTATACACAATGACGGCATCCCAGTAATTCCCCATACAACAGATCGCGCTTTACACGGCCCCGATTTTGTAGGCCGGAAATATAAGCTAGATTTCGGGCGGAAGACACACAACCGTTCCAGGCAGAAAGCATACACGGCGAACTGTCCTAGTGGAATTTGCGACGGAGGGTAAGTCGTTGGAAGTCGAGGGCAATGATCCGAGTTTGGGTGGTCCGGACCGTATCGTCAAGGACCTCGGGAAGCTTTCCAGGGCTTCCCCACGGGCCGGAGAACTCGACTTCGGCAGCTACAGATGGCCCACAGGTATCCCGGGCATGTATCCATCTACCCCGCTAGAGCATTGACCAATATCGTGGTTGCAGTGCCCATTGATCCGCAGTTTGCGTCACTTGCCAAGGATCTGGAGATTATGGGTGGATATATTGACTTGAATATGTCGGAAGTGACCAGTGGGTGAGTGATTTTTCTGTAGCTTGATTCTAAGGCTGGCTTGTTGTTTTATCGAAAATAAATTTCACTGTATCGGCTCATGGTCGGTCCTGACGACTCTAATATGCCTTGGAAGTCGACTTCCCAACATCACCATCTTCGGCAGCTGCTAACCAGGTGCTCCCACGGAGGAGTTCGGCCCACCTTCGGCATTACGACCTATCATTTCTCGTCTGGGATAGCCATTTTTGATAGTCGATCCATTTCTCCGTGTCAACCAGCCTTCAGATATGTCAATGCGATGTGTTTCATTCGATTCTGTAGCTGTAGCTAAAAAAGCTAAAAATCCGGTAGACCAAGATTTGCGTGGGTTTGAAGTAGGACTGGTCTACTGACGCTTAGTTGGCGGAGGTCGTCTTGTGTTGCAAGTATTTGGACTTGCTTGAAACCCGAGAGGGGCTTTGGGTCGGGGCATAGACTGGTTGCAATGTATACCACTAGTTTCATCGTTTGTGTGACCTTCCTTTTCGCATGTTATTTGCCGGTCGTTGAACTGGGGTTCGAACATAGTAGGGTCACAATCTCGTCGGAGCAAATGCAAGGTATTGAACCGTAACAAAATCGGCACTATGTCATTTAAACCGGAGAGCTCAAATCACACCCGAGATTTCCCCGGGTTCATACCCCCAAGCTCTCTCAAGATCCTTCAGTCGCCACAAAGCACCCCATCCAGTCGTGCGCTCAATGATTTTGAACAGCTTCGCAACCTCAACATGTTCGCTATGATGACTGAGTAATTTCCCGGCAATGTAAAGCGGCTGAATGGCATTGATCAGATTCCCACTATGAGGATTCGTCAACGAAATCCCACAAACCCTGCGAGCATGCCAAATAGCCGAAAAATGCGGCTTGGAAGGAGGTGGACCCCTCTCAACAGGCCTCATATCCAACATCATAATAGACGCAGCATGGTACAACTGATTCCCGGAAATAGCCGCCCAATGGGCAAACAGAATCTCCGGGAAAATCTGCCCGCTTCCCATTCCCGTAGTCTTAATAGGCAGCATAGCGGGCGGGCGCTGCTCAATCCAATACTGTAGCTCTTCCCAAAGCCGACTCCACTGCTCCGAGAATGGGCGCGTATCATCAGACGTCTCACCCAGTTCCAAGAAGCGGGTTCGACGACAAGAGAGGTCGCAAGTCTTCGCGCACAAATAAACTGCCCAATTGGCGTGCATATCAGCGGATACATGCCCCTTCTCACAGAAGAGATCCCGGATGATATCCTCCTGTGCCTCCTTCGAAGAAGCCTGCGGCATAGCGGGGATCCACTTGTCCAGCGGGAGGACTGTACTCTCGGCGCCGTTGGAGATGATCGCACCGCACAGCTCCATTCGCGCGTAACACCAGAATACGGCCTGCAAATGTCCCCCTGAAAGGCCATTTACGTTAAATAAGTCGAAGAGCGCGGCGCACCCCTCCACGTGCCGTCGCCAGTCGCGCGGACTGACGGACATTAATTCCATCACGGCGAGAATGCATATTGTCACGAGGACGTTTGGGTCTTTCGCTTGGAGTAATGGTGCCAGGAGACGGATGGACTCTTGGTACAGCTCGAGACTGTCGTAGGCTTTGTCTAGGCAGGCCTTCCGCTCTGTTTGTCGCGCGGAGAAGGCAAGGATTGCATAGAACAGAGCTGGTGAGCCCTGTGCTAGAATTGGAATGTGAACCCCAAAATGGCGCGACTCGTCGAATTTATCAAGGTAGGGGGCGCATTCTGTTATCCAATTTTTCAGGTAGAAGATTAGCCTGATTTTAGGGATTGAGCGAACCCGCGTGAAGTCTAGGCTTTGGCGTGGGGGCCGGGGCTGCGGGCCTTCTGTTGGTTGTAGCGGAGCTGGGGATGTGTAGGTTGATGGCTCAAGGCTTGCTACAGCGGAAAAGAGTACGCAGCGGAGTTCTTCCTGTAACTCGAGGAATCTGGGGTTGGCAGCGTAGTCGTCTGCGCTGGAGAATGTTCCCGGCGATAAGAATGCCTCATCTTCGATAAGCGGGGTGGTGCTATTGAAGGTGTCCGGCATTCTTGATTCAGGGCGTAATGGTGGGACTGGTTCCTCCATGTTGCATAAGGCAGAGACCGGAGAGTCTGGGGATTTCTGGGGAAGAAGAAAAAAGGCGGAGAACGACCGAAGAAGGCCCGAAGAAAATGACTTCAAACCTTCGCAACCTCAGAGTGGCAACGCCCCTTAGTCGCGAAAGCATTGGACCCATTTTATTCAAGTACCCGATTTTATATGAATAGCATATCTGATTTATTCCATTTTGCTGGAGAATTTAAGGCTATATGACATTTGTGTTCTTGTGGTCAATTATATATATTTTCCCACTTTCGTATGAAGATATAAACGGTCCAGCTGACCAATGACTTGTAATGGAGTCGTACAGACTCTCTTTACACTAAAATTATACCATTTAATATTAGCTCATTGTTCGGACAATAATCGACAGTGCCTTCTAGGAGCGTTGGCTAAAAGCATGGTGGTGGAACCCTTAAGACCATTGTTCTAGCCGACGACTATACCGGTATAGATGCAGCTTCTACCTCTCAAGCCATAACTTTATTACCGAAATTACTGGTTTCAGGTTTAAAAATTGAACTCGGCTTAGCGCCCTTTGCTGCCGTCTAATATAGGTTGTGAATTAGAGGAATATTACAAGAGCGCCAACTCTGATACATTAGGAACATCCATTAAGCAGGTCTGTGGACCTGGAATAACACCATCAAAGCCTAGTCATAGCTTCTCAAGAGATATTCGGACGGACCTTGTTGCTTGCCATGCTAACCATTTCCAGCTTGTCTAGAACAGACTTCGCCAGCCGCTCGACACGAAGTTTAAAGAAAGGCTCTGGGTCATGATTGCCAAGTTCAAGCCCCAAAGGACCCGCTACCTGCTTTAGATGAGCAGATCTCGAACAGTCAATTTTCCAGTCCCGTGCAAATTGCTGGAGCATAGTGTAAAACTCGGGAGCTGTGACTTCTCCGTGGTCAATACCTGCCTTCCGTACTTGCTCAACCGCTCCCTCTGGCGCATAGCGGTGCATCCGCTCAAACAACTCCCCAAACGACCTAGAGACGTACAAATCAGCGCTGGCGTGGACCACACCCGTTGTTCCTTGGGCGACATGAGCCAGACAAGTACGAGCCACGAGATCAACTGGGATTTCATTGCAGGCTGCGTCTGGACGTAGTGTTTGCTCGAGCTTTAGAGGCCCGTATTCCGAGTCTCCTAGGAGTATATGGATAAAGGAATGTATGGGTACTGCACCATCGCTTCCGTAGAGCGGGTATGGCTCCTCAATTGCGGGTGATATGAGACACGGTCGCACGATGAGGATTGGGAATTTGTGGTCGTCGCTCAGAAGCAAACGTTCAGCTAGATGTTTGGCCAATGCATAGGGAGCCGCGAATTCCTTTGTATAGGATGATTTTCCTGTGACGAGAATAGTTTCTAATTCCTCTTCCGGGTCTTTGTATAGAGGGTAGATTTGCTCCTTGATTACGCCGTCAGGGAGAAAACTGGAGACATATGTAGTTGATACGTGAAGGAAGCGCTGTAGTCGAGTGAAGCTGTCTAGCAGAGCAGCGAGTGTCAGATGGGCAGTGCAATTGACTTTTATAGTATCTGCGAGGTCACGAGATAACCCAATGTCACCAGCGGCATTGATCACGACCGTAGCCTCATTTTGTAGGCGTGATACGTTAACAGGTGAGAGACCAAGGTTAGGCTGGGTCATGTCACCGAGGAAGAATTGAATCTTGCAAGTGGCGATAATCTCTTCCACTTGGTCTGGCATGGACTGCTCCCAGGCTTCGATTGCCTTTTGAACAGACCCCCGCACCAGCACGAATATTTTGGCGGTTGGAAGTTGAATGGCTAGCTTGTATAACAGACAGCCACCAAGACTCCCAGTTGCCCCGGTGAGGAAGACGACTTGTCCTCGAAACCATTCGATTTCCATCTTGATCAAAGCTATCTGCTACTCCTGTAGGGATCTATTAGTATTTTTACATGATAGAAGGTGTACTAACAAACGTTGCTGTGGCAGTTAGATAATGTATCAGGGTATGTAGTTGTCAATCAGATGGCGGGATAAAAGTACTGTTTGCCATACTTATACAAGATATCAGTTTCCTGTAATACATTCTCTTCTCTTGCGTTTGGGTCTCGTTCCCCTGGCCCACCTAGAATGACCCGGTGTTAGGCATGTTGGGGAAATACCTCAACACTTAAGCGTGTGATACCAACCAAAGAATCAATATCCGGTTGTACGTCAGGGAAAATAAGACAGGTTCCATATCGGGACATGATAAAGCCAATCAAATAGCCGACACTACCATAGCGCGTCTTGGTTGCGAACACCGGAATGCAATGGCCTAATCGGTGTAAAGCATTACCCCTCAAACGATGGATGTTGGGTTGTATTCGGCCATAGCTCATATCAGTCCTAGCTAGAGGTGCCTTTTGCGTACCACATCAGGGACCCAATACCTAGACCAGGGTGGGTTACGTTGAGCACCCAGGGAGGTGTAGGAGATTAGGTTGAACATCCGGAGGGTTGTAGGCTACTCTACACTCCCTTCAGATTGTTCTAACATTTGTCGTATTAGATCTTGGTGATGATATGCCACAGTATGGCTTGCTGATGTATCCTATGCCGAACTGAGATTTGCTTTGTATACCTAACAGCCTCCCTTCTAATAGAACAAGTTTTTTTGTTTCAATGATGCATAGGCTTTGATATGTTTTGTGCTGATATTCCAAGTAATATAAAGATAGTAGCTCGGTCACTAGTTGTGTTACAGTTACACATGCCGGCCTGGGTTGGAGTAGTGCTGAACAAAGTTCAGAGATAATGTTTTCCGAGGACAGTCTGGATCTAGTTGCGTATTTTCGTTCTTTGTGGTGTCTAGCAATATGCCCGAGGAGCCAGTCAAGTACATATAATCCAGCCGATAGCGGGGGATTTCGGAGGAAATGTGTTTCTTCCACCTTGCAGAACCAGGATATGTAGGTACATATTGTGTGTAGATTTAGCATAATCGCCAATTTTTTCGTGAATTTTATCAAAAGCAAAAAGACAACACGCTGCGTTAGCAGAGCTCAAACCATAGTTCAACCTTTGTTTTGTCTGCTCTGCAGCCATCTTGATCCAGTCTTCAACTACTCATCATTCGACCATGAATTCAACAACTGGACAAGGACAACCATCATGCAGAAGCCAGAAGGATTTTGGGGAGCCAATTGCCGTCATTGGTATGGCGATGCGGTTACCGGGTGGTGTCCGATGTGGAGATGACTTTTGGGAAATGCTCGTGAAAAAACGAGATGGCCTTTATGAAGCGCCTTCATCGCGCTGCACTAGAGAGGCATCTAGCAGCTCTGATTGTGGAGATCTGAGCGAAACTAAAAAAGGATTCTTTTTGCAAGAAGATCCAGCATTCTTTGACGCTTCCTTTTTTTCTGTTCCTCCCCACGAGGCGGCACGCCTGGACCCCCAGCAACGGCTCTTGCTTGAGGTGGTTTGGGAGTGCCTGGAGAACTCGGGGGAGACCAAGTGGCGTGGCGAGAAAATCGGTTGCTTTGTTGGAGTTTTTGGGGAAGATTGGCTAGAGATGTCGCATAGAGATCCCCAGCATCTGAATCAGATATATCCAATTGCCACTGGTGGCTTTTCGTTAGCAAACCAAGTGTCGTATCGGCTTGATCTCCTGGGTCCGAGGTGAGTGCAGTCCACTGCCTTTATGTTAGAAAACTCTGACCCTTGCAGCATGACCATACAAACAGCTTGCTCTTCATCCCTGGTTTGCCTACACGAGGCCTGCCAAGCACTTCGAGCTGGAGAGTGCTCAACAGCTCTAGTGGGTGGGACAAGCCTTATATGGGGCCCAACCATGACTGATGCGATGACCAAAAACATGGTTTTGTCATCAAGTGGTATCTCTCATACCTTTGATGCCGAGGCGGATGGCTATGGCCGTGGTGAAGGGATAAACTGCATATATCTCAAGCCATTGCGGGATGCTCTTCGTGACAACGACGCTATCCGCGCGGTCATCCGCTCCACAGTGACCAACCATGACGGCAAGACCCCTAACTTCTCTCAACCATGTCCTATATCACAAGAGAGGTTGATTCGGCATGCATATCAAATTGCGGGAATCGATGCTATTCACGAAACCCCTGTTTTTGAATGCCATGGGACTGGAACACCCGTCGGCGATGTCATCGAAACATCAGTTGTTGCAAAGATGACCCAAGGAGAAGCAACATATATCTGTGCTGTAAGTATTTGCTATTCCCAGGGCTGTTTATAATTAAGCTCATCGCTTATGCCCCGCGTTTCACAGGTCAAACCAAATGTCGGTCACTCGGAAGGTGCCTCGGGCATCAGTAGCATCATCAAATCCATTTTATCCCTTGAACATAAGACCATTGCACCCAATATCCATTTCAAGACACCGAACCCCCAAATTCCATTCACCGAGGCAAATCTATGCGTGCCCCTAGAACCGACTCCGTGGCCTGCCGGCAGGCCCGAAAGGATCAGCGTGAATTCGTTTGGTATCGGGGGGTCTAATGCCCACGTTATTCTAGAGTCTGCCTCTGCAATCTCTTCAAAGCCTGCGGCCACATCACCTGATATTTCAAATCCACGACTCTTAGTTCTTTCTGCGCACACTACAGACAGTCTTCGCAAGCGCATTGGCCAGATCATCGACTATGTAAAGAACCACCCAGACCGCCTGCATGATCTTTCGTACACTTTAGCCGCGCGAAGATCGCCTCTTTCTCGTCGGGCTTTCACTGTGGTGCAGCCAAATAATCCTGTGCTAGACGATACGGCATTCGCGATCTTTAATGTCAGCTCTCCAAATGTCACCTTCGTCTTCACAGGCCAGGGGGCCCAATGGCCCGGGATGGGGCTAAGGCTCTTGTCTACCTTCCCAAAATTCAAGCAGGATATCAAAACAATGGACGAAGTACTCCAGCGGCTACCCGATGGACCAAATTGGCTATTATATGGTGGGATCAAGCGCGCTACCCCAAACTAAGGAGAATATCTTGACTAACGGAACTGCCAGATGAGCTAAGCCAAGAGAGCTCAATTTCTCGAATCCACAAAGCCGAGTTCTCCCAGCCTCTATGTGTTGGGCTTCAAATCGGCCTGGTAAATATTCTTAGGGCCTGGGGAATCGAGCCATCTACGGTTGTCGGGCACTCGAGCGGAGAGATTGTGGCCGCTTACGCATCCCGAGCTATTTCGATGAGAACTGCTATCGTCTTAGCATATTACCGAGGCAAAATCGCACAACCCCTTGAAGGCTTAGGAGCTATGGTAGCCGTTGGCCTCTCTCCAGACGAAGTGGAACCGTACTTAACACCTGGAGTGGTTGTTGCCTGCCACAATAGTCCGTATAGTGTCACCCTATCGGGTGATAATGACTCTGTTGACCGTGCGATTCGAAATATCAAGGCGGCTAATTCAGATATACTGTGCCGGCGGCTTACGGTGAAGATTGCTTATCATTCTAGTAAATCACGCCCCTGTTTACTACTCTTGTACCTTTGCGCTAACATTATTTGCCTTATCTGCAGACCACATGAAACAGATTGGCTCTGAATATGAAGATTGTATTGCTAGTCATATCGAACATGACCAGGGAATGATTCCTTTCTATTCCAGTGTCACTGGCAATACGATCACGGACCCTCGCAAACTAGATGCCTCATACTGGCGACAGAATCTGGAATCACCGGTACTGTTCACAGAGGCTATCCAGAGTCTACCTACTAGTGGAACCCCTGTCTTCCTAGAGGTTGGGCCACACTCGGCCCTTGCCGCCCCTCTGCGACAAATCTTCCGCACTCTAACAGCGAGGTCACCGGCATATATTCCCACCATGTTTAGGTATGATGAGGATATCGAAACCCAGCTACTACGGACCGCAGGACAGGCCTATGCGAGTGGCATTCGAGTCAATATGTCAACCATAATCGAGGCGGGGAACACGTTGACAGACCTGCCACCTTACCCCTGGCAACATGATCGCTCTTACTGGAGTGAAAGTCGACTGAGTCGGGAGTGGAGACAACGCAAGTTTCCGCATCATGAAATCCTCGGTTCGCGGGTCGTCGATACGACGGATCACGAGCCTTCTTGGCGTAATCTAGTCACTCTGGACAGTGTGCCCTGGCTTATGGATCATATAATCCAAGGTGCCGTCACATTCCCCGGCGCTGGATTCATTGCTATGGCAGGTGAGGCAGTTCAGCAGTTGTACCCGGACAACGATAGTTATTCAGTGCGCAATACAACATTTATAACGCCACTGCTATTCCAGGAAGGAGATCAGATTGAGATCATGACTAGCCTGAGGCCGATTGAAGTAGCCGACAGGGTTCCATCTGGCTGGTATGGTTTCAAGATTATGGTTCATGACGGAGAACGATGGACAATTCATTGTCAGGGTCAAGTAAGAGCAGGGTCCGATTATCCTCCAGAGCCATCCCAAATTACCTCCTATAAGCGACCTGTGCCATCTGAAAGCTTATACCGGGTGCTTCAAAGAAGCGGTATAGACTACGGCACCCAGTTCCAGGGCCTGGAGGAGATTACAGCTGATCCAACCGGGCCGAGGGCGACAGCGACTGTTCTGGGTAATCGTGGGCTTCCCGGCAGCAGGTATTCTCTGCATCCCACGGCGATTGATCAATGTCTCCAACTCATGGGTGTGGCCGGCTCCCAGGGCCTGCTGCGGCATCTCACCACAATTTACGTTCCAGCTATGATAGACTCAATGTTTGTCGGACCAGGAGGCCCACCTATGCTAGCCAGCGCGCAAACTAAGAGTGGTGCAAGGGATGGGCAGCTAGGCAGTGCTATTGCCGTGCTCGGTGACCGAATGGTCCTCTCTATTCAAGGAGCTTACCTTTTCGCCTTGGAAAATGATAATCCAGCTTCTGGAACTGGACTTGCAGGTTCAGTAAGCCATCTTGAGTGGAAATCGGACATTGAGCTCTTGCCCCCAGCAGCACTTTTATCTACACCACTTAATTATACAACACAGGCCATGAACATTAAAGCTTTAGGCGAGCTATCTATACTTTTTGTTCTGGAAACAGCGGACAAAATTCGAGATGTGGACATTGTTTCATCGCATTACGCTAAATGGAAAAAATTCATCCTGGACTCAGCTCTCAAGGTCAAAAGTGGACAACAATCCAACTACCCACAGTCACCTCAATGGGCAATGCTCAGTTCTGCAGAAAGACATGAAATGATACGGAAAGTGTTCACAGAGGCCAAATTTACCTTTGATGCTCCACTTGTGGATGGCTTGCAGGTCGTCTTCGATAACTGCCTATCATTTATATCTGGAGAAAGCAGCCCATTGGAGGTCCTCATGAAGGACAATTTGCTGCATCGCTTCCATGCTGCGCACACACAGTATGCGGATTGGAACCCGTTCCTACCGTTACTCTGTCATTCCAACCCAGGCCTACGAGTACTTGAGATCGGTGCGGGTACCGGATCTGCAACTGCAATCGCTCTAGAGCTTCTCAAATCCACGAGCGGGGAGCGTATGTATGGACAATATGTTTTTACTGACATTTCTTCGGGCTTCATGTCTGCAGCAATGGAGAGATTCAGTCATGAGCAGTCCATGGAATACAAGGTCCTTGATATCTCCATGGATCCCCTTGAACAAGGCTTCGACCCTCATAGCTTTGATTTGATCATCGCTTCCAATGTGAGTATTGAACTGGAATGTCTCTTGCCAACAGCGCTTAACTCACCTTATCTACTAGGTTCTGCATGCCACCCCCAGTCTTCACTCTTCCCTCCGTCATGTGCATTGTCTTCTAAAGCCTACTGGGCGCTTCTTACTTCATGAGATTAACCCAGGTAGGTTACAAATCCCAGGTTTAAAACATTGAGCTGACTTGGTTCTAGAAATTCTCTTCGCAAATTTCACCATGGTAAGGACCACCCTTTTCTACCCACAGTCCATAGCCGCTTTGCTTATATGTGTTATAGGGTGTATTTACCGGCTGGTGGATGGGAGAAGATGATGGTCGAGTAGGGCAGCCGTACGTCTCGCCCGAGCGATGGGATCGGGAGCTACGAGCTGCAGGTTTCACTGGAGCAGATGTAACTGCTTATGATCAAAAGCCGCCAAATCATATATCCGCCAGCATCGTATCAAGTCCGGAAAACGATATCCCCATTTCTACCGATATCTGGCTCCTAAAAAACAAATCTACCCAGTCCCAGTGGGCGAGTGATGTTGAATCACTCTTCCGCGACCAAGGTTACACCACTAACTGGACAACCCTGGACCAAAAACCACCGAAAGGCAAATTCATCGTATCTCTTTTGGATCTTGAAGGAGCCCCAATAGGTTCACTGTCGAAGAGTGACCATGGGATATTCCAATGCTACATTGGGCAAGCACAAGAATGCCAAATCTTGTGGGTTACACAGTCAACATCTCTCACCTGCTCGGACCCAATGTTTGGCTTGATCCATGGGCTCGCTCGCAGTTTGCGGTCGGAGCTAATGCTTGATATCTCAATCCTGGAAGTTCCAGCATGGGACGCGGCGGGTGCAAAAGCCGTAATCCAAGTGTGCGAGAAGATACAGAGATGCCGAGCGTACTCCCTTCGTGATCCAGAGTATGAGTTTGCATTGCATGAAGGCGAGGTTAAGGTCGGACGATACCACTGGGCACCTCTCGTCGAGCAACTTGCAAGTCCGCCTCGTTCAGATGCGTCCCGAAAGCTAAGTCTCACGGCGTACGGACTATTGGATACGCTACACTGGGCTGAGAAAGAGCCATGCTATGAATTGGATGAGGTGCAGATTGAAGTTGAGATGGACTACGTGGGAATGAACTTCAAGGTAGGTTTCTGTCGTTCTGAACTAACCTCTTATAGCTAGCTAACTGGGGTATTCTAGGATATGATGGTTGCAATGGGCTTTTTTGGAAACAAAGAAGACCTTGGGCTGGAAGGTAGCGGTATTGTGCTTCAAGTTGGAGCTGATGTGACGGATATCACAGTGGGGGACCGTGTTATGTCGATGCATTCTGGGGTTCTGGCCACAAATGTTGTAGTTCCTCGAGAAGCTTGTATCAAGCTACCGCAGGGGCTGTCAATGGAAGATGCTGCCACGATGTTGACAGCCTATGTCACCGTTCTCTATTCACTGCTTGAGATTGGTGCTTTGAAGAAGGGCCAGGCAAGTTACTACCATGTTCTCCGGACATTAATGGTAACTAACATGATATCAGTCCGTGCTTATTCACTCCGCATGTGGTGGAGTCGGTTTAGCTGCTCTACAAGTATGCCGGGCTGTTGGGGCCGAGGTTAGCCTATCTCCCCCTCGATGATATTGTCGTGAGAGCTAACCTCCAGTCAATATAGATATATGCCACCGTCGGTAACGATAAAAAAGTAGCTCATTTGATGGAGCACTTTGGTTTACCCCGGGAACGTATCTTCAACTCTCGTAACACGTCCTTCCAACCGGACCTTATGCGTGCCACGTCCGGACGGGGAGTTGATGTAGTGCTTAATTCGCTGTCGGGCAACTTACTGCACGCTTCGTGGGAATGTGTTGCGAATTTTGGACGGATGGTTGAACTGGGAAAACGTGACTTCATAAGCCATGGCATGCTCAATATGAGCCTTTTCGAAGCGAACCGAGCATTTTTCGGCGTTGACCTTGCCCAGGTTTGCAAGGACGCTCCAGAGGTTCTCAAAAGGTTTGCCACAGATTCAAATTGGGGAATAAAGGCCAACTAACACATCGCAGAACACTGGCAACGTTTTCAGACTGGTATAATCAAGGGAAAATTGGACCTATTGAGCCTGTTAAAGTCTTTGATGCCGTCGATATTGTTAGCGCATTTCGGTATATGCAGGCTGGCACTCACCTAGGTAAGATTTTGGTGCGTATGCCGTCTGCGGTGGACAGTCTGCCCCATCCTACTGTGAAAACATTCCCATCATTCCGATCCGACGCCGCTTATCTACTCATTGGTGGGCTTGGGGGTATTGGACGAGCCGTGTCAACATGGATGATTGAGCAGAATGCGCGAGAGCTCATCTTTCTCTCGAGGTCAGCTAGTAAATCTAAGGAGGATCAAGCATTCATTCGCGAACTTGAAGCGCAATCTTGCCGAGTTATCTGTGTGTCAGGAAATGTGACAAATATCAAGGATGTACAGGAAGCTGTCTTAGCATGCACTGGGCCCCTTGCTGGCGTCCTCCAGATGGCAGTTGACTTAAAGGTCTGTTTTTTCACATCTCCACGGTGTTATCAGTGTCAAATTTCTGACGTCATATTAGGATCGGCTCTTTTTGCAGATGAGCCACGACGAGTGGGAGGTCGCACTGGCACCGAAAGTGACAGGAACGTGGAACCTGCATCATGCCACAGTGCAGCATTCATTAGATTTCTTCGTTGTGTTTGGCTCAATTGCCGGGTTGTGTGGCAATACTGGCCAGGCCAATTATGCTGCAGCAACCACATTTTTAGAAACGTTTACCCGGTATCGACGGCAGCAAGGACTCCCTTCTTCTATCCTGCACCTCGGTGTAGTTGGGGATGCGGGTGCGGCGAGTCGCAACTCTCGATTCATCCAGAGAGTACAATCAATTGCCCTGCATGTGCTCCATGAGGCCGAGGTGATTGAAGGACTCGCGGCAGCAATTAACATATCTCCAGTTAGTAGTTCTAACCCGAGCGGGGCGATGGCAATTGGACTCGCACACACGAAAAACCGCGCCGACCTCCCGAAGGAAATCTTCCTCGGCGGACGTGATGCCCGATTTTCGATCTATCCCAACCTTGAGTCTACGAGTGCCGGCACTGGCGGGGACCAAACCTCTGCAAATGCATTAAAGGCCCTTCTTGCCCAGATACAAGCAGATCCCTCCCTAACGGAACAAAAGGAGACAGAGGTCGCCTTGATGAAGGAACTAGGCAAATTTATCAGCCATAACCTCACAGGACAGGCGCAGGAGCAAGCCCCAGATTCTACAGATGACATTGAGGCAATGACAGGAATGGCAGTCGACTCGCTCATGGCAATAGAGGTTAGGAACTGGCTACGGAGGTCTCTAGGTGTGGAGATTCCTACGGTGGAAATCAACCGAGCAGGTACACTAGGAGGCTTGGTGAAAGTTGTTTTGAAGGGACTTGGAGAGAAATATGATCAGCGTGCTACCTAAAACGCTGCTGCAGGCCAGTTGCAATTAGATAGGTAGAGGGATTTTTTGATATACAGCTTTGGAAGATATTCAGAAACTGCTAGCTCTCAGCAATGACTTTTGTTCCACTTTTCTACCCAGAGTTGTCTACCCAGACTTCTTGCATCGTGCTATTGGAGTGAGTCTTGCGGCGAATTCACCCATGTCCGCTAGCTTACTCTCGACTGGTTACACTGTATTAGTAGGATAATAGGGAATATTGAAGCAAGAACTGTTCTACTTGGTCAGAAATATTAACCTCGGGTTTTGATACACGCTCGCGTTTTAGCTGTACTACTTCCATCCTATATATATGCATTTGTTTCTACAAGATCGGCAATGCTGTACAGCATGTTCGATGATTTTTCCATAGTTTGAGTTTCCACAGACAACCAAGACATAATTTTCTGACGGATATCTTGGTTCTAAGTCCCCTAGGGCTGGTATAAAGCCGGCCTACACCTCCCTAACTATAGATATATCTTGATAGTCCATCTCCATAGTGTGATATATAGTTGTACCTCCTGTTCACAAACACGCACAACAGTCTTCCGTCATCCAGAATGTCTTCTATTATAGAAACCCGCCAGAATCTTGTCGGCACTTGGATCCTCGTTGAATACAAAGTGATACATACCGAAACAGACCATGCTACCCATCCTCTAGGTCCAAAAGCCCAGGGCCTCCTTGTCTACAGCGCAGATGGGTTTATGTCTGCACAGCTCATGCAACCCGAAGCCCCAGCTTTCTCTATCAACGATGTACAGCGAGGTACACAGGAGGAGCTCTCTGAGGCAATGAAACATTACCTAGGATATTGCGGCCGATACAACATACAGGAGACAGACGAGGGAATTATAGTCATGCATAACGTGGAACTTTGCTCATTCCCTAACTGGGTAGGGACCCAGCAAGGGCGCTTGGTCACACTTAATGGCAACAATATGGAGCTCAATACTGCTAACACTTATTTCGTTAATGTAAGTACTATCGCGGATTCTCTGTTTTCTCATTCAAGCTGACACGTTTCGACTTTAGGGCCAAAAGGTGCGTGGGTCAGTTAAATGGGTAAAGGCAAAGCTACCAGGGGACTTTTGATATATTTCGTGAATTTGCTTTAATGGAAGTGATACGATGTATTTAGATTCAACTTTATCCTTTTCATAAACTACAATGGCCGTTTGGGTCGAGGTTTCCCAGGGCTCTCTATTATATTAACGATACCATCGCCATCATTATGATCAGACGTTACACAGATCAGATAATCCAATCCTATGGCTGAGATATATAGATTCCGTTCGCAGGTATCTCTACTACATCCTATCCCTATCACTAGGTAAATGAACCAAAGCTCTAGGCCAGTTCTAGCCAATATAAAACACTAGGATCAGGATGTCCACGGGTCGCCAGTCATTCAATATGTCTAGGATTCTGTTAATTGTTCAAATTTTCTCTCTATATAGTAATGTTACCCCAGTGAAAATCTTCTTCCCTATTAGGAAATGGCAATACTACAACGCAACTTTACGTGATAGCAGTTAGACCAGTATTGCCCAGTTGTTTCTTTTCAGAGTAACACACGGGGCCGATGGACAAGTTTGACCGCGCAGACTTCTTTCCATATGTAACGATACGTATCAGATATTCCCTGGTGGGGCTTTCCTATTTCAGCTGCCGCCGCTTTTATGAGGGTGACTCAATATAGTAATCAACATGCCTTCTATTTAAGCATCGTATTCTTTTACTTTGAATATATCCCCTACTTCTAGGTCGTACCGCACTTGATTATAGGTAGAAAAGACTTTTTTGCTAAGCGCGATAGAATCGCTGAGAGGCGCCGTGTACAGCGAGAAACGAAGAGTTGTACTCCTAGGGTCTATAGAGAGAAGGGCTTAATTCGGAGAAAGGCACAAGGCTCTCTAAGACTGATAAATTATATTAAGAGACTATAAATCTCTAGCTCCAGTAAGTTAAGCTATATCTGAAGTGGTAATCCCTTCCCTATTATTATAAGTTCTGCTATCCTTCATTTAGTTTCACTATAGGCATTTGTTCGATTGGTGTCGTAGCGAGAGGGCCAGCTTCCATCAGGGCTCCACTGCGCCCACACGGCCGTTATCACTACGCCGATCGCCCGCAACTGACAGCTCGTTCAGAGTCGCGATTTGAGCCTGTCCGAGGCATTGACCTTGAATCCTCGTTGTCTCGGCTAAATTACCACCCGCATGCTACATACAACATGCATCGCTTCTGCTGCAGGAACCAGGACTGCTTTCAATAATTCGGAGCAGGCCATTTCCGAGGTGGTCAGACTGGGGGCCGGGACACACCAGTCATCAGCGTCGCAAAGGTCAGACCATAGACGGATAGCCATCCGAGCCCCACATAGTATACTCCCCCATATCCTTTCTTTTTTTTACTTCGCGAAATACTTCTCCTTTTCTCATCCTCTGCTTCTTCCTCTTATTCAGGACCTACTAGGAACCACAATGTTTGTCTATCCTCCCGCTTTTTGTGGAATTTGTCGCATATTGACCCTTTTTCTCCTAGGAATTCTACCGTGCTATCCCCCAGCACCTATTGGGACCAATATCAGGATATCACCAAATCAAATGCCCACCTGAGCGTGGCAGAGAGACTGTGGGCCGCATGGTATGCGTGGATGCAGAATGATGTCCTGGCCACCGGCATCATGTCCTTCGCCATCCACGAGTTGTTCTACTTCGGCCGCTGTCTTCCGTGGATCTTTATTGATAGCTTCGGTTTCTTCAAAAAATACAAGATTCAAAGTGTAAGCCGCAAGCCTAACACCTGGCACTAGCTGAAATCAACCCAATTCTAGCCGCCATCGAAACTAACATTCTCCTTCAGAGCAAAGTACCTTCATTACGCGAGCAATGGGATTGCGCCAAGTTTGTGCTTCTGAGCCACTTCACCGTCGAACTTCCTCAAATCTGGTATGTTCCTGCCATCGAGGGAGTGATATTCTACCGGACGCTTGCCTCTCGGGCCTGATTAAGTAGTTAACGGTTATTCTAGGCTTTTCCACCCAATGGCCCAGTTCTGCGGTCTATCAACATCAATTCCTTTTCCGTCTCTCTGGACTATGGCATATCAGATCGCAATCTTTTTCGTGATGGAGGACACTTGGCACTATTTTTGCCACCGAGCTTTCCATTGGGGTCCACTCTACAAGACTATTCACAAAGTTCACCATCAGTATTCCGCACCATTTGGTTTAGCCGCCGAATATGCTTCTCCTATTGAAGTGATGATTCTCGGCTTCGGGACTGTCAGCTCCCCGATCCTCTGGTGTGCTCTCACCGGTGACCTGCATATCCTCACTATGTATATCTGGATTGTGTTGCGCTTGTTCCAGGCTATCGATGCCCACAGCGGCTACGAATTCCCTTGGAGTCTTCACCATTTCTTGCCTTTCTGGGCCGGCGCTGATCATCACGACCTCCACCATGAGAAATTCATTGGGAACTACGCAAGCAGCTTCCGCTGGTGGGACTACCTCCTTGACACCGAATACAGTCCGGATGCCATGAAGCGCCGAAGAGAGAAAAAGGTGAAGGCAGACAAGACACAATGATCTGAACGTTAGCAGTGACGGTCTGCCTATTTTCTCTTCAATATGGGCGTTGGCTCTGCCTGGAGCTATTTACCTGATAGATGATAGCCTTTCTTATAGTATACAGTCCGTTGAGACCCCGTACCCCTTGCGGATATGGGGTCGCCACCATCTAATTTAATTCACCATGTAATTGATTTTTTGTTCAACGCATCAATTTTTTATTTTCATTTTTTTAATTTTCTCAATAACCATGACCCCAATAATTGCACAAAAAAAGCAAAAATACCTCCAGATAAAATCTTCGAGTTGATCCTAATTTAACCCGACTGGGCCAAGCGTAGACGTAGGAGTGCCTTCTCTACCCAGGTGTCGAGAACGCTGTTTTTCAATGCGCTTAAGTTCAGTAGCACGCTCTTTCGCTTCACGCACTTGAATCATTTGATTCGCATCATACAGATCAAAGTTTTGATGTTTTTCTTGGATGGTGTGTCGATATAGTTAGCGCAAGGGAAGAAAGTGCCCAGGGCCATTTCCGTCATGCAGGTTTTAAGATAGAGGTCTTGGAAGGGTCAAGCCATGAATAATTCTATTGCCAGTGTCTCTCTATCTTACTCGTGAAGATAATAGAAGACAATCATAAAGCTAGCCCAATTTAGGTATTATTTGCTTCGTAGTCAATTATATTGCCAATTATATCCAAATTATATCCAATGCCAGTTCACCATCTGTCACCGTAGACATACCATCCCTAAATCCTACTCAATCCCAGTTCAAGCCCATTTTCCAAGCAAAGCCATGATACCAGCACCAAGAACCATAGTCAACACCATGAAAGTCAACCGCCTGTTATCCTGAGTGCGGTGAGGGTCGAACAAGAAATCACGAGCAAGCAGTTCAACAAGACCAGTGTATAGCAAGATCCCAGCCGAGATAGAGTCCAGCACACCGGACACAACATTAGCAGTGAAAGAGCCAGGGTTATAAGTTGTGCGTACGCCAAGACCAATAGCAATGGAAATCGGGGTCGTCAGTCCATAAGCAGCACACAAGAACCAAGGCAACCAGCTTCCCTTCTTGAATGGGATACTCGACATGCGCGCCCCGATACCAAGTCCCTCAAACGTCTGATGGAAAACGAGCACAGGGTAAAGTGTAGCAAATTCATCACCGGCAACACCGAGGTTGAGACCAATAATGACAGAGTGGAAGATAACACCGAATTCCAAAATCAACAGCGCGGCAATCTGCTGCTTGACCGAGCGCTCGATCGCCAGCTCCTGTGTCTGCGACTCGATCTCCTTGACTTGTTTGTCACCTGAGTGGCTTGCCGAAGCACGCGAGTCTGTACGACGCACTTCAACGCCACTCGCCATCATGGGCTCTGGGTCTTCGCGACAGATACCGTACTTGATCTCGACCCAGCGCTCGGCGCCGAAGTCCAAGAGGAAGACAACCATTAGCGATGTCAATACAATCGCGGGACACCATGCGTAATCTCCCCAGTGGCCTGTCAGTCCGACGCAGGAGTTGCCACCGATTTCGGCGTATGCGGGATCGAGGAGGTGGATGAAGGCTGTTGCGATGATGACTCCGGCACCGAAGTATTTTGCAAAGAGATAGGCGTAGATAGGGATGCGTAGGCGTGGTGCGCGTTGTGCTAGGACGGGGAAGAAGGTCGCTGCTGAGGAGCAGATGAGAATCACGAAGATGGCGGATATCCGGGCGCCTAGTTGGCCATTGTATTCGTTTTCCCCTGCATTAAGGTAGCAAACAATTTGGGCAGCGTCAACTGTATCCAGGTCGACATTGTGAGGATCGAAGGACATCTTGGCTGGTTATGTTTTGTGTGTTGTAGATCGTCTCCCGACGTTGGATGGGAGGAACAGGAGCCTCTGTGATGTGAAACAGATGTCAAGGGTCGAAAGAAAATAAACAAGATGATTTTGACGGTGCAAATATCAAAGGAATATTTTGCCCATTTTATATTTGAGAAACAACATGAGTTTCATCGGGTCCTCCGTTGTGTTGAGGACCTTGGGTCTTTTCGGCCCCGGTCATATTAGCTTGGTGGTTAGCTCAACTCTTCGTCGGTGGCTGCATTGACTAGGTTGTTTGAGCGATTTTTGGAGTTTTTGATATCCCTGTAATACTAAATTAGTACTCAACTTTCCCAGTCTACGTATTTGTTGCTATTTTCCCAAGGACTTAGGGCTTCTATGTTCCTTGCCGAATATCAAATGCCCAGACGGGATCAACCATCAGCCCTACCCAGGATGTTAGAAAACCAAGGCTCAGAGAGTTTCTTGTCAAAGCTTGGAACGAAGCAAGCATTTTACGCAAGCCTTGTCAGTGGGCCAAATCCCGTGGTAGTGATTGGGTGTCAACGCCATCAGTTGCCCCCAAGGTCCTTCAACTAAGATTGCCCGTTAGTCAAAACCATACCACGCTTTTTTTTTCGAGGAGATATTACTTAGAAAGGCAGGTGGTATATAGTAGCTTGAACTTAGATGTCATCCCATTATTCCAATATGGATATTTATATGTGCGGATAGTGGGTAATGTCAATATACTGACCTGATATCTCAGATCCACAGAGATACTTCGGTCGTCAAACTCCGAAAGCATCTGCTGGGTCGGCTAGAGCCGAGCCAATAATTGATTAAACAATATTCATTACATCGCAAAAGTAGTTCATGTCGCGAGGTGAAATATCACATACCCATCTCCTCGTCACATTCGTGGGCATTGCAGCCAGCCATTCAAGGGTGCAGCATAAACCACAGGGGTTAAGACAACCCTACAAGTTAGTATGTCCGGAGTCTAGACTTTAACTTCGAGGGCCTAAGAAGCTGAGGGAGGAAAAAACATTTGAGAACATGAAAAAGCAAGTTCATCCATCCCGAAAGCACGAGACCATCCCATCCCAGTCCTAATGCCTGACACTTATCCCCATCCCACATTGCCCAAATACATAGTAACATAAAACATAGATCATAAAACAAGTCATAATAAGCACAGTTGAAAGTAATCCTCACATGCAAGGTTTCTTCATAACTCGTTTCGTTTCTCGTATCCCATACCCAAGATCTCATCTCAGGTCAAGACGCTCCCAGGTCTGTCTGTACACATAAAATCAGGTTTCCAGCCTGTCGTTCGTATAATATAGTTCCCCTCCCATCAAAACAAGAAACAGAAACACGCTCCGAAGCCAATCGCTAAAATCATCACGCTGAGCCAAGCCACTGAAAACTATAAAAAGGGTACACAAATAAGAGAAAAATAAAAAGTGTTGCGTGATCTATCGTTGCACGCTAGAATTTCAAGGGCCATTGCTAGCCCGTATTTTCGAAGGAAAAAAAGAAGGATAAAAGAAGCCAGATCAAACAACACCCAAAATCAGGATGTTGGAAGAAATGTAAGAAAAGTAAAAAAAAAAGAATCACAAGAAGTAAGGTCAGTGCGAGAACCGCACGACTAATGCCAGAATGGAAGTGTCAAGGATAGAAGATACCTTCTACCTTGACGGACGTATCGTAATTATGGCCATTCACCATACGGTGGAAGTCTTGGACAACCTTCTCAGGCACGAAGTCCCACATAAGTGATCTGGAATGCACACCCGAAGACAAAGCGGAGTGCATGCGAGTTCGCTGCGCAGTGACATCGCGCATCGCAGCAAACGCCTGCTGCAGACTAGATGGCTTCTGTGGCTTGTAGTCTCCACTGGGATCCTCGAAGGTTGTCAGGGTGTTGTACTGATCCGCGTTCATTGAGAAAGCCTGGTCGCGCTCCTGCTCCTCTGTGGGCATCACAAGCGTGTTGTGCAACTGGTCTAGGTTTGAGGGCATGGATTGCGCAGAGCTCATCTGCGCCATCTCCATGCCGCTGATTGTTGCCGGCGAGGGTCCAGTTGTTGTGCCGTGATTGGCCAGGTCGTTGCCGGATGGCGAGGCTAGCACTGCTTTCAGCACATTGGCTGACTCGGCCCGGTACTCTTCAGGGAGTTGAGGCATGGAGCGGCCCAGTATCGAGGTACTGTTTGAGGCGCAGAAGGCACCAAGAAGCAGGAACATGCAGATGGCGTTCCAGTGGCTCGGCAGGTCTGACCCGTTGTTGGATTTCTCCGGAGCCTTGACCTGTTGGCTAACCTGAAGGTGCGGAGTTTGGACACCTTCCGGTTGCAAGGGAGTTCCAGTAGCCATTGAGAATCCGTCCCATGAGCTTTCCATGGTAGGGTTCTCGAAGCTGGTGAAGTCGCCGGGCTGGCTTTCTTGAGCAGGCTTGGCGCCATGCTCAAGCTGTTGAATTCTCTCTTCCAAGATTCTGTTCCTCTTCACCAGATTGGCTGTCTGTCGCGTGTGCGTGATGATAAGTTCATCTTTCTCAATGTTCTGGCGTTGGATGTGCTCTGTGAGCTGCTCATTGTAGAGAGTCAACTGGTGAATCTCGTACTCCAGATTTTCCCTTGCTCTTTGGACGTTCTGCAACTCCTCTTTCAGTTGCCCGATCATGGCTCTCAGTTGCTCGATTATCGCTTCTGGTTGCTTGATCATTACTTCCATTTGCTTGATAATTGCTTCCATGTCCTTGATCTTTGCTTCCAGTTGCTCAATCTTCTCGATATTAGCCTCGGCCTCCTTTTTCTTGCGTTGGCGAGAATGCAGCCTATTGCAGTAAGGTTAGCGATTAATCCAACTTGACTCATAAATCTCAACATACGCTGCGTCCCGATTCCGCAGTAGCCGCTTATCGGACTTCAGTTTCCTTTTCTCCGCCTCATCTGTGCAATTCCTGATGGCTTCGTCGATATTGCTCAAATTCAGTTCGGGTGAAATTGCGATGCGGGAATTTCTCTTCCGAATCGCATCTCCCCGATGTGGTGGCAAAGCAATCCTGTAGTTCGGACTCTTTCTCGAGTTCATCTCTGCCTCAGCCATGTCCATGGGCGCCGGCATCCAACCCTGGCTTGATTGCGGCGACATGGCGACACTACCGGGAGTCGCAAATGCCATACCTCCACGGTACGACATAGAGTTCGCAGGCATAGCGCCGACGGGTCCAACCGCACCACCAGAGAAAGGGGTGATACCATTTTGATCTCCATTGCCAGCATAGGGATCATAGCTCACGGTCGGGGTACATGAACCTGAATCCGTGCGCGGCATGGACCACGTTGCCTGCGGGTAGGAAGGTAATTGGGGGCCATCGACGGGCATGAATGAGGCACCCGTGGAGTTCAGCATAGCGTGGCTAAGCTGCGAATGCGAATTTGGCTGCGACTGGCCGGCGCTGGTATTTGAGTAATTGGACCAGACAGAATCGCGATGTGAGTAGGCAGGTGGGGCATCGTAGGAGGCGCGGCGGTTGTTGGAAAGGTCTTCGGAACTTGGGTCCAAGATCTTGTCGTCCAACACGCTCATCTCGTCGTCTTCCGGTGTCACATCTAACGTTGATGGTGATTGTTGGTAGAATTCAGACTGGAAATATTGTGCCATCGTGAAGAGGCGGTGTGTGTGTGAGAGAAAGAGGTGGGGCGGATGAAGAGGTTTTATAGACAAAATAGGTGTAGAAGTAAAATCACCAAAGAGGACCCAGATAATAGTAGGTAGAAGTATAGAAATAAGGATGGAGATGACGGTATAATTGTGCAGAGAGGGGGATAATATGCTGTGTTCTAGTTCCGGGGGGGAAGAAGCAGGCTATGTATGAGCAGATGCAGCGCTCGTGCGGTTGACATTGTACCCACAGGTACCGAGTACCCATGTGGGTGATGGAGAATAGCCTGTCGATCAAGTACCCAGTACTCATCCAGCGGTCTGCGCGGGAGTGGAAGTGTGGCCCCCGGAGCAGCATCTCCGTTATTGGCTGCATTGTTTTGCTTGGGCAGACCTGCATCTGTTGATGTTTGATTATTTTGGTATTTTGGTTATTCAGCTGGAATTTTCTCTTTGGGCTTAATTACATTTTTTTTTTTATTTTGTTGGTATATTTTTTCATTGTTTTATAATATAGTCACTATGTTAATGTTGGTATTATTTACTCCCGAGGTAGTATAGAAACTTAAAGTATTAACAATCTATACAATATGAGTACATACCGAGTATGTATACTATATGTATTGTCAAATTTTACAGAGGATTGCCCCTTTTCTGTCCTGTATAACGTACCCCGTAAATGCGAAGCCATCACCAACAATCACAAGTGGGGGAAATCAGACGCCAGGCTTATCGATAAACGATAGCCTATCGATCGATCCTCGTTCCGCCGGCTTGAGACAATCCTTGTCGTGGGGAGTATTGGTCTGTGCCGTACCTTATTCACGGCGCTTACATGGTATACTAACTGCTACTTAAAACTTGACCTGCACATCTACTTAAAATATGTATTTTTTTGTATCTTTTTGAGTATTGTTGGTACTAAACTCATCACCCGTGAATGGTCAGATGTCCAGTTCAAATGTCATCCTCCTTTCTATCCGCCGCTAATAGCCAATCGTTCCCGAGTCAGTGCGACGATCCCTTTGGGCTGAGATTCATGGCGGTTGGATGTTTTGCTTTTCTCTTTGTTTTTCTATATTTTTGGTTTCATTATTTCCCCCGTCTTAAATTCTGCGGTATAGTATGAATCTCTGGGACGGGCTCGGCCCGTCGATCCACTGTTGGGCCAACCACGGATGAAAAAAAAGAAGAAAAAAGGGAAAAAAACAGAGAAAAGCACGGATGCCATACACTGATCACTTGTCCTATCCAGATGACGATCTCACCCCTTCAAAGATTAAAATCCGTATATGGAATAATACACTGGAGTTTAAGACCCTGGCTAGAGCAATAGCTTGGGTTGAAAATCTCACACGCCTGATCTTGTCCAATCCTGCCGTGATCTACTTGCAGCTCTCTCTGCAGCTCCCATATGGCTGCAGCAGCCATCTTTACAACACTTCCGGGCTCACAGACCACATTTAATCCGTAATCGACTATGCGGAGTGCAGGGACATGATGCCATCGTATTTGACGGGTGCCTTCCGGTCTGCGCGGGGTGAACACCCCTCGTCTCCTATCATGATTGCCCCAATATACTAGGATCTCCAAATTATACCAGGATCAAACTCGGGCTGTAAATCAGCTATTATTTTCCTTTTTTTTTCCTATTTCCTCCATAGTTCAATAAGTACTATATCGAGCCTTGCCGCCCAAACCGAAGACCCGGTTCCTATTCCTGTTCGTTCGTCTCGACAATTCCCCGGAGCACAAACCCCCTCGGCGGCAGCCCCTGAGTCTGTTCGCAGTCTATACATAGTACAGAAAATGGAGCCTGTGATAGTGATAGGCCTGTCACCTGGGCGGCAGCTCGGCGGGTAGGCAACTTGGCCCGGATAAGATCTGGCGGTGAAAAAGCCGAGTCTGTCCAATTGAGATCTAGTCTGCCATCGGCCACCCCGTTCACTACTATATTAGTCATAAACAGGCAAGTCTTTTTGGTGCAAGGGTCCCGATAAAATTTTCGTTTCTGCTCGCCAATAACGCGTCTAGAGTCATATGAGAAGCTAGGACCAGTATCTTGGTAGTTGCTTAATGTGTAGATCATAGATTCAGCACATTACTCCCTCCCTACGGCGTGAATAACACATACACCCTTCATGCGGTGAAGCTGAAACCACTGTTTTGCCATATGACTCAGAATGAAACTGGTGATCTACCTTCCGTGAACAAGCTAGAAGGCCATGGCAGGTCCACCGCTCCACTTCCATTCTAATGATTATGTAGCCAATGGCCCACTTCTTCCACGGCTCCATACAAATGATTCCATAAAAATTCAACACACCGTACGCTGTATGTGCCCAAGGTCACCAAAACACATCCCCGGTACGAGCTAAGCCGGATATGATCTCAAAGCCTCACTTTGAACCGGTACCTGCCTGATGTGCCGAGAACTGGGTACATTGGGCACATCATATGGGACGAACTAGCGTGTAGGATTGGATGCTGCTGGGCCACTATGTGATCATTACTGGGCTGTTGATATGCTCCACATGCCGAATCGGGGTCTCGTTGACGTTTTTCGTGTTTGTAACCTGCCTATCGGGGAATCCGTCTTGTCTTGGTCCCGTTGGTGGAAGACAGTTGATCTCTGCCGAGGACCCTCGTTCACCGATTTAATGACTCATTCTGTTGCAAGGCGAGAGATGGACGTAAGGGTTTGGGAGTTTCTGTCGCTTTCTGCGGTTCTGATCAACCAACACGTCGTCGGAATGAGTTTGGAATAGGTGGGCCAACGACCTACGATGATCCCAATATTAGGACAAAGAATCTATTATTCAGTATCACATATTGACTGAGTCACTATCTCTTCCTACTGCTGTTCTCGTCCGATAGACTGTCTTTCTCTGCTACTATTCTCGTCCGATGGATTCACCTTTTGTCCGATGACGTTTTTAGTCTTGGTTAGAGTATGTTGTAGCCTTTTTGTCCTGCACTAGAGCCCAACAGACAAATTGGACGTAGTACAATAATTGGTCTCATGATTAAATGACGCGCAAGAGTCAAAACATCACGGAATATTATTGATAGGCAAGGATCGGGATATGTGGCTTGAGTTAGCCGCCGACGCTTCCAGGTGTTGGTGATAGATTAGCAGAGCATGCCTAGCCGCCGACTCTTCCAAATGTTGGTGACAAGATGGCTAGCCGCTGATTCTTTCAAATGATGGTGATACGCCGAGCATGTCTAACCGCCGACTCGTACAAATGTTGGTGATAACCAGAGCATGCCTAGACGCCGACTCTTCCAAATGTTGGTGACAAGATGGCTAGCCGCTGATTCTTTCAAATGTTGGTGATAAGCAGAGCATATCTAGCTGCCGATCTTTTCAGGTATTGGTGATACGCCGAGCATGTCTAACCGCCGACTCTTACAAATGTTGGAATTACTACGACGTGATTACTACTAGTTTTATATATAGTCAACTAGACGGTATATAATCTAAGCATATAGTAATCTTTACGGCCCTTCGCCGACTTTCATACCTTAATCGATCTAAAAACTAAGGGACCTACTTTGGTAGTCTCGATCTCCCTAGATTCAACCAAAGTCAGTATATAAACTCGGTCAAGTATATAGGGGCATTGACATGCTTTCAAATAACTTTTGAAGCATGTAGTATTCTACCACCTTCCTCTGGATCCAGAATTCCGGAACCTATCCGAGTCCTTCGTCAGGATCTCGCAATACTGACAGCTTAGATAGATAACATTTAGTGGTTTGTCGGGCACTGGTAGCTAGGTCGTATATCTTGGGCTTTGTGACGATGGCGTTTGTTCTTTCCTTCGTTACTTGACTGTTTCTCTATTTGTTTGAGACCTCGAAAGTTGCTACTAATCCTAATCGGGAAAGAGGTTTGTTTCCAAGGTTGCTGTGCGGGCTAGCCCAGGCTATTTAATCTCCATCAATCTACCGCTGACTTCTTTATTCTACTTCTTCCCAAGTTTTAGTATTCTAGTCGAAATATGCTCTCTCTTCATTAATTGACCTGGCATGGAACCGTTTTCACCTAGGGAATCTACATATTATAGACATACTATACGAACTTTCCACGGTGACTCAAGCCCTTACAGCGATCCTTGATACTGGCGTAAGAGTTTACTCCGCTATCTACTCACGTTGAAGTGACTTCTCGTCGAACGCTTTGACAGCTTTCCACTTTGACGGATTGGAAGCCTCGAATGACATCGTGCCTATCGGTTTGCTGAACCCTTGCCGCATCACATTGAATTCGCTACAGGAGGAGGGTGAGGGAAACCAACATCGATTTTCACGCTAACGACATACGGCTCAGATGCTCCGGGGCCTAATCGTCCATGCGCTTCTACTTATTCTCAACTTTCCCTGTCTATACATGCACGTATGAGATATAATTCACCTACTTCCCCATAACGGCGCTCGTCCAACTACCTACTGAGATCATATGGACCATCGCATCAGGTCTTTGCACGCAAAGTGACGTTTACGCCTTGATTCGGACCAATCGTCATTTATACAAAACATCAAGTCTCTGTATTGCTTTCACGGGAAATATATTCATGGGGCCGCGCTCTCTTTTGTCGTCAAGCCGAACCTCTTTTTCAAGTTCAAAGTTTGCTAGACGGGCTGAATGCTGCCCGCGACCAGTCTCAAGTATCCCCGGCAGTGCTAGAAGGGAGTCTTTACCCTCAAGGTATCTTTACCCACCCTCTTCTATAGCAAGGGTACAGCATCCTGAGCGTTATGAATATCCAGCACACCATCCCAAAATCGTGACCGTCTTGTTGGATTTTGGTGCACAGGCCAACTTCGACCTTGGGAAACGGGCTCAAGGCACAGTTCCTCAAAGTGCTCAAAACTTGTGGCATGGTAAAGGTGTTGACTGCCCACCCCTTTTTACTGTGGTGGAATTCGGCAATCTGGAGTTAGTAAAGTTGCTTCTTCAGCGTGGCGCTGATCCAGAGCTGTATGCCCCTTCATCATTGTATCACGCTATACAAGATGATCAGCGGGGTATTATTCTTATATTACTAGAACATGGCGTGGGACGACAAGCAAAAGTGTTAAAGCTAGCTTTGCTGCGTGTGGGACGCCACACTGCTAGAATGAAGGGTGATCATGAGATGGTCGAATTGTTGGAGTCTCATCGTGCGACCTTAGATGCTCTTGCTGACATTGACGGGGAGGATTGGGATGGCATTCATCGGCCTATTTTCTAACGTTTGGTTATGTCCGGCAAGGCTAAGATCGAATAGGAAGAGAAGGGTAATGAGAATTGATTAGGTGCCTTTTCTTATATCACATTTTCATGTTGGTTTGCTTTTTTCTCTGCTCCTAGAATTAGAAACGATGATATATAAAACTGCACAACTGTACAGTAGATACTGCAGTAGAGAACGGCGCTATCATTGTGTACTGTCTTTACATGTTTGTTATGTATTGTTTTTGGCGTTCGGTTACATGTAATCGGTTTAAAGACAGGGATTCACCCATAGGCAGATAGACACAGATTGAGAATACACACTTCTAAAGCTCTCTAAATTCACTCGTTGAACGCAAGTCTACGAATCTTAAGCATGCCTCGGTAGCTACAACGTGGAATTACGGGCGCTGAATTGACTCGTGTGCCGGAGAGTACATAGTCTTGACCGTTCCCCTCTCCAATGTATACCCGCTGATGCCTTCAAGTGTTGGTGATGCGAGGCGCATATGCCTAACCGCCCGCTTCCAAGTGTTGGTGATGCGCAGAGCATATGCCCAAATAGTACACCAACAATAGATCACTTGATACCGAAGTAGTCATGTACAGTTTATCCTGGCTAGACCGATCCCGCCGTCCATCTAGACAAGGAGGTGTTTAACTTTATTCCGTAGTCACCGTCTCGACATGCTCTAGACACACAGTGGCGTTGACAACTCTATCACATATTTGTAAATGTTTTGCACATGAACTCTGCCTGTCACCTATGATAGCTACTCTCAGTATTGGTACAAGTACAGGATTTGTTATATCACTAAGTTCAGTTGACATACCCCGCCATGTCCGTACTTGGCAATTTCAGCCCTAGAGGATACTGATATCCCAACCACAATCATACTACAACCTACGAGTACACAAAAGCATTCTAGACCCTATCTATGCCTTGCTCAGCCTACTTTCAATATTCTTTTTGTGGCTTGGGCATGTCTCACGGGCTGGGGGTCATGCTTGTAGTCTTGGAAGGATATCCTGGGGTGCGGATTTCAATATTGTGCTGCCTACGACACGCGTCCTTTTAGCTTACAATTACCATGCAATAGTGAGGCTTATACATATCTCGACGGTCACACAACTTCCTTCATATTAATAGTCAGGAGGACAGGGACCCGGCAGTTTCTATCGTCACATGGTGGTGTCCTATACCCAACATGTCGGCAGATGCAACTATCAACAAATATAGAATCTAAAATACTAAGTACACGTGCGGGAGGTAAGTTTAAGATATTCAATTTCATTTTGTTTCCTTTTTTTTTCAGCTCAATACTATTGACATGTTCTCGGGGTATGGGCAAAACAAGAAAAATCAAAGAAAGCGCGAACTATCCAGTCAACTACAATGGCAGGATTTAGGACTTAGAAGCGGATGAAGTCGTGCTGCTGCGACATCTCGCCGCTATCCACACCTTCGATCAGTTCTTCGGGAGAATCGTCGAATTCATCGGAGTCAACGTCATCCGAATCAATAGCATCGAAGTTCTCTTCCTCGCTAGAGGGGTCAGAGTCATCCTCACCCAAATCGGCTTTACTAGCAGCAGCCGCAGCAGCCTTGCGGATCTGGCCTGCGCGGTCGACATGAGGCAGCTGGCAGCGCTTCTTGTGGCAGGCGCCGGTATTCGCATAGTCTGGGCACTCGTGGACGTGCTTCTCTTCGCACGCATCGCCCTTTTCGCAGTATCCTAGGGTTGCAAAGGCGCGGCAGACGGGGGCACCGGGTGTCACGCGGACGTGGGCGTAACGACACTCTGGGTTGGCGCAGCGTCCTCTAAGGAAATGCATACAGGAGGGGGAGCGGTGGGGCGAGGGCTCATGGGATAGATCACAGCTACTACCTGCGGCACATTGGCCTGTTTGGAGGAAGTCTTTGCAAATAGCGACCTTACTAGGGTCGTGGACGAACTGGCAGGTTGGGCCTTTGTAGCAGGTTCCTGAAAAAAGCAGACGTATTAGTTTTTGAATATGATCATAGGGTGGAACATAGCAGTATGGCCCGTAGGAAAATAAAATACCGGTTGTTGTAAATCTTTTGCAGAGCTCGTTGCGTTTCTTGACCGTATAGTTCCTATGGCAATGTCAGTATCACGGTAGCCACTAGCCATCGCTAAGATCAAAACTCACTTCTTCATAGCCACAGCACCGAGACGGTGCAGGTTTCCATTTTTGCTTCGCACAAAGGTCACATCGGCCACTTTGACGCGCTTGGGGGTATTGTTGGCAGTACTGGGGTCATCTATGAAGTGTAAGCAAATTCCAGCAGAGGAGCGAAGAAAATACGCACTCGAAATACGAATGAGTTTGCTTCCGCCGTTTGCAACCCTAAAAGGAACATCATTGACAAGAATCTGATGGCCAGCTGCAGGATTTGCAGTTGTGGAAACCATTGCGTGAGAGCCTGGGCCCTCTGCATATCGAAGTACCTTCGCTTTTTCGTACTCGGTCTTTTTCTGTTCTCTAAGCTTGCGCGTTCGCTCTATTTCCTTTGATCTGTCCTGTGTTTTCCGATCGTAGACGGCAGGGTTGATAAGCTGCATGTGGCGATCGTGCTTCACAACCCAACCACTGCTAGTCGAAGATGGTGTCGGAGCCACTGCACTGTCGCTAGAACCCGTCGGGGCTGGGGAGGAGGTCGCGCCGGTATTTGAGCCAGCACCCGCAGTATTTAGAACAAGCGTGCGGTGTCGATGAGGAGCAGCTGCTCCTCGACCGCGTCCTCGACCGCGCCCCCTATAGTATGGGGCCCATCCTGGGTGAGAAGGAACGTGACGAGACACGTACTGAGACTGGTGGTTAGCTGGATGGGTCTCTTGTGTCTTGTGGCGGTTTATTTGGCCTACTTGGGTTAGCTTTGTGTCTAGAGTGAGCTGGTATTAAACGCACCTGCAAGCTTGCCGATTCTGGCCAGGAGGTCGTCGTTTTCGCTCATGGTGGCTATCTGAAGCTAAATGGGGTAAGTTGATGCCAGATACAGAATCTGAAAGATCCTCGAATTAAGATCAAAAGGTGGAAAAAGTCGACTGAGCCGGTGATGCGGAGGAAGCAGCAAATACGCGCCCATTTAGCGCTGGTGGCTGGTGTGAGATTGGTTTGTAGTGTTTGTATAACATTGTCGCCTTAGGCATCAGGCCTAAGTGGCGAAGAGGTCTGTGCTCATCTGAAGGACGTCACCAACCATCAGGCCAAACAAACGGAGTACACTGAGACAGAAAAACGCCTCTTCGAGGCCTGTGCATTTACCTGAGGTCAAAGACAAGTCGCTTCATCTAGAGCACCTAAGTTTAGTGCCACTAGGGAGCAGGTCCCCGCCAAATTAACAATCACCAATGAAACGCCAGGTACCTTGCGTACATGTTGGAAAAATTATTGTCTAGTGGACTGAATCTGTCAATATGCACTCGCTGTCTATAGGATGATCAAGCAATGTTAAAACTACTATGTAAATTGTTGCTGAAATCAACATGTAATCAGACACGCTGTCACTATAACTCGCAATATAAGGGCAGGCTCCTTTATCACACGCTTACCAGACTATCTGGAATTTACACAAAAGCCAGCGGACAATATCGGGCTTACGCGCCACCAGTTGCCCTGCGTAAGTCAATGCGTCAACAATATGTCTACGTTCTGATGGAAACATCCTCCTGGGTATGCCAAGGAAGTGCTCAAAACGTAGTCAATGCGAGTCCTACAGAGGTATGAGCTTCAAATATTTGTACTAATTGAAGGCCACACAGAGTCATGAATCCACATATGTATTATTACCATTGAGTATATTGCAGCGGACGAGTGTTTTGCTCTTCAAATGTTTCGTTGAGGCAAAGCTTCATCTTAGATAGTGCTAAGGCAAGATAACCAATCCTTCTCTCGAGCAATTCCAAGCCAAGAGGCTTGACCTACTATAATATCTTACAATAATTAGTATATATGTGACATATATCCCATCAATTCATGGCAGTCGGTAGACCTCCTTTCTACTAAATACCCTTTCACTTGCATACTATTACCCTTGTGAAATTGTGACTATTGCTTAGGCTCAAGTCCAACATTATATGTAAAACATTTGTTCATTCCATTCTATGACTATTTTCCGAATTAAACCTGGATTTCCGGCCTCTCCTTGAAAACCTTAACGCCAGGGGCCCTGAGTATGCAACATATTGAAGCCGTTATTTTTGTTTATATTTGTTAAACGTTCTCAAAGTGAACGTCATCCTGATCCGTGACCATTCCAGAAGCTGGATCATCCTCTGACTCGAAATCGTCGAAGCCTGGTGGCAACTCTGCCTTTGCACTGTCCATCGCATTCGAGTACTGACTGTGGGTTGCCTCGGGCTTCAACTCCCAAGTCATAGCAAAGTCACCGGCCTTGACAAGGTGTGCAACCATCTCCAAAGTCTGTTTGAGATAGGCTTCTGGCTGTGCCAATCGGGCCTTGAGTGTCTTAAAGGGCCAGTATTTGAATTCGCGGAAGCACTGGAAGATAAGATCCAGAAGCTCGTTTTGCGGCATACGGGTAGACTTGTTCTCTTGGGCTTTTCCTTTGGTAGTTCGGGTGGCTTGCTGCAAACAAAGTGAGTAATCTAACCCCGTACAAGAAACAGAAGTGCAAAAGACATACCACAAATTGACCCCGCTCGGTTGGAAGAGCATGGCGCGCCTGGATGATCTTCCCGGGTATCTTATCAATGAACACAGTTTCCTTTCGAGGTTTCAGAGCTTCCAGCGCTCGTTTCTCGGAAATCCGTCTGAATTCTTCATTCTCAACGGGAAGGCAATTGAATTCTTCACTGACCGCGCCGGCGAGGGCAGTGTGTTCTAAGAGTTGTCAGCAAATGTAACTCATCATTCTTGCGATGGGACATACTTGGTATCGTCTTGCGCACATAAGGCTCCCATCTTTTGCCCTGTTCCCGCCGCTTCGCCTCGCGTTTCTGTGCTTCGTATAGAACCGAGCGCGTTTCACCAAACGTAGCCATGCGGTTCTCGACGCCGGGGATGTCCTTCTCGGTGAAAAGGTATGTATTGTGGGTGAGGTGTGATCCAGTGCCTGATGGGTCGACCGTTTGACGTTGGAGTATGTAATCCTTGGGAATGTCCCGATTATCTGGGCGCTCATGTAGGCGCAAACTGACCTGAGAAACGGACGGATGTCAGAATCTGCCAGACACACTGCATGCGCATGTATTTCTACTTACCCTCTTGATGTCATTCGGTGTTCCCTCTACTCTCATTGTACCAAGCTCAATCTCTTCGTCATCGTCTAGGTGGGACCAGTGCTCCCACAGCTGCCGAGGCAGACGGGAGAGCCACACATTCTGACCTGCTTGTGTGAAGTCCAGGTCTCCAGCATCTTCGTAAAGGTCTTCCTCGTCAATGTCCCGAAGGGCGATATCCTTGCTGTCGGGGTCCTGCTTGAAGTACGGGCGATCCGGGTCTTGCTTGACCTGGGCCATATTGGGTGCGGGATGACTCGAAGACGGTGGGAATTTAAAGAAAGTGATGGTGCAGTAAATGCGACCGGCGATCCACCGCTAGATTTATCGGGAGAGAGGTGGTGGATAGGGTGAGAAGCGTGTTTCAGTGATTGAGTCCGCGCCACCCAGATCTGGAGCTCTTCATTCAACCTGAAGTGGTAGGCGGTGAGAGTCAACGTTCTTTGTATGTATGACGACTTGTTTTTAGTATTAGGTGCATACCTATAAATTTATACACTCAGCTACAATCCAATGCCGAATGTGGCTCGGAGGAATAATTATCAATTCAGCAAATATTATCCTGGCTCTCACTGAGCGAGATCTTAGAACCTTTTCAAGTCACCATAACAATAGTCATATCCACATGCGAACAACTTCACAATTAGCAACCTTTATATATCTTTCCAAGCTTCTCCATACTTGGTGCGAAGCACACCTTCTCGATGCCGCCTATTGACATACTGCAATCTGTTTAGCTATAATACTATATTTCATATGGATCCCAGACCATTTGCTTGGTTATATTTACGCGACATTAGCTCTTAAAGACCTGGTTTTTGTACTACATAATTCTGCTAGATAACTGCTCTATTTTTGTGTAATAATATCAACCAATTCCTCGAACGTATTCTACCTACGGAGTATGTTTGTCCAGATTAAATGAGCTCCATTGTCCTGTCTCTGCCTGTATACATCCCAGCTCTTATCGCGATAACAGTTGGCTGTCCCCGTCCCCACCAGCACTCCACGTCTAACAGCAACTCTCTTCACCACCTCTCCTTCACTCAATCAGCTACGCAGCATGGCCTCCCAAAAGATGACCAACGCCCTAGCGGGCATCGAAGCGAATCCACACCAACCAACAAAGCTACAGCAATACACCGACCTCCTCAATGAGATGGTAGCAACCACCAGCGGCCACGAGCTCGCCCAAGATCTAGTCTACTATCTAGACTCAATCCTCAGCGAGGAAGTGAGCATCGTGGCCGCCCGCCCCCTCCTCGACGCCTTCATCACAGTCCTACAATCCCTCACCCCAGAAACCAAAATAAAAGTCGGCCAACACGCCATCACCCTCCTCCACACGCGCTCCGCCTCAGTCGAAGAACAAGACTCGCAAATCCGCGAGATCCTCGCAGACGCCTACGAATCTCAGGAAGAATACACAGCCGCCGCCCGCGCTTTATCGGGCATCCACATCGATAGCTCACAGCGTCTAGTCTCAGACGCCGCCAAAGCCCGTCTCTGGATCCGCATCGTACGCTACTACCTCGAAGACGACGACACCACCAGCGCCGAAGCCTTCCTCAACCGCATCAAGAACCTCCCCTCCAAAATAGAAGACCACGATGCAAAACTCTACTTCCAGCTTTCCCAAGCCCGCATCCTCGATGCCCGTCGTCGCTTCCTCGACGCCGCACAGGAATACTTCAATGTCAGTCTCGCGTCCGGCGTCGACGAAGGAGACCGTCTGACAGCCTTATCCGCGGCGATCCGATGCGCGGTCCTTGCGCCCGCTGGCCCACAGCGCTCCCGCTCTCTCGCCCGTCTGTACAAAGACGACCGCTCGCCCTCCGTTGGGGAATTCGGTATCTTGGAGAAGATGTTCCTCGATAGACTCCTGACGGCGGATGAAGTTGCCGCGTTCGCGAAGAAACTTGCCCCGCACCAGCTTGCTGTTACGGCGGATGGCACGACTGTTCTTGATAAGGCGGTAATCGAGCACAATCTCGTGGCGGCGAGCAAGCTGTATGAGAATATTCATGTTGATGACCTGGGCTCGATTCTGGGGTTGCAGGATTCGGGTGATGTGTCTGCTGGTGAGAAGGCGGAGGCTTATGCGGCGCGTATGGTTGAGCAGGGACGACTGCGAGGTCGGATTGATCAGATTGATGGGGTTATTTCGTTTGATGCGGAGACTGTTGGTGGTTCCTCTTCGGGTGCTTCTAATGGGACGAAGCTGAGACAGTGGGATCTTGGTGTGCAGGAGCTTGCGGAGGATGTGGAGCGGGTGGCCACTAGTATCTCTGATCAGTTCCCGGTATGTGTTGGATTGTTTTCTGTCTGAGGTTCTTGCTAATGTTGATTCTAGGAATTTGCCACAAGCCAGATGGTTCATTGAACTGACTGCTCTGTCTGTGTGTGTATCTGATGAAAGATCTACGAATTCATGCCTTCTGTCTACTCTTGCATATCCTTTAGCCGGCCTGAGAAATGACAAATCAAGCTTCATTTGCTGTTCTCTCTTTTGTATCTTCGAGGACTATACTTAATTATCAATGTCGTTAAAAGCGACATCTATGGCTTGACAGACCTATTTATCAACTAAGCGCTTCTTGAAGTTTTAATAAACTCGACGTCCACTAAAGTTTAATTACACGAAAATCAAGCTAAATACAACCTAAAAGACGAAGGCTAGAGTAGGAAATCAAATATATAAAGTCTAAAACACGAAAGGTGTATAAATGGTATAGGCAAATCAAATCATAGTCGGTGAAGCCGACATATTAACATCAAAATGAGGGTGGTGAAGTTGGCAAGGGTAATCGAATGCAAGAAATGCCGTGGCAAGTCGTATATGCATGAACATAAAGTGAAGGAAAGTATATAGAAAAAGGAAAGTGGATGTATGGAGTCGTTGGCGTTGCATATCAATGCCGCTCTGGGTTGGAAGACCGTGCCTCTGCTTGGTCCTATTATGGCACCAGTAGGTTGTTTTGTCATCATACCCGAACTCAGACAGAAGTGTCCATCGTCTTTGCATTCGACCATGTCAGAGCAGATTCAGCTTCTCTCGGTAATAACCCCCATTCACTCCATCCTCTCAAGAAGATAAAAGATATCATCACATCATAACGGCGTAAATCAACAGCACACCACTCAGGTGTTCAGTCTAGTAGTCGAGTCATTCCCAGGAAGGATCGAAATATCCGTCTGGACATTGATAATCCGCGGGTGTAGGTCATCACCCAGATGACCCGGGGCTTTACTCTCGACCTGAGCATTGTACATCTTAACGAACTCGATATCCGGCGAGCGCGGGCTAGACTTGGACAAGAACAGAGAGTTCGTATAATCCGTGTTGATATACGCAGGACCAGTTCCAGTGCGCGAGCTCTTCAGCTTAAGCGCCGGGAACAGTCCGCGGATGATGGGTAAGTTGGAGCAAATCAAGCCAACAGCAGGCTCGATGTGCGTCCACAGAGTAGCCTGGTAGACGGTGAAGGTTGGGTCTGTGGGACTGATCCAGAAGAGAACGACGATGCGGTAGATACTAGCGAAGCAGACGAAGGCGCCGAGTGCAAATACTCCGTTTAGGGCGAGCTTGTCTTGCCATGCGCGGTGGAGATTCCAGATCATTGGGATTGGTAGGACGAGGATGACGAAGTCCATGAGGACGTTGAAGGCTTGGTTGACGATGATGAATTGTTGGGCGTCGAAACATGTTCCTTCGATGCTGTGGTCCCAATATGCGCGTAGGGGTCGACATTGTCCTGCGCAGGCTAGGAAGATTCCTGTGCCCCAGGCGGCGATTAGGCAGTTTAGGCCGAAGGAAACCTTTTGGAACTTGGGAGTTGCGAAGAGGCGGCGGTAGAAGCAGATGATGGAGATCTTGATACAAGGGCAAAGTACGAAGTAGGTGAATTGGTTGGCGAGGAAGATCTGGGTGGTGTTAGGTTGGAATGTTCGATGTTGGATTTGCGGGGTATACATACCTTCCAGTAGTTCATGAGGGTTTCAGGCGAGAGATCCGCAATGTGTGCTCCATTGCCTCCAATTGAACACCCTATAAGCTGTTAGTATTGAACGAAATTGCCATCCGGGGGAATCTCTTACAAAGAATCAGCTCGACCAACATAGCAACGAGGAGAACCATGGACACCATGCTCAGATAATCATCAACACCGAACCCTACTCTCCTCCGAAGGCGAGCAATGATTCGCAAGACCACAGAGATGAAACACAGACTGACCAAGACCGAAATGATCTCGATCATCTGCCATCCCTTCTTGCTTGGCGCCATTGCACTTCTCAGGTGGTTTAAAGGAGTGTGGGGTACAAAACAGGAAAAAGCAAGGTATGAATAGAAAAAGGAATGACTGGGTTAATACATAATGTTTGGGCGTTCGCTGATATAAAACATGTAGGTACGCGCGTATATCCAAATCCCGGAGCCCTGGTACCCTAGGACAGCTCAAAATTCCACATTCCACTTTATCCACTCAATACATCCCTAGTGGCCGATCCTTGTCCTCATAGGGATCTCGGTAGTTGCGTGATATACGTGCATATGCTGAACCACGTGAAGGTGAGATCTACATACTCACGGGGCTGGTTATACCCCTTGCTAGTTTTTTTGTTTCTTTGAACGGTACAATGGCATAGAAAAATAGAAGAACCTTGGAACATTTGAACATTAACGAAATAGGTCAGTGGATCTTCAATGTGGAGATAACAAATAGGGAAAGATATCCCTACGATCGACCCTCGAGTCATGTACGAACTAACCCTAAGAAGCTTTGGGAACCCTGTAAGGACTGAGACTATCACCTGTACTATTCCCTTTATATCCATATTTTATATTCTGTATTTACTATATACTCCATCCATTTTCGATATATTCAATAGACAACACAAGGTTTTCCAAAGTTTCTCTAGAAGGAAAGCCACCCCCGCGGACATCAGCTCATCCACGGTTGACTCCTCTGCCGAGTTTCGGTTAAAAACTGACATGTAGATCTCATCGATAGCGTAGAAAAATCGCGCTATTAAAACATTTAAGAGCTAGTGCGCTACTGCGAACGCTTCCGAATATAGCAGTTCGTATGAATTACTTACAGGGTAGACATATGCACATCGTGTCACTGTAGACCGCTCTGCAAGCCAGTGGGGGATTCACATACCTAAATGGTTAAAGGTCGTCTTTTTTTTTTCCAAGTCAAATAGCACGTGGGTCTATTGAATGTCAAACTCTTCAGTGACCTCATAACACTGTCGATCACTAGAACACCCCTGAAAGTGCCGATTCGATACACACAAAATTGGGTATAGCATGAATCCACATATGAAAAAAAAAAAGCCCGCATTGATCCTCGGAAAAGGAGAAAAAGCAAAAATGTGACTTGAACCAGTCAAATAGTGGTCGCATAGCGCGGAATAGTGCATGGCAGTTGGCAAAGATCGTCAAGATCCAAATTCTGTGTGGAACCGAAGAGATTGATAATATTTATCTTGCATACTCATAGTATTCTTTGTTTTTCCCCAACATTACTTGCATATATCACACATCATATACTCCATACCTCTATCTTACCATATACCCCTCCCCCACTATGACAATCCCAACCGACACTGGACTTACAGTCCCCCTCATAATAAACGGCCAGGAAGAAACAACCCCTAAAACTTTCCCCGTAATTAGTCCTTACACCAACACAACTATCTGGACCGCTTCCGCCGCAACATCTCAAGATGCAATCCGCGCCGTCGAAGCCGCCAACGCGGCCTTCCCCTCATGGTCGCAAACAAAACCAACCGTGAGACGCGACATCCTCCTGAAAGCCGCCGATATCCTTGAGTCCCGCCTCGACACCAATGCCGAGTACATGCGTCAAGAGATGGGCGCTGACATCGGCGCCTCCGCAGGGTTCGTAGTCCCGCTTGCAGTTCGTATGCTACGTGAGGTTGCGAGCCGCATTACCTCGATCTGTGGCAGTGTACCTGTTGTAGAGACAGAGGGACAGAGTGCGATTATTTTTAAAGAAGCGATGGGTGTTATTTTAGGAATTGTGCCTTGGTGAGTACTCCGATCTATGCTTACAGGTAACGGAATATTTCCATGGAATTTCAATCACTAATTACTGGTTCAGGAACGCTCCCTATGTCTTCGGAATTCGCTCCGCTGCCTGTGCCCTCGCAGCAGGAAATACAACAGTCCTTAAATCTTCTGAATTAACTCCCCGCTGTTACTGGGCTATCGGCCGTGCCTTTGAAGATGCCGGTCTCCCCGCCGGCTGTTTGAATATCATTCACTGTGCCCCGCAGGATGCCCCCGAGGTTGTCAATGCCATGATCGAGCACGAGGCTGTGCGCAAGATCAATTTCACTGGTAGCACAGCTGTGGGTCGGAAGATTGCACGCGCGTGCGGTCAGAACCTTAAGCCTTGTCTTATGGAGCTAGGCGGGAAGAATAGCTCGATTGTTTGTCATGATGCTGATTTGCAGACTGCCGTGCAAGGAGTATTGGCGGGTGCATTTTTGAATGTAAGTTTGAGTCCTGCATATATTGCATGTCGCATATTTATTTCTATATCTATCTCCGAGTCAATAGCTAACCCATTTCTTCCTTTAGTCCGGCCAAATTTGCATGGCAACCGACCGAATCCTCGTCCACACTTCCATCCTCCCGGCCTTCATAGAAGCCCTTCAGAAAGCCCTCGCTGCCGGTGCTGCAGCCTCTGCCCTCCCACCAACACTCGTCAACACAGCCTCCAAGGCCCGCGTCGAAGCCCTCATCGCCAACGCCATCTCAGCAGGCGCACACTTCATCTCCGGGTCTGCGGACAGCATCCCGACCGACTCGGGGGTGCGCATGGCGCCCGCCGTTCTGGGCGGTGTGAAGGAAGACATGGCGTTGTGGCAGGAAGAGTCCTTCGCGTCAGTTGCGGCGTGTATGCCCTTCGACACCGAGGAGGAGGCGATTCGTCTCGCGAATGGAAGTGGGTATGGACTTTCGGCATCTGTGTTTACGGAGGATCTGCGGAGGGGCTTGGCGATGGCTAAGCGGATTCAATCTGGGTATGTTGTGTGACCCATTCACTTTTGTTATTCCGATTCTGGTGGATTCGGTGGATACAGACTGTGGATCTGTTTTGCTGACTTTATTGTAGGGCGGTTCATATTAATAGTATGACGATCCATGATGAGCCGGCTCTTCCTCATGGCGGTGTGAAGAATAGTGGCTGGGGTCGGTTCAATACTGATGAGGGATTGAATGAGTTCTTGGTTACGAAGAGTGTTACCTGGATGGATTAGGGATATTTTGGATTTGCTGTCAGCGTTTTGGTTGGATTTTATTTAGTAACGTTTAGCTGCACATATGTATTGCAGGTCTGCTCCCAGGGCCAACACTGCCATATTTTATGCCTATTTTATATGTATAGGCCATTCGTCTCGCCCGAGAAACTCAATTCGACGATCTTCTCGCCCTAGATTCTCGTATACGTTCTCGGTAAGTTTCTCACCCGACTGTTCAGCAGATTCCCTATATGCCAATAAAATATTGGGTTGTCAAAAATGAGGTCAAATCTCAAGTTCAAGCATGCGACTCTTTATATTTTCATACAGCAAAAGCTTAGACTTCCAGTCGGCGTTTGAATCCAAAAGAATACACGGTGTTATATGATGTCATCAGTCCCACTGAGGCAATTCCCATCCCCGGATTAGGTCAGTCCCACCCCTGCTTTCCACCAATCAGAGACCAGGTGTTCCTCATCCGGCAACTGAGTTTACCTGTTTCTGGTTGTCCCTTGGATCTCTCGGACGAGATGAATTTGAATATCAAAGTATTGAAATACATAACATCTATACCTTAAGACTTATAGAATTGAAGCATTCAAATCTAAAACTTCGTACTTTGTTCATCATGCCATACACAATTCGGGAATTCCGGACCGTGAGTCTTATTCCGAGGCTCACACCGTGATCAGCTACCACTGTAAGTACCGAGGAAGCCGGAATTCAATATCCCAGCACTGTTTCTGCTCGAAAACACAATACTCCGGGTACTCCGTACTATATGTCTAATTCCGGTCACTTTCCGAGCCGTCTTTTACTATTCAAGTGCTCCCTTCACAGGAGTTTAGGACTGGAATGTGATATGTAAATGCATGTGAAAATGAAACAGATCTAGACTTAACAAGTCTATACTCCGTTGTTACATTAAAATGATTTTAAATATTATATCGCATGTGATCCCCCCCTTCCCCAGATCGACCGTAATGAAAGACAAACCAGAGGTCGCCAATTACTGTTACAGCGGGTACCCCCATCTTTCATCTCCCCACGTTTGTGCCTCGGCCGATAGACGTCGGCATCTGACCTCCCCCGAGCCCTTTTAAGATCCTTCCTCTTTCTCCTTTCCTTTTTTTTCTCCATATTTACCTTTGCCTATACACATAACATAATGGCTGCACCTCAAGTAATTGTGGTCGGTGGTGGCCGTAAGCATCTCTCCCCGCATTCTCTCCCTAACCCCAGCTGATCTTCTTCAGTCTCTGGCCTCAGCGCCGCACACACTGTCTACCTCAACGGTGGCAACGTCCTCGTTTTGGACAAGCAGGCTTTCTTCGGTGGTAACTCTACCAAGGCCACCTCCGGTATCAACGGTGCTCTCACTCGCACCCAGACCGATCTCGGCATCCAGGACAGCGTCAAGCAGTTCTACGACGATACCCTTAAGTCCGCCCGTGACAAGGCCCGTCCCGAGCTGATCAAGGTCCTGACCTACAAGTCTGCCGCCGCCGTCGAGTGGCTGCAGGATGTCTTCAACCTCGACCTCACCCTCGTCTCCCGTCTCGGTGGACACACTCACCCCCGCACACACCGTGGTCACGATGCCAAGTTCCCCGGTATGGCCATCACCTACGCCCTGATGCAGCGATTGGAAGACCTCGCCGAGAAGGAGCCCGGTCGTGTCCAGATCATCAAGAAGGCCAACGTCACCTCCATCAACAAGTCTGGTAACAATGTTACCGGTGTTACCTACACTGTCAACGGCGAGGAGAAATCTGCCGACGGTGTTGTCGTTCTCGCTACCGGTGGTTACGCTGCCGACTTCAGTGAGACCTCCCTCCTCAAGAAGCACCGCCCCGACACCTTCAATCTATCCTCCACCAACGGCACCCACGCTACTGGTGACGGTCAGAAGATGCTGATGGCCATCGGCGCCAACGGTATCGATATGGACAAGGTCCAGGTCCACCCTACCGGTCTCGTCGACCCCAAGGACCCCAACGCCAAGTTCAAGTTCCTGGCCGCCGAGGCCCTCCGTGGTGAAGGTGGTCTCCTCCTCAACTCCGAGGGCCAGCGTTTCTCTGACGAGCTCGGTCACCGTGACTACGTCTCCGGCAAGATGTGGGAAGAGAAGGAGAAGGGCAAGTGGCCCATCCGTCTCGTCCTCAACAGCAAGGCCTCCAAGGTCCTTGACTTCCACACCCGTCACTACTCTGGCCGTGGCCTGATGAAGAAGATGACCGGCGCCGAGCTCGTTGCCGAGATCGGCTGCGGCGAAGCAGCCCTCAAGAAGACCTTCGACGAGTACAACCTCATCGCCGATGGCAAGAAGAAGGACCCCTGGAACAAGCGTTTCTTCCACAACATGCCCTTCAAGCTCGACGACGAGTTCCACGTCGCTCTCATGGAGCCCGTTCTCCACTTCACCATGGGTGGTATCGAGATCGACGAGCACGCCCAGGTCCTCAACAGCGAGCAGAAGCCCTTCGATGGCCTCTACGCCTGCGGTGAACTCGCCGGTGGTGTCCACGGTGCCAACCGTCTCGGCGGTTCCTCCCTCCTCGGCTGTGTCGTCTACGGCCGTGTCGCTGGTGACTCTGCCTCCCAGCACCTTTTCAAGAAGCTCATCAACAACGGCTCCTCCGCCTCCTCCCGTCTCGGCCAGATCTCCCTCCACATCGACCCCAGCACCCCTGGCAAGATCTCCGTCGAGTGGGGCGGTGCCGCTCCCGGCGCAAGCCTCCCCGCTCTCGCTGCCCCCGCTGCTCCTGCTGCCGCCGAGGCCCCCGCCGCCAAGCCCGATCCTTCGAACTTCAAGATCCCAGAGACCGAGTACTCCATGGAGGAAGTCGCCAAGCACAACACCAAGGAGTCCCTCTGGGTCGTGGTCAAGGGCGTCGTCCTCGATCTCACCAACTGGGTCGATGAGCACCCCGGCGGTGCTAACGCCTTGTACAACTTCATGGGTCGTGATGCTACCGAGGAGTTCGCTATGCTCCACGACGATGAGGTTATCCCCAAGTACGCCGCTCAGACTGTGATCGGTCGTGTCAATGGCGAGACCCCTAGCCTGGAGCTGTAGAGGTTCTAACCCTTCTCTCATGCCTCTTCTCCCTGACGACCGCTCTCCTCGATGAAATATGATCCTCTAGCGTGTGATCTCGCATACCCCATTTCGTCTCTTTCTGTTGTTTCTTGTCGTGTTGGCTTTGGCACGCTTGCTTCCGGTCCTCAGGATCCAGGATCCTGCTTGGATCAGTTTGTGTAAAATACATACATAGCTTTGGAATATATTCTTTGGAATCATAGATTGTTTTTCATTGATTTAATCGTAGCTGTAATGAGTGTTTAACCCCTAGGACTTAGGGGCTCGCGTCTAAAGTCAATAATCCAAGGCAGCTCCAGGGCTAGCCAATCCTAAATAACCAATTTGCCGAGGTATGCCAATAAGAATCCTATTTTATTAGGCCATTTTTGTACAATTGGCCAAATACTCACCGTACTACCTCTCGTATAACTAGCCTATATTTACATAAATGTACATGGTATATCAAAACAAAACCAAAAACCCTACAAGAGCACATATCACAGTATCACCCCTTCATGTGCATCAAAATCATCTTCAACCTCCTAACAGCAGGCCCATCCTCCCCACCCCCTCCTTCTTCCCTCCCCTCAATCTCAACCCTCGCCTCCTCAAGCACAGGCTGCAAAAACCCCCAAACCTCATCATGATACCTCTCCTGAACACCAACCCAATCCCCCGCACCAGGGAGATTCGTCAAAACCTCATCGCGGAGGGAAGTAGAACCCGTAACTGTATTCCCCTCCCAACTCCCAAGCCCCTGACTCAAGAAAACATCAATATCAGGAACGAGACTACGTCCCGTTAGCCGTCCCTCTCTTTCCTCCTCCACACCCATCCCCTTCCGGAAAGAATCAAGAGCTTCTTTCTCGCTCGCTGAAAGCGGGTGAGGCATAGCCGCGATATCAATCTCGGTATCTGGGACTGTGGTCGGGTCTTCGAAATTGGGGTCGAAGGTTGCGTCGCTTAGGAGGGAGACTACGGCTGCGCCGTCTGTGGTTTGGGTATGTTCATGTTCTTTTGTCTGAGTGTCCTGCCATTGGCGCTGCCAGACGGTTTCGAGTTGGTGTTGGGTTGGGTCGTGGGCGCGTGCTTTGCCTTTCCATGTTGAGGAGGGGGTTTGGAGGTCTTCGTGGGGGTGTTCGGGTTGATATGTTGTAGTTGTATTGGTGGCTGTAGTTGTCTCTATCCCGTCATATCCATATGAATTCCCATTCTGGAATTCGTCTTCTGCCAAGGGAGGTAGGGCGAGTCCATTTGATGTATCGTGTTCACGGAATTGCGCTGTAGATGTAGATGTAGATGCAGAGGGAGTTCCAGTTCCATGTGTGGTTGCGGATAGATCCCTGCTTGTCTGTGTATTTGGGAGGGAGGATGGACCGGCTTTGCCGTTTGTCGTTGATGCTAGGGTATTGGCTATGTCGGAGCTTGGGGTGAAGGCGCTTTTTGCTAAGCCTGTTGCGGAGGTTTGGATGCGGGATGCTAGCGAGGGGGCGGGGGTTTCGGAGGGGTTTGAGGTTGAGGTTTTGGATTGGGGTTTGGGGGGGTTACCCCGCTTGTTCTCTTGGTTGCTCATTTGGATTGGGGGATATAGTCTGGAGGTAGTTAGGAGAGTTAGAGATAAGGAGGGAGGTTGAGGTGTTGAGATTGAGATTTGGGGGGTAGCTTCGGTGTTCGGCTTAATGTCCTTGGGCCGGAGGGAAGCATGTGAAGGTCGATTGGGATGGATATAGGATACTATTCACTATAGACTGGAATATGGACTAGAATAGAGAGAATAGTTATTATATCACAGAAAATAAGGGTACTATCTACATAAATGTTTTAGTTATCGGATCTTAAAATTCAGACTCTTCTAGAGATATGACAATGCTCGGGATCAGATATATATAGATCTATACTCAAATATGAAGTCTCAACGATATACTTCGTATGGACACTTCGGATTTCAACGGCTTCAATTGCCTTTCTGCCACGAAGTACTCTGTACACAGCATATGATATATATAAATGCTTAATTTGGCGGAGACCTGCTTGGGCCTCAAAGATGACGACAGAGGCGCATACAGCTTCGGGCATTTTGACGATTAAATATGGATTAGAAAGAGATAAATCTAGCTTAGTATACGCAAATAGCTCGATAATAACCCGGAATTTCAATTGCTCTTCCAACTTCAGTCGGTTGTATACGGGTTGCAAGGCCGGTGAGGGGCGCAAAGAGCGATGTTACAATGGTTAACAGTGTTGATGTCAGCATATGTTTCCAGGTACCTAGACTAAATTCTTTTGAATATTCAATCTGAATCAAATTAATTTAATTTTTTAAATGAAGTTGAATACTACATAGAAATACTTGACATTGACGCCCAAAGACTGTTCAGGGTAACGAACTCCCCACCACCGCCTCAACTTATCTGGGCAACTTCACCTCTTTTCTTCTTTCTTCATCGCCCCGGACCAAGTACGCAACTCCATCCCACTCTTTTGATTTTTATATTCTGGACTTCTAACCGCTTTCCTTTTACAGAAACTTTTCTCTCTTATGATCCCCTCACTTTTGCAGGTCCATTCATAAGCACATTTGTGTTTCATCAGCTACCTTGCCATCTCATTCGGCAACAGCTCTTCATTCCTCAGCTCATCTTTCCAACTTGGATCGTTGAAGCTGTTCCCCCTCTTGCCCCTCTTTTCGCCTTACCGCCATCCGCTCTCGAAACCCCCTCGCACTCCGCCTCCGGTGACCGTCTCTTATTTCCGCCCTCTCCAATCGTTATTCCCATCCGACCGAATCCTTTCGTGTCGGCTATCGCGTCTACATCGCTTCATCCCAGATTCTTTGCATCGACAATAGAGCTTTCGGAGGCATTTGCTAGTCCGCCTATCCAACCCGTCGTTCCGTCCCTCCTATCTTGGTCCTTGCCCTTGTCGCGTTCAAGGGCTCACTAGAACGTGAAGATGGTAGACAGAGATCCAGGCACACCTACCTGGAAGTTCACACAGTAAGTTTGCTCCGGATCGCACCCTGCAGATGTTCCCACCCGATGATTTCGATTTTTCTCTTCCTTTTGTCCAGGCGCCATCGACCTAGCGTCACCACAAAGAATCACTGAATGGCAGCTAACTTGATCTCAGATGCTTCGGCGATAAAGGAGATGTAGAAGATATCACAGAAGGTAATTGGCAGCCTCCCTCGCACTACGCGGCCAAACCTGGTCAATTTCCACAGAGTGCATCAACTGACAAGCATTCTGTAGCGGACATCATCTCCACCGTCGAATTTGACCACACTGGTAACTATTTGGCCACTGGTGACAAGGGAGGAAGAGTGGTGTTATTTGAGCGAAACGAGACGGTACCCTACCCCCTCCAGTCTTTTTATGGGATTTTTCTGCTTTCTGTCTTGTCGTGGGCTAATCACTGAACACAGAAAAAAACCTGCGAGTATAAGTTTCACACAGAGTTCCAGTCACACGAGCCAGAGTTCGATTATCTCAAGTCGCTAGAGATCGAAGAGAAGATCAACAAGATAAAATGGTGCCGACGACAGAATGCCTCCCATTTCCTCCTCTCGACGAACGACAAGACGATAAAGCTTTGGAAGGTCTTTGACAAGTCGCTGAAAGTAGTCGCAGAGAACAACTTATCGAATGAACTCACTCCAGCGAACCCTGTTGGGGGTGGGGGTATGGCTCGCGCACCCCGCGTATCCTTCAAGGACCCCTCTGCGCTCAAGCTGCCTCGTCTGACACACCATGATACTGTGGTTGCCGCCGTTCCGCGGAGAACATACGCCAACGCTCACGCGTATCATATAAATAGCATTTCCGTTAACAGCGATGGTGAAACCTTTATCAGCAGTGACGACCTCCGAGTGAACCTATGGAACCTCAACATCCAGGACCAGAGCTTCAACATCGTCGATATCAAGCCAGCGAATATGGAGGAGCTTACGGAAGTCATCACTGCGGCCGAATTCCACCCCGTTAGCTGTAACTGGTTCATGTATGCCAGTTCCAAGGGTACAATCAAGCTTGCGGATATGCGGCAACGGGCGTTGTGCGACGAACACGCCAAGCGTACGTACAACTATGGGTTTGTGTCAGCTACCTTTTACTGACCGTCTATGCAGAGTTCGAACAAGAAGAGGATGCCTCGTCCCGTTCCTTCTTCTCCGAGATTATTTCCTCCATCTCCGACGTGCGATTCTCTAATGACGGGCGGTACATTGTGTCCAGGGATTATTTGACAGTGAAGATTTGGGATGTCAACATGGAACGCCAGCCAATCAAGACCATCCCCATTCACGAGCACCTACGCCCTCGCCTCTGCGATACGTACGAGAACGATAGCATCTTCGACAAGTTCGAAGTCGTCTTCTCTGGCGACGCGGAGAATGTTATGACCGGCAGTTACAACAACAACTTCATGATCTACCCCACAGAAGAACAAAAGGATACGGAGATTGTGCTCCAGGCAGACAAGTCGGCATTCAAGGCGAAGAAGGTTGGTGTACCGACGCCAATGAGCAAGGGTAACGGAAAGAAGGCCGGTTCTCGATCCGGCAGCCCTGCCGGCCCCGGCAGTCGCATGAAGAAGGAGACCGATGCCGATCAGATTGACTTCAACAAGAAGATCTTGCACATGAGCTGGCATCCATTTGAAGACAGCATTGCTATTGCGGCGACCAACAACGTAAGCTATTCTTTTTTGTCTCCATTCCAACCCCGACAATGCTAACTGCGAATATAGCTCTTTGTCTTCTCCGCTCTTTAATCGCACAAAGTACAATCACAAGGCCATTATCATTTTCCATGGACAGGCGCATCTGGGGTTTGGATCGGGTGGCTGGAGGGCCTGAACAGGCAAGATATGAAGAATGAAAACCAAGAAAATAATGATAGCCACAGGTTCCATAATCACAGGACTTTCCCTTCACCCAGTTCCCTATCTCTGCTTTCATTGTGGAACTCATCTGAGTGTTGGAGGCCTGGATTTTCTTTACCTATGTCCCCTTTACTCTTTTCCTGCTATTGCAGTGGGGTTGCCAGAGGCGTATGGTGGCCAACTCATGATAGAGAATGTCATGCCTGTTTGAGGCCCTTTCCATAGTTAGTACTGAAAGACCTATAGATTTGGTAGCTAACTGGTATTGAGATGTTAGAAATTCTAAGCAGAACAATATAATTTTACGGTTTGGGTCTTTTTCTTATTTGACTATTTACGAAAAAGTCTGAAGAATCCTTCGAATGGACCCTGAAAAGGATGAAATTGAGGCCACTCAGCTCGGCATTGTTGGCCAGCCCTTACCCTCCGCCCCTTTCCGAGGCTTGACAAGCGAGAGGTATCCCCAGCCATCAGGTCAAGCCTGATTATGCAGTTTGACATAGGGATTAGGCTACACTATGAACAATAGGCTACCACTCTATTTAGACGATTGACCTCCATTTATGACTCGTGCTATTCATCATTGTAACTTTTCACTCAATGCCTGTCATGTTTTTCTGCCGGCAATGGCGGGCGATGACGAAGGCGGACTGAAATTGACCTATCGCACAATACAAACCATGACCAATGTAACATCTCCTATTGACGGAAATCCCGCCAATAAATACCATCAATACTGTATTCAATGAATTCTGAATACACTTCGGAGAATCAAATGTCCGAGAAGTACTAACTAAGCCACAATAGGTTAGCGCCGGACAGGAAAGCCTCCACTGGAGCCCGCGATCGGTCGCGCGCAATTCCATCACCCCAGTTTGTGTCTCCTTGTCATATCATACATCTCTGCCGGTTCTTTCTTGCTGCGTGGAGTCGGTTCCTGTCTTCTTATCTGCAAGATTCCGGGTCATGCTGTGACCCTAGTGCAACCTGAGCGTTGCCAGTCGATTCATACACACGAGACTACGAGCTCCAGCTCTTCGATTACAGCCTTACTTTTTCTCCCCTCCTCGACCCTTCTTATCCGTCAAACCTCCCTCTCTACTTCTCCCCAACCGGGGTTCGTGCATACATCATGAACTCTGGCAACGATAACTGGCACTCCTCTGGTGGGCCGCCGTCGCATCCTGGCATCGATCAAATGAACCAGCAGCCTCGGCCCCTGGGGTCATTCAGGCACGAGCAGTCCTCTATAGTAAAAGTGGCTTGATATGTATACTAACATGATATTCTTGCGCTTCTATAGTCAAAATCCCTCTCAGCAAGGCCAGGCCTCCCAGCCCTCGGGCCCAGTACTTCCCCCTCCAGGTGGTGAGTCCCTCTTTCTTTGAACCATGGATTTCCCCAGGAAAATTCCATGGCGAAAAAAACGTTTGAGCTGACTTGTCATTCTATTATAGCACCCTACCACCCTAGCCAGTCAGGCGGCCATTCTCTTCCTGGACTGGCAGAATTGAGCCAGACGCACGGAGGTCAGCACCAACCTTCCGCGTACGGCCAGCACCCAGCAGGCCCGTCGCATAACAGCGGCCATTCCCTCCCCGGAATTGGTCAAGCCATGCAACACGCTTCTCCCCAGCTCAACCGGGAGCGGGAGCGGGACTCCAGGGAGCGCGAAATCATCGAGCGCCAGCG